GACGCTCAGAAAATGAAAATACAAATACAGTTAAAAAAAAAAAGAATAAAAGAATAAAAAATATTTACCAGCCTTCTCCTGGTCTGGCAATGCGCGACCAGCTATTTCGGGTAGTGGGCAATTTCAACCGCAATTTATCGACTATGCGCTTCATGTATGTACTGTACATCTCACAAAATGTCTTAATGTCTTAACAAGGGGCTGGATGTAGCACATGCTGAATTGACAGGGTTGTCAGGGGCTTACGCTTGTTTCATTTTCTTCCATGGGGGGATACTAGGGGATACATACTACGCAGTGAGAGGGATACACAGCATGCATATCCATTACTACCTTAGTACATGATGTACATGTCCTCCTCATGTCCTCCTCATGTAATTCACGCTACAGGCCACCCCCCTGTCCGATTAGCGCGTAACCAGGTATCTTTTCAGGTATCTTTCTACCTAAGTAAGTATCTCTTTTTTTCTTATTCCCTATTCCCTGTCGCCATTTTTGGGATGCGTCACTGTGGCCCAGCTAGCCCAGCTAGGGTTCGGGGTGAATTATTTTTGTCACTCGTTCTTGAGGTTTGCGACACGCCTGACATGTACTTGCCATGCCTAATTTGCACGTTAATCTTATTGCGAGATTATGAATCTGTACATACGTGACTACCGATGTACTCACGGTTTGGCGGTGTATGTACCTGACTACAGTCAAGAGTACTTACCTTCGTAATGTGTTGTCCTTGGAATGGGAAGGTATCTTGCTCATCTCATGAGAAGGCCACCATTATCATACATAAGGACGTCCTCTCCCTCCTTCCCCCAGGATCTCCGAATCGATCTTAAGTTCACCTGACAGACCAACGACAAACACCACAAAGCAATCCAATCTTCATACATCAAGATAACCAATACTACTAAACTTAAACAAACAACTGCCTCATCAGCAACTCTAGCATCTACTATATCTACCTAGCCTGTCTAGAATACCTAGTATAATCCAGCTAATCCAGCTAATCCAGCTATCTAACCAAACAACAACCATCGCAATGGCCGCCATGTCACCAGAGTTCGATATGTCTTCTCAACGCCCTTCTCAGCTTCCGCCTTGCCCTGGCCCACCACCAAGCCGACCTCTGCCTCCTCTACCTAAGAGCGGCTAGGCTAATCCCTTCGACGAGAATCGCACTTGAAGAGTCTCTCCCGACTCAGCTACTAGTGCTACCCACCAGCGAGATAGATCGATATAGGGGGAACATATATAAAATGTCCTCCTAAAGCAGCATCATCAGTAAGGGATAGAATCGGCCAAACCACAGAATTACGGACGATCGTCGGACGAAGTAACTATCGGGGAGGAATTCCTAGGGTTCCGCTCTCTCTTCCATTCTGCCCTTTTACCAGCTCTCGACTTTCATCAAATGGTGCATCTCGGGTATGCAAGTGATCGCAGGGCGTAGTACGGCGTTGCATTCCCATCATGCACGCCTGCAACAAAAATTCCCCTCTCCTGCTCTCCCGCACCCCTGGCATTGGCACTCGCATTGGCGTTGGCTACGTACAACTCATTCAACATACAACACAACAAAACCACGTCGCTGCGTTCGCGAACCCCATGCAAGAACCCTGCATCGACATTAATTGAACGGAAGACCGCAGAATCAGAAATACCATGCCACAATGAAGCCGCCAACGTACCACATCATCGAAAACGCACCGCGATCATCCAATTTTGCTCTTTCGCCTGCTGCATAACCCCAATAATACTCCGCATCTCTTCAGAGCTGGCTCAGGATCACCACTTCCGTCATACATTCTCTGATCATTACCCGACCCGGTTGATCTTGTACTATTGTTTTTTAATTCTATTTCACACACGCGCGCACTGGGATATATACGACTATCAGTTATTTTTAATACTTTTTGTGGGCATACCACGCTCATCGGCATCGGGGAGGAATATATCTTTGTCTGTTTGCTCATCCGGTTTTGGGAAATAGGGGGGTCTTGTAGGACCTAACCCGGTGTTTATTTGGAATAATTTCCTCGTCATTTTACGTCATCAACTGTACTTATAGAGATAGCATCGACGGGGCGTTCTCTTCGTAGAACTGCCTCTCGTGCGCTGGATACCCCCACGGGAAGGATGGTGGCAGAATTCACGACACGGGAATGGGAATGGGGTTTGCTTCTACGGAACCAGCCATATGAATGATACCGGGAGATCTGCGCTAAGCAATCGAGCCCATAACGGAATGATACGAACAGAACTATTTTTACCTACTCTTACTTGCCTTTATCGCGTAATTCGTTTGTGAATGTATGTAATCCACTTACCCAGTAGTATCCTGTACGGCAATTATTCGAACAAGATCTCATTTGCTCAAAACGTGATTCTGTCTCTCCTTATCCCTGACTTCGGCCGGATTCGAGCATGTGCTCTCCAATTGAAATGCAATGGTTTCCTCTTTTGGGTAATTCTCCTATAAGTCAGCCCCACGTTTTTTCATAACCGACTACTATGCGTGCGAGTCATGATTATGGTCCTCGTAATACGTAGTCTTGTCAATATCAAGCAGTGGGACGGTAAAGGGACGTAAGGGAATGCAGTGTCGGTGAATAGGGAACTTGGTCGGTTATGCTAGGTAGTTCTAACTAGGTAACTTTTCGCATTTTCATGCGATGGAGTTCACAACAACCCAAAAGTCTGGATGAGACGCCTGCGGCTCGCGCGCGGCCCGCTAGGGAGAACAAGAGGGGCTGTTGCAACTTGCAGTCCCCCCTCGATCATCCCTTACATCATGATACCTACCTTGACACCGTGATTCGACGATAACAGAGTAACGGCAAGTAACAGCAGGTTCAGGCCGTCCCCTTGGGTCGTTCGGGATCTGGATAACTACATACTGATACTACTGCGCAAAAAAAGCCCACATCATCGGCTAAACTACTGGGTGGTTAGGCCATCCAAACCCCTGGCGCGGCGTGATGAGCGCGGAAAGAAGCGCATCGCCATCCCAGCATCAGACATACAGAAGACCAGCGTACCGGTATGGTGGGTATGTACGTTGCAGAGTCGTGGCTATCAAAATGAAAGCTTGATATTAGACATACACTAAGTAGTGAGTAAGCAACTAGCTGTCCACGGTTCCGAGTCCCTGGACCAGCCACCATGACTCGCGAAAGCGTCGACCCATTCCCAGCGATGGCCCATCGCATCGCGTTCCCGAGTCGCTAGACTCTAATTGATCGAAGGCGGGACTTTACACGAGTCAGACAGGAAGAAAAGTCCCATATCAGATCAGATGACGCTTAATCGGCAAGCGGCACAGCAGCAAGCTTTAATAAACAGTATCCATCTATAATATGCCGACGTTGCCCAAAAAGAACCTTCGCTAGCGTCGATTTGGAACTCTGGGCAATAACAGTATCTCACAACATATTCCGCGCGCGGTGATGAAGCACGGAGCGGAGTGGGGCGGAAATCAAAGTCGCGAACCGGCCCCCTTGTTAGAAAAGATAGATAGCGGTGTTGCAACCTGGTAGGTAAATGGATCTCTCATGCTGGCTGGGTTTCTGAGACATGCCTACAGCATAGCATGTATGTATGTATGTATCTCCATCTGCCCATCTCAGATATGCAGCCAGGTAAGTAATTAACTGCCCAACGGCCCTAAGACGTCGGCGAAATACAGGTGGGTAAGGCATTGATGCTGTAGCTGTATGTATGTATTCTGTAAGTGTATGTAGGACTTTTTCTTCTTGCTGCTAACGGACCGCGTGACCCGTTGCTGCACAGAATCATCGATGCTATGCGGGTATACTTCGTTCTGGTTAGGCACTAAATTTCGCAAGTGCCCACCCGACGCCGTGTCTTTCGACAACGTGGTCGTCTTCTTGTTTTTTTTCTCTCTCTTTTCTTCTCCCTGCGGATCATCGTGACCACTGATCGGGGTGGTACCTCAGCACTAAGGACGATGCCAAGACTAGACGGAATCGATCTGAGCCGATAGACTTGTCTCAATGTGTCGATACATGTCGATACATGTCTTTGTTGGCGCGGGTGCGCGGTCTAAGTTACGGCCACTTAATATCAAATGAAGGGTTCTATTTTCTTTTTAGTGCCATTGATGCGATTTGATATTCGGATATTGGTGTTAGCATATGTAAGTTGACTAATCTAGTTTGGCGATCTCTTCCTGCCGGTGGTTCTTAGATCGGCGGTAGTGTCGCCTCTTCGCTTATTTGGATTCTATGCGTGCACTAAAATTTCTAAATTACCAGACGATAGACTTTTCCAATCTTTCGTACGTACGCTACAATCGTTCCGCACGTGTTGAGATCTAGTTCTTTTCGGTTAGTGTCTAATATCTGAAAATTAATGCTTCGTCCCATCGCATGGAACTATTCTCTTTTCGCCACCCCCTGGATCATCAGGGGGAGGCGAATACCGAGGTACTTAGGACATGGGGAATAGGAAATAGGAAATAGGAAATAAAATAAAATCCTATCTACCTAGGTAAGAAATAGAGTAGGAATACGACGATGGTTTTTTTTACCGAGAATAGCCATGATACGATACATTCAATGCTCATAGTTGGAAAGGAGAAGTCTAAAATCTTAAAAACAAGAATGACCCGGCCGATAGCAAATCATCTTCAGGATGTCAATAGAATGACGTCAAAGGCTACTAGGGATCAGGATTAGTTACGCTTATCACCACGTGCACAAGACCCTGAAACGCGGCGATAACTAAAGCTGGGGATGATTTTCGACATGTTCCCATTTGTTCGCATTCGTTCCCGGTATTTTGCATTATCATGAATTTTATAGGTTTGCATTTCGGACGATCGCCCGCTGCGACAGCTTAAATCGGATAGCGAGATCTTCTATGGATCCCCTAATCACCGCTCCCTGATGATTTATGACCAATTGTCCCTGTTGTCCCTGCGCGCCTGCGGAATAACCAGGGTAATTGTCTCGACGAGACCATCCTGACCGTCCTGTCGTCCTAGCGTAGAACCGTTCGTGGCTGATTTTCGTACGAGACCTGCGAGACCCTGCGATACCTTGTCGTCAGCCTCTCGATTGCAGTATTGCTACATTGCCGGTTACTACTTTACCTAATTCCCTCCACAACTGCGAACTCGTGGTCTTATCACACGACGAGCCATTTCTATTGGTTCATTCAGAGTCAGGCGTACTAGCTGATCTGATCCCCACACAAACCGACCGAGATTCAGTGACCGTCTCATTGCTGTTCTAGACATTGGACGACCCCAGCCACTTGTCGTTAGCTGCGTCGTCCATCTCTCACGATGACATTAGAGCTTCATGTTTGGGGACCAGCATTCGGCCTAGAGTCTATAGACCCCGAATGTCTAGCCGCCATATCATGTTTCCGCTGCTCTATCCCCCGCGAAGATTGGACCCTGATCGCCAGCAATGACGCCGCCGTCAGCCCTCATTGTACGCGCCCCATCATGATCCTCCCTAATTAACCTGTTAAAAAACATGGCTTGAACCCCTCCTCCCTTCCCCAGCCCAACGACTGGTCTCCCCAAGACCTTGGGATTTTCAGCTGATCAAACATCTCGTAGACCGCCTCCCCGCCTTGAATCATGAAGGCATCTGGACTTCTGGGTATACGGAAATCATCTCATACCTTACCAAAGAAAGCATCCTACACATCGACGATGACCTCACACCGCTTCAGAAGGCAGACACCCTAGCCTGCGCTTCCTTCCTGGCGACTCGCGGCGCTGCTCTAGTCGCAATGTCGCTATACGTATCGCCAAGGGCATGGACAGAAGTGACCCGGCCCGCCTACTCCTCCCTCCTTCCGTTTCCGCTCACGTGGACCGTACCCCCGCGGATCCGCAGCGCCGCGCTCGCCAAGGTCGAGAACCTAGGTATGAGTACCCTCGCCCCCGAAGCAACAGATGCCGAGGAATCCCCATCGGACGGCGCAGCCATCACGACATCCACCGGGTTCCTCAAGCCCCGCGCGCGCCGCGGCCCCAGCGACGCCATGCAGCCCGAGAACAAATCCGCAATCCGGTTCCAACACTTCGCGGAGTCGTTCTTCGAAACCCTGGAGCAGCTTCGTGGCGACACCACGTTTTTCCTCAGCGACGAAGCCCCGTCGTCGGTTGATTACCTCGTGTTCGCGTACCTCCAGCTGACGCGCGTGAAAACGCCGCACCCGACGTTGAGGAACACGCTAGAAGGATCCTTCGAAAGCCTCGTCGTTTTCTCGAACTCGATCCTCGCTTCCTTCGCCGGTCACAGGCTTCCTGTCAGGAATCCTGTGCCGATTGGTGTGGGGGGTCTGATTGGTCGGTTTGCGGAAGGAGCGGTTGATTCGGTCCCGGGATTTGGAGGGGTTTGGGGGAGGTGGCGAAAGGGTGATGGCGTGGGGGATTCTGCGGGTAGGGTTTTTGTGGCTGCTGCGGGTGCGGTTGTTGGTGTTGCTGTGGCGGGCGCTGTTGTCCTGGCTAGGGCGTTAGGACCCTTTGGGGATGAGACGCATCGCTTTGAGATGCGGAGGAAGGGGTTGGCGAGGTTTGGCGAGGTCGGCGCTATGTTGGATGCGTTGCAGGGTTGGGATCAGTTTTCGCCTGTAGGGGGTGTGGGTGCGGGTGGAAGTGGAAGTGTAAGTGTGGGCTTCGATGCTGCTGTTGAGGCGGAGGTCGAGCTGAGGGATCGCCTGCTGTAGCTGTAGCAGGGGTCGGAGCTGAGTTCAGCTGAGTCGGTATCGTGCGATACCTGGGTTTCAGCTTCTGGGTGGGATGACGGAAGGGCTGATTTCGGTATGGAATGTTTGGTTGTCAGCTGTTTGTTGGCGTTGGGATGTTGGTAGGTATATAGGTGGGTAGGTGGGTGGGTGGGTATATGTGTGCGTTAGATTGATACCATTCTACATATGAGGTTATGATCAGGGATAATGAATATGCATATGAATACAGAGGAAAGGAAAGAATGGTTCTTTTTGGGTAAGAGGGGACTTTGGTGTTGTGCTCTTTTGAATGTGCGGTTATTTACTTGTTTGTGTGTATGTTAGGGAGGGAGATGTGCATGTCTTGGTTTGCGGCTGAAGATGTTGTGATATCGACCTTGAAGGGTAATGTCCTGCATCTTTCTCAATGGGTACCTATCTACTAGGTAGGTAGGTACTTGTATCTGATGGAAGTCGATACTCCGTTGCTTGTTGCTTGAAATTGGTTTGTTGGCGATGATTGGGCGCAGCGTCTATCTTTACTAACTTCTAGGAAATAGGAGCTTGATGTCCCTAGACATCCCCTTACGATTAATATTCTGAGTCTACTGTAAAAAGTGCATATCTCGACATTTCAGCCCTGGGTTGTTACTTGGCTTGTTACTTGGCTTTGTGTACTTCTCCTCGTATGTACTTACCTAGATGGTTCTCTAGGTACCTACCTATTCAGTTGCTCATTTTTTTCGTATTCTGGTGGATAGGGGTTCGTCGCGTCTATTCTGGTTAGGTCTACCTGTTTTGCCCCCCCTTTTTTTGCCCTTTTTGTCGACTTATAGACCTAGTCGGTTTACGCTTTACGTTTCATGGCCCCCAAAGAAAACGAAATCTTAGGAGCCGATGTTTGATAATCAACGTGCTATGTAGGTAGTTTTTGCTAGGTATTTTATGAAAGCGGTTTCAAGTCGGGTTACTTGCTAAGTAAGCTGAAGCTGGGAACTCTTCGTAACTATAACTCAGTCCAAAGATGTAGATTGGTATCTATGAATTTATCAGGCACTGCATGTCATGTTTGTCATAGCAACTATGAGTACCTAGTACCTACCCCTGAACATCTAATATCGAAACCGTATCCAGTGTACAGAATCGCCAGTATCCAATATTTCGAGCAAACAACATAGATCAATCGCCCCAAAGCTCTAAAGTTAGAGGATGTCTATTTGGATGAATAGATACACGTTTGCTGTAGTCACAAATAACACGCATTAGTATGATTTGGGAAGACAGACATCTTGTTTTCAGAGTAACTTTATTGTATTTCTATGATATCCATGATACACTTCAGTCTCCTTCGTCATTCTGACATAGTCTATACTGTGACTTGGAGTTTTTACACATCTTACACCGTCCGTGTCAGGGGGGAGTCACGACACAATTACTAGATCTGTCGGATTTCCTTCCCAACCATCTCAGGGCGCTCTAGCTCCCATTCATCACGGAGTACTGCGAATGCTAGGTCACTGACAAGTAAGCTTTGCCCAAGACTCCACACGAGAGTGATGGCGTAGAAGAAATTGGCGTTTCCGCTACCAGCGTAAATCCACAGGTAGTAGAATGAGGGTCCCAGAAAGGTGGAGTAAAGCATAGTGGACGTAGATAAAAAGCTGTATCGTAATAACGGGAACACATGTCTAAACAGCGGCACCATGCCGAGAAATAAGCTCGTGTCGGCAATACTTGGGTATGGTTTGAAAATAGCGAAGATGCCGAGTAATATGGTGAGTACGGCGAGCGGTTGTGTGCGAATGCGGAACGAGAGTCCGCCCACGTAGCACGAGAGGTGGAGCCAGAATACGGCAAGGAAGAAAGCCCGGAAACTGTCGAACATCTCGACGAAGAAGTACCACCAAAGCCCGACATTAGGGGTGAGGTCCGTCAACGTCAATTGAATGACGTAGGTCGAGGCAAGGAATTCCCAGGACCCGGTGAGGAGGTAAGAGACCCCAAATAAGACCGAGAGGCAGAGTGAGACTGCTACAACGTTGAGGCCTGCAAATTGTAGCAGAGACGATGTCTTGTTTGAAGCGTGTTGCCGGTCATAGGCAAGTAGTATGAGCGGTGCTAGAAGTAATGCTGGATACATAGAGAGGTAGGTCGCGAACGAAAGAGCGAGCATCGAGTTAAATGGGTTGCCTGATATCGCTTTCGCTATTGCGTGTAGGATGGCGCATGTAGTGAAGACATTGGTTGGTCGGGCCATGCATGTTGCGATTGTGAAAGGGTTAAAGAGAAAGCTGTAGGTGTTCATTAGCAAATTGTTGTGTGGTGTTTAGGAATTAGTATGGGGTCATACATAGCTGCAACAATGTACCCGCTCCACTTCCTATCTTTGCGAGCTGAGGTAAAGAGTCGCGATGCGCTGGCTTCGCCTGATTCCGCAATCTTGTAGAGCGCGTCGGCGCTTAATAGGTCGACTATAATGTACAGAATATACGCGAATATGGGATACGTTGCTGGGTCTGGGAGGAGAGAGAAGAGCGGGAGGAGTAACGGGGCTTGGTGGTAGACGCCGCCATCATAAGGCGAGACATTGTGATTATATAAAAACAGGCCTTCTTGTACTATATGGATTGTTAGTTTCTAGATCCATGAATATCTGGGAGGATTGGCTATTCTTACGTCTCTTGAAGCTCGTCACAGCAGTCGAAATCTCGACTCGGTCAGTCAGCAGATCTGGCAGTGCAGGAAAGAAAGCGTATAGAATTAATCGCAGTAGAGCAGCGGCGGTATATAAACCGGCTGTCTCCTGGAAATGCATTTTACCGCGATTCATAATGCAGTTCCATCGTCGAGGATGTTTGTGGTTTCGTTCGAATTGAGACTTGAAAGTGGTTGGAAGTTGAATGAATTGAGTTTATTGTTGTACCTAAGTATTCGGATTATTATTTGACGTTCGTATTCTCAAAATTCGATAGGAACACCTTAGCTCTTTCCAGCTGGAGGTTTTGCAGGGCTTAATTAGAGCAGGGACGGGTTGTGGGACTGGACATGCGAATGTTAACTGCGTTGCTGGCAGCTAAGCTTATCGATAAAGACACTAGAGCAATAAAGGCTTAGCTCCTTACCCCAGTAAGCGGTCAGTTATGGCAGTTTTGAATTTTGTAGTGGCAGTAAAAAAAGTTCAGTGGGGCTGCAACTTTTTTATTCATCCATTTATTCGTTCGGCTTGTACTCGAACTTCTCACTGGATCAACTGCACGATTTTCGACGATCAAGCACAAAAACGAGCAATTGATCTTATATTGTAAAGATGGGTAGAATAAAGAAGAAGGGCGAGTCTGGAAACGCCAAAAACTATATTACACGAACACAAGCCGTGAAGAAACTTCAGATCAGTCTTCCAGATTTCCGAAAGCTATGTATATGGAAAGGGTAAGTGAATTCCTCCAATTTCTTTGTATTTAGTCGCATGCTTGCTCAGTTACTAACCCATACTCTAGTATCTTCCCGAGAGAACCTCGAAACAGGAAGAAGGCTTCCAAAAGCTCCACAGCCTCAACTACATTCTACTATGCTAAGGATATCCAATACCTTTTGCACGAGCCCTTACTACAGAAGTTTAGAGATCAGAAGGTCCTCGAAAAGAAGATTTCTAGAGCGCTTGGTCGTGGTGATGTTGGCGACGCAAGCCGACTAGAGAAAAATGCTGCTAGACCTGAGAAGACGGGTAAACCGAGATATACCTTGGACAATGTTATCCGAGAACGATACCCGACCTTCGTCGACGCTTTGCGCGATCTCGACGACTGTCTCTCCATGCTCTTCCTCTTCGCGAACCTGCCATCCACATCAACTGTTCCCGCCAAGATGATCGCACGATGCGAACGGTTGTGCTTGGAGTTTCAGCACTACTTAATCGTATCCCAGAGTTTGCGCAAGTCTTTCTTGTCTATCAAGGGTATATACTACCAAGCGAACATTCAGGGCGAGGATATTCTATGGCTTGCTCCATACAAGTTCAACCAGCGGGTCGTAGGAGATGTGGATTTCAGAATTATGGGCACTTTTGTCGAGTTTTACATGACCCTTTTGGGTTTTGTAAACTTTAGACTATATACCTCTGTTGGCTTGAAATACCCGCCTAAATTCGACCAATCGAAAGACGAGAAAGCTGGTGAACTTGGCGCTTTCCAACTGGAAGGCAATGCGGCTGCTATTGCAAACGAAGCCCCTGCGCAAGTGACGAATACCGATGTCGCGGAAGCTGGACCAGATCCAAAAACACAGGCTGAAGTTAATAAACTCATTAAGGAGATGAGAGAAGTTGATGTTGATGGAGACCGAGTGGAGGGTGAAGCGGATAATGACGAAGCTACAACTGATGCGATCGACAAGTTTGAACCGGCCGCACCAGGTGGTGATGTCCTGCCCCAACCTGCCCACTCGGGCACCGAGCCCGAATCGTTGTTCGCGAATTGCACATTCTACTTATCCCGAGAAACTCCAAGGCAGCCGTTAGAATTCATACTCCGTGCGTTCGGTTGCAAACGTATTGGCTGGGATGCCGTATTAGGCGAGGGCGCATACACCACGGACGAGCGCGATCCATCTATCACACATCAAATTGTTGACCGTCCGGTCATACAGGCTACCATGCAAGAAGAGGGGGATGGAGAGGACAATCAGACATCTCAGAAGCTCGAAGCCAACCAAAGAATGCCCGGCCGAACATATGTACAGCCGCAATGGATTTGGGATAGTATAAATGACGGCGAAATGAAGCGACCAGACCTCTACGCCCCCGGAGCTTCGTTGCCGCCTCATTTAAGTCCTTTCGTGCAAAACACCCAAGGAGCGTACGACCCAACGATGCCGCTGGAGGAGCAACAAACCGAGGGCGAAGCACTAGAGGATAGCGACGAGGAGGTCGACGAAGACGAGGATGAGGAAATGGGTGATGACCTTGCTGTAAAGAGTATGGATGTTGTTGAATCTGATGAGGAGGATGAAGATGGAGATAACGGCTCGTTCGGAGGCTTCTCCGAAGACGAGAAAGCAGCTAAGGGAGACGATGCGAACGAGTCGGATGATGAACAAGCTGCCGAGCTACAATACCAGCGAGAACTCGAAGCCGAATTGACTGGCAAGCCGATTAAACAAACCCCGTCAAATCCTCAAGCCAAAGCCAAGGTGGAGGCAAGGAAGCGACTCGCGAAGCAAGCCAAAGAGGAGGCGGAAGACCTTGAGAGAGCAAAGGGAATGCTTAGCAAAAAGAAGAGAAAGCTGTTCGAACAGATGCAATACACCAACAACAAGAAGAGTGCGGAGGACCAGAAGCTCAGAGAAAAGAGGAGAAAACTGGAGAAACAGAAGAACAAGGCAAAGGCGTAATGGGCTAGATAGAGGTACTTCGGGTAGTTATTTTGACAATACCATTGCAAGTGTTTTCGCACAACTCAAACGATTGTATTAAATGTACGTGGTAAACCCCATGTTGTGAATAGTGTCGTGTTCTGCCGTTTTTACCATTTAAGTTTTGCGACTCTACCTAGTTTGGACCTGAAAATTTTTCATATCTTAATTGAAATCTGTGAAACTCCAATTATCTATTTTCAACTTCAAACGGAATTTAAGGTTGTCCTTCTCACCATTTTTCCCTGACCATTTAGGACTTAATAAAACTGCATACTATGGCATCGGCAGCAAACGAGTCAGATAGTTACGTACCCGACGACGATTCTAACATTTTGTCTGACTCCGAAGAAGACGAGCGGCCTAACCGGTGGCACGGCCCCAGGACTACGTGGCGAGGCTTCAATAGCGAGGAAATCGCTACAGCGACCGCGCTCAAGGAGATTCAGGACAGGGATCTATCAGTGCATTTATACAATGCATTTGCGCTGAAGCAGAGGTATAGGGGAGCGAAGGAGGGGGTGGCGTTGGATGGGCCGGTGGCTGGGAAGGTAAGTGCATCGATTTAACGAATTAAGTTAATGAGTTGTTCTTTACTACAGTAGTTAATCTTTAAATCGATGAACTTGTCAACTTAGATGCTAACGTAAAAATAAGGACATCAACGCCGCGACGGGCGAGCTCGTCCAGCCGGATGACTGGCTACCCCAGCGGTTATGGACCGCTTGGCCGATGCGCGCGGATAAGGTCCCGTCGCTACAGGATAGTCGGATGAATGATCCAGATGAGCGGTTTACTCTTAGAAAGCGGGTTCGCGAGATGCCTAGCACGGCACTGGAGGAAATCATTAGCGGCGAGATTTTGAAGACGGCGAGGCAGAAATTTAATGCTAGGCCTTGGACTAAGGCGAGTGCGCCCGGTGAAGAAGCAGACGGGGAGTCGGAAGAGGGCGACGAAGATGAAGATGATGGGTCGGATGTAGAGACGATGGCGTCAACGTCTGCAAGTGGTCTGTCGAAAAGTAGATCGAGGTCAAGGTCAAGATCGAGAACCGTCAAATCTGAAGCCACTATTGGCGATGGGAAAATGGGGGTCGATGAACACCTCCCCTCATCAAAACCACAAGAGGACGACGACGAAAAGCCTCGTTTAAAACCAGCGGTATCTACGGATGACGATCTATCATACAACCTCTTGCGTCCGTCTGTCCGACACATACTCACTCAGTTAGACGCAACCCTAATGGTCTTACACAACGTGCAGGAATCCACGCTCAACTACCAATCTGACTCTAGTAACTCAGAAGCGTCCGATTCCTCACGACGCAGCAGCCGCAGCAGAGGACGAACATCCCGACCACGCTCACGAACCCCAACAGCCGATGGAGTAAAAAGAGGAAGAGGCAGACCCCCCGGGTCCCGCAACCAATCCCGCGCGCGATCAAAATCGCGGGGCCCAACACCACTCGTAACCGAAGACGAAGGCGAGCAGCCTAAAAAGCGCCCCGGAAGACCGAAAAAGTCGTACCCCCGCCTCGACGGCGAAACCGACAAGGAATACACCATCCGCATCGCCCGGATCCGGAAACAAGCCCTCCCCATATTCTCCGACTCCGAAGTCGATCCAAACCCCACCTCGGAAACAGACAACCCAGAAAAGCGAAGAAGAGCCAACTCAATCGACAGCGGCAACTCAGGCGACGGCGAACAAACCGCCGGTCCCAGCACCCGTCGCCGAAAACGCAAACCCCCTCTCTCACATCCACACTCAACATCAACATCAAACCAAGGAAAAGCCCCGCGCCGCGCGTCATCCGCGTCCACAACAACCAGCCGAAACAGCCGAACCAGCAAAAGCGGTAGAGCCACAGAAAAACGCACCCGCATCGGCCTCCGGGACTGGCGCGACGTCCTCGGCGCCGCGGCGCTAGCGGGGTTTCCGCCCGCGACCCTGGACCGCGCCGCGAGGCGGTGTGCGGATTTGTTTGTGGGGAGGGTTGGGCTGGTTACTTTGTCTGAGGGACCTGCTGCTACTCACGCGAGGAAGGGGGTGTTGGGGAGGGAGGTTGTTTATGTGCCTGGGATGGGGTATCCGGCTTTGGTGGATTTGGGGGAGGGTGGGGTTGGGGGTGAGGGTGATAGGGGTGAAGGAGGAGGGGAAGGGGGAGGAGGAGGACAGATGAGTATCCCGATGCGTTCGCGAGCCGGAAGCGCGGCGCCGAGCGCCATCGCCATCTCTGAAGACGAGGCTGGGCCCTCGGAAACACGGGTGCGGAGTCACAGCGTCTCAAGGCCCCGCGCGCGCAGCCGGTCGCGGTCGGTGTCTGCAGTGTCTGGGCCGTACGTGTGTTCTATTAAAGATTGTCCGCGGGCCGCGGACGGGGAGGGGTTTGCGCGGAAGCAGAATTTGCTTAGGCATTTGAAGCTTGTGCATGGGTTGACTGGCACTTCGACCTCGGCGCCGGGGTCGGGGTCGGAGGGGTTGGGAGAGGAGATGGCGGAGGAAGAGGTGGATAGTGAGGATGAGATGTATGGTGCGGTGCATGTTGATGGGTTTCTGAAGCCGATTCGGATGAGGTCCGGCTGGAGGGCGGCTGATTCGGGGGCGAGGACTAGGAGGTCTGGGTATGGGAGTGGGAGTGCGAAGGGGAGGGGGAGGAATAGAGGGAGGGGGAAGGGGAAGGGAAGGGATGGGAGTGAGGCGGATGATGATGGGGAGGATGATGGTGATGGTGATGTGAGGATGGGTGGGAGTGGGCTTGATGAGTAGGTAGATTTGGATGGTGATACGATTCGTATTGAGTATAGAACTACACGATATGTCCCTACTTTCTGATCATAATTCATCATATTCAGTTTTACGACTACCATACCCCTCACCAAACCCCCATCTCACACCTTCTCCTTAGCAGAAAACTGCCTCTCAACCTCATCCGCAAAATCCCCGATCGTATCAAACCGCCACCCAAACGCAACCTTCCCCTTCAAAGCCTCATAATCGCCCCCAACCCCCCTCCCCGCCTCCTTCTCCCCACCCCGCGAAATCCACACACTCTGCAACCCCAACTCCTTCGCCGGCACATGATCCGCCGTCAAACTGCGCGCCACATGCAACAACTCGCCCTTCTCTCTATCAATCCCCAAATCCTCCTTCAGATGCGCAAACAGGTACGCGAAATTCTTGTGATCGGGTTTATACGCCCCGATGTCCTGCGCCGTGTACACGGCGTCGAACTTCGCGGGCGCAAGCTGCTTGCCCACGGTTGCGGCGATGTTCTGGTTATCCACATTCGAGAGAATCGCGAGCTTATACCGCTTTCCCAGCTTCTGCAACCCCGCAATCGTGTCCGGGAACGCGGTCCACGTCCCGGGCGAATTGCCGAACGGCTCGGCGATGCTGTCGGAGAGACCTGGCAGCGAGAGGTCGGTTGTTGCGAATGCGGTTATGGCTTCGGCTAGGAGCTCGTTGTAGGGGAGGGTGGGCTGGGCGACTTCGTATGCGTTGGCTTTGGCGTTGAGGAGACGCAGGGCTTCGAGGGGTGGGTCGGTGTTTAGGGGGTGTGTTGGTGGCAGTTGCGAGGTTAGGAGGCGGACGGTGCTGAGGAAGCCGGTTTCCCAGTCGATGAGGGTGCCATAGCAGTCGAAGCTGGGGGTTGGGTTAGTATGTTGTGTTTACTATGGTGATATAAGTGAATGGCGGTTTTATGATAGGGGCATCTTCACCTTAGAGCTTTGAAGCTTGTGAGGTCGGGATATTTGTTCTCGGATGCCATTGTTCCTCTGATTTAGGTGGCGACTACAATCGTGAAGCTATTCGGAGTTCTTGAAGAGAGTGGGCTCGGATAAATTATCATTAATTGAGGTTATTCCTTACTTAAACCTCCCTTCCTCTGGAATGGGGATATGCTTGCGTCACTGGTGCTCTTATGTAGAACCCGACATTACATCACCCTTTGCGAATAAGGGGTACAAAAAGGTCGAACCCCTCACAACCATCTCCAATATTTCGTAACTTTACCCCAGACGACGTCTACAGAAATAAGGAGCAGCGAATCGGAAATCTACATGCTCTTGATTGCGATACCTCGAATTGCCGTTTTAGGCAAGTGTTAGGTGGATACCCCGAGTCTTTCGGAGGGAGTGCATGATGACAAGGGCGTAGATGACTGCCGGAAAGCGGAGTCCGGCATGGGGTTTGAACTTCGGCACTCTGAATGAATCATTCGGCGAGCAATAAAGGAAACTTCTCCGTAAATGCCATGATATTACGAAAATGAATCAGAATGATCTGAAATATTATCATTTGTGTAAAATAGTGGTTCGCCAATTGAATTTTAGGATATCTGTAGCATGCAATCTCTAGTAGAGTTGACATAGATGTGCCAAGAATCTAGAATCACTGCTTCTGCTCAAGTAACCACTTCACGCCCTTAACGGTATCTTCCACAAACTCGCGACTCCTGTCAAGTTGCGGCCAGTTAGTCCAGAAATAATGACCGAACCCCTTATACATGTCCAACCGCGTTTTGACACCTGCCTCCTCTCTCAATACTCTCTCGTAGATGAGACCCTCGTCCCTCAGAGGATCCAAGCCACATATCTGTAAATATGCAGGCGGAAGATTGCGATGTCCGTTCTCCATCCCGCCGTACAAGAAAGGCGTGACGCGTGGATCGGCCCATGGCGCTTTCAGAATCCCATGAAGTACCTCAGCCCACTCCGCACCGGACCTGGTTTTAAGAACCGGGTCGATATTGGTCGTGACGTCTGGATGCGAAAGGTACTCCTTGCGGTATAGTGGCGAGATGAGTGTAGGTGGTGTGAAACCCATTATCGCTGGTACGCAGAGGTATTGGCCTGTCAACGGCGGATCAAGCTTCTCGTCTCGTGCGATGTGCGCGAGGACAGCACTGATGTTGCCTCCTGCTGAACCGCCGCCGATGATAAAACCGAGGGATGGATCTGCGCCGAGAGATGCTGCGTTTTTGGCTGCCTGTATAAAGGGGTGGGGTTATAAGCCAATGAAGAAGACTACGATAGGAACTTGATGACCTACCCATTGCAATGCGTCCCAGCAGTCGTAGACCCAAGTTGGGAATGGGTGCTCGGGCGCAAGTCTATCGTCAAGTACGTTCGTTTAGTTTTCTCTACATACCTGGGTAACTAAATGTTACGAGATGGAACAATATCACCCATCGCAGAAACACCCCACTCTTGCTAGGTACTTACCGATAATCGACATTGACGCAGATAGCACCCAGATCCCGACTAAAGAGTCGACAGTTAGTCTCCTCGTCGCTTATATCGCCCATGCTAAACCCGCCCTCATGATACATGACAATCAAGGGGCTTCCCCGCGCCGGCTTCTCGACCGGGCGATAAATCCGCACCGTGATCTCCGCACCATCGCGAACAGTAATCTTGCGATCTTCCTCGCTAACCTGGTCCGGGATCGGATCGGGGATGCAGCGCAGGTGATGCTTCTCGCGAAGAGTAGCAGCCCGGTGCGCCCGATATGCCGAGTGAGAGTCATCACCGTAGTACGGGTCCGAGGGCTGCGGGTCCCGGACCGGAAATCGGACTAGTGCCTATTCCCACCTCGGCGTCGTAAGTCAGGGACGGGACATGTTACTAGATATGAGACATTCCTAAATGAGATAAGTATAAGACTCACGTCTGTCATGGTTGGGTCCATGACGCCGTATGATAGGAGCTCTTCCTCGGTGCGGGGCGCCATCGTAGATGCTTGATGCAAAGATGAAATGGTAATAGGATTTCAAGATTACAGTGCAAATGCGGGACAAATGGGGTTACACAATAAATAGGGCGCGGCGATGCACAATGTCGTCATTCTTATCGATTCTATCGGTTCACCTCACTATCCGTCTCCCATCCCGTCCCTTTCACTCTAAAACTTTTTTGATCCTAAAATCACTCACAACCATTCACCATCCAGGCCACAATATGTAAGTTAAATTTCCTTGATGGGTCCCCTGAAATGATGTCGAGCTCGTATCATATACCACACAATACTAAACAGAACTACGGCGCCAAATATGAGGATACTCCAGTTGAATGTTTCCGGGGTTGGTGCGGTGGTCTGGGGCCAGAACGACCAAAAGAGCACCACTGCACTATAGAGACAGGCAAAGACGTTGTTCAAGATACCGAGTGGCTCGGGAAGCTTCCAAGGACCCCATACAAGGCCCTCTGCTGGGTCACATGCGTCCTCAGCTTTTCGGAAGCTCCCGGTACACCGTCTCCATAAGAATAATCCACACACTATCATGTAAGAGGAGTAGAGAGCCGCCACAACGAGAGACAAAAGGGCGGAGAGCGCTACGGCGGGTCCAAGAACAATTAACGATATGAGACTTGAGATGCCCATCGTAGAAAATATTGCGTAAATTGGTAAAGACGACCTCTTGGTAAGCTGTTAAGTACCTAGTTAGCATCGAGCACAGAAAAGTCGGTCGGGAGTTAATAACCTTAGCAAGATGGCGGGAAAATGGCAGTCCGTTGTCTCTCGAAAACGACCATATCATCCTTGAAGCTGAGGCGTATACCCCCACGGTACTTGCAGCTGCTAATATGAGAACGACAGAAGACATTATAACTGCTCCCGTGGTTGAGTTAACCCCGGACTGAAACACTTCCAAAAATGGATAGAACATCGTCTCCGCTGCCGCCATTGCAGCGTCGATATCGGTGATACAAAACATAAGAGCAATGGTCATGGCAAATGCGAGAGAGCCATTGATGAAAATGGTATAAACCAAGGCCTGGGGAACGACTGTAGCGGCCGACTGGATTTCTTCGGACATGTGTACAGCACAATCGGCACCTAGATATGATATATTAGACTAAGTCTATTCGTCGTGGGTTAGAAGTACGTTTACCTATCAATGTGCTGGCGATGGACGGAAGTCCTACAAAGAAGGTCAACCCCTGAGACCCCCAACCACCATTATCGAAAAAATCGGTGAACACGACAGACGCATCATTGTGCGGTGAAAAGTAAACTAAGGGCACCAGTATCCCAAAAAATCCTACTAAATGTAGGATAAGGATAACACCTTCAAGTCTTGCTAGGAAACGACCGGTTGTTGAGTTTATTAGCACCGCGAATAATATACTAGCCCACATAATGAGTAGTGTGTGCCATGGCAATGGAATATAACTTGGCCGTGCTAGAACGACGACGCCCTGGAGAGTTGTCGTAATGAGGTAACTAGTCGTTATAGCGATGGCCTGCCAAGCCAAGGTAGTCAGCCACGCAGTTAAGTAAGTGAGGAAGTTCGAGCAGGACTCTGGCGCCATCATGGCTACCCAGTGATCTATAAAAATTCGTTTTAGCAATAATTTGGGGTGACCTAAAATGGGATTTTGCCATACATTGTCCGCCTGCCGTCGGCGCAATCGAGGACAGTTCGGCCATCACAGTGTATACAGAGGTGATTCCTATCCAGCCGACCACAAACGTCCATATCACCACGGCTGGCCCTCCAGTCGTAAAACTTGGGACCGATGTCACCAATATCCCTTCCCAAGAACACAGCGCTGAACAGGACAGCCCGAGGATTGACATAAAACCAAAACTGCGATTGAGTAGTGGACGTCTACCTAGTCGAATCAGGACCTCGTCGTCGCTGTAAGTGGAAGCCCCCGGCTTTCGAGTTAAGCCGGATGTCGGCATACTATGAGAGGGCCTGGTTTGAAGCTCGATATCGTTCTTGGAGGCCATGGTCTATGTGCCTACTCTGTTTTTCAGAAAGGTAATCTTAATATTCAGGGGGGAAGGGACAAGTGGAATAAAATCGAGCAATTCATTTCGGGTTATAGCAGGTGGTTAACGTTCGGGTGAGTATGGGATAAAGAGAGACTCAGAGGGTCGTATTTCGGAGTTGGAGCGAAGCAAACAGGGGCGACCAATATCAGCTGAATGAAAGATACGAAAGTTTCACCGAGGACTAGACAGGCTTTGGGGATGTTTGTGTGACCTTATTGCATCTGGGTGGTGGCAGGTGAGCTATTGTACCAACCAACTTTGATCGATGCAGCAACCCTTTACCTAAGCCAAGATGGGTAGGTAACATGAGATATTAGGTAACCTAGGCTATCACTACGACATATATCCCTTACTTCAGAGGGTCAAAATATGGTAATATACGGGTAGTCTTCCTATATAGAATTCGCCATACGCTCAGTACGATCATACGTCTTGTTCGAGACAGCAATTCAGAGGGGGCAAGAATTATGGCGTCGGAGTCAAATCTGGATTCAATACTCCAGATGGCCACTTGGCTACTTCTGGCCATCATGTCTCTCATGCTATGCTTTCGGCAACTAACTCGATGCTTCATCAAAGCAAGCATACCTTTTTCTTGGGAAGATCTACTTGTTCTAGTATCATTCGTATGTCCGCCTTGTGGATATTGAAGAAAAAACACCCCATTAACTTTCAACTAAGGCTTTCGCATCGGGAGAGTCGGTCATCACGGTCATTCCGGGGAGCGAAATCTACGGCAAAGAAATTTCCATGATAACTACTCAAGAATTGAGACAAGGAAACAAGGTATGGTGCTTTCGGATTCTTGAAAGTACCCAATCGTACTTGCTAAGATTCATACACAGCTTGGACTTGCGCGAGATCTACTCTTTATCCTCAGTATTGGATTCTCAAAGCTGTCCGTCTACTTGAATTTAATTGCTTTATCCCCGAGTGCAACTCATCGACGAATGACACATAGTCTTGGTGGTTTGGTTGTAATATGGATGGCCACCTCATTAATTGGCACGGGATTTAAACACCCAGATATCATGTCATGCAATTCCAATATCGGCGGCGGTCATCTTGGTCAGGTAAGAGTTTATACATATTCGATTCCTGCATTGAAAAGTTGCCTAGGTAGTCGAGCTTACACAACAAAGCAAGAATTTCTCACGTATGTCGCTGTCATGAACATAATAACCGACTTCATCCTCATCGCTATTCCGATATGGATCATCTCCCCGCTGCATATGGCTTTGAATTTTCGAGTGGTCCTTGTTTCGTTTTATATAATAAGAGTCTTGTTCGTTTCCCACCCCTTCACCGAGATAAAACCACGCCCTGACCTAAGAAAGCGTCATAGTAGCTACGATCTGCCAGCTGGTTTACCTCCCTCGCCTATTCGAAGACGATCGCACATTGCTGTCCTTCCCTTACTACTTATGCGCTCAGATAGTACAATTCAATAGCTTCTCAGCGACCTGTGTTGTCTATTTTTGGCCTCTCCTCCGATCGGTTCAAAGTGGTCTGATGGTGGCCAATACTAATACAACGTTCACAGCCCAGTTTCCGCTCACGAAACTTTCTCATCAAACCTTCGAGAAGAGCGAATCAACAAAACGAACGACTGGTTCCCAAATCCAAGACAGAAGTAATTATGTCGAAATCACTACGGATATTGCTGTGTCTCGAGGTGGGCATGGAGAACAACCCCTCTCTACCGCCGACATATACAATTCTAGTTGGGAAAGATGAAATGCCATCGGGATCAAAACTTGAGGACACATATATGAAATTTCTATTTGTGTTTCATATAATAATATATCTACTCACCTAGGTACCTAGGTACACAACAGCCTGAATAATCAAAGTAGAATCATATTATACTATATATCTACTACAAATGTACCTCAGGTCCAAGCTATCCCTCAATTTTCATGAACTAGATCATCCCAACCATATTATTCGTCGGACTCGTCCACGATAGGAGCGTCTTTGATGAAAACAGCATCCACATCCCTGGCAATTCGGTTATCACGGTCAGATAGCCGATGAACAGTATTTGAGATTCCTAGGGATCGTTAGACATCTTCGGGGAGATAATATAGAACATTAGTGCGACATACCTAGAGCTAGCGTGGTGGCTAGCATACTGATGAACAGCCAGATGGCGAGTTTGGAAGTGCGAAGCATTTGTACTGTTTGGCAAGGTTTTTCTGAGAAGTGGCTAAGTGCGATTGATGATAGATATCGGCCGGTCTTTGCCAGTTCAAGGAGGCAGATGGATGTTTTTGTGTCTCAATACCTCGGTATCTTTTCTAATAACCAGGCTGCCGGGTTGAATCCCATGATAACCACCCCCCTATCTATAAAAGTGCATGCAGAATCCCAAAATACCTACCTAGGTAGGTAGGTAATTAGTTCATCCAATGTCAGCTGGCTTAAATGAAATCTGTGAAGTTATGTCTCCAACATCACCCTTGGGTGTTTGATTAACAGGAATTGAGACGCCTCCCCTTTTATTCTTACTCTCCCCAAGAGGCTTCTCTAGAGCTGTCAATAACATAGAGACGCTGGGGAAAATGGACCATTCACTTTCTTAAGGTACTATTTATCTGACTATTTCCTATGATCTTTTTATTTTAGACTTTATAAAGCCCTTATTGAATCACATCCGTTAACACGAACATGGACAAAGTTTTTGAGGACTCCTTTAACCCTCTCCTGACTGAAAAACATAACCACGAGGAAGCAAGGAAACCCAAAAACACAGGAATTTCATTAAAAGCAATAAATAATTGGTTCGATAGGAATATACTCCTTATCGGAATTTTATTGTCTCTGCTGTACATTGTCACAGGGTTGACGTACGTCATCCTCAATTCGACCCAATGTGAAAACAGCCAACAAGGAGCCGGTCACTTCAGTACGAATACCTCATAATTCAACCCAGATAAATCCCATTCTAATGTGACGTGATCCAGCCCTTCTCAGAGATTCATTGAAATTCGAACATCGAAAAGAATGGTATCCGTTACAATATCCATGGAACCAGCCACCTTCCCCTGAGCTGGATTCAACCTGGAACGACTTGCTATACGGTCAGTCTTGTCATCAAAACATGCTAGAGTATATCTAATCCATTTTCAAGCTTTGAATATACGGGTCTCTGGAGACGAGATGAGCAAGCTTGGGCTCAATACCACCAACAGAGTCCAAGTCAACCGTGGTGATTATTTCGGCGCTTTGGGCGTCTTCCACTATATCCATTGCCTCAACAACCTGCGCAAGGTCGTTCATTGGGATTACTACGGGCCGGAGATTGCGAGTTCTAGAAACGAAGAGGCATTTGGAAAAGAGCATTCTGGTCAGTACTGCCAGATTTCCAGCGTCTAATGTGGACCAGGTGCACATGAAGATACTGACGGAAACGGGGATAGACCACTGCATCGACGTACTTCGGCAAGTGGTAATGTGTCATGCGAATACACAGGTAAATACCGCAGAGTGGGTAGACGAGGACAACTCGCTAGGAGGCAAAGAACTGAGATCGGATTCTACGACAACTTGTGTGAAATGGGAAAGCGTGGATAGGTGGGCGCGCGCAAGAGCGCTAAGATCTGGGGAGTTCAGTTTCAGGCCCGGACCGTTCTACTTGGCCGAGGCTGGGGGAAAGTGATGTTGGGAGGTGTAGATGTAGCGTAAGGGGTGAAGAAACATGTGAAGTTCGGAGAAATGCATTGCTCTAATGCTGTGACACACTAAACGGTGCGGTAACAAGGAACAATAGGGGTGGTATCTATCCAATGGATTTAGTTAATTAATTTAAAATACGGAAGTTGTTACCTTCCAAGATGACAATAGCCCTTGCATCACAAGCCTTGCCGTCAGCTACTTGAACCACTTATCCCTGTCATTTCACTAGGGCAAAAATTCTTCGAGTTAAAAGATGGAAGAGTAAATACCCAAGTACTAGGTACCTAATCATAAGTAGAAGGTAGCAGTATTTCTATATGTAACTTAAAAAGTTTGGAAATATCGTGTTGGCTAGGTTAAGGGGTTCTGGTAGATCGAGATCCCGAAAGAATCACTAAAAAGATCATCATTGGATACGCTGGGACAGAATTGCAGCTAGCTCTAGGGCTGCTGGATTCCAATAAAACAACCCCGCAGCCAGGCTGCATATCACTGTAGGACAGGCGGCAACGGTAAACTGTAGTGATTTTTACAGCTACGTTACCAGTAATCTAATAGGGGTTGCCACAGCCCCGCGAACCTTTTACCGCTGGTATTCTCCGCGCTGCTTCGTCTTTTTCCAATGACAAACTTTTCTATAAACTACGTTACCTTGTATTTCATTTCCTACTCAATCACTATTAGAACAAATTCTTCCATTCTTATCACATCTATATCACTATTAAAAATTACAACATGGACAGCCCTCCGGGACGCGAAGGTGAAGTGGATTTCCCGGCACCCGGGGCGTCGAAGCCCTGTAAGACATGGTACAAGGTCTTCGGCGAGCTGGACTCGCCACCTCTCATTGTTCTACACGGCGGTCCAGGTGCCGGCCACGAGTACATGATCACACTGGTTGACCTTTATGAGAAGCACAAGATCCCGATCGTCTTATATGATCAAGTCGGTTGTGGCCGCTCCACGCACTTTCGGGAGAAAGCTGGCGACGAGTCGTTCTGGACAATGGACCTCTTTATCGCCGAACTTGATAACCTGGTCGACCATCTGCAGTTGCGAGAGGTCGGGTTCTCTGTTCTTGGCCAGAGCTGGGGTGGAATCGTTGTCGGCGCCTATGCGTCGCGCAGGCCGAAAGGTTTAAGGAAGCTTATCATTGCCGGTGGGCCTGCAAGCTTGCCCTTATACTCGGAGGGATGTAAGTATCTTCTTTCTCAGCTGCCACCAGACGTGCGGCGCACCATCGAGGAATGCGAGAGCAAGGGCGACTACGAAAGCGAAGAGTTCCAGAAAGCTAGCGCCGTATTTTACGCACGCCACTTCTGCAAACTAGACCCGTTTCCTGAGCCTGTCCAAGTCGGATTTAGACACTTAAAGGAGGACCCGACGGCGTATCTCACTATGTAAGTACCTAACCCACGTGTAGTTACCCAACCCCATGTGAAGTTAGACATTGGCTTACTAGACTCCTTAGGCAGGGACCTTCGGAATTCACCATCGTGGGTAGTTTCAAAGACTGGGAGCCGTGGAAGGAGGCACACAAGATCGAGGTCGAAGCACTGCTTATCAACGGTGATCAAGACGAGGCGATGGATCTTTGCATCGAACCCTGGTTTAGGAGTATTGCCAAAGTCAAATGGATCACGCTGAGCAATTCCAGCCATATGACTCATTGGGAGCATCGCGATAGATTTAATGACCTCTGCGGAACGTTCCTCTTGAGTAAATGAGAGCCAAAAGTTTCGATGTTATATGAGGATATTTCCGAGGTAGGTACCTTACATACAACTTCGGCCAACTAGACATAACTTCTGATATCTCGGTCAGGATCTAGATATGCGTATATCGGCCTTCTCGGCCGAAATCTTTTGGAATGCACCCATAGTTGTACCGATTAAAGCCTGTGAGGGGCGGTGTAATGGATGTAGCTAATTTCTGACGCGTGCCCAAATATCAACCCTCCCTCAACTTTGAAATTTATGACGAATCATACATCTAAATCGATTTTATACCCTCCTTTGTTGGCGTATATTTCCTACGAGTACCTAGACCTAGTCTTCTTAAGCCGCCTGATATCGTAATGTAGCCCAACCAAGTGGATTCAACGCCGCATAAGCACAGACGGCCGATTCGACCTGTCCATTCACGGAGACTCAAGTATTGTTGCAAAGGGAAATAGTTCAACTAAGTCGACATGGCATATTGACATAGTGAGCCATAGCCATCGCTGAAAGATCAGGTATAAAACTCAGTAAGAAACCAGCAGGTTTCCAACATCACTCTCACTAAGTTCTTCAATGCCAATTCATACCAGTAACATCAGCCATGGCCGGACAACAAGTTATAAAATATACAGCTGAGCACCACCGAAAAGAAGGCATCCCACCAGAAGCTTTCTTGAAGTGGTTTCGGGAAGAACACCTCCCCAATGGTCTTCCAATTTTGAAGAAATACGGTATCACCAGATATGCCGTCGTAAGCTGTCACACGAGGATTAGTGCCAAGTATTATTAGTATCAGGATAAATACTATTGGATAATTATATATTATATCATTGGAGACATAACTGATTAAAAGGATATGTTAATACATAAAGGAGTTATATATTAAAGATGTTATATAAAAATTAATGTTAAGTATTATTAATATTAAGATAAATATTATTAAATAATTATATATTATATTATTAAAAATATAATTAATTAAAAGAATATATTAATGTATAAAGAAGTTATATATTAAAGTTAATACGAAATTTTTAAACATTTAAAACTTAATGTAATTTTAACGTTTATTAAATAAATTATTATTAAATAAAAACGTAAATTCTTTTTTAAAAAAAGAAAAAAGAAATTATAAACTTTAAAACTTTAAAAAATTATTATATTAATTTTAAAATATTATTTTAAGCTTTTATATTAACCCTTATTATAAATAATTTTTTTTTTTTTTAAAAAAAATCCGTATTCGAAACTCGCACGTATTACCGAATAAATATTTTCCCATTATTAATTAACATTTTAATTTAAAAGCCACTATAAATTTTATATAATAATTAAAAAATTAACTTTTTATAAACTTATAATTAACCTTTAAACTTTTTTTACGATTTTTTTTAATAAATATTATTATTTTTTATCGTGTTATTATTTAAAAAAATACTTTATTTTAATATTTTTATATACGTTTAATTTACGTACCGTTAATAAATACTTCGACCTTTTAAATTATTAAAAAATTTAAAACTATTAATAATAATTTACATTTTTATAAACGCGTAAAACCGTTTTTTAAACGATTATAAAATAATTTTTAACTTTACACTTTTTTATTCTTTAAAAAATAATTTCCTGTTAAATTAATAAACGTTAAAAAATTATTTATTAAAACTTTTTTTAATATAAACATTTTTAATTTTATATTCGAAAACGTTTTAATTATTTATTAACCTTAAAACTTCGAAGTTATAATATACGATATTTTTAATATAAAAATTACTTAATTTTAAATCTTTAATTTTTTTATATAACTACGTGAAGTTTATTAATAAATAATTAATACGTATTATATTATTCGAATTTTAATTTTTTTTTATCGACGTTTTTTATCGTTTAAATTAAAACGAAATATACCGATAATATAATATTACGTATATCGTTTATAATACGGTTATATATTTAATATATATAAATATAATAATATTAAAAAATTAAATTACATAATTTAAATAATAAATTTATAACGTTAACGATAAATTTTCATAACGTATTTAAATTATTATTATTAAATATACTTAAAATAATTAAATTCGTTAAAAAATTATTAACTAACTCGTTTATATAATAAAATATTATAAATAAGTTTTTTATTTTTTTCATGTAAACCTTAAAAAATAAAAAACATTTTAATAAAAAATAATTTCTTAAATTATTATTAAAAACTCGTAAATTAATAAGTTTTTAATTAAAAATTTTATTAATTTTTTTTATTTTAATAAAATTACTTATAAATAATTTAAAGATTTACGAGCTTATATTTAAGTCGTTATTAATAAATTTCGCATATAATTTATTCGTAATAAAAACGTTAATATAAAATTTATATTTAATAATATTTAAAAACGTGTAGTTTTAATTTTATTACCACTTTTTACCTTTAAATTTTTAACCATTCGAAGTTTAATTTTTTTTAAAATATTATTTAAATATTTTAATTTCGAAGTTTAAATAAAATTTACGTTTACTTTAAAAGCTTTTTAATAAAATTAAATATATCGTTAATTAATTAACGTTTACGTATAATTTAATTTTATTCGAATAAAACTTTTTATAATTAAAATTAATAAAAAAAAAATACTTTTTTTATTTCGTTATATATTCGAAGCTTTAAAAGATTTAAATTTTAACCCGAATAATTCGAATAATAATAACTTTTAAAAGTTTTAAACTTTTAAATATTTATCCGGTTTTTTAAAAAAACCGCCCCGTTCGTTTTTATTTTTTTACGATGGTAATAAATTAAAAAGTAATAATAATTACGATTAAAAAAATAAAAATTATTTTCTTCGGGTTATCGAACGTATTATTAAAGCATTAATTATAATTATAATTAACTTTATTTATTTTAATAAACTTACCACTTATAATAATAAAAACTTAATTAAATTTAAATTATAACTTATAAAAGTAAAAATATATTTAAAAATTTATATAATTAATTTTTTTAATTATTTTTATTATATTAATTAAATTAAATCGTTATTTATTAATAAAACTTAATTATAACATTAATAATAAACTAATTAAATTAAATAATTAAAAGCCGTGAATATTTAAAAAAATTATCGCGAAGTTTTTAAAAAACGTTTTAAAACTTTTTTTAAAAAATATCGTAACTTTAAAAAAATATATAAACTTAAATATTAAAAAAATATAATTTAATATATTACGAAATTAATAAATTTTAATAAAATGGTTTAATAATTAAAAATTACGTTTTAAAATTATATCGTAAAAACTTTTTTTAATAAAATTATTAAATTAATATATTTTTATTAAAATGTAATTTTAAAAATTAATAATAATTTTATTATTATTATTTAAAAAATTAATTAAATATATAAAAATATATTAATTAATTTAAGTTTTTTATTAATAAAAAGCGAATTTACTTTAACTTTAAAACTTTTAAAATTAAATTAACTTAATCGCGAAAAAAAAAACCGTTTTAATTCGGGTTAAAATTAATCTTTAAAAAACCCCGGTTAAAGTAAAAATAATAAAAAACTTAAACTCGACTTTAAAAATAAAAAATAACTTAATAATAAAAAAGTTTTTAAAAAAATTAAATAATTAAATATTAATTAATGTAAAAAAAATAAAAAAACTTATTAAAAATACGGTAAAAATAATTATTAAACTTTCGTTTATTTTATTAAAAAAAATATTAATAATAAAAAATTATTATCGAACCCGAAAAAAACCTTTTCCGTTAAACGATTTCGAAATAATATAAAAAAAACTATACCGCCACTTTAAAAAAAAATTAAAATTAATACGATAATAATTAAAACCTTTTACTTTAAAATTTTTAAACTTAATAATTTTAATAATAAATCGAATTTTTAAATAACTTTTATACCGTATTTTATAAAAATTCACGGCCGAAATTAAATAATACCCCCCGTATCGACGTTATTAAACGCCTTTTTAATAACTTAAATAATCGAATACTTAAACGACTTTATAAAAAACTTAAATTAAAATAAAAACTTATCGTAATAATAATTTTATTTTATAATAACGAAAAACATTTTATTCGTATTTTACTTAATACCGAAAACTCGGTTTTTATATTTTTTATATTTAAAATTAAAACATAAAAATTACCTTTAATTAAACGATTAATTTTACGCTTTATAACGGCTTTTAATAACACTTTAATATAAAAAAACGAACGTTATTATTTTAAAGCTTTAATTTTACGTTATTAAAAAAATTATTTCACTCGTTTAAACTTTAAAATTAATATTTTAAATTTTAATTATAATATTTTTTTTTCGTAATAATAATTAAAAAAATATTAACTTTTATATTTTTTTAATTACTTTAAAAAGATTTAATTTATTTTTAATTATTACCGTTATAATTATATTAATTAAATTATATATAATTCGAACCGCGCCGTTAAATTAATTATTATAATTTTATAAAAAAATATTTAAAAAATATTATCTTTAATTTCGAAAAAGTTTTATAACTTTATCTTAATTATAACCCGAAAAACCGGGTAACGATTTCTTAATTATTAACTATAAAACCATATTATTAATTTTAAAAAAAACGTAATACTTTTTTAAAAACTTTTATACGTTATAAATAAAAAAAAACTTAATACATTAAAACTTTAATTAAAAAAAATGTTAAATTTAAATAAAATTTAAAAGTTTATTTTTACTTATAACGCTTTTTTAATATTTATAAATAAATTTAATTTAAAAAACTTTTTTTAATTTATAATTAATTATCGAAAATTTAACGTTATTATTATACTTATTCGTTACTTTTTATTTTTTATTTTTAAATTATAAACACGGTTTCATATAACTAAATAATTTATTAAAATTAACTTTAAAATAAGTTTTAATTTAATTTATATCCGAAAAAATAATAAATAAAAAACAACTTTTTAATATAAATACGGTTTTTTTAAATATTTAATAATGTTTTTTAATTTTATAAACGTTTTTATTATTTTTTAAATATATATAAATAATATTTTTCGTAATTTAATCGATATTAATTTTTTAATATATTTAAATAATTTTTTAATTTACGCCGATATACGTGAAAAATATAATGTTTTAATTAAAAAAATTTTTAAATAATTTATTATTTATAACTTTATAATTAACCCTCGTAAATGTTATTAAACCATTTACGAAATTAAATTCCTTAATTATATTATAAAAACTCGTGGTATTTTTATATTTTAAAATAAAATTAAATATATTTAAAAATGAAAAGTTTTTCGAAACTTAAAAAAATTATAATAATTTATTAAGTTTACGAATTTTTATTAACGGTTTATTAAATCGTTTTTATATATAATTAAACTTATTACGAACGTAAATAAAAAAAATAAAAAAAATTAAAAATAAATAAACGAAATATAAAAAGCTTTTAAAAAACTTAAGAAACGTTTTATTACCGTTTTAATAATAATTCATTTTAATTTTAATAAAGTAACGTTCGTTAAAATTAATACGTCCGATTTCGTTATCGGTATAATTTTATTATAAAAAAATAAAAATAATAAACTTCGTCCCGTTATTTTTTATTTTTATAAATTATTTTTAACGAAAATAAACTACGAAATTTATAATAAAAAATTATTCGTTATTATTAACGTATTTTAACGTTAATATTAATATTTTAAAAATGTTAAATATTATATCGAAATATATTTTAATTATTAAAATTTATTTTATTTTATTACCGTTAAAATTTTAAATAAACGATAAATTAAATAAATATAAAAATTATTTATTTTCGTATTTATTATTAATTATCGCTTTAAAAAATAAAACGATAAAGCCGATATTTTTTTTCGATTATTATAATATCGCTTTAAAAAAAAAAAAATTAAAAATTAATTAATTATTTCGGTTTTATAAAAAAAACATTTTTCGCATTCTATTAATTTATTATTCCCGGTTTTTATAACGGTTTTATATATATTTAAAAAGTTTTATAACTTTATTATTTTAAATTAAATACCGGAATTTATAAATAAAATAAAATAAATAATTTTAAAAAACTTTAAATATTTTAATTTCTTTATTTATTTTTTAAAAAACATAAAAATACGAAATAAATTATTTTATCGTAAATACCGCTTTTATATTTTAACACTTTTATAATAAAAAATTATTAATTTTAAATATAATATTTAAACTACCGAATATATAAATATAAATAAAACCTTAAAACTTATTATACGAAACTTTTAATAACTTAATATTAAAATTTTAATAAAAAATTTCGTTAAAAATTACCACGAATATTAATAAAATAAAATTTTTAAGTATATATTTTACGATTTTTTATAATTTATAAAGTTTTATTATAAACCTTAATATATTATTATAATAAATTTTATTATAAACTTTCCCTTATTAAATAAATATAACTTTATTTAAGTTATTATTAATTTATTTATTAAAATAAGTTATTTTATTTTATTAAAAATAAACGAAAAAAAAACTAAGGATTTAATTAAAATTTTCATTAAGAAATATTAAAAATTATATAAAGTTTTTTTTAATATCATTTTTAATTAAAACTTTAAATTTATAACTTATATTTAAAAAAATTTCCTTAAATTAATAAATATTAAGTTACGTATAAATATTACGTTTTATTTTTAAATTAATAATTAAATTAAATAACTTAATTAAACTTTTAAAATTTACTTTTAAACGTTCGTTAATTACGAAATAATTAATTAAAAAAACTTTTTACTTATCGTTAAATTCGTTTATAATAATATAACTTTTTTATTTATATATTTTATACTTTTTTATATTAATTATAATTATTACTTTACCGTTTATAACTTTCTTTTCGATACCCTTCGTAACTTATTTAATCGACTTTACGTATATTAAATAATATAAATATATTAAAAAACGTAATAATATTTTAAAAAAAACCGGTAAAAAATAAAAAAATAAACTAATAAACGTCGAAAAAATACGCCCGTTTATAAAAAATAATAACTAATAATATTAAATACACGGAATATTAAAACTAAACGACCGGTTAAAAAACTAAATAAAAAAATATTAAAACTTTTTATAATTTAAAAAATAATTTCCTTTATCGTTATTAAATTAACCTTATTTAAAAGTTAAAAAATTTATAACTTATTTTATATTTCGTTTATTAAACTTTACCGCGTTAATAATTAAATAACCCTTAACTTTAATTAAATTTTATAAAAAATAACCTTAATTAAAACAAAAAATTATTAAGTAAATAAAATTATAAACTCCTTAAAAACTTAAAAAAAAGTAAAATATTTAATTAAATAAAAAAATTAGCCGGCTAAAAAATATTAAACTTAAAAACTTTACGAATATATATTTAACGAAAAAATTAAAGTTATTATTTTATAATTTCATTAATAAAACTTCGAAAAACCTCGAAACCCTTAAGTTCCGGTTATATAAAATTATTTAAAAACGAATATTAAAAAAAGAAAAATTAATATTACACGAAAATTAATATTAAATATTATTAATATTAAAATAAATATTATTAAATAATTATATATTATATTATTAAAAATATAATTAATTAAAAAAACATATTAATACATAAAAAAATTATATATTAAAAATATTACACGAGGATTAATATTAAATATTATTAATATTAAAATAAATATTATTAAATAATTATATATTATATTATTAAAAACATAACTAATTAAAAAAATATGTTAATATATAAAAAAGTTATATATTAAAGTTAACACGAAATTCTCGGGCGTTTAAAACCTAATATAACTCCAACGCTTATTAAATAAATTATTATTAAATAAAAACGTAGATTCCCTTTCGAAAAAAGAAAAAAAAAATTACAGACCTTAAGACCTTAAAGAATTATTACATTGATTTCAGAATACTATTCCAAGCCCTTATATTAGCCCTTATCACATAAGCATTCCCATTCAATACAACTACATTATACCCTAAACTAGTTGGCTAACACACCATCACAAATCTAGCATACCAGACTTCCAGAGAAGTGTGCCGCATTCCGAGCTGACCTGGACAAGGTGGAGCTGTCATGGGTGATTAGCGAAGCCGACCTCGTCCTCGAGTACTGGTTGCCCAGCCTGGATGTTCTTAAAGAGCTTCATGATGATCCTGAGTGGAATGAGAAGGCAGTCAAAGGTCAGGACAACTGGCTCGATTGGTCTAAAACACTGGTTCACATTGGTTATGAGACTGTGTACATGGACAACGGGAATATCTTCAATATTTGAATAGGGGTAAAAGGGATGAACCCAAGTATAGGTACTCTTTGCGATAATAACGCCACTAATATTAAATTTCCATCATAATACATCCGAATAAACCTGAAATCAACGTGAAAAAGCCGCTGACCGTTCTGGATCTCATAATTGCCGCGGTAGGAATATTGATGATACACCCTAACGCAGCTTAGCAGTCGCCTGCAAGCGTGATTTCAACCACTCCATCTATATGCACCCATAAAAGAAGGACCCGAACCCGCAAATCCCCCCATCATTCACCCCCAACTCAAAGAAAGCGAACCCCTCTACCCCTATTCCCAAAACCACCACACCTCCACCCCCCAATCACCCATCACACAGCGCGATGAAACCGATTAGCAAGATGCGCCTGCAACCCCTCCTCCTCCGCCGTCAACCTCTCCCTCGGGTCCCCAGACTTCAAATACGGGCCATCAAACCCATCCCCCTTAACCTCCTGCCTACACGCATAAACCGCGTACCGACCCGAGCCATCGCGTCCGAAAAGCTGGAGACAATTATCCATATCGACCCAATACGCCAACCCATCACCGTCCAACCGCGGGGTCTTCATAACGTACTTCTCCCCACTCGCCTCGCGCATCCGGCGCGTCAGGGCGGGGAACTCGCCGTTGAAGAACGTCATGACCTGGATATTCGCCGCTTCGGCGGTGCTGTACGTGCCCACGATGCCGGTCTCGGGGGTCTTGGCTCTCCAGGTATTTTTCGTGAAGCCGACTACGAAGACGGCTGGTATACCTGGGATAACCCGAGGCTGTCGAGTCGGCTTCATGACTGCGTCGAATATTACCCCTGAGTAGATCTGCTCGAGATACTCCATGGGAGTCGGTCTCCGACGACCCAAGGGCGCGGCGGTGTTGGTGTGTGTTCTCGCCTCCCCGTATTTCGGGATAGACGCGAGGTTGATTATTCTTCCCTCGCCTTCCTCCCGCTTGCCGCGGTTGCGGACAGGAGCGGGATACGGCTCCTGTGAGTGTGAAGCTATGCGCTTCTTAGGGGGGATCTTAACCATTTTTATATAATTACCCGACAAATTTTGCTTTTTTATATTAATTTATTTACGCAGATGTATAGGCGGTTATAAATAGATGAGGCGAGTCTGCGAATTCCAATTCTTTGTTCGCGTTTGCCAATGTTTTAGTGGTAAACCACCTGAGTCAAGGAGCGCCTAGCTAAGAAGTGGCATATGCTAGTCCGTGCTTCGACGGCGTCACTTAGCTCCGTTGACGTGGCAACAAACGTGACCGACAAGAGGAAATATAAATCAAACTCTCTCGATCAACATCAATAATGTTGCGTTTGTAGAGTTGTACGAATTAGCAATGTTATATGCGAAGCCGTTTGGATTATGTAATTGTCATTGAGGGGGGGTGCAGCGATTAGGGGCACGGGGCAATGCTTGCAGGCGCTGTAATTCAGCCACTACAGGTCTCTAGTGACGCCACATATATATAACTTACCCCTTTTACCTTTTTACGTAAGATCATAATCCAAAGGATATCAACGAGATGAGCATTAATACAAAGTTACAATTGTTCTATTCATTCGTTCCTACTAGGCGTACGCCTCTAGTCATTAATTCCTTTTCAATGCCCCACAACACCACCTGCAGCCCATTGTCCAAACTCCGGACCGCCGGGTTGCGGGAACAATCCGCCTTGCCCTTGCGGCAACGGTTGCTGCTGCTGCTGCTGCTGCTGTTGTTGTTGTTGTTGTGGCACCGCGGCTACACCACCGCCGAGTTGTTGTTGCTGCAGTTGAGCTTGTCTTGCTGCATTTTCCTCGGCTTGTCGGTGGGCTTGTTGTCTCCTTGCACGGTAATACATCAGGAATATTATAGCGCCGACGAGGCCTAGGATTATTATACTCTCGATCACGCCGTCTACTTCATCATATTCATCACCCAGGGCTTCGCCATCGCTTCCCGTGATCGTACCATCGTCGTAGAAATAGTCGTCGTCATAGTACAAATCATCTTCTTGGAGGAAGTTGGCTATCCACTCGCTAAGCGACCAATCCTTCTTAGGTGCTATTAAGCGCGTTAGCATATAGGTAAGTAGATAGGTGGAAGGAAATACTGGACATGAATAACTTACATGGTTCGTCTTGAATCGAATTAATCCGACCGTGCGTGAAGGTGTTCCAAGCAGAACGGGCTCGCAGCTTTAGGAGGCTCAGAGTGACTGGGAGATAAGCCTCCTCGTTAGTCTCGAGGGCTTGGTCGTAATATCTCTTGGCGAGGTGGAAGTCTTGGGTCAGACCGACTCCGTTCTCATGCATCCAACCAAGATTGTAGAGAGCTTGTGCGCTCTGGAAATATTCGGAAGCTCCCGTATAACATTGGGCTGCCTTGTCAAATGCGACTTCGGTACCGATTCCGGATAAATAATAGTCGCCCATTTTCACAAGCGAATCAATGTTTGATTGTATGGCAGACCTGGTCCAGTATATCAACGCTAAAGCCGAGTTTTGGAGTAATGTAGGCTTCGGCGGTTGGCGTCTGACCCAAGGCGGTAGAGGGAGTCGCGACTGGGTGGGATCTAGCATGAAAGCAACATTGTTTTGTGCCTTCTCATATCCTTGCTCTGCAGCCATGAGATAGTCGAGGAAGGCCAATTCATAATCACCATCTTCATATGCTTGATTAGCCTCCGTCCAAGATGACACCAACGGCTCGGCCCTTTCGGCGACGTTCTTGTAGTAAGCCATAGCCATGCCACAAGTTTTATCTCGTCCAACTCCGTGGTGAATCATCTCGGCTAGATAATACTGCGCCTCGATATTAGCCCATCGGGCAGCGGCCTCGAAATATGAGTTGGCGATCTTCAAATCATCAGATGTACCTTGATCTAGATGAAGAGCTCCGAGTGCGACGTGGGAAAGGCTGAAGTCCTGGTCTGCCGAAGCCTTGAATAATTCAGTAGCCCTCGAGACATTCTTCGGTAGACCTAATCCATGAAGATTCATAATTCCTAGACCCCATTGGGACTGAGCATCTCCATGCTTGATTCCGCGCTCAAACCAACCTCGGGCTGCCTTAAAGTCCTGTCTGACACCCTCCCCACGTAGCCACATTCGCCCAATGTAACCAGCAGCCTTACTAGCGTACTTCTCCAACTGGGGTTTTGGCTGATCGACAGTGCGACCATCCTTTTGGCGCCAATACATTGTTGTTACAGCGGCGAAATATCGTCGAGCAAGGTCAACGTTACGGTCCAGGCCACGCTGTCCTTCATAGTAGAGCCTTCCCAAATTAAACGAAGCCTTGAAATCCCCTTTTTGGGACATCAGGTCGAGATATTCGATTACATCATCGATGGCGGCATAAGCATCCGAGTTCGGACTCGCCTTCAAAGCGTTGATACCAGAACTGACAACGCTAGCGCCCTCGCCGTAGACTCCACCAACCTCATCAGAAAGTCGGTACGCCTCTGGTGCGAGAGCCATTCCTCCAGGCGGCCCCGATCGAAACCAGGCCATAGCCTTATCAGCCACCCTCTTGTAGTATTTAGAAGCCGTCTCACAACTCTTGGGTACGCCGATGCCATTGAAATGGCGGGCCGCAATAGTCATTTCCGATCTCGTGTGTCCTGCGTCGGCGGCAAAGGTGTGATATAGAAGAGCTTTTGCTTGATCCCGTTCCACCGCATCTCCTAGTCCTGTCGCATAGATCAATCCCACCATATGCTGCGCAGAGCTGTTTCCATACGATGCTAGTCGGTAGTAGTGATCGAACGCAGTCTTGAAATTTCTTGGGTGTGAGTAGTTTCCGAAGAAATTGAATTGCGCCAAGAGGTAGATCGCATCGGTATTGTTCTGGTCGGCTGACTGTTGAAGTAGCTTAACACCCTCGAGGAGAGGGCCGCTGATGACGGGCGTCGCATGTTGTTCCTGTGGAGGAGCGCTGGCTCGTAGGCTCGGTAAAGCTTTTGCGACATATTGGAAGAGTGCGCCGAGGACACCGCCTTGCTTCTTCGTCTTTCTATGCAACGGCGTTTTAATCTTTCGAAATTCGGCCGTCGCTTCGTGGACAAGCTCCCATCCTACGTCATGTTAGAAATGTATCCTGTATATAATTCGCCTACCGGTTGCACGGCTATAGAGGCTTACCATTTTGGTAGGGAGCCCATTGTTGTGTGCTTTGGACAATGTCGGTCTCGGTTGCTGGATTTAAACTCGTAGTTGTTATATCCTCTTTACTAACTTCCAAAACCTGCTGCTCCGCAGCGGATACAGATGCGACAGTCTGCAAGAGCACTGTTGGGAACGAGGATTAGCTTGAGTCGAGCTTCGAATTGTGTGGGATTTGTCATGCGAAACATACGAAGCGCCGAGACGAGAAATCGCCTCATTGTGTAAAAAAGTCCGTTAGGAACAAAATTGTGAATACTGTAATAATTTCATGATCTCCAGAAGAGGTCAGTATTTATGTACAGAGAAAGGGAAGAAAGGGAAAGTGGTTGGGGAAGGAGGTTATCGTTCCTCATCTATCGTGTGATATATTAAAAGAAAGGCCTAAGTTGGAACTTACAAGCTGTCCAGATCGTCTTAAACAAACGCGACCTCAGCCCTGGATGAAAGAGCGGCTTGCTTTTGATTGGTTTATTACACGCCACTTTATGTGGGGCATCCGGGATTGTCTCTCTCAAGCTTTACATGCACCCCACTAAGAATTTCATCAAACTTCAACAGCGAGCAAGAGCTTTGCACTTGATCAAGAATATTTCAAGTTAATCAGCCTCACATACAATATTTCTTATATAAAGACATCACGGAAGACCTTAGTAAATATTTCAGATCCGAAGTCACAAGTAACTTACCATCACTTATACCTGCAACCGAAGGTAAGAGGAAACATTATGTATTCTCTCACTTTATTTGGCGGATATAAGATCCCCCTGCGCTCGGAAGTATACGTTCTTGATATCATTCCATTCACAACAGGTCCAGGAACAATTTCTTCCGACCAAAAGCTATCTCTATTCGACCCTACAAATCTAAACGTAGGGCCATTAGTCGATCTTGTTACAAGACATGGTAACATTACTTGCGCCAAAGCCTTCGACGTGGATGATAAAATTGTATGTACAACAGGCGAGAATGGAAGCGTATCGATGTGGGATCTGAGGGCAGATGCGCGACAGGCCGAGGTGGCCAAGTTGACAGGTTCGTTTGTGGAAGACTGGTGGTACGTTATGTATATTATGAGCATACTACTAAGATATAATATAGATAATCAAGTCCCAGTCTTATCTCTGGCATGCTCTAGTGCAGGTTTCTCAGTCGTAGCCGGGACAGAACTGCAGGACCACCAAGCATCTATATTAGTATGGTAAGTAAATCATCATAAGGGCCATATTTATCACAATACACTTACACCTAAGAATCTAGGGATGTCCGGTCAACGCCCACTCCAAAGCTTCACTATAAGGAGGTCCATAGTGACGATGTGACAGAGGTTTGTATTGAGTGCCGCCGAGAGTAAGTCATCGTAGGCTAATACTTCGTAGTTAAATTTCCACCCTAGCGACCACAACATTCTCCTATCGGGATCGACAGATGGCCTTGTAAACATCTGTGATACGAGAATCACTGATGAGGACGAGGTTGTGATCCAGACTTTTAACCATGATGCCTCCATCCACCATGCAGCATTTCTAAACGACACCGAGGTGTTTGCTCTCTCTCACGATGAAAAGCTTGCCCTCTACAATGTGGCCGAAAGTCATGAGAATGGAGCTGCGACAACTAATTTCGGAGATATGAGAGAGGTCCTAGGCTGCCAGTACATCGCCAACATATTCGCGAAATCGAATGGTGCCGGAGCCGTAATAGGTGCAGGTACCCATGAGTGAGTTAATCCTAGTCTGGAACTGACATTGCATTCGTATTAACCTTGAGCCATGTAGTCGGGAAACATTTGAGATGATCCATTTAACAAAAGGCGAAGGCTGGAACTTAGATCGAGAAAACAGCGTGAGCCTACCAGGAGCCCATTCGTCAGAGATTGTCCGAAGCTTCTGCTTCTACGATAATGCGCAGATGATGTTTAGTGCTGGCGAGGATGGGTACATTAAAGCATGGATTCCATAATTATATCCGCGTCCTTCAACCGTATTTGTCGTGCTTGTTTTTAGTCTTCAAGTCTAGCAACTGTTCGTGGTAGTCGCCTTCCCTTCTCGCCCTCTTTAGATTTCGGACTTCATCCTCTTCAAGCCGCCTACCTACAGCCTCCTCTAGTTCCTTTCGGCTGATCTTCTCTTTCGCTTTCTCTTCTTTCGTTGCCTTGATTCGAGGCTTGAACCGAGCTTGCATGCGAATCCTTAGTGTTGTATCAAAGCTGATCTCTGTAGCATCTCCACGGACTTCAGGTGTACTATTTGCCTTGGATGACTCCTTGGTCGTCAAAAATGTATCCCTTTGTGTCTGAATCTGGAACGTGCCCGGTGTGTCAGCTGTCGCAATCACCGTCCATGTCTCGAAACTGGAGATAGCTTCAGATGTCGCACTTAAGATACCGTACTGGTCGCAGCTCAGGTACCTAGATAGAAGGCAAGTTAGACTCAGACATAGAAATGTAGATGAAGAATGCAATGAATACATACTTTCCATAGCGACCCTTGAACCTGAAAAATTCCGTACCGTGAATCTTGTTCGCAATCCATACCTGACGGACATCATGCGGCTCGGCACTGGCAGGGTTCGCATCGATAATGTTCACGATAGGGTCAGTGAAAATCTTCCCATTGGCATCGCAAGCTAAACATGTCGGGGGTTCTGTCGGAAGTACGAAGAGAATTGGGCCTTGAATATCGCCTACTACATCAGCCGAAACCCAAGTATCGTCATTCTCTACATTGTCTGCTGTCGTAGCCACCACTGCTCCGCTAGGACCTGCATTTTCAGCAGAAGGATCTGCTTCAACACGCTTTCTCTTCTTATGCTTCTTGTCGCCTTTAAAGCTTAATGGTTTGACCATATTGAGTCACTTAGATCGTGACCTGGTGGCAGAGGCGTTATTCGATACGAGTGTTGCTTCGCAAATGTAACAACGTAACAAGCTTGGAAGTTGTTATTGTTAGAATGAAGCTTTGATCAAACCCCATAGCTGAGGTCGATAACAAAACGCGCTAGCGACGCTCCCGACGCTAAATTATTTAGGGTTGCCCCACTAACATCTTCCAGAAACAGCCCTAGAGCTCCCCTAGAAAATGGATCCTATTCTGCTTCTAGCCTCATGGAATATAGATTGATGAAAGGAAGTCTGAATGATTACTTCACTTATAAATTGATATCTGCCTAGATAGATAGATTTTTCAGTTTAGTAAACTACCTAACTAAAACCTTCAAATCATACTAGGTATGAAAGTCTCGACATGTAACTAGTATCATTGAAGTATAATAAGCCTGAAGTTAAACAGACGCCATAATCGCAGGAAGTGCCTACCACAATGCGGAGAGCGCCGATTTGGGGTTGGCACCTGCCTCTGTTAGTTTAACCCCGACGATATCCTTAGGGCGAAGCTTTCATTCTCGATATCATATCAGCAGTTTATTTCTCTGTAGCCCAATATATGTACTCCCTCAAACTCATTATCGTAACTCACTTATTATTCCTTGAAACTTGTATGACGATCGATCATGGCGACAGCGCAACCAGTCGTAGTATCATTGGCCGATTTGAAGAGTGGTAAGTGTTATAACGCCGACTAAGTGATAATCTCAACTTCTTACAATCTAGGGAACATCTCTTTTGAGACACTACAAGAGGCATTCGGTCCAGACTCACTTGGTATCCTCGTTGTCAAAGATGTGCCCGCAGAGTTTGCACAATTAAGACATCAACTTTTGTCTTACGCCTCGTACATGGGGAACTTATCAGAAGCAGACTTTGGTATGTCATAGTTCATAGACGGTAACTTCTATGTCCCGGAAAATCTCTAATGAACCCCAGAGAAGTTCACGAATGAAGCAGCGAAGTACCTCGTAGGGTGGTCCAAGGGGAAGGAGAAACTCAAAGATGGAAGCGCAGACGAATATAAAGGATCCTTCTACGCCAACTGTGCATTCTACATAGATCCAACTTTGGAATCGGCCGAACCTACGGAAAAGTTTCCTTTAGATAAGTTTCCAGAGTACCTAGCGCCGAACTCATGGCCGCCAAAAGAGATGTTACCAGGGTTCAGGCCGACGATGGAGAGGATGTGCAGTCTTATAATTGACACAGCGGTGCTAGTCGCACGAGCTTGCGACCGATTTGCCGAGAAGGAAATCCCGGGTTACCCTTCAGCTTACTTAGAAACGGTTGTCAAATCGTCGTCCACGACAAAAGCTAGGCTCCTTCACTATTATCCGATGCCCGAGGAAGTGATGGCGAAAGGCCAAGCAGAGGATAATTGGTGTGCGGTACATAAAGATCATGGTTGTTTGACTGGACTAACATCAGCCATGTTTGTCGACGAACTCAAGACAGACGCTAAGGTGCCGGATTTCGGCGAAAAGGTGCCGGAGTTGCTACCGACGCTAGAAGAGTTGCCCGGATCGCCGGACCCGCAAGCGGGACTTTGGATTAAAGATAGAAAGGGGGTGCCGGTCCAGGTCAAGATACCTAGGGACTGCATCGCCTTCCAGACTGGCGAGACACTAGAACGAATTACCGGAGGGAAGTTCAAGGCCGTAGAACATTCGGTTAGAGGAGCGTATGCGAAAGGTGTAGCTCGCAACACGCTAGCGGTCTTTACGCAGCCGAATCTAGAAGATGAGGTTGATCTAGACCAGCATATCACTTTCGGGGAGTTTGCCAGGGGTATCATAGCAAAGAATACAGTCTAGATAACGTTTATTCCAAATTAAAGCGGAAGATTTGCGCATACCTAGACAACTTAGTTCATTCACAGCATATTTGGCCCTGCATTAGTATGCGCGGATGCGGTACAGCACGTTGACGCCATCGGCTCTTCGGGGTTAGATTAATAATTAGGCAATTGGTCTTGCTCGATATCTCATTCGATATTCCTACGTAAATTATAATAAGCAAGTGCGTGATAGCTAAGCTCCCCATCTTGAAGGTGTATTACACCATCGGTCTCCGAACCTAATGCAGCTTCCTCGGAGTTTCTCCCGCTTTGTTTGCAGCAAACCTTCTATAATTTGACCCCTCTTAACCCCAACTAGAGCTACAGTTCCAGCTTCAATCTCAACTTCATATTCACCTTCACCTTCCACTTCCACTTCCACTCCCATTTCAACTTCTCACAATTTCTTATTACCAAGACATACTCACCACAAATTCACAACCACAAGATTGAAAATGGCCCTCAACCCCAAATTCGCCGGTCAACGCCTCCTCTTCGCCCCACCCACCAGCACCGCCGGCGGTCCCCCTCCAGCCGTACACACTCTCGAGTTATTCCTCGACTACGTGTGTCCGTTCTCCGCGAAGCAATTCGCCACCTTCTACCACAGCGTCGTTCCCTTGATCAAGTCGAACCCGAAATGGGCATCCAACCTAGAGATTATCCTCCGCCAGCAAGTGCAGCCATGGCACCCGTCGTCGACGCTCGTGCACGAGGCCGCGCTCGCCGTGCAGCGGGTCGCGCCTGAGAAGTACTGGGACTTCAGCGACGCGCTGTTCAAGGCCCAGCTCGAGTACTTCGACGAAGCCGTCGTGAACGAGCCGCGGAACGGCACTTACAAGCGGCTGGCCAAGCTAGCCTCCACCGTTGGTGTGGACGAGGCTCAGGTTTACGAGTTGTTGGTTATTGCGGACAAGGTGCCTGAGGGCGGACACGCGAACTTCGGGAACAAGATCACGAATGACCTGAAGCTGCAGATCCGGTTCGGGAGGCTGGTGGGCGTGCATGTTAGCCCGACGGTGATTTTCGATGGCATTGTTGCGAATGATATTAGCTCGTCGTGGACGAAGGAGCAGTGGCAGGAGTGGTTGACGAAAAGCGTTGTTTGAATCTGTTTACTAGTACCTGGTTGCGGTGATGTCATTGATGGTACGATCGTATCGACAGCTTAGAAACACGACCTATGAATTAATGAGATTACATATAAAAGATATAGATCCTCTTATGCTCAATCGAGACTAATTGTATGTATAGATTGATGGTTTGCAGTTACTACCTAGTAGGCATAGGAAGTAGATGTTGCTCCAACTCTCGAGGATACTGTACCTCCTTGACGGTTGTCCTTGCCAGGGCTTGGGGAACATTGTTGGTAGGTACAATGTAACATCCATCCATGCTCTTGGCCTGTATGAAGCTTGGAAGCTACTACTATGTATGCACATGTATATTCCCCCTCACATATAACTTCAAGTTCTATTTATTCCGTGACTTCCAAGTTGGAGATAAAAGCCGGTCGGACCAATCCGGCGGCAGCTGTCAATTTTCAATCTCAACTCTTGCAACTCATTCACAATATATTGAATCTCATCGTCTCAACAATGCGAACCCTCCGGATCTTACAGACTCAAAGAACCCTGCCAGAATATCGGTTTCGTACCCTCGGAATCATAGCACTTCGCCAACTATCCCCAAACCAAGATCTCCGATTCCCAGGCTTAAGATTCAAAGCAACCGCATCTAAAAAAGCTACATCTAGGCCAACCCCTAGCACGTCACCACCTCGAACATTATGTTAGTTCATCGCTCTAAATTCGAGTAATTTGATCACTAATATATTAATAGCTTACCCCGATGAATTATGTATATACCAAGCAAGCGAGACCAAGTGCGCAGCCGCATTAATAGTCAGACTCTTAGGAGATTTATGTGCCACCAGTATCTTAATACCGTGGAGTCTAGAAGGGGATGTACCACAATTCTCTGGAAGTTTAATATTTCGTAATAGTAAGAGCTTTCTCTCATCTTTACTTAGAATACCCTCCCCCTTTTATTCCATGCTATTCCATCCCATCTCGAACTCTTCCAACTCACTGACTGACCAATCAACCCCTATTCTAGTGGTTATCTTCGGTCCATTGATGCTCTTAGGCCAGTGGCTCTCCAGCCCAGTCGTCCATCGTATCAACCTCAGCCTACCTCAGTCTGCCCGCCTGTCGTCTAACCACCTGCGTCACTACATCAATAATCTCCCTCCCTCTACTACCCTCGACATCATTACCCACGACCATATGTTCGCTGGGAAGCGCGTTAACTCCATACCTCTATCGAAGTTATATCTCCTACGGGAAGAATCCCGCTTACGCCACCCCTGGGATTCAAATCTGGAACGCGAACCAGGCGGGGTCATGGAGGGAACGAATACATTCCACGCGCCGGCGGCGGCAAATGTAGTTGGGGACCATGGATGGGCGTGGGATCTCTTGGTGAGTAGGCTCGGTAGGAAGCCGAAGCCGGAGTCGAATGAGTGAAGGGGTGGGATAAGAAGGATCGGGAGACGATTTGGGTTGGCTAGGTATGAATAGGGGTTACCAAGCCAGGCGCAAGACCAAAGCTATCAATGAGCCTTTACTAGGTATTCTATCTGATATCTTGATGCGGGGATATCTACAATTTAGAGAGCAGTCAAGTTCTAAATAGATCAGCTACAACTAGTTCGCTAAAGAGGCTCTGGGAGGCTCTTTACCAGTAATGGAGTGGGATTTAGACCAGGTAATTTTATTAAAATATATACTGGTTTCCAAGATTAGTATGGATACCCGTCTGAAACTTCGCTGTGAGGTCACGCCGAGCATCTGGGAAGCAGGCGTCATGTCACGAGTGGCTTGTTAACAACAACGTCGTTGACCCTTCGGTATCAACCAATTGAGTCGTTGTAGTTAGTTTAATAGCTATAGCAGCACCTATATATCAAAGAAAACAACATTAAACTACTTTAAAGCTACTCTAAAACTTAGCTATATTTAAGTTACTGTTAAGTCCCACAACAAGGGAGATAGATTCATTAAGCAATAGCAACCAAGTGTCCACAAGTGCCAACAGCTGCAAATTGGAGAACAAAAATGAGGGGCAGAATTGGGGAAAGCTCATCGGCGATATCGCAGCTGACCCTCTTTTTTATTTTCGCCGTCTCTGTTTCACCGGATACGGACCCGGAACGCAGCCCTAGAAATACATTTATTACCAGATGAGACGATGACATACGTATAGCTTTCTGGGTAATGCATCATGTATTCCGACGCGTCGGTCTCTATTCATCCCGTATCCACGTAACCAAACCCGCTCACCCCATCTTCTGGCGCACAATGGCGTCGCAAAGTCCCAGAACGTACAATGTGCGTCATCTATCTCCGAGCCCTCTCCCGCGTGACGAAGGAAGCTGACTTGAATTCCCTCAGGACGCCATCGACGCCCTTAACTCCCTGCAGACCCCGTACGCCATCGTCGAGGCCCGCCGGAAGGCTGGTATTCGACCCGATGCTACCTCGATTGCTGAAATGCAGGTCTACCTGCAGCGCATCGGCTACGCGCTCTCCGACCTCGATCGGCTGAACATCGTACACGTCGCGGGGACAAAGGGCAAGGGCAGCACCTGCGCTTTCGCCGCATCGATACTCTCGCAGTACCAAAAATCGCACGGCGCGCCCCGCAAGATCGGATTGTTCACTAGTCCGCACTTAATCGCCGTCCGGGAACGGATGAAGATTAACGGCGCCTCGGTCAGCGAGGATGCGTTCGCGCGCTACTTCTTCGAGGTTTGGGATAAGCTGGGAGAAGCGGAGACGAGCGAGGGCCCAAAGATCCTGGACCCGAGATTGGGTATCCCGATGCCTTCGAGACCGGTATATTCGCGGTATCTGACGCTGATGAGCTATCATTTGTTTCTTCAAGAGGGCATTGATGTCGCTGTATATGAGACCGGGATTGGCGGCGAGTTCGACGCTACGAATATCGTGGAACACCCCGTCGCTTCTGGTATCAGCACACTCGGTATAGACCACGTTTTTGCGCTCGGGGAAACGGTGGAGAAGATTGCTTGGCATAAGGCTGGGATTATGAAAAAGGGAAGCGCCGCTTTCACGATTGAGCAGGTGCCTGGAGCTGCGCAGGTCCTGCAGGATAGAGCTAAAGAGAAGGGGATGGTTCTGAAGGTCCTCGATGTCGATCCGAGATTAAAGGGTGTCAATGTTCGACCGGATGCCCTTTTCCAGAAGAAGAACGCTAGCTTGGGGATAGCTCTCGCCGAGGCGGCATTGAAGAAAATCGACCATAGCTTTACACCGGATCCGTCTGTGTTAAGTAAAGAGTTCGTCGATGGGATCGAGCAGGTTGTGTGGAGAGGGAGGTGTGAGGTTAAGGTCGAGGAATCCGTGATATGGCATGTTGACGGCGCGCATACTGTCGATAGCCTGAAAATGGCAACGAGATGGTTTGCGGGCGAATGTGCGAATAAGACGGGCCCGAAAGTCTTGATTTTCAATCAACAGGGGCGGGACGAGGCTGTCAACTTCCTTGAGGGCATGTTATCGACACTCAAAGCCCAAGGACAAGGAGTCTTCGAGCATGTTGTGTTCTGTTCGAATGTGACGTATGCCGCCACGGGTTACAAGCGAGACTTTGTAAACCACCAATACGATCCTGTAGCCATCAAGGCTCTCACCGCACAGCATTCCTTCGCAGAGAAATGGTCTTCTCTAGACCCATCAGCAAAGGTCGTTGTTATACCAACAATCGAAGAGGCAATAAACCACGTTAGGGACCTCAGCAAGACATCTTTAAGCGAAGGGGAGACAGTCCAGGCTTTCATCACAGGTAGCTTGCATCTGGTGGGAGGTGCTTTAGGTATACTAGAGGGTGCAGATTCCTTATAACCAGTAATGGTCTAGATTTTCTACATGGATATGTCATAATTATAAAATGGGAAATGGGAAATGGGAAGGGACGGCTTTGCATTCAACGAATTAGAATACCCTGGTTAGATAGGTCAGGATCTACGGCGGCTCAACCCGTACACACAATAGGAATGATTTTTTATCTTTTTCATACTACAAGTCTCTAAATACGTCCGTATAGTTTCTGGTATAAAATAAAAAGGAATAGAGGCGATCAAGAAAGTCGGGGTTAGGGTTAGGGAAAGAATTAAGATAGGGGTTAGATAAGCTGAGTTGCGAATCAACGCTGCCAGACACTAGTTTTGAAAACGGTTATTTGCGGCCAAAAAACGGTTGTTGAAAGGTGAAACTAAATTATCGTTTGTTCAAAACTATTCGCCCCCAACTAGACGACTATTAACAAGTGAATCCTTTTTCAGTTCAATAACCGTAATCTTTTCCACGTTTTGCCGGTACGGTACATATCTACACTCTCATTTCTTCGGAGTATCTATCTGACATAAATCTAACCAAGACTCCGAAATCTCTCAAAACGAAGTCATCTATGTAGGATCGGGAATTGTACGAGCCATCCAATCATAAGACACCAGTCAGGATACACAACCTCGTTGCCGAAGTCGGGATCGGGAGCTCATGTCTCACTGCCGTTTGACAGCTCTCCGAAGTTCACGTGCAGCTCACCCATCCATATATCCAACCTCACCAACCTTTAAACCCACAAGACCATTCATCAGCTTCCCCAAACCCACCATCTCAGTCCCCAGAAACTCACCCACCATGTCACGAACCTACGAATCCGCCCTCCAGCACCTGGACTCCCTCACCTCCAACAAAGCCATAACATCCCGCTTCACCAGCAACCCTCCCGCAGCCCCCTCCTCCCAACACCCCCCCATCTCCCTCAGCAACGAAAACGCGATCCCGGAAATGCTCGCGTATGCCGAAATCGCACACCTCACGCAACCCGCGCTCGCCCAAATCCACTACATCCACGTCGCAGGAACCAAAGGCAAGGGCTCCATCTGCGCCTACCTAACCTCCATCCTGACCTCCCCGCCCGCGGCCCCCGTCGCCGGGAAAGTCGGCACGTACACCTCGCCCCACCTCCGCAGCGTGCGCGAGCGCATCCAGATTAACGGACGTCCGATCTCGCGGGAGCTGTTCACGCGCTACTTCTTCGAGGTCTGGGACTTTTTCAGCGCGCACACGCGCGGGGAATCCGGTCGGTTGGGTACGAAAGGGGGGATAGGTGTAAGTGTAAGTGAAGAAGACGTAAGCGGGCCGGTGGGAAAGCCGTTTTATTTCCGGTTTCTGACGATCCTGGCTTTCCACGCGTTTCTGAGGGAGGGGGTGAAGACTGCGGTGATTGAGTGTGGGATTGGCGCGGAGTATGATAGTACGAATATCTTGCCTGCGCAGGCGGTGACGGCGGGGGTGGTGGCGCAGTTGGGGCTGGATCATGTGGCGATGTTGGGGGAGACGGTTCCGGAGATTGCGTGGAATAAGGCGGGGGTTATGAGGGAGGGGAAGAAGTGTTTTACGAGGAAGTTGGGGGACGGGGTTGGGGAGGCGACGATGGAGGTTTTGAGGATGAGGGCGAGGGAGAAGAAGGCGGTTTTGGTGGAGGTGGAGGATCGCGAGGTTGAGGAGTGGGGTGGGGTGGATAGGGATGGGATGGGTTCCCTGGAGGGCGATTTTCAGAAATATAACCAGGCGTTGGCGGTTTTGGCTGCGGGCGAGCATTTGAGAGTTTTGGGAATGAAGCCGGATGCGAAGGTCGGGGAGGATGGGTTAGCTGTTTGGGGGGAACTCTTCTCCGACGGTCTCCGGCAGGCTAAGCTCGGAGGACGTTGCGAGACGATGGTTCGCCGCGGCATCGCCTGGTTTGTCGATGGTGCGCACACGGCGGAGAGCTTGGAGGAAGTGGCCAAGTGGTTTGCGGCGAAGCGCAAGTCTTTGCCCGATAACGCGAAGGTCGTTCTACTATTCAACCAACAGGAACGCGACGTCGTAAAATTACTCGGTGGGCTACTTGAGGGTATCAAGAGGGTTCTCAATATGTCAGAGATATTCGACCTTGCTATCTTCACGCGGAACGACACACAGCGCAAGGCCGAGAACGAGCCGGAGCGAGATTTGAGCGTTCAACAAGCTGCGGCAGATGCTATGCAAAAGCTGTGTCCCAAGACGAAGAGTGTGGTTGTGGATAATGTACAAGAAGCATTTGATAAGATTGACGAAATAGAGGGTGATGGCGCTGAGATCGCGGTTTTAGCCACAGGGAGCTTGCATCTCGTAGGCGCGTTATTGACGGCTCTGGGACCGGATGAGGAGCTTAGGTAGATGGAATGGATTTAAGGGGTGAATACCTAGACGATGATATATATTATGATTGGGACGGGACGGCGTTTAGGAAAAGTAAGACATAGATTCTAGGTTACGAGACCATATTCTGGGTTACGGCTGCACTTTCAACAGTGAGCTTCGGAATACATTTATTTAACCATGACTTATTTTCTTATGTGCTATGTGCATCCTTTTCTCTAGACTTGGATCATACTTGATATCGTACTGAGGCTAGGTATATTAGTAGGCGAAGCCCATGATTATCACATTTCTGCAGAAGACACATTCCTCATCATCTCACTTTACTAAAAACAAGTCATCAATATCCTCAAGAACCCATCACAAAAAGCAAATCGAAATAAAAGTAGGCCCATCGGCCGTCTATTCTCGAGTGCTATTATCTTATACACAGGCCTATCGTATCAGCCCCTTTTCCCCTCCCCATTTTTCCATCTCCATCTCCATCCATCCCCCCTTTCTCACGTCTACTTTTTTCTAGGAACAAGGGTCAAGTAGGTCTGTAGGTACTAGGCAGGTAAGAGGACACAAATGTACAAGGACGGGCGACAAAGTAAAAAGATCTTTCTCTATTTCCTCGGGATGTTGTTTAATGTCCCGGGGAATGGTTACTCTACTCTTAAACTTTGCAGCCGGGCTTCAGTAGAAATAACCTTTTTTATTGTTAGCGTTCATATTTGCGAAAATGAATATGTAAAATGGGGATAGGGAAAATCTCACCTCCAGCGCCTGCTGCACCTCCAACGCCTTCCTAACCTCGGACAACCAGTCGCGGCTCAGCGTCTTGGCCCATCCCTGAAGACCGTTCATCTCACGAGCCGCAGCGTCAAGGTCGCCTTCCTCAAGGTAGGTCTGGGTACGGGTGAGGATGCTTTCGACATCATCGCCGACCGCTAGACCCTGCTTCTTGAAGAGCACCTTGCTTAGTACCCAACTGGACGCGTGCGATGCGACGCCCGCATCCTCTGGAAGCAAACTTGCCTTGCGCACCTCGGTCGCAACACGTCGGAATCGGTCGATAAGCTGGGCAGGTGTCGCGATACCTCGCTGGTATGCGGACGGGTTGATCGATCTAATAGCTGCATTGACCACCGTATCGTCCGGAGCAATCTCCTTTAGCGCTATAAGCTCCCGGACAAATGGTCGCGGGTGCTCGGCATCGCTAAGACTTGCGCGTACGGCCTCGACGGCGACGTGAAGTTGTTGCGTCTTAAGGTTCAAGTCAACAACATCGTTCCACCCCGTCGTGAGATTTTCCAGCTCCTTGATAGCCGAGCTTAATTGCTCCAGCCTTCCAAGTCTGCCGTTTCGCTCTTCCTCAACTCGGTCCTTGACCTCACGCAAGAACTGTCGCTTTAGATCGACAGCTTGTTCTAGGAGCAGGTTGTTGATTTTCTGCTCATTGATCTGCTTTTCTCGCTCCAACTCCGTCTTAATTCGGGCATCATAGGCGGCTTGGACATTTCTCATCTCTTCGTCAAACTCTACCCTCCACTGCTTTTCTTGTGCCTCCATCGCCTTCTCGATACGGAAGACTAACTCGTTAGCCGCGCCCTCGAATTCCTTGACCTTGGCCGCAACTTGAGAGGCAGCATCCTTTTCAACCTGCGCCTTCAATTCTCGGATCTTGGAGCCGACCTTGTTGAGTTCCATCTTAGCCTTGCCAACAGTGGAAGAGAAACGATCATCGGCATTATCAGCATTCACAACGGTGATGATGTCGTTGAGCATCTTGACAAGGTCCTGTACCACGGGAACATCGGCATCATTGACCTTTAGGGGGTCGATGGGACTAGCAGGGGGGAATCGAGAAGGCTCATCAACTTCAGGTGCTTTAAAAGCTGAGGCTGCTTTCTTTGGCTCAGTCTTGACTGGAGCCTGTTTTTCAACAACCTTAGACGTGGCAGCGGCAACAGGTTCCGAGGCACCCTTTGGTGGTTGGGAAGATTTCGCTTTAGACTTCTTGCTTTCAGCTGCGGGGGGATCCTTCTTTTCAGGGCCAGCAGCAGCACTCTTACTAGCAACGATATCCCGCATCGCACTAGATTGTCTGCCCGCGGGCTCGCCGGCGTCCGCTACCCGCCATGACGCACCACTTTGAGGGGAGATCTTGACCTTGGCACCGGTGTCCTTGTTGTTTTGGCCTCCGATAGTCAAGCCTCCTGGATATCGCCTCTTGTAATCAAGTTCCTCGAAGTAAAGTACTGCTTGCTCACCAAACGGTACAAACTCGGTAAAGAAGTCGTGGAAGTTGTCGTTGATACGCGAGTACCATACACCACCGCCGAAGGTTAAAGCGCCTAAGAATATCAAAGTAAGGAGATAATTACGTAGTCGGCGGAAGAACCCCTTCTTTTTCCTGACGGGCGCAGGCGGCGGAGGGGGAGGTGCCTTGATCTCTATCTTTTTGGGAGCGGGTGGAGGTGGAGGTGGCGTATGAGGGACTTCTTTAGAGCTGATTGTGGAAGAAGCAATCTTGGATTCTGTCTTGAGTGCGGGAGGATCGCTTGCAGCAGCAGTAGTTGTCTCGGACGTGGGCAGCTTTACGGGCGTTGGGTCATTTATCGAAGGCTTCTTGTCATTGGCATAGCATCTCTGATAGCAATTGATGTTAGCTAGGGTGTTTCAACATGTCATATGTCATATGAGTGTCCGTGACTTCATACCCTTGCAACTACGGCGGGTGATCTCGCGATCGCGGGCTGCCATTGATGGGCAGAGGCAGCAGCAACGGGCCTGCTGCCTACGGCCCTGACAGATCGCAACGATGTGCGCAACATGAGGGCATCGAACAAGCCTTCAAAGTGCGATTATCGTTGCTATGCGGTGATAAGAGTATGGGTCGTATGAGGTGAATTATGTATTATGAAATTAAAAACCTCGGGAAGCTTAAAAAAAGCTGCACGTTGCGTTGGGCAAAGGGCAATCCCGGCTAGCACCACACTCCGGCCGAGTGGGTCCTAAAAGGTACGTACTCCGTTCATTTTCAATCTTCAAACTCAAGATGCATGTATTATGTAATAATGATCGTAAAGGCCAACATTAAACGTGAATTATGTATATGAATCAAATACTCAAATTCAAAGTTTACACTACAATACAAATGCTGGTGCTCATAGAGCTGAATACGCCTATATGCATTTTCAACTCGCCCAATAAGCTAACCGATCTTTGCACCACGATACGCAATATTCATAAATGTCAACATTCATATGGAGTACCTATCACGTCACAACTAACAATAACAGCCTAAAAACCCATAAACTCGTCCCTCGTCGTTAGAAAAAAGATAATTCTCTATTGCATTACTCGTCGTGCTGTATAGCAGGGCAACGTCCAGTCTCGGTCCAGATTCCTTCCCACTCCCATGTGGACCACTCTACACCAGTCCCCCATGACCGTGATGCACCTAGCGGCTAAGCGGCCAAGCCTATACTGCGAGAACTCGATCAACAAACAAAAGTCAGGTATTAAAAAAACGTATGCCATCCTTCCTGGAAACTCCCTTGAAATATACACCCAGGCAGGCATCCACACCGATCGCCCTCATGCTTCCTAAACACGTCCAGTCTCTCTCGGGGGTTGTGGTGCGAAGGTCGTAATATCACCAGACGTATATCCTCTCAATTTCTCATTGAGTATGACAGTCCTAGCTTCGCATCTAAGCCATGAGAAAAAGGGGATAAGATTGAGCAACTAGCCCAGTACCAGAAGGATCAGTATCATTCGAGGGATTCTTATTTCCTCATTGCACCAGGCCCCAGCAATATTCAGTAGATTCCATAAACGCCTCTAGCACGCGCAAGGCCCTCCTGATTGTGTATTTGCGCCTTCCGGTGCCAAACTCACTCCTCCTGGTCGCTGTCCTGGCCGGGTATGTCGGGGGCTGACCTGGTCGAGCGGCAGCTTCTTCGCAATGGCGGTGAATAGTTCCCGCACGTTCTCTGCCGTCTTTGCCGAAGTCTCAAAGAATAGTAATCCCGCCTCGTTCGCGTACGCCTCTGCGTCGGCGGTGGAGACCGCTCGCTTGTCGGGTTGCTCGTTCACCAAATCCAACTTGTTTCCTGCGAGGGCGATGATGATGTTCTCGTTCGCTTGTCTTTGCAATTCCTTGACCCAAGCCTTTGCCTTGTCGAGGGAAGACTGATCGCGACATTAGTATACCGAACAATATTTCTTTGTTCTATTAATAGTAACATACAGATTGGGTAATATCGTAGACGACGACGGCGCAGTTCGCATTTCGATAGTACATAGGAGCGAGAGACTTGTATCGTTCTTGACCAGCAGTATCCCAGATCTCGAACTTAACGGTAGTGTTTTCGTCTAAGGAGATAGTTTGTGTTAGGAAGGCAGCGCCGATGGTAGACTCTCGGTATGAATCAAATTGGTCCTAGATGAATATGTTAGATGGTTTTATGAAGCTATCAAATGGTGAGGTAGTATTCAAGTACCTTGACGAATCTCAGGACTATGGAGCTCTGTATCACATGTTAGCAAATGACGTGTCGTGTCCCGTGTGCCGGAACAGGTTCGCTGATGGGTTAACTACCTTTCCAACCGCAGACTCTCCTACAAATGAATTAGTACATAGCGACACCTAGGTTGGAGATAATCTTCCGGGATAGTACATACCTAATAACACTAACTTGAACTGCGCAAAGCGGCCGCCCATACCGCCCCTAGCTGCAGGCCCTGCTCGAGAAGCCATAGTCGTCTAGTAGTGGTGAAATCTAAAATGATTATTTTAGGTGTCGCTGTAAAGACTGTTGTCGATAGGGCAATTAAAATAGAAAAGAGACGGCCGGAGGGGTGTTCGGTGGTGAGACTCGATGGGGTGGTTTGTCTTATCGGCAAGGAATAATTATCGTCACTCTCAATAGTACAAGATCAACTACGTAAAAAAACGCAGTAATCTAATGAAATCAGATTCTAGTGAACCCAAGATGCAGGAATGGCCGAAAACGTGGTATTGCTGCTGTGAGTGGTTGAATGGACAAGGAATGACGAGAGGAGGCTTGGTAAGTCTGATGATTTGATTATTGCCTGCCTATTGTTACGAAGTTGAATGAAGGAAGCTTGTTGCTTGTTGAGTACCTAGCAGGTATTAGGCGCCTGTAAAGGTGAATGATGAGTGGCTTATTAGCTTAGTGGCTTAGCGACTTTGACCGTAGCGGAGCGCACCACGTCAGGCTTCGTGGGCAGTGGACAAAGTGGGAAGTGAGTGGTGGGCAGCGGGTTGTCGGTGGAAGCCAGCTCACCGTAGATATGTAATTGTTTCTTTATCGATTTCGTTTGTTATCTATGTACATAGCACGTGACTTAGATGATTTGTGTTTTCCCTGTTTTTTATAAATACATACATAGGTAAATACGTGATAATTGCATTAAGAGATAGTACCTAGTACCGAGGGAAAGGACCAGCCTAGCAGGGATTCTTATGTAAAGATCTGGCCTGTGCTTCAGCTAGCACAATAAATAGTGCACTAAACCTTGGCAGCCACCTGGAAGTGGATCTCTGCGACCCATACGTACATCTGTCGAAATCCCTTTTTAGGAAATGCACATGTTAATTCCATCATCTTCAAGTCGAAGTCAACACCAACATCTCTGCGTCTTTCGCCTCTAGGGAGCTCGCGCAACTTCAACTTCGCTTTCACCTCTTTCTAAATTCACTTCAAAGACCCAAAACGACTTCCAAGGCTACCCTTCCCTGTCGTCTCACACTCTTTTTCCCCTTTGTAATCTACTAGGTACAGGAAATCCAGGACCGTTATGAGTGCTCTGCTGGACATCACCATTCTATAGCTAAGCCCATCATGACTCTCCCATTCCGGGACATTAATGTCCACGTTGCCGCGGATTCCTATACCTTCACCTCACCCTCTTCTCCTAATGCGCCTGCCCTCATCGTCGATCGTCCTACCGGAGATGTAAGACTAAGTGAGACAGCTTTTATTCCTAAGCGAGTGTCCCGCGTTTCTAGCATTGCTGGTATATTGGGATTCATTAGATTGAGACTTGGTAATTGACCCTCCTCTAACCTCCGACCTCTAATCTACATGGCTCTACTAGTTTTCCATTCCCATACTGACATGTTCCCGTAATGCAGACAAGTATGCGATCATCATTACTAAAGCCCAGCCCGTGGGCCGTCTTAAAGGCCACATGGTCTACAAGGTCGTCTCGACAGACTTCCTCCCTATGCGCGAGCGACAAATCCACGACCCCGACGAGGACCAATTCTTGTCGCTACTTAAGACTTACATCATGAGAGGACCCATGTACTTCTCCTATTCCGTCGACCTTACCAACAGCTTCCAGCGACAGGCTGTTGCCGACAACTCAAGCCCCCTCTGGATGCGAGCCGACGATCGTTTCTTCTGGAATAAGTTTGTTTCAACCGACCTCATCAACTATCGCAGAACTGGCGGCCGCTCGCAACCTGGTCCACAACCCTCCGTCGACCCTTATATTCTACCCCTTATATGGGGAACGATGGAGATCCGACCCACCACGTTCAAAACCACACAACTGACTGTTGTCTTAATTACTCGTAAGGGAAGATATCGAGCCGGTACAAGATACTTTACTAGAGGACTCGATGACGAAGGCCATGCCGCCAACTATAACGAGACCGAACAAGTTATTGTCTTGAATGACACGGGCCGGGGTTTAGGCGGCTATGCCGGAAGTAGTGATATGCAGAGCGGGAAATACGGTGCCGAGGGTGCAGAAATGCAAGTGTTGTCTTATGTCCAAACTCGAGGCAGTGTTCCCGTATACTGGGCCGAGATCAACGCCCTTAAGTATACACCGAAGCTTCAAATTCGTGGCATAGAGACGGCCCTCGGAGCTGCGAAGAAGCATTTCGACGAGCAGATCCGCATCTATGGAGACAACTACCTAGTGAACCTAGTTAATCAGAAAGGCCGTGAGAAGCGGATAAAAGACGCATATGAACAGATGGTTCAGAAGCTCGTCTCGTCGCCAGCAGAGAAAGTTAAGAGCGATCCCCTCAGCGATGAGAAATTCCACGTTATCGAACCTTCATCCTCAAAGCAGGAGTTCGACCGTCTACACTACGTCTACTTCGATTACCATCACGAGACCAAGGGCATGCAGATGCACAAGGCCATGTTGCTCGTCGAGCAGCTCAAAGATGCCCTACTGGCACAGCAGTACTTCCGCGGCGTGGACATGCCAGCCAACGGCGGTCTCGAGACCAGAAACTTCCAGACTAGCGTAGTGCGGACGAACTGCATGGACTCCCTCGACCGCACTAACGTCGTGCAAAGCATGCTCGCGCGATGGACCCTTGATCGCATGTTCGTCGACCTCGGCCTACTCCAACGAGGTGAAACATTTTCCACTGCCGACCCGGACTTCGAGTTCCTATTCCGCAACCTTTGGGCCGATAATGCGGATACGGTCTCCAACTCGTACGCTGGTACCGGCGCTATGAAGACGGATATCACACGCACAGGCAAGCGCACGAAGGCCGGTATCATGGGAGACGGCAAGGTCGCCGTGATGCGGTACTACCTAAACAACTTCCGAGACGGCCCCCGACAGGACGCCTTCGACCTCTTCCTAGGCGCCTACGAGCCCGCAGCCGCTAACATCGGCTCCTCGCTCATCTTCGCCGACCGCCGACCGATCCTGATCCAGAGCATCCCCTACGTCCTCGCCTTCAGCGTGTTCTTCGTCCTTCTCGGCCTCTTCACCAGACGCGGACCCAACGCATCTCTCTGGACTATCCGCATCTTCATCTTATTCTGGCTCGTAGTCGCCGGATGGAGTTTTAACTTCGTTATCAGCAACGGCATGCTTTTCGTAAGTCTCCATCCCCCTTCAACCCACTTCCTACCTAGTATAGTTATGTCCCGGATTAGTAAGAAATAAGAGCTAACAAACCCCGTTTACAGGTCAACTGGCCGAAACTCAATCCCCGCCCATGGGCTACCGAGGGCTACCAAGACGCCATCACCAATGTGCGGAAGGACGCGCTCCTCGGCCCCCTCGTCGCTAAGCACGAGCGCGGCCTTAGCACGGCGAGGTATCTTAATGCTGAGGAGGGGAAGAAGAGGATTGAGTAGACGTGTATACCATCCTCTATCCACACCATACAGCCAAACAGCCATATATTACAAACAAACAGACAGAGAGGGAGAGGGGGAGGATGGAGGGAGACAGACCGGACAACAAGTTTTTTTCGATGGAAAAGGGATGAGAGACTGTGGCAGGGTGTTTGGTTGTACTTTTATACCGGTATTTTCCCTTCGTCCGCGGCCCTTGTTGTTACGCTTGTTGTTGTTTGTTGGTGGTAGTGTTGGTCGGCTACGTCCTAGAACTTATGTACCTGAGAAACGTACTATCCTAATTACCGTTATAATCCGTTGCTTCTTCTTTTTTTTTTCTCTTTTTCGCTCTTGGTCTCCCCCATACCCGCGCCCGCATCACATCCATGAGAGTACGTTTTTCTTTTCTTCTGAGTTGTGGATGAGTGGATAGGTAGTTTGAGGGGTGAGGTGAGGTGAGGTGAGGTGCTGTGTTGGTGGTGTTTGAGTCTTGTACGAGTACTACAGTCTACAGTATACTGAGGAGAACTGCGCAATCTGAATACACTGGCAGCTTAATTGTGTAAACTGAATACGTGCGTGAGTTTGTATGTGGCTTGGGGTGTTCTCTTGATATCTACGTGTGCGTGTAGATGTATATCACGTACCTTAAGCAAAGTTCTCGAGACAAATGATGGCATAAACGATTGATGAATGGACAACAGAAGCTTAATTCCCTATTATTACACGATCCTACAGCGAACAACCACAACCACAACCGCAATTCAATTCCCAAGCGTGCGTGCTTACAGCCCGGAACCCAAGCGAACCTCAACAAGAAAAAGAAAAAGTAGCGGGGAAAGGCGTATACCTCGTACACGTACAGTTACCGTCTCAGTAACCCTATTTTTCCTTTTTTTCTTTCTTATTTCTGCTCCCCCGTTCCATGCTGTTGTGTAGGTAAGTAGGCAAGTAGGTAGGTATTAGATATGTAATGTTATGTATGTGTTTCTCGTTTTCCAATGCCCCCGAATACGATGATCGGACTCCTCCCATGCTGAATGAACTAGATAGACATGCTAAACGAGACTTAAATGTCCCCGTTACCCCCGTGATACTCCGTGCGTGATGATGCTAAGTTAGAGAGAGGTAGGTACTTGTTGTGTGGCAATAGCGGGGTAGGAGTAGTAGAGGAAAAAGAAAAAGCAGAAAAATGTGGTATCGAAGGTATACAGATCATACAGCTAGGAGAGTGTGACGATGGATACAGGTCGGACTGGTAATAGTAATGACAGATAATAAGGAGAGCCCAGGTGAGGGTATGGTATAACAATTAATTATAACAGAAATATTGTCGATGAGACGGTGTTAGTGACCCTCAAAAGGGTTATGTAGGTAGGCTCGTAAGCCTAGCGCGCAGAATAAGAGAGGCGGAGGGAAAGGACACAGAGAAAATGCATCCGCGGGAGTGGGTATCATGACCAAAAATCGTCCAAAGCGTCCTCCTCCGCTCTACTCGATAACGCGACGAAGAATCAGAGCGCAAGTGCTCGCTTAGTAGTAACCCAAAATGGGTCACACTTCCTCCCCTGTCCCCCTTACACGCTTACATCTACAACCAAAGCAACCACCTCCCAACCCCCAGAATCCCCTTCCCAACACCGAGCACGATCCGAGTGAGCATGACGACAAACCAGACATACCACATGAAGCCAACGAGGACCCACTCGACAGCAAGCCAACCGGCGCGGCGCGCCCACCTAAAGCGTCTGCGTCTACGGCGTAGCATCTTGTCCATGGTATCCGTGACAGTCTTCACCTTAAGTCTCTGACTATCAACAAGGTCGCGGTTAACCTCATCAGCCTCATCAGCCGCGCGGTGCGTCATCTCCATGAGATCGCCAGCGACACGATCGTGCAGGCCTTCGATGCGGCGCTGGAAGACGCGTGCGGTCTCGGTCGCAAACCGCGCCGTGCTCTTCTCTGATAGGCGGATCGAGTTCTCGATGCTAGTGATTACGACACCTGCCGTGGCGGGGAACAGCTCGAGCTCTGGGGCTAGAAGTCCCATTGTTTTCTGGTCGGGGACGAAGCGCGCGACGTCAGACCATGTGAGACCGGCTACAAGGCCCTTGTTGTTGTTATCGAGCGCGAACAAGGGATGTGGCTCGTGGGCACGGCGGGAGATTTCCATGGCCTTGATACCAGAGCATAGGATAAGGGCACGCAGCCTGGCGACCTCGCGGCGGGAGATCTGGCCCCCCTGTGGCGACTGACTGCGGTTTGAGATGGACCAGTGACGGGCTGGCTGCGACAGTGTCCTAGACCCCATCCGCGGTCGAGGTTTCGGGGCGGCCAGAACCACGCTAGTCTCCTTAGACAAGCCATGTAGTTTCTCGCCCTGGATGACCGGGAAGATTTCCAGGTCAGAGACGTCAGAGGAGTCGCGGAGAAGACGAGATTTTGTGGGTACGAGATCCGTCGAGGGGGGTGATGCCTTGCGAATATCAATGCGAGGCGGTTTCAATCGATCGAAACGAGGCGATCTACTAGGTCGCGAAATTGGGCTCACCACAGTAAGGGGGTCGATCTCTTCCGATGAGGGCTTGTCGGGTAGTAGCAACGTCTGCTTGAATGGAGGCATAACTTCCAAGTAATTCTTTTGACGATTGTTTTCACGTGGGCGTCGCGAGTTGCTCCGAGACGCGTTAGTAGAACCTTTAGCTCTCCCCCTTTTAGGCTCTGCCTCTGATTCGGAGTTCGTTGAGGTTGATGAGCCATCTTCGGTATCTGAGTCCTTCTTCCATAGAAGATCGGTGACCTTAGACACACTACCACGTATCATGCCATCCAATTTAGAGCTACCTTTGAAGATGCTCCGTAGACCAACTTGATCGTCACCTTTCATTTTGCTGATGCTGCTAACACTCTTATGTGACCTGTGACTCTCACCAGTAGCCCTTTGGACCATCTTGCGTGAGAGACTCTTGGACCTACGTCGATCAGGCGATTGAAATCTCTCTGTGGTAAGTGCTGAGAGGTTAAGCTGCTCAGGCGGCTCAATAGGGCTGTCCACCCTGTCAACTTTCTCACGAATTACGTTATTTGCGCCACGCTCCCGTTCCCGTTCCCGGTCCCGACTGCGATCGCGGAATATGTTCTTGACCTTCGAGAAGGGTTTTCGACCGGGAGATCCCGGTCGACTGTTAGGCGGAGAGGGTTCCATACCAATCGCCGGAGCCTGGAGGCGGCGACCCCGCGATGGTCTTGCGTCTGGAGATTGTGGTCGCGAAGAATCCATGTCCAACGACATTCTGTAATTCTTACCAGGAACTTCCAGACTAGCCCGCCCCGATCCGAGGGCCGAGCCGAGAGGAGACCCTTGCTGTGCTTTTCCGCGAGTAAGCTTATCCTGGCCATCGAGGACCTCTACTCGCGAACCCCTGCGGCTTATTTCTTCTGGGGTTTGAGACCCTTTATCCGGCGTCACCATCCGCGATGGAAGTTGTTTGAGTAGGACACGGTTGGCCTCATCCATGTTCTCCTTTTCATTCTGCTCCTCCTTTGCCATCATCTCCTTCATTTGCCTGTCAAGCAAATCTGTGCCATCAGCGCTAATAGTGCCGGTACGGTTTCGCCTCCTACGGTCGCTTTCGCTATCTGACGTATCTGACAGTGAGCCTTTCCGAAATCTCAGGAAGTCATGGTGACTATGAGAGAGACCGTTCTGTTTATGGTGACCTCGCAAATCTTGGAGCTTCTGGCGAGCACGTTCTCGTGCACTTATAAGCGGCACGTCGGACTCTGCTCTAAGCGGACTTATTAGGTCTACTTCAGAAGCAGCAGTGATATCACCCATGTCCCCTTCCCTTGTCGAGACAGAAAGCGCAGATGCGACAGGCTCATTTATCTGGCGAGGCGGTGATTGTGCCTCCAGTTTTCGAGGGAAAATCTTAGAATAGTGACGATCCTCAATGAGATACTTATTGTCATCTTGTTCTATCCAGTATATATCCGCAAGCATATCTGCAGGGTCGATGCTCCAATCTATCCTTATTCGTTTAGGCTTTGCTATTGTTGAGATAGGTCTTGGTATATTTGACGGAGGCTCTTGGTCAGCTTCATGTGCTGCTTGGAATGGAGGTAGCAGAGAAGGGCCAAGCGATAAATCCGACGTGGCTGTCGATGCTGCAGTTTGGTCGATCCAACATGATACCCTTGAGATATCTGCGAAACCTTGTGCCCACCCATCAATAATTTTCCGTTCTCGGGCTCGGACCTTTCGGTTTCGGATGTATTGAAGTGGATTATATGCTCGGCCTAGTACGATCTGAGGTGTGCCAGTGAGAGGGTTTAAAGGCGGCTTCGAGGATGTGGGAGATGTTGAGAGATTAGAAGATGAGGGCCTAGAACGTGCATCCGGCTTAAGAGGCGCAACGATTTGCAATAGTCTTCTGTATTGAGCCATCAATTCGAGGTACTCTTTCGCCTTCTGGGCCCTGTTTAGGGTGGAAGATGAAAAGTGATATGTATAGCTACCCTCACTGTCAAATGAAGGCTGTAGCGGGCTAGGAATTCTCGTTGTCGATACAGCTCTCGGCACTAAGCTCCTATCAGGCTTTGGGGATAATGTCCGCGAAGTCCTTCTCTGTTGCTGTAGGTGCTGCTTAAGACTACCACCAGCTAGGGTATCGGGAAGTTGAGCAAGCCGTGGAGGGATGGGACTTGACATATTTCTCCTTTCCGCCATACGTCGCGACTCGCTCAGATTAAGAGCCATGTTCACGATATTGGTAGAATCGACATCAAGAGGCGTGCCCGGTCGAGAAGTCGGTGTTGGTATCCTCGAAACTCGCCGTCCGCCCTGATTATATCGCCTCTCGTCATCGGGAGCTGGACTCGCTATTCGACTCGGTAGGCCTTCGCTTGATCTTCTCATACCTTGCTCGTCTATCCCCAATCCCGTTCGCAGATTTGCCCCATTTGATCTATCCGATAAATTCGTAGATAAACTCATAGATGTCTTTCCCTTACGATTGTCTACCGGTAACCGAGATTGCCTTCGACTACCGTCCCGATTTGGCGATACTCCCTTGGAAGGTTCGTCATGCGAGGTGTTGGCGAGGAGGAAACCTCCACTAGATCGAGGTTTATGTGGTCGACGTCGCTTATGTACCTCATGGTTGAGGTCTCTATCCCTATCTTTATCCATACCTCTACTTCTCTGATCTAGCGCATACGAATTCGAGTTTAGGTCGTTGGTGGCACTTTTGTGGGGAGAATGAGCTGACGTAGTCGAACCATTAGAAGGATCATTCAGACTTGGGGGGGCACTGGATTCGCCAGTTTCGTAACTGCCATAGCTATGCGAGGACCTTGCTGTTGATAGTCGCTGTTGGTATTGTTGGGTTACAGTCGGATTCGCGGATAGATCGTCATTGGTGTCTTTCATCGCGCCCATCGCATAGGCCGTATTAGTATTTCTTCTCGCATACCAAGTGGTACTTTAAATAGTATAGCTGTTAGAATACTATTATCTGTTCTGAGGTGTTCTGTCGACAACTCTGGACATGGTCGGTGATTCCAGTCGAGTCGAGAGTCGAAGACAGGGGGTTTCGAGCAATTGAGGGAGTGTTATGCGAATGACGACATTAACGTGGTGACAAACATGTAGGATGTTAAATCGCCGTTAATCAATTGGCTTCGAGCATATCTTTGAATTCGTTGATATCTTTGATATCACCCAGGTAATATTGAATAAGTTTAAGTTTGGTCAGGGGCTATTTCGTATTATAAATAGGGTACGGAGTTTGAAGGTATTTCCAGTTGGAGCGGTCGCGGATCGCGGGTCGACCTAGGTCCTAGCTACTGCCAAGTTCCGCAAGTTCCAAGGTTGCTAGGATCTTCCCGATTTCTAGTAATAACTAACTCTATTTAAATGGAGCCGACAGTCGAACCATGATGCATGTGAAGACTTACGCGGAATTTGCGTTGTATGGATAAATGCATTGAACAGTTAATGCCCACCTTATACCCATTTATACCCGCATTAGTAATTGGCTCATATCATTATAGCGGAGCTTTTGCAGAAATGCGGAAATGAGCTCTACCAACAGCTACAGTAGCTTTTAGTTACTCAGACCCATCGTGACTCCAAGCTTCATAACAATCATTTTCGCACATGCCATGAATCCACCTTCATTACCCTCTTACGGGCGACACAGGAGTTGTACGATCACTTCCATCGATGTAAGTAAGCTTGACTCCTAAGAGGTTCGTACACCGGTTACACCTCAACTACGTGGCGACAGTCACTAGATTACTGGATCTTATTAGACTATGCAACTGCACGACCAAGTCTCTCACACATATTCAAATTCACCAGACATATCACTGCAACACACAACACGCGATCAGAGAAAATGTACTCAATAAAATGTCTGCATAGGTAAGTCCCAAACGCCTGAAAATGCAAGTCGACTCCCCTTTCTCCAATCCGACCAACGAATGGGACACGAAGTACACAAGGGACTTTTATTCTGGGACTAGGTAGCCAGAAAGCTACCAGAGACAATCCGCCCCTTTGAGTAGGTTAGTTTAGCCAACCTTCCACATCCGTCTATTCTATGGAATCCAACATCCAGTCCGGATCCGAAACGACGGCTTAGAAGGTCTGGCCTCAAATTATCGCGCAAAGGCTCTCTAGTTAAATATGTATAATGGCGATGGGATGTGTGATATACGAAGTGAACACGAAGGAGATTACGTGTCTTGAGTTCGTGGATGCGTATGTAGTGTGCCGATCTAACGGCGTCGCCGTCGTCTCTGTTTTAAGAGATATTGCCGATTTAAGCGGGAGGGAGATAGTACAGGGCTGTCGGTTTATCGGTTTATCGCAGCCTTAATTGAGCTGATACTCCACAGTATGTTACTCGCCAGGTTGCCAACCGACGGCCCTCGCATGAGCTCTTTCGACAATAAGGTTAGGAACAGCAGCGACTTCGAACCACGACCGGACATCGGGCTGCAACAGGTTTCGTTTGGCATTATTGTTGTTGTTGCCACCTCCCGTTCCTTTCGTGACCAAGACGTATACTACAACAATGATAACGATAACGACGATAATAGCGACTGGAATAAAATGTCAGCAAAATCCACTTGAAAATTTAGGTTGGGCGAATTAAACATACCAACGATACCCAAGCAGATCCACTTCTTCTTCCTTGTTGACCTGGCAGTGGTTATAGCAGTGCCGACCTCCTGGTTTCCCTTATCAATATTTTCAACAATTTCTTCGCCCTTCTGTTCGATGTTGGTCACAGCAGCTTCTTGTTGAATGATGAGGGTATCCATATCCTGGAAGAGTTGCGCAAGCTCGATCATCTGTTGCTCGATCTTCTTCAGTTGAGCGTGTCGGTCTTGGACGGCGCTCAGGACAGCTTGGGCTTGACCACGACGGTTACTCTGCATCAGTGCTTGTTGGAAAACTTGGCCACCAGTTTGGTCCTCTACAGCAGCGCGAACTTCAGCCTCGTCAGCCTCGGGTCGCACGATACGGTATTGTCGCGCCATCTGTTCTTGGGTCTTCTTGCGGAAAGCGGACTCGACGCCTTGGTAAGCTCGAATAGCATCCTTCAACCTGCTATCAACACGACGAACTTGTTGACCGAATTTCTGCTGGCTCTCGGGGTTGCTCTTGAGCTGTCGTACTCGCTCGGTCAATTGCCTATAATGGGCCATGGTTTCAGAGCTAACAGCGTCGAGTTGGCGGTTAGTGTTACTCGTGGCAGAGGCGTCGGCATCGTCGAGGGCTCTTTGTTGAAGAGATTTTAGCTGGTCGAGGTTTCGGTCAATCATGTCGATCCCGCGGTTGATTTCTGAGACCTCGTTTAAGACAGAGTTCGCGTTTCCGGTAGCGAAGGACCCGGGGTTCTGGGTAAGTGAAGCCATCTCGACGTTGTTCGCTGCAATACATTAGTAATTACGTCAGTAAACGCGTGGTATATCAATGCATACACCCATAGTCATCTCTACCCATTGCTGGGCCGTAGTTTGGTCGAGAAGGCAATCCTCCGCCATATCCACCATTTCCAGCATCTCCCCGCTGGTCGAAGGGGTTTTGTTGTCCGCCGTACCTATATCAATACTCGTGTTAGTAGCTAGAATCGCATAGTAGTCGCAATTGGAATTGTCCGTCGAAAAGGGGGGATAACTAACCCGTACTGCGACATAATGTTAGTATTTTTGTCTATATTGCTAGTAGTAAAAGTAAAATATTGAAGAAATGATGTTTAAGAAGGAGGATTAGAGTTCTAAGAAAGAAACTCAATGCAAGTTTGGGGCTCTGATCTGGATGGTCTGGATGGTCGAGTGTTGAAACACTCAAGGGGTGAATTTCTTACACTCATGGCGCCTCCCTGGGATTTTCTGTACTAGGGAGGTAAAGGGCTATTCCAAAAGGATGATTAGTCGGTGTCGGTAACCCTTTTATTCGTGCAGATCCCAAGATATCAATGTTTGTGGATTTCAGATTTCGAAGGGGAAAAAACACAAAGAAGTATTAAAGTTTTAATTAAACAAGAGTTATGAAATCGATATCACAAAGTTTACAGCGACCTCTTGGAATGAATGAAAGAAGGAGAGGTGCTCTTTTAGTTTGTTTTCGAGAAGTGCTAATCTGACAGCTGAACCTTGAAGACTAAAAATGGTCTGGGGACTGGGATATGGATGGACAAGGATGGGACTGGTCCGACAGGTGGAGTGCTACGAGTGGCCCTGTACCCCTTTAGGCAATATTTGTACATGCCTTGGTACATGTAACAACGGTTCATCGTATCGTAGCGCGTGCTTCAACCAATCATCGGCAAGTTTGTTTCTATATACACAGCCATGATGAATCTAATTGGTTTCGCAGAATACAATCTCTAACAAGTGCAATCGACGCCAGAGTTACTAAGTTGATATGCATATCGAGGTACATGAATCCTTTGGATATATAGCGTATTTCTATGATCCGGATGCCTAAAAAAGGCTTTAATATGTTTACATATTTTATATTTTATAGAATTTAAGTTCTATCACACATATGTACATAACCATCATGGATGTTAACTTTGATAAGAATTTTTGTATTATGATTATATCCACTGCGGTGACTACTGTGCCTGCGAGTAAGATTGAATGGCAGGGCAATATTCTTTTAGCTTAGCCTACTAAGAGCGTAGTTCGCTGTTAAGAAGCCCCTACCGACCCCTAACTGCCCCTAGCGAGGTGGCATGGTGGCAGTGATCAACAGCCAAACTTTCCTTTTCCTTGTTTTAATCCATCTTTAAACCATCGATTCAAATACCACTTCAACTAACCGCTGTCTATCCCTTTTACCAAGGCGGCACAATATGTGTGTAAAAGGGATATGGATATGGACATCATTGTCTAGCGATATTGACCGTCTTACTCAACTCATAATTCTCACTTGAGCGGTAAGACTTTGGCTTCTGGAACATCTTGTTCTATCGTCATCGTCTACTCTAACATAGTGACTTGCCAGGATCATCAAGCGACACAGATCTAAATATGGCCGAGCTGAGGTTGCACATGCAGCACTAGCCAACCAAGCCAGCGCCAGCAAAGCACAGCCGCTATTTGGCTTTTGCATTTTGCATTTCAGCATTTCAGCAACTTCATTCAGAACATGTACGTTGACTGATTGATTACCATTGCATGTCCAAAACTCGGCAGGAGAATTCGGAGAATATCGAATGTCTTACAACTCGATCACACGGTCTGCTGGGAATTCTTCGTTGCCTGTCCAAGTGACACAAATGGCACTGGAGATCATGGCTAAAGTGTCGGATCGACCTATACCATTGACATATTCGGTGCCATTCAACAACACATGTTTTGATCCTGTCGCTGATCAATACCAAGTGCTACCTCAACTCCGCAATATTCAGTCTATGTATTTTCCGATTCGCTCCGTTACATCGGAACCCGTTCTTGAGCGGCTCTTCTGTCTCGCCCGGACCGATCAGGTTACCTTCGAGACTCAGGTCACGCAAAGCCACCTACATAATGGGTTACATTGATTCTGCTCAGACTTTAGGCTCCGGCATATAAATGTGCATCCGTATAGCGCCACTGTAAGAAGCCATAACGAGCTATGCCGTCGAATGATCCTTATTCTCGAATTTAGCTGTGATCAACATAGCCGTATTCGAATGGTCGAACCGCGCGTTGCATGTCAGCAACTTGTGTAGCGAAACACCAACAGGCTACAAGATTTTGACTCGAGTTCAGAAATTCCAATTCGTCGATATTTACGAATATCATCTTCGCTGTTACACCATATATCATATATTTAGCATATTGTGTTCTGTAGGTTTTTTTGCTAGTAGGTGCATATACGTAGCAAACAAAATGGAATATACATGATACTAATGTAGGGCTATAGGCAACACTATTCCAATGCTATACCCGTGATATAAGTGACTTCATCTCCAAATCAAAAGCAATCCTCAGGTTGCACCATCTCCAGGCTCCCGTATTTACAACAGTCTTAGAGGATGCATAGATCGGCAATCCCCCTCATATGTACTCAAGTAAGCCAGGAAATGACGTAGACGAAATAATTCCTAGGAATTCAAATGGACATTCACATTGGATGTCTGTCTAGCAAATAGAGCGCGAGCTCCTCTATCACCACCTAATCCGCCTTAATCCTCTCCAAGCCACACATTCATCCATCCATTCACGCAGCCTCCCATCAAACAACCGCATAGGCAGACGCATAACTCACACTCGAATCCGCCACGTCCTCCACCAAACTACTCCGATCATACCGCACGAACCTAAACCTGTACTTCCCCTGCCCGGGGCTCTCCCTCGCCAGCTCCTCCAACGCCGCCATCGTAACACCAATCGGATGGCGTCCGCACACCGTGTTCTTCGTCTGCTTGAGGTTATCCACGAACCCGGTATGGTCGCCCGACGCGACCGCGTCCATGGCCAGTTGGTCGACTTGCTTGATACTCTCGTGGATCGGCGGGTTCGTCGGCCGCGCCGCCCGCCGCGCTAACGACTGTATCTCCGCCACCTTGCCCCCCGGCGCGTACGCCGTGTAGCTGAACCGCGTGCCCCAGTGGCAGAAGTCCGAGCTTACGACCCAGGCGTTGCCCGGGTCAGAAAGGTACGGCGCTAACAGCTTCCCGAACTCCTTCTCCTCGGCCCCGTTGTTGTCGCCGATGAGGATGGGCACGATGGTGGGGTACTCCGTCTCGGAGGCGAAGGTCTGCGTTATCCGCTTGTAGATGTACGGTAAGTGCATTTCTAAAGAGTGCTCGTCCACGTCGCCTTGGCTCGGTATGTCCTGGAACTTCCCTGTGTCGCGGAGTGCCTGCACGATTTCTTCGTCGACGGTGAGGTCGCCGAACGGGGTTTCGTATTTGGCGAATTTGGTTAAAGCGCAGCCGCGGAGGTAATACGTGTGCGAGGGACCGAGGACGAAGACTCGTTTCGCTTTGCTTAGATCGAGGGACTTGTACGCCCAGGCGGCACAGGGGCCGGAATACGAATATCCTGCGTGCCTTTGAGCGTGGCAGAGTTAGGATTTCCGTGATGACGACGGAAGGTAAGGAAGAAAACCTACGGCGCGATCACGACCTTGGCACCGGGGATAGGGAGCCCGCTCCCATCGATGGAGTCCGGCACGCGACTCAGGAACTCGTCTAGCTGGCCGGAGAGGGTATCGGGGTCCCCATCGTACCAGCTATCGGCATGGCTAGCTTCTCGAGTTCCTTTCAGCTTCATTGTTCACGTAGAATCGCACCGTAGATGTGTCTAGCGTTAGGTGTTTAGGGAGGTGTAGGAGAGAACCGAAACGAGGGAAAGCAAGATAATTACATATTAAAGGCAAGAGTCATTGACTGATCTCGACATCGGATAGGTCCGGGTACCTGTTGATCAACATCAGGTAGCACCTACCCCGCTGCCCCGCGTGAATGCCTTATCGGAAAGCTTAGGTGGGCACCTATGACCTCAGGGCTAGGGGAGTGTGGCAGGTAAGGGGCTAGTAAAGTGTGGCTAAGACGTCGTTACACAGGTAGATAACTACCTAGGAACACCTGTTGGATTTTTGACATTTAAAAATATTTACCATAGTACAGCTATTTAATATAATCAACTCCGCTAGGAACCTATTTCATCATTATATCCCATCATACGCTCATCGGCGTTATTACAAACTCTTTCTAGAGATATACGCAGTCTGGTTTCTAGTCTTCATGTTACAGAAAAAGCCCCGGGAGAATTCCGTCGCTGGCAGGCGTGGCGGACCTGATCAGGTGCTGAGGGCATTTAGTCGGCATTGATTCTCCTTGCGACTCGTAAAAGAACTTCGAAACGACATGTTCGTGCATTGGACCGGGTTCCGAGCATCGTAACCGAACAATCCCAGAATTCAGTTGCGGCCAACATGAATGACACCAATAGTAGCCTGGATGTTTATCCCACTTTCCAGCGGTGGCCTTGTGCAAGATCCGGCGGCATAGCTTATTAGAGCAGTAAACCATACCAATCACGTTGGGCCAGTTCGCTCTAAACATCAGAATGCCACCTTCCGCCAGCATCATCTTGTTGCTTATCAATTGCAACTGGCGGCATAAGTGGTTACAATGGTGCGCTACCGATTAAACAACGTTAGCAAATGGCTCTTTGGTCTAGAAGATTAACGGGATAGTGTCAATTCTCGGGGATGAAAAGTATTTCGAAAACGACATACCAGACATAAAGAACTTGAATCCATCCTCATGCCGGTTCGTATCACCCAGCTTGAACCTGTTTCTATCCTTCGTATGAATCGCAGGATCAGTTAGTAAGTTGCCTACACCTTGCAAGTCGTTGATTAAAATGCGACCAAATGAGCGCTCGAATGTGAAGTGCGAGAACGCCTGTGCCGCATCATTGGATGGATTCTCGTTGGGATTAACGTAGGTATAGGGATCGTTGTATTTGACGTAAGGTCCATTAATATGAGGCTCGAGCGAGATGCACTCGCTTTCAATACCTACAGAGGCTTTGCTCGTTAGTGCCGTTGATATGACGAAGTCGATGGAGTATTTTGGATCGAGCAAGGCATTGAATTCGACTGCAAATTCTTTGCACATGGCCTGGCACTCCATATGCTCGGCGAGCTTGGCAAATTCATGGCTCTTCTCCTTAAGCGACTTCACTACAAAATGATCGGTGGAGACTGGTGTGCGTGCATAAGCTGTTGTGCGTAGCCCGCCTTGACTGAATGGTGTCGACCGCGCGTCGATGACTAGTTTGATGAAACTGGTTCCGATTTGGTCATCCAGCGCCATCATGTCATTGAACTTGTCGGCTCTGTGCTCAGCCAAGTCAGGGCATAAGCCTTCAACTATTAGTCTTTTATCGAGCCAACCAGGAGTATTCCACTGTGGCGAGACGTTCTCCACGAGAACTTCCTCGGTCTTTTCTTCATTGATGGCAGGAAGATGCACTGTCGTTCCAACACCTCTGCCAATGGTCGTACTTCTTTCGCTCGATAGACGGCTTGCTGTCCGAGATATCGAGCTACTGACAGATTTAACCACCAAGTGCTTGAGTAAGTCGAAGGTCATGCCGAGCTGTAGCTCTTCAAATTTCAACGCGACGGTAACGCTATTCTTCGCATACGCCCCAAAGGCTTTGCTAGCTTGAGAGTCCGCGTTGTAGCGGTTTGCCTTGTGAAGTTTGACTTCTGCATGAGCCGTCTTGTAAACTGCAGAGAATGCCGAGGCCATGAGATCCGTATCTTCGTTGATACGCAGTAGCGCATAGTTGACGTTCAGGCGAACTAAGCGGTTGAGAAGTGGCTCATAGGTGAGCCGGTGCGGCTCGCTCCCAGGCTCGAGGTAATCATCGCATCGGATACTCATCATATCGTGCAGATTACGGCCATGCGGGGGCGCGTCGGTGATATGGATGATACATCGAGACTCCTGGAGCCAACTGGCATTGATCGCCTGTTGAATGCCACCGAGAACGTCTTCAGGTAAGTCGCCGCCGCCGCCATTCATAACGACAAGCATATCTAGAAACATGTTCGCCTTAGCTGTATCCGGAGTGAAATCGAGGAATTGGATATTAGGATTGTCTGCATGGTCTTTGTATCCGACTATGGCGACACGAATCACGGATTCGTTGAGAAAGTTCTCTTTAACCCTGGCGACGATATCCTTAACTTGCTCCCGGGCAGCTTTTATATAGGGACTCATAGATCCAGTCGTGTCTATGAGAAACAGCAAATCTACCGAACATGCCTTCTTGAACGATCCTGCCGTGGAACGTGGCGGCGTCGCCATTTTAGCGGAGGTAATATCCCGTTTCATCTTTTGGAATTGAGCCACGCTCTTGGTCGACGCTGTACTAGCAGCCTGCACCCGGTTGCCCGACAAGCGTAGCTTTGATAAATCTAGAGAGTCTGGCATATTGTCTAACCTCGGTGTAGAGTACGACCCTATTATCGGTGGGCGGCTTGCAACCGGGGCTCTATAAGAGGTGGGAGTTGGTGCAATCCGTGAACCACTTGAAGGTGCTGGTGTATTTTTAGATAAGGGTGGTGGTGGTATCGACTTTACAGATATTCCAGCTTGGGATGCTACGGAAATTGGCAGAGAGGCTGGCTGGGGCGCTGAAGCTTGTTTATATATTGGCGGCATAAAGTTTGTAGGTAGAGGAGCTGGGGGAGCAACCGAAGCGGTTGTTGACCAGGATGGTGGTAATGGCACGTTTGCGGGCGACAAGACATTCTGTCGTGGGATGTTTGGACGGGATGAAGCTATTGAAGATGTCGGAGTGGGCATCTGGGAGCTCAAACTAGATGGATAAGAGCGCAAGGTCTCTCCGGGTATTTGGGAATCTGCTCTTGGTGTATTTGATGCTAGGGGTGAGGCGTGTGACCAACAGGACAGAGGAGGGTTCATATTGACAGCAGCGAAGTCGGTGTGAGCGACGAAAAAAAGAAGGAAAAGAAAATGGTAAAAAGAATGTATCTAGTGCTCTCATTAATATAGGAAAAGTTCAATCCGTTCGGGTCTCAACTTGATGTAACTCTAAGAGCCTGCTGCTGGCGGAAGCCTAGAGTTAACCTATTAGAAAGGAGAGGCTATGCCCTATCACGACTCTATACAATCTGATGCGAACCTATCCCAACACGGCTGCCGAATTAGCAAACCAAAATCAAGCATAGGTTATTCCTGCCAGACAGAGAAATTCCTGTAAACATGATATGACTAGAGCCTTTGACAGTCTGCTGGCTCATCTTTCTTTAGTCTCCGTTGATACACACCAATTACGTTAGATGAGCTGTACCATTTTCCCCATCTCAAGTTACTAGAGGACGAAGTGAAGAGCCGCTGAAGGGTATTATCGGGTTCCTGTGCTGGCGCCTTGTTCATATAACGTACATACGTACTATGTCGTATTTCATCTGACAGCTCAGCCCAGCCTGCTGCGAAGGGTACCATTCTAAGCGGCTTGATCGGCTGCTCCCCGCTTGCGGTTTTCAGGGACGAATGGAAAACAGAGGATAGACTATGACTCAAAACCTGCGGTCTGGATACCATCGCAAGTTCTGGCCAGTTGATCAGCATTTCCTAAACGTTGACCTAAAGATCCGACGTAATATTAGACGTTCCGATAACCCGCAATACCAGGATCCGGTATGGGTCCGTCTAGTGGATATAGACCCGGAACTTCGGAGAAGGATCGTCCACAATTCAAGGGATCCAAGACCGTGGAAATAATTCTATTTGCGTAAGCAACTTTTAAAATCTGTGAAGAGTCAAAGGTCATAAGAGATATGGAAGAGGGAAGGGAAGAAGAATATCGGGCTCTTAAGTTAAACTTTAGCCCTAACCCCACTGCCCCCCGCGTCTTGTGTTACCTACCTGTAGCAGTTATAATATAGGTACCTACCTACCTAATATTTGATGTAAGTGTCCAACGTAGTTTCCTACCTTTGATTGTATACTTATTTGGTACTCGTTTTCTCTTGATTTCATTATCAGTTTACCTATATTAGTGCATCATGTTTGTCGGAAACAGTGCCTACCTAGGTAGGTATGCAACATCCATCCCAGGCTTTGGCGGAGTGTATAAAATGAGCTCTGTTATATACCTGGTGCCTACCTCCCAGGTCGACACAATTCCTGTGGAGTTCAGGATATACATCTCGGCGACAGACATCATTCATCATGTCGACATCAGAAAATTCCTTTCCTAAAGACATCTCTCATCATACCATTAATAAACTATTAAAGTCCATCACGCTACCAGAGGCAACTAATATTGTTCACAAGATAGACACCAACTTCCATGCCATCTACATGATAACGTTGCCACCCGGCCAAAAGAGTACTTGTGGGTGTGAGCCGTTTTATCATAATGAGTTGGTCCTCTGCGTTTCTGCGGACTACTGGCCTAGCATCAAGATCGAAAATGAGCTAGGTGTTATGAATTACATTTCTAATTGTATTACCAAGGTTTCCGTGCCAACGTTACATTTATGTGAGAACACAAGAAATAATCCATTAGGTTACGAGTACACGCTATTAGCTCGCGTTCCTGGCGATACTCTAAGTGACATCTGGCAAGGCCTAGACGATCAACAAAGGGACGGGATTCTGGACCAGCTTGGGGACATCCTTGCCGAGCTGCATTCTCATAAGTGGTATGGAATTGGCGGCATTGACGAGGAATTCTGGATGTCTAGTGATGGCGACCGTGATCGCCTAGATAACCTATCACAGGTCATAGATGAAACTTTCTGGACCATTTCCCAGACAGCACTCTGGCCCGCTGACGAAACGATACAGAGTCTTAACACTAGTGGCCCATTCAAAACCTACACAGATTACATATCAGCCCAGATCAGTCTCTATATACGTCAAATACGACTGCACGACAATCTCGAGTTCTACCGGCTCCAATCATATCGCCTCGAGGCATTCTTAACTGTTCTGGAAGAGCACGCCGAAGAGCTCAATAAGACTCGGTTCATCCTCGCTCACAAGGACTTGCATTTCGGCAACATCATGTACGACCGGAAGTCTGGTAAGATCACCTCAATCCTGGACTGGGGGTTCGCCGGCGTGGTGCCGGCCCCGAAGTGGAACCCGCGCAAGGCGTTTCTCTGGGACTGCGATAGTTCCGAGAAGGGCAAGGCGGCGAGAGATCTTCTTATGCAGAGGTTCATGCAGCGCTGCGAGGCCAGGGGCGTGAAGCCGTTACCTGACGAAGTAGAATATACGTCGCCGCGCCAGAAGGCGATGCAGGAGATCGCGGACCACGTGAGGGCAATCATCGAGGTCAAGGTAAAGAATCAATACTCGGAAACCACTAAGATGCAGCTACAGCTCGACGAGCGGGTAAAGGAGTGGGAAGATACGGTATCCAAGGCCCTAGAGGTCTTCGGCATTTCTAGCTCTGTATCTATTAAGTAGACGTCTACGTTGTAACGATAGTTAAATATTAGCGACAGCCGTTTAATAAAAGTAGGTATGTTAGATAAGTACGTAGTCCGACAGATTATTCTTCATTTCTACATAATACCTCACTGTATGCTTTTGGAAGAAAAACCCAAAAGGAATTCTATAAGTTCTGCTTGGTATCAGCTTTAGTCGATGTAAGATTTCGAGTTCAGCTATCACACCATATTCCGAAGTTCCAAAATCCGATCTCAGGATTCCTACAAGCTTCTATGAAATAGCCGAGGGACGATCTCCTTTCGTTATAAATAGCATCGGTGCTTTATCTCGCATTTTGAGGATTTTGATATGCCTAATGGAGCGCATGTTATTTATTCCATTACCTAACAAAAGGATCACACTGCAGGAAATGCATGTGCTTCTACTGCTGAAAAGTGTATGCCTCGGCTAGAAGACAAAAACTCTTATGTATTGTTAAGACTGTATCTTATAGTTGTACTAATAGTGATGTTTCCATGCTGGGGATGAACTTGTGATAAATCTGCCAATGGCTTCTTACAATCCTAAGTTGCTTCTTTGACTATCAATACCTTGGGTACCTAGATAAACCAATGCCAATTATCCAATTTGAATACACACCCACATACAAAGTAGACACTTAGTGATATGCCCCTATCCTGACATGCGAGCAATTACATCTAGATCGAATAACGATCTTACTGCCATTGGCTTTTACTATGTCAAATACCCCTTAGTCACAAAGAAGCTTACGATAACACCTTCACTGTTACTTAGGACGCGAGAGGCTTGAGGAACAATGTTAGGTACTTATATATTTCTTCAACCATCCAACGTCATGTTTATACCCAGCAAAAACTGCCATTGTTATACAACACCATGTGTCTCTATTAGGTACCAGCAACAGCAGGCACCACACGCAAAAGACAAACAAGATCCCTACCTACGTATTCGCCCAAACTCCATGCTATCCTTCCAACAAAAGCTTCTTCAAAGCCTCATTCAACGATCTTTTCAAACACATACTCTCCCCTTAGCTTAAAAACGGCGGCCAAACCACACCTTTTTCACATACCACCTCAACACACCCTAAGCCTCTGAATCCCAGCCCACCCCAAACCCCCAACCCAGACCTTCTTCCCCGCACAAATCAAACACCGTCGCGGCTCCCCCAGGTTCGTGATCGAGCAGTGCGAACACACGTGCTTGCCGCAGGAGCCACACCCCGTGTCCCCTGTCTCCGCACCGAACCCGTCGACGTCCATCGCGTCGCCCTCGTGGAGCCCCTGTCCGCAGTCCTCGCAGTTAGAGGGGCCGTCGCAGGGGGGACGGTCGATGAGGGTTGTGGTGTGTATGTTGGGAGTAGAGGGGGTGGTGGTGGGGAGGTTCCAGAAGCTGTGGAGGGAGGCTTGGGCCTGGGCTTGGGGACGAGGCTGCAAGGAGAGGGCAGACAAGTTCGTCGCGGCGAAGTGGTGCTGCTGGGAGGCGAGGTGTTGTTTTTGTGCTGTGTACAGCTTGTTCAAGGTCCGTTCTGCGAGTCTGGTGAGATGATGGGAGGATTAAGGGTGAGAGTGCTTCGTGGTTGGTACTTACGGTGGATCTCCTCGTCGGAGGGACGGCTGTCCCGGAACCGTTTTAGGGTTCGGCTGTGTAGATGTGAAGGCGAGGTCATTCGGATCGGAGAGGTGTCCAGGTCCATGGCGGAGAAGTGGTCGGCTCGCGGGGGTGAGCTGAAGGGGCTGCTGGAGAGGGAGGATTCGGAACGCTTGCGCTTGAGAACCATTTTGAGGGTTGGAAGTGGTGGTGTGGTGGTGTGGTGGTGTGGTGTGAGATGATTGTGTTCAAGCGAAGAAATATCAATTATTAGGTAGGCAGATACAAATTGTAGAGCCTTGTTACTGTTTAACAGAATAGTGTGTGTGTGATGAGGTGAGATGAAAAGTCGAATGTTGGAGGGTTCGAAGTCGGAATTGACGAATGGAGAATGCGGGTTGAGAATTAAATGAGAGTACTTTGTATCCGTGGAACTTTATCTATTGGTACGAATTGGTAATTGACAATCGCGAGTGGCTGGGAATCGCGACCCGTCGCGCTGTGGAACGCTTCCCATAGCGCGAACCCCACTAAATTTATAGCGCGTTTAGTTCGCGTAGATTGCTTGCCAAGCCTTAATGTTTTATCCAGCCAGCTGAATAACTTACATAAGCGGTTTAATCGAAGGTTGAATTGAAACTGTCAGCGTGAACCTTCACTTTTCACATTTCCTACATATTTCTATGAACATCTCATGTTGCCTATACTCACATGCTAAATACCCTCTCATCGAAGACTGACAATTGCGATAATCAATCGAAGTTATGTAAGTCACCACTTGCGCTACAAAGCACATAAATAAATCTGGAAATTATCCAACATCGACGAGACACATAAACATCACTTCAAGCAATACTAAAACTATCAGGGGCGTGAACCATTCAATGTCTATTATATACTATTCAAACAATCAAGGTCGTCTTCATTTTCTTATCGCCCCACCTCCACCTCCTTGACATCAATTCTATTAGCTCACATAAAGCATCCTTGAACCAAGAAACCCTCATGCAATGCCAATTTGTGTGTATGTGTGTGTGGTATAGTATAAATCATCAAGTTTAAATCCAGGCGTATATCCCAAAAACACCCCTAGAATATCCTTCTAGAAACAGCAACAAGACATCGGCCTTTCCTAGGCTTGGTCTCAAGGTAGAGTTAAATGTTTATTTACAAAAGAATAGCTCCGACGAGGACACCGAAGGCGGCGGCCCCAGTGCCCATCATCGAGCCGGAGACGTGGATGGCAGCGTTGCCGGTAGGGGTGGCGCTGGCGCTGGTTGAGCCAGACGAAGCTGCGGTTGCGGCAGATGCAACGGAAGAAGCAGCGGAGTGAGCGCTGGCTACTGCGGAAGAGGCGATGGAGGCGGCGCTGCCAGTGGCGGTAGCGGCAACACTCTCGGCACTGCTGATGGCGGCGCTAGCGGAAGCTAGAGCTGCAGAGGCGGCACTGGAGCCCTTGCTCTCAACGCTGTTAACGACCGACGAGGCGATGCTTCCGGCGGTGCCGGCTACGGATGAAGCGAAGCTCTCAGCGTTGCTGGCGATAGAAGTACCGGCAGCGGCGGCGCTGCTGGCGACGGATTGGCCGAAGCTTTGGGCATTGCTAGCAATAGACTGTCCGACAGACTGACCGGCGCTGGCGAGCGAGGTGGCTAGACTTTCGGCGGAGCTAGCTATCGATTGGCCTATCGATTCCCAGTCCTGGCGCTCCTCGAGTCCGTTGGCGGCTCCCCATTGGGCTGCGAGACTGCTTGCGGCGGCGACAGCAGAGCTGGCTACGGCAAGAGCAGAGCTCTCGGCCGCGGCGGCGTTCGGGTCGTTCTCATACTGCTTGGCGACCGAGCTGGCATAAGCCTCCGCGGAACTGGCGACGGCGAGGGCCTCCGAAACGGCCTGTTGCCAGTCTTGACGTTCCTTTAACACAGGGGCCGGCGTGATCATCGGGTCCCGGGGCACCTGGACGACGTGTGCGGCGGCCAGGGAGGCGGAGAGAAGGGTTGCCGTGGTGAAACGCATGTTGACTGATTTGATGGTGTAATTGGTGTGTATTAGGTAGTTTGACGCCTTGTGAATGCAATAGTCCCGTGTGAGGAGGTAAATTATTGGGTCAACTCTAGGGAGAATATTTCTTTGTTTTATACATCTGAAGGAATGAGAGGAGCCCTCCCATCTCACATAAGCCACACCCGACAGCGACCAATCAGGGAGTTAAATGAGATACAGCCCCCCCGGATTTTAATTAGCCATGCCCTTGCAAGCTATTTCAGTGGGCAGGTTTGCCAGGCTTGGTACGCTGGGTACGTAAAAGCTTGCTCCCACTCCATTGGATACGCATTGGGCTACAAGGCGCATCATCATTAAGGGACGATCATCGGCCAGGGTTAAACTGCCTTAGTGCCAAACGTCAAATGACGGCTGTCTTCCGTTTCTGTGCGGAGCCATATCGACTCTTTGTCTTACACCGTCGAACTCCCATCCGATGGTTCCCAATATTCGCCTGCTGCCTACCGGAAAACCTTTGACCTCTCAGCCTCTAGGCTTTCGTCATGAATCATGTCTGTGGTGTGGTGGATCGCCGGAGGTTGACGGCGCCGTTGATCTATACTCTACGCGGCATCGGATGGCTTACTCAAAAACATCGATAAATAAATCACAAAATGTGAGCACGTCCTAAACGGACAATTGTTTATTCTTCCTGGGTGATGGCTGGATAGGGAAATGTTCTAGACAACGCAGCCATGCCAAGTCTCGTAACAGGTAATTGTTTTCACAATCGCGAGAACTATGACGAATTACGACCGGTCTGGTGCGTGCCGTGGTGTTTTTGCCAGTCTCGGACTATTTCGGTGCAGTATTGGAGCTTTAGGGGGCAGAGGGGCAGCTAGCTAGGACTCGGTTTGGCGGGTTCAGCGCAACATGGAGCCGCATAGAGGATGTTGCTTGGAATACATTGCGCTGTAATCTACCGTTATTAAGCTAAACATGGCATCGCAGCATGGGTTAGTTGGCACCGCCCCCTTGCTTAAATCCCTAGCTGCATTTCTGTGCCATGGCAGCGCGATGGGTAGCGTAAAGCGAAGGGGACGGCAGCATTGAATTGAAACGAAACATCGCGAATTAAACGAACGTTAGGCTCGTTAATAGCTAGAAAGTTGGTTAGGTTCTACCTGTACCTGCCTTAACGAGGTCGCTGTAACTGCTAAGCAAACCGAAGGAGCCGGTCCTTATGCGAGTCGTGTGTCTCATGTATCGCAGTCTTGGCGATCTCCCGAGTGCGAGGTTCTAGGCTATTTTCAGCCTGGCGTTGCTCTTGGAGTTGGTTAGCGTTGGCAGAGAGTGCCGAGGTAAGGCGGGTTAGGATGTTTAGAGCAGTCCTATTGTAGAGACTAGGGGCGAACACGTCACGGAGACAAGCAAGCGATGAGGCTTGGACGAACCCCAAAATATATGTTTTCCTATTCGGGAGCTATTTTCGCGAATATGCTTTGTTGCTCCAGGTCATGCCTTTACACGATTTCGCCATCGTTCGTGGCTCCCTGAGTTACGTAGACTCAGCTGGTGCAACTCAGTCAGACCATGGAGATGGGGTACGAGTGCCCTTGATTCGATCGCGTCTATGCGAGGGCATCGTTCCGGATCGCTATCAATGTGTCAAAGATTCAACGTGCAGCTATGTGAGAATTCAAGCCACAGTGCTGATGTAGCGCACGGGATGGCCTAGAGGATTACTTGCAGATTGAATCATCAACGACCTGTATTGTGCAATTCCTATTATTCTAGCCGTTGCCACGCCTGTCTTCAGCACTGTCGATCGCCCGCTATTTCTCAACGGTGTCGATATCTGATTCCCTGTGTTCCCTGAGCTTACTGTGTAACTGGTTACGATCGCCCCAAACCACTACTTTTTCTTTTTTTAGGTACTACACTCTTATTCGTCCGTGTTATTACATCGCCTACCTTCAGGACCAAACATTGATCTTGTTGCATCGTTCAGAATTTCAGTGTTTGCAACACCCGAGACCCTGTGGGGTCCATTGTACAGCGGACTATTAGTAACGGAGATAATGTCAACAAAGCTTCTAGTTCAAGGTAGAGATTACCGTGATAACCTCCAATATGAACGCCAATATTATGTAGGTATGAACTACAATCAAGATACAAGTCTCATTTTGCTTTTCGACATTTTAAAAAAGAACACCTTGCCGACAACAGCTTAGCGAAGATCGAGGTTAGATCCAGTTCGTTTCCAGAGTTAGGGATCCATGGGAGCTAAGCTAGGCTGCGCTTACGGGATACTGCAGTGTAACGCTACCACGGTGTATTCATCCGTATGGCGGGGAGGCGTAGGAGTGATCGTGAAGGATAACAAAGTGCTGACGCTGACATCTTATTTCGCCTTATGTTTCCCTATCGCCTCACATCGCGGAGCAAGATTCCTTAAACAGTGTATTTACGGTAATTTGCATCTTGGGATGGTATCTAGAGCGATTTCTCGCCGACCACTGGTTTATCTTTAGTCTCTTGCTCAATGTTGCACTTTTATGTACTTTAGTTCTGCACGTTCAAGCCACCGGAGCTGTCACGGACGGCCTCATGCTTGTGGTTGCTACGTAACATCGTCCTGAGCGACATGGGGAGTACATGAGAAAAGCGCCGACGTTAGCCATCGTGTTGTGCAGATATCTAGAAGTATTCTAGACATATCCGTCTCCGCCAGTCCGGTTTCCCATCCGAACATGCAGTATCTTTGGCTTCGGGAGGTGGCGTGCAGGCGAGCTGGATATGTACCGAGCTCCCAGAATAGAGGTGGCTGGCTTCATTTACGTAGGTGGATAGTAGCACACGACTATGCGCCAAACCTATGGTAGGTGCGGAGCGGAAGTTAATTATCATCGTACTCTCCGAGATGGCGTCCGCTAAGTAGTAGGTAAGACTCGTAGGCACGCGTCTATCGGCTCTGTTATTTCGATGCAGTTAGCGGCGGCGTCTGCAGCCACAGTAGTAGTACATGTAGGTTGAGTGAAGGGCCAGATCCGATTTAGATATGTAGCTGCCATTCAGGAATCTTCGATGAGGTCGCCATCGGCTGTAGAACTGACAAATGTCTAAACATTCGGCCGAATTATTCAGCCATCGGTCACAACTTATCACTGTAGCCTAGCTTCATAGATAAAGCATCAGATAGACACTTTGGATGAGATCTGTCTCAGGATAGGAGTTATGATATGTATAGGTACGGCGAAGAGCATACCATTTGGGGAGCAAGTAACACAACCGGGTACGGTATCGATGGCGATAGTCTAGACGGAGCTGTAAGAAGTCTCCTTGTAGAATTGAGAAGTACCTAATACGTACGAATTTGAGTACCAGATCGGTTTACCTAGGGAGGTATTCAGACAATCAGTTAAGCATCTTGAATTCCAGCCAGTGGCGTTGTCGGGGAGGTCGCAGTTCCTGTACGATCCATCAAACACTCGAGGATATATCGTTGAAAATAGTGTGAACTATAGCTGCTCATATTGACAATTACCAGTTGATTGTAGAGGAGATGCGGATTCCCTGCAATAGGTAGTGTCAAAGAAGAGAGAAATTAAAGCGAATATCATGAAAAGGGGGCTCATTTCTGACAGAGATATGAATGCATTATAAACACTCAAACAATTAGAGATATACACATAGGTACCTAGGTAGCTATTATGTAGGTAGACGTTGTTAGATTCATGTAATTGATCTTATAGACATTAAGGTATTATACTAAATAATTCATTATCCTTAACACCTAACACCCCATGAACAACATCACGTAGTAGCCTTCGCTTCATGCAGTCGCACTTGTACACCCGTGCCGGACCGATTCTCAATAGCATGGTGTAAGCGGATCCGGCCGTCACCTTCTTCCATATTCTCTATGCGGTCGTACTTCTGGCAGAACCGGGAGACGACGTAGCTGACCTCCTGACGACCGAATTGTTCTACGTGACAGGTTAGCAAACATCTACTACTACCACCCTTTCAAAGGGAAAAGCAAGCGATGGGGTCAAAGAAGGGGAGACAAGGAAAAACTTACGACCCAAACACTTCCGCGCACCAGCCCCAAACGGAATGTACTCCCATCCAGCACGATGCGTCTCCCACCTCTCAGGGCGGAACTCCTCGACATCAGCACCCCAGATATCAGCGCGATGTTGCATCGCATACAACGGGATAAGCACCTGTGTGCCTTCGGGAATAAAGACACGCGCCTTGCCATCGGGTCCGCCTCCCCTCGGTAACACCGTGTCCCGCAGGGCGATGCGCTCGTTCAACGGGATCACAGTGACGAAACGCAACGTCTCGCTGATGATCCACTGTAGATACGAGACCTGCGCCAGCGACCGGAAATCCGCCGGTCTATCGTCGAAACGATCTATAATCTCAGCCCTCAGTCTAGCGAACACGCGCGGGTACCGCGCCAGGAAATACAGGACCCAGCCTAGCAAGCAACCCGTGGTATCGCGTCCGGCGATAAGCACATGTAGCGTCTCATTACGGAGCTCGCGGGGGTCTTGCGTCTCTTTCACTAGCTCGTTGAGGAGATTGAACCGCGCCCCTTTCTCCGGGTCCTTGTCGACCGGGTTCGCGAGCCGGTCCGCGACCAGGCCGTCGGCGAAGGCGTGGATCGCGGCGCAGTGCTCCTTGAACTCCGTGCTGTTCATCAGCCAGTAGAACTTGGCGAGAGCGCCGCGCTTGTCGATCCATACTTTCGCTGCGTTGAAGTGGCTCGCTAGGTCCTTTTTCTTCACCTTGGTATCTGGGTTTAGGCTTTGTTGTTCTTCGTCTTGAAGTAGAGAGTTGGCGGATTGCCCGAAGATGAACTCTGTTGAGGTGTCGAGCGTGAACTTGAAGAACAGCGGCGCGAGGTCGACTTTCCCTGTCCATCCCGTGCTCGAGTCTGCGGGCAGCCGCCGCCACAGGTGCGAGAGGTGCTGCTCCTCGAGCTGCGGGTCGCTGATCATTTCTCTTGCGAACTGCGGCCGCAGCAGGGCGCGACTGTGCTTCCAGATGTCGCCACGGCTAGTAAAGATCCCCTTGCCGAGGAGCGGCATCCATGATAGCTGCCTGTGGTGGCTGATATCGAAGTCCGGGCTCGTGAATAGGGCCCGCGCGTTCTCCGGATCCCGCGTCACGACGATCTCGTAATCGATGATCGGCACCTTGATAGTGTGGCATGACGGCGACACGCTGTCCATCTTAGCCGCGACATACTGCGGCCCCCGGTCCTCCTTGGTGGCTTTCATCGACTCCCGCAAGATCGAGTTGCCGATGAGGTTTGTGCTACGCAACACGGGCGGCTGCAAGCACCCCAGTGCGGCCGCTTTGGCATTGTTGCGGCGCTTCTTGAGCTTTGATTTGATTATCGTGTATGTTATGAAGACGACGAGCAGCATAAGAGCGCTGCTCACGTATCTGGCCATCTTGGCTTGGGAAACGATGGTGATAGTCGCTACTGTGCGAAGCAGCGACCTCTGGAGATTAGTGAGAGTCAAGTAAGATTTAACAGTGGATATCTAATGAGAAAAAAGAGAAAAAAAGAAAGTGAGTCGTTTCGAAGCTCTGAAAATACCCCTTAGTCATCCTCCTACATTGACGTAAGGGGTTATATTATGTTCAAGATATTGCCCTTTGTTCTGATTCCGTCGCCCTCGATCCTTCAACGCAACATTCCTATTTTCTCAAACCAGATCTCGTCATGGGATCGAACAGCTGAATCGGAAGCCAAGTTCTAGCTTCCCTAGTAGGCACTGGGTCAGAATCGAGCCCTGGGGAGTCGGCCACCACTCCTGAGTCGTCGATTACCTATCTCCCCGCTCCCTTCAATTAATGCCTGTCTAGGTCCGTACGAAAGGATCAAGGCTTTTTCGCTACATTTCGTATTGGGTATCATTGTTTAAGGGGCAGTCGGGCCAGTTGGAGGGCCGAGACATGTCAAATTGGGCTAGAAGTTCGCGACGCGATCTGGAATCGCTATATTGTGCACATACGTACGATACATACATACATCATACATTAATCTATGTAAGTATATTGTAATGTTGTATGCATGCGGGTTGACAATAGCAGGATGGGCCAAGTTTCGAAACCTTGGGGTTACCATCGGCCGATGATAGGATGAAGATCGTCAGGGTAGGCATCTATTGGCCGGACGGCTTGCAGGTGGCTGCAGCATTGGGTCTATAAGCGTCCCGAAGTTTTAGAAGTATTGAGTACTTTGGCAATATTCGATCTAAGCAGTCTAAGAAAAGGAACCGGCTCCGGTGTCAGGAACCGACAGCTTCCGCGAACGGGGTGGGTTACAAAAGCATACGCTAGCAAGGATAGCCCTGTCGAAAGAGTTTCCTATTCGGGACGAGCTGAGTCTGACATCGGGCTTCTGATTGGACGGATGCATCTAGGAGGGGGCGATTTGGTGATAGCTCATATCGTCACTTGGGAATAAACAAAGCAGCTACAAAGCCAGAGCATATACGTGCATAGTTTGATTAGCTGGCTGCAGCCACCAAATTCATCACGAAGCCTAATAACTGTTTGAATTACCCACAAGCGAAATATAATAGGACAATACGACGCCGATCAATTAATCATGCTGTCAGCTGGCGAAAGAGAGAGCGTCTCCCCTATTCGTACCTTATCCCATCAAACGGTTTGAGCTGAAGATCTCTGATCTCTAATCTCTGTTGTACTCATCTTTTCCAATTTTTTTCTCTCTCGTCACGTCAAAAACAAAACTAAAAACCTAATATTCTTTGGAAGTCCGGAAGATCCATCTGTTAGTACGATAGTCCGTTTGTCAGAAGCCAACATGCGCGCCTTCACCTACTTCGTTCTCTCTTTTGTCGGTACCGTCCACAGCCTCCCGGCATTCCTCGCGGAGAGCAAGCGGAGTCTGATCAACCTCAGCCCCGACGTTGACCTCGGGCTCAACCTCGAGAATGACAATTCATGTCTCGGGATAGGCATATCGGTGTGCGACCCTATCACCGTTGATTCCAAGACCAGTTCAACCACTGCGGACAACACATCAAGCTCTAGCTCCTCTAAGACTAAGACGGAGTCTAATACCAGCAGCGATGACAATTCGCTAATCAACCTGAGCCCTACTATCTCACCGGATCTCAACCTAAGCAATGAGAACAGTTGTTTGGGCATTGGCATTAGTGCCTGTGATCCTATCACTGTCGGATCTGACGTCACCAAAACGGTTACCAAAACTGACGGTTCATCTGATGAGACGACCGAGACGGAGCAGTCCAGCTACCCTACTGCCAGCACCCAAAGCAAAAGCACTACTACCACCACTACCAGTAACAGCGGCAGCAGCAGCGGTGGTAGCCTTCTCAACCTCAGCCCAACCATATCCCCCGACCTCAACCTAGTCAACGATAACAGTTGCACAGGGATCGGCATATCGGCATGCGACCCCATCACCGTCGACTCCACTACCACCCAAAACGCAAGCTAAATGGCTGCTTACCTCCTACTCTATTATGTATTGGTGTTTTCATTCAAAAGCAAAAAGCGAACACGTATATTAAAGTCGTTATTGACATACCCCGAATCCGTTCATGTAAATAGCTTTAACATATAATCTCGATGCTTGGACTCTAATAATATTTGGTACGGTCGCACATCTATCTCATGATCATCTATGTACTTAATGTGTCGGATATACATAACTACGGGGCATTTATATATTCTTCTTACAGGTGATCCCATCATGGCATGAACTGAAGTGAACCATCGTGACCAGAATTGATGAACATCAACACCATCAAAACCTATCTAAATTTATCGTAAAATTTCAAATAACAATCGCATTATACAAACTGATCATCCCAACCCATGTCTATAAAATTCCGGCATACAGCGATAAAGATCTCACTTTGAAACGACGCACTAGCCCCCAAGCTAATCCGTCCAGCTTCTAGTAAATCCAAGGACCTTCCTTACAGCATCAATGTAAATCATTACGTCAAGAAACCTCGTCAATTCAGCCCTCATCAGAACCCAAAACCAACGACAACCGCACTGACTGCCCCCCGGATTCCATCTAGGTACACTTTACGCTGATCCCCTGCATAGTATGACAACACACGTACCCCACGACAGCATCACCCTCACCCTCCTCAATCCAAGTTATAAGATGAATAATCGATAGTTATGCTAGTATATACTCATAAGTAGTTAAAAATTACTAATTATTACCCCCCTCCAACCCCAACCCCCAAACCCCCATGTCCACGCCAAGCCAACCCTCACAGGCCAAGCAAACCCTACCTAAATAATCAGGTACAATCCTAAATAGCAGTAACCCTAACCGTAACCCCCTCCTTCGGCCTCAGCACGAGGCGCCACATCTTCCACTCCTCGGGATCAGGGGTGTCGAAGTCGCGCTTAAACTCATACATACTCAGCAAACAGCACAACAAAACCTTCATCTCCGTCTCCGCGAACTTGCGGCCCACACACCCTCTCGGGCCCTGCAGAAACGTCATGAACGCGTTCGGCGTCGCCGTTTTCGGCAGCGCGTCCCACCGGTCCGGGTCGAAGGTGTCGGCGGTGGGGCCCCAGTAGTTCGGCAGCCGGTTGATGGCGTTGGCGAGCACATAGATGACGGTGCCGGCGGGGATGTGGTAGGGACCTAGGCGATCGGGGGAGATGGATTGCCGGACGGTCATGGGGATGGGCGGGATGTACCGTAGGGATTCGCGGCAGACGTTGTCGAGGTAGGGGAGTTGGTCGGCGTCTGCGGAGGCGATGGAGGTGCGGTCGAAGCGGCTGGACTTGTCGAAGAGGAAGGGCATGTAGTCTTTGATTTCCTCGCGTAGACGCGATTGGATCTCTGGGTGGGTGGAGAGAAGGTGGATGGTCCAGGCTACGCCGGTGGCTGTGGTGTCGTGGCCGGCGCCGAGGAAGGTCATGATTTGGTCACGGATGGTTTCGAATGAGAGGCCTGGTTCGCCCATTGCTTTGAGCTTTTTGTTGTCGCGGGCAATGAGGGCGATGATGTCTTTGCCGCCTGTGTTGTTCTCTGCTTGCTCTTGCTTTTCGGTCACGATTTCAGTGGCCTTGTCAAGGATGATGTTACGGGATGTCTGCATATCCCTGTTCATCTTGGATGGGATGTATTTGGATGCAGGGATGAAGGCTTGGATGCCGTGCATTATGCGAGATGCTATGTCAAAGGCGAAGACTAGCCGGTAAGCCTCGCGGATTGGGGTTTCTGGGTTCTCGAGGGAATTAATATCGTACCCGAACCCAGCGCTGCCAATGATGTCGAGGGTTGTTCTATTGAGCCACTCGAGTGCCTCGAAGGATTTAGTTGTAACGTTGTCGGCAGTCATCTCATCTCGCCAACATTTAGCGAGGAGGAGGGATTTCTCCCAGAAGATAGGGGTGAGTGCGCGGATGGCCTGAATTGAGAAACCAGGGGCGAGTGATTTGCGCTGATGTACATGCTCCTGACCCTCGGCGAGTAGAACACCTTCGCCCAGGATTCGAACCATCCATAGCTTAGCACGAACTGGTTTGGGGTAGTTGTACGGGTTCTTAACTGTCATCTGCTTAAGAGCTTCATCATCGGCGATGGAGAGGCGCTCAGCACCGAAGGGAAAGAAGTATCTGATTATGAGACCATGTTCTTTGTGCCATCTTCGTTGAGGCACACCGCATTCCTCTGAGATGACTTCGACGAACTGACCCCAGAGAGGAAAGCCTGGTACAGTTGGGACATGCCTCAACTCGGACACGTAGAAAGGGAATATCCAACTGAGCCAAAGGACGACATATAAGGGAAACACTACGGCGAGTGCTACACCAACAGTAAGACCAACAGGTAGCTCAGCATGGCGGGCGTATAAGAAAGACGCGGCTGCCGTGACCGCCAAAACCGGCGTCGCGGAGACCTTAGACATGATGAAAGGAAAAAGGGTAGGCAGACAATAGATGGCTATGGCAGCAACGAAGGACTTGAGAAAGGTTTACAAGAAGTAGAAAGGGTATATGAGATTGTCCGCGGGTGGAAGGAAAGCTACGGATAACGATATTAACAGACCTATTATGGCTTGATCGATCGACAAGAGTATTATATACATCGACGATTGGGAGGTACCGGGAGATAGACGCTAGAACAGGCCATGATGCCATGTAGCCATGTAGTGAAAAAGGTGTAAGACAACATCTAGGGGGTGGGCCCACTTAACTATGAGGGATGTCCTTTGAATCGAGGTACTTGGCTGCTTGGCTACTTCGATGGGAATACTGAGGCTTAACCTGTGAGCTAGACCGGTCTTTGACTTGTCAGATAGAACTTGGCCCATTCAGCCCGCAATCTCGGAACGGCCATCTTGTAGTACATAGTAGGTAGGTAGTTAGTTTATTAGTTCTATGTGACGTCGATCCTTGCAATTATCGAATTTTGACGCGTCTTTAGGCATTGGATATCTGCGAGCCAATGCCACCCGATCCTATGCGTTGGAACTAAGCATGAAGCTGTCGAGATGAGATATAAATTGACCGTCGCTAGCACTATTACCATTTTAGTCCCGTGGTCCTTTTAGATAAACCGTACCTAGATGGGTATCCACGGAGCTGTCACCACCATCAATCCCGGTACCTAGCTCTCCCGAGTTTTAAGGCCGCTCCACTCCACTCCACTCCATCGCGCATCGTATCTACTAACAGTAGGTATGTATGTATGTATGTATGTATGTGGTGAGTGCATGCGACTAGAACATGGTCATCTGGGTAGTGGCAAATTCCACTAATGTAATGCCTCACATTGGAATACATCGCAGCTCTAGAGGCGAGAGCTGAAGTGCGGAATTCCTTCGCAGCCCTGGCTTGATGATGTTTCGGGGAAAGGCAGCAGAAGGTGGACCTCCCTATTGGAAAAGCGAGTCTGGACCGGAGAATGCTTATCGCGATTAATGACGGCAGCGTCGGCAGCCACGTCAGGCCGATGGTACCGGTTCCTAAATCCGAGGGAGAGGGTGTGCAACTGTAATTGGCCATTTGACTTTTTTTTACAAACTTTTTTTCAACTGTTTATTTTTCTTGGGTACGAAAAAAACAGGGATCTATCTAAGCCGTCACATGCATTGTAACCTGTCGCCCCTCCTGTATATGCTGTGCTGACCTAAGCCTTAAGAATCTAGGCATGCCAACAGTTATGTCTATGGGTGAAACATATTGATAGCCTCCGAAGTGAAAGGGATATGGTAGATACATTTTTAATGGTATTTGAATTTAGAGGTATTCATGCAAGATACTCAATAGTTGGTTGTACTTGGTCCGGCGATATCCTGTCCGAGACTTTAGAATTAATTTGTATTATTGTACATTGTAAATCGTGTAAATCATATGCGCTAACGGTTCAAGGTAATCTTCAGCTACTAGTTGTAGTTTATTAGTTCATTAGTTTATACCGAAACCGTGTGGTGTTGTGTTACCAGGCAAGTACTATGCGTACTCGGATTTACCACCTGCCATTGTCCATTAGCCACCAGAATGAAAAGCAATCGCAATCGCAACCGTGTAACCACACTTAAAAAGCTAATTCATGTGGAGAAGCTACTAGCTAGCTGCTAGCTAATAAAGAGTTGGTAAATTCCTAAAATTCGGATAGCCCGCCTCATCCCAAGGAGCCGGGCCAATCCTTGATTTCCGCTCTCCGTCTGACGGTCCAGCCTAACTTAAACTTGAACTTGCACCTGCACTTGCACCTACGCTATAGAACCATCGACGCTGTATAACATCGATCGTTCAAGACCCGATCTATTTCACCGGTCGATTATAATAATATCGAGATTCGCCGTTTTCGTGTTTTGTATTTCAAGTCAAAGGTCCTTTGTTGTTGAACCTACCCGTCCTGTCAGCATCTCCTCAGATAGCTCGCTGCAACCCTCTTCGGATCCCTCGGAGTTAACTGTTTTTCATTTGTCAGATATAACCATCATGTCTTTTGAAATCTTCAACTCGCACGGCATCATCAAGATTGCACCATGGCAAGCTTTCGACAAGTTATGGACCTCTGTTATGGGATACCATGCGAACGAATTTAGGTTCAAGGCGGGGGTTACCCCCATGTCGACCCTTAATGAGACGATGGCCATGATCGCACTGTACCTTATCGTCATCTTCGGTGGCCGAGAGATCATGCGTAACCGTGAGCCGCTGAAGTTGAATGGGCTGTTTAAGGCTCACAACTTAATTTTGACATTGCTGAGTGGTAGTCTGTTGGTTCTCTTCATTGAGCAACTAGCACCCACACTATGGAAGCACGGTCTTTATGAGAATATCTGCGGTGCAGACGGCTGGACAGATGAGCTCGTAACCCTCTACTACGTAAGTACCTTAAACTCAGCGCTCATTGATTACAATGCAGGTACTGACGAGAGCAGCTCAACTATCTCACCAAATACGTCGAGTTGATCGATACGGTTTTCTTGATGGTCAAGAAGAAGCCGCTCACTTTCCTCCACACGTATCATCACCCGGCAACCGCATTGTTATGCTACACCCAGCTCATCGGGAACACATCTGTCTCATGGGTTCCGATCACCTTGAACTTGACCGTGCATGTGGTGATGTACTGGTACTACTTCCAAAGCGCTCGCGGCGTTAAGGTTGCATGGAAAGAATGGATTACGCGAATGCAGATCGCGCAATTTATCCTCGACCTCGGTAAGGCTGTCTATCTACCGTAATCAACATACGATTCGTACGAGAACGAGCGTACTAATTCTCCGAAAAATAGGTTTCGTATACTTCGCATCTTGGGACTACTACGCGAGTGCCCACGCTCCTTATCTGCCTCACGTGGGGCGATGTGCCGGAGAGCCGTTCGCGGCCGTGTGCGGATGCGTGATCTTGAGCTCGTACCTGGTTCTGTTCATCATGTTCTACATCGCCACGTACAAGAAGGCCTCGGCGCGCAAGACCAATAAGAAGGGCGACACGCCCGCCGTCTCTTCCATGAAGCAGAGCGCGGCTATGGTCGCCGACAGCTGCAGCGGGGTGGAACACATGAACAGCTCGCTAGTCGCCAGGAAGTGACGTGGTATTGGTCCGGTTCGCCTATCTAAGACTATCCGCCTTGTTACCAAGGTAGACATGTTACTCCGCATGGTCTGTGGGCACGGGTACCTTGCTACTGTCAATATTTTGAACGTATAATGCATTCCCAAGTATCCGGAGGGGTGGTGGGGGGAACGTGGGGGGTTCATCACGGAGTTGGCGTCAGCTGTTGTCTATTGTCTATTGTCTTATTTTTAACATTTGCATACGCATACGGACAGTTATAAACATGTATATCTTAATCCTTATTATTTCTAGAGTTCTAGAGTTGGTGTAGATACTTGGAACGGCGGATGACGGGGTGGAATAGACGGACTTGGGTGGTCTCGTTTAGGGTCAGCTACCTAGCTACTGCATAGATGCCTTAGCAATGATTAGCGATATGAGGAATTGGAAAGTTTCGAATCAAAACAATGAATTCATTGTGGTGGTCGAAGTGGATGTCGTTTATGCAGAGCCCTTTGTAATGTGGTGTACTAAGGTACTGGTGTACTGGAGTAGGTACTTCTGTAGGTATGCGGCAGCTTTGCGGGTATGTTGATGTGAGGTTAAAAAAGAGGCGTGACATCTTAGACATTTTTACGGGGAGGTTGTGGGATTGTGGGGCCTTTACAAGGAGCTTAATCTCCCAGTCTCCCTCAGACGTTGACCCATGATCCTTGTGAAGTAGAAATCTACCGAGTACATGTCGTAGTACTAAGTACAAGCTTGTGATGGATGGGTCCCGTCATGATTCCCGAAGAAAGCTGGAGGATGTACACGTTACATTCCCCCTATCTTGGCAATATCTTAATTCAACTGATTTCCCCCCTCCAGCCAATTGCTATTCGCTTATATCATCGCAGACTAAATACAAGCAGCAGTTAGGCTAAAGATAATCAAGGAACAACGATATCTAAAGCAGGGATTTTTCAGCCTCTCTTCTACTAGTCAACTAGTCTAATCCTCTACCCAGTGCTTATCAAAAATGCTCGATGTCGACCAAGATTTTATAGAATGCTCAGGTAGAAGTTAATAATAGGTGAGGTACTGGGTACTATGCTGGTTCGGCACGCCTCGTTTATGTGGGCTTCATGACTTCAGTGGTTCCTCCCGCAGGCGCCCCGATCAGCCCAATCATACGTACCCAACTGCTAGGTACCGACCCTAGCAGCCCAGGAAGCTGAAGCCCCCAATTCCTTATCTAGCAGGTTACATACCGCACCGAAGCTGGGCAAGAGATACACAATCTCTTTGTTCTGTTGCGTGATCAAGATCGATCGGTGATACCCTACGATACGTCAAACATAACGGTCTAGACTGACACACATCTGCTCGAGCGTTCCTTGTCAGATAAATCAGGTGAATCTAGTCGAGCCCATAATCAAAATTCTTCGGTACTGTATCGGTACCATGTTTTGTCTACCTAGTAGTGGCAATATTTGTTTACCAGCATCATGGCAGCATCGCCAATACCAGACACCTTGGAAAGTTGACGAGAATGAAATATCTGCTCGCCAAACCTTTCCTTTTTGGATAGATTATCTAATAAGAAACTTGATGTTTCATCCAATACCGGCCACTAGGTATCTAGCTTATTGAGAAAAAGAAAAGGCCTCCTATTCTTCGGGGCGTTTTACTAGTGTCCGGGATCTTCGCAGTCCGAATAAACCAAATTACCTGTCTACGGGTATATGTCCAAATATGATCAGAATGTAACGGTTGGTCGCACATCCTCGTGTTCTTGAGCAATGTGGCCGATTTTTATCCCCGCGATAGAAGAGGACGAACGCGTCTCCTTGGATTTGAGGCGGTAATCATATGAGAAGATACTGTCAAAATTTAGGATTACTCGCTGAATGCTACCTACGCCCTACAATGTTTCCTCAAGAGCACCTTCCATGGACAGTTTCTGAGACGTGTTTGAACTTCCTAGGACGCTCGATGCTTTGGGATGCCAAGTAGAAACGGATATGCCTAACGTAGCGTCACCATAGTCACTATTCTTTATTTGTATCAATTTTACATATCTGCGTACTTAACTTGGAAGGATTGACGAGCTCGATCTTAATAGATTTGTGGAAATTCCTCCCAGTTTGGTCATCGATGAATCATAACTGGTTCTTCCACGCCCCGAACTTAGACACTTAAAGACAATCACTACCGAATTCGATATGTCAACTCCTAGCTTAATGCTGAAGAACAAGTAAAGAAGCTAATACTGCTCAAGCTCCTTCGTGTAGTAAGAGCTCAAAATCGGGCTCCACTTACATACAGTAAATGGTGGTAGACACCTGAAGACATCTTATCTTACCGTTACCGTCTAGGCCTACGATAGTCCATCACTCCTTTTTTTCATAGTCCCGCAGACCTAGTACATGGGTCAGTTTCCTTATTGTTTTTTTTTTCAACTGTATTATATCAAATACATATCTCCGGGAATGTTACGGAATACCGGACTTTCTTAATACTGGCCGGACGATGCTACCAAAACATACGTTGATATCTCATCCACATTTCGTACACCACTCACAACAAAACTTGCGCGAAGGACGCCAGATTTTCAAAATTACAACCCCCAGATTTCCTTTGTGCGTGGGTCAAGATGTCGACAACCTACATCCTTGGTTCCATCAACCGAAGTCATGGCTCGGACTATGATGTCGTGCCAGAGGGTCCTATCGCTGGGCTGCCGACGCCCATGCCCTCTGTCACGGATGCAATCTACCCTCATTTGACCTGGTCGACGCTATGGTTTTCGCTGTTGTGTCTTTTTGTCGCATTTAACATGAAGAATATGCCATTTATGTGGCACGTAAGTAGTCATCCTCTCGTGTTTTCTTCCTTACTCAGAATTAACATAAGCTCCAGATGCGACTCGTCAATGCCTTTCGTTTCGTTTTAAGAACTCAGCGGTCTGCCGTGCCGCTCAAACCGACGCATATTTTCCAGCCAATCATTACATCATCAACGGCACAACTCATGGAGATAGACTTCAACATTCACAAATCTAATTCGTCATATTTCTCAGATGCCGACATCGCCCGCGCTCACCTCGTCTGCACCCTATTCGCTAAAGGAATCGAGCAGATGCGCGGAGGAACTGCCGCATACACGGGATCCGGCAAGCCACTATTTGGATTTGCCCTAGGTGCCGTCTCATGCAACTTCAAGCGGGAGATACGTCCGCAAGAGCAGTACGAGATGTGGTCTAAGATCTTGACTTGGGATGAGAAATGGATCTACATCGTCACTCACTTCGTCCGCAAGGATGCCGTGAAACCAAAGAATTACACGCTATATCCGGAGCAGTTCCCTGATCAAGGATCAGACGAGAAGTCGTCCAGCAGTGACGAGGGTGGTGATGTCAACTCGGATAAGGTTATCTTCGCGACCGCGCTGAGTAAATGCGTGTTCAAAGCCGGTCGAAAGACTGTCTCACCCGACACCATGTTCCAAATCTCCGGGCTATTGCCAGCGGGTAATTCCGAAGACAAGGAATTTGACGAGGTCACACTGCGGCAAATTGAGGAGCAGAGGCAAAAGGGGCTTGTTACCGCGCAATCACTGACGGCACAAACTCAACAAAACCTTGAAGCGGAATTCGACGCTGCCGGATGTGAGGCCTTGGGTAAGCACACTGACGGTGCCGGCATCGTTGGGGTAGTGAACACCCTCATGCAACTGGCACGCTTGAAGAAGTCCCAAATATTATGATCGTCAACACCTTTGTCATTCAATCTCAATCCGGTGGCGTTTAGATACCTCATTGCATTAAAAATAGAGTGGCAGTCATTTCTTGTACATGATCCCTCACACTTTACATACCAGATGACAGGCAATTAGAGTATAATAATAATTTAATCATACATAAGTTTCAGCACATCGCACATCGCACATCGCATATCACACATACATATGTCAAAGCGTATCTTGGAAGATGAGATGAAACAGCCTTTCGGGTTATTTTACATAACGCACAGAGTGGTAGATCAGACGCGACGATGACGGTTCGTGTTCATCTTAATACGAGCACGAGCGGGATCTCTCGAACATACATGTAGGAGCGCTTCACTTCAATATGCGGCCCTATGCGTCAACTGATTAATCCCGAAAAAAAAACAATGCATTGTACTTTTAAGCACGTAGTGAGTACATTCATTTCTTGCGTAATTTTGTGGCGTTGAAGTCGAAATAAGGGTGTTGTAAGAAAGGATTCTAGAGGTAGGGTTGCCTCCATACCTGGGTAATCTTACCTATCTCCTACATGTTCCCTACATACAGTACCAGTACAGTCTTAGATCTGTCTATCCATTCAGATTGATTAGGGAACCATGACACATGCAGTCACAGAAGCATATTATTTCGCATATACCTGATATGACACATTGTTACGGCGATTTTGTCATTGGGCTTCGGTGAAAAGTATCCTGTTTTTTCTGCACCCTCTTGTTTACAAAGAAGCGTATCGCCAGCCATAAGACCTAGACGATACGATATCTACCTACAGTAGCGATGGCTAGAATGTTGCTAGTCGCCTCAATCATGACGTTGATAAGTTCACAGTGAAAATAAGATTAGCCACATCAACGCCTGTTAAGGATCTTAAAAGACAAGGATTGGACGGATTACGGCTCTTCGTCAACTAATACAGGGATAAATATACCGAAAGATGAGCTACAGTTAGTGTCAGTTGCTAATCTAGCCCGTCAGTACAGGGTACAACAACAAGATCCCTTTCCGTCAGCCACGTGGACAAGGATACATTCATAATCTCGGGTGCAACTTGAAGCTGCATAACGTATTAGCACTAGGAGAATATTTACATCACGTAGGCATCTAAGATTAACGATGTCTTACCATATTGAGTAGCATACACTAGCTAACTACCTAGTAATATATCTAGTAACAAGACACGTATACTAGCTTCCGCGATCTTGGGTAACGTGTGGGGTTTTTACCAGGAGTAGGTAAGACATCGATTCTCAAAGGGAGGTACCGGATACCTCCTATCCGTCCTACGAAGTACCGAAACGGTAATAAGAATCATGCACTAAGACTTCAAATCTAGACAGAAGGACATAAGGACATAAGGGATAGTAGGTGTTCATCGACTCCTTAGGGCCGCTCAATCCGGCCGGTGGCTGCAGCGGTGGCTTCGGTCCACCTCCGCTAGTGGTCCACCCCCAAGACGGCGGGCCGCAGATCGCTCCCTTTTAGGAATCCACTCCTGATAGATACGGCTTCTTCCCTTCTGGTACCTATCATCTACTATCTGCCCTGTCTATCGGTCTACTGTACCTACCTAGGTAGTCTACCCAGTCTACACCACCTAAGAACAAAGATACGGCAACTTTGCTTCCGTCGTCTTGGCTCCCCCCCTATCGTAGAATCAGAATTCCCACCCGGGGCGAAGTAATTCTCAGCTCGTATCCACCTCGAACTGTAGGATCAGCCAAACGCAGTTCGAACGCCAACTCAACAGCGCTATTGAATATTCCCGGCACTTCTTTTACGCCCTTCCGCCCTTTGTTATTGGGTCAAGGGAAGGCTTCAGCTGCCTCACTCCAGACCATCTAACTTTATAGTGATCGCCGACCTTACAGAGGACCTTCGCCATGTATCATGCAAGTCCCCTCTCCGTGGGTATCTCTCTGCGAGCTACCGGGAGCAATACGACAAACGGTTAAACGTTCTTTGTCAACATACTATGTAATAGTAATCTCCCCTTCTCTTTCTTTTTTTCTTCTTGGCCAACGACAGCTCAGACAAGGTAATTTACCGGGTCGTCCTTTAGCCCCCAAGCTGTAAAAGAAACAAGGCAGTAGCTTGCATGTGTGTGGGGGGAGGCTCGTCTACACAGCTGCGAGCTAGGCTAGAGCTTCTGGGCAACGGTGCAGAGTCGGCATATTACAAGATTTAAAAAAGATATTCGCGTCTAGTCGCCTCTTAGGGCCATAGACTTAGATGCGGATCGTCCGGGGGCGTTACAATAGCGCGTAGTGACGTCGCCCCATCTGGACACTCCAACGGTGAGACGGAAGGACAAGTGACCGGCTGGTGACACACACCCAGAGTCGCGTCTTGATGCTACCCTACCGCCTATACCGTCTTCGCTCTGGACCTGGACAAAATGTGACAACCCTAGTCGTTCAACCTATCCAGCCCGGTCAGAACAAGCGCAAGCCCACCAACGGCGAGATGGAGGAGGACGGCGGCCATCGTGCCTCGCAAGACAACGACGCATCTTCGCTGCACCAGTCTTTGGCTTCTAACGATGGCAGGGCCAGTCCTGACTGGGACGCCGCTACTCAGTCCAACGTTCCTGCACCTCACGCAATGTCACCTTTCTGGCTCGCCGACGAGCTTATCGGGAGCGTCTCTGACCTGAAGGCTCACCACTCAAGAGACTTCTCCGTATCGTCTACCCAAACTTTAACTAACGGAGGCGACGACACCGGAAGCCTTGCTCGCTTGCATTCTTCGAGCATCGGAGAAGCAGATCGGTATGCTACCTTAGCTGATCTATTAATCGACTCGGCGCCGCACCTGCGACATCTAGCTACCGTCAACGCAGAGGACCCCAAGGCCCGAGTCGTGTCCTTCCCACCCGGCCGTCAGCTCGTTACTCCCGTAGAAGAGCAGCGGCATCCAGGGAAACAGACCAATAGCACCGTACAGCTAAACATACAAGAGCCGCCGAGCGACGAGTCGAGCCAAGAAGCCTCCTCTACCGAAGGCGAAAGCGCCGACCAGAAAGATCTATTCTTGCAGGGAATTCCCTTATTACTACTTACCCTTGGTCTCTCGTTAGTTGTTTTTTTGATCTCTATAGATCGTACTATCATTACCACCGTAAGTAAACAAAAGCCTCCAGGGCTAGGCATGCCATCTATGCGACCTGGCAACTAGACGACTAACCCGCGAAACAGGCCATTCCTTTTATCACCTCCGAGTTCAAGTCCACAGCGGACATCGGTTGGTATGGATCATCGTATCTCCTTACGGCATGTGCCTTCCAGCCCGTCTTCGGACGGGTCTTCACTCTCTTTAACGCTAAATGGGCGTATCTCCTATCTATGTTTGTCTTCGAAATCGGATCCATTATTAGCGGATTCGCGCCGTCTTCCGCGTCTCTTATTATCGGACGCGCCATTGCCGGGTTCGGTAGCGCGGGTATCCTTACCGGAAGTTTCGTTATCGTTGCTACGGCTGTGCCATTGAATGTTCGGCCGATATATACTGCCGTCGTTGGGTTAATGTAAGCTGACGAACTCCGTAACCCACCAATGATGGGTGACAGAAAACTAACGATCATAGGTTCGGTGTTGGCGCGACAGTCGGTCCTCTAATAGGAGGCGTATTCACAGATCTAGTCGTACGTATCCCTGCACCCCCCAAACACCCAAATACCACCGTCCTAACCCACCCTAGACATGGCGATGGTGCTTCTGGATCAACCTCCCCGTAGGCGCCGTAACAATCATCGTAATGATCCTCGTCTACCACCCCCAACCGCACCCCGGGCCCCGCCCCAAAATCCTATCCCGCCTAATCCAACTCGACCTAATCGGCAACGTAATCCTCCTCGGGTCCGCCGTAATGCTCTTCCTAGCCCTCGAATACACGCTCACCGGCGCCGACTGGGCCAGCGCCGAGATAATCGGGCTCCTAGCCGGCGCGGGCATCACAGCCCTGCTCTTCGTCCTGTGGCTCTGGTGGAAAAAAGACGTCGCCCTGATCCCGCCCGCCATCGCAAAGCAGCGCACCGTCGCGGCCTCCTGTCTCATGGCCTTCTTCACGTACGGCGCGCTGCTCATCCACACCTACTTCCTGCCCATCTGGTTCCAGGCCATCCTCGGCTACTCCGCCATCCAGTCCGGCGTAGCCATGATCCCGTACTTCGTCGCGAACGCGCTGTTCTCCGTCTTCTCCGGCATCTTCGTCTCTGTCGTCGGCTACTTCACTCCCCCCGCGATCCTCGGCTCCGCTATTGGAACCGTCGGCTGCGGTATCATCACCCTCTTCTACCCCGCCATGTCCACCCCCATGTGGATCGGCTTCGAGATCCTCGCGTCCGCCGGCTTCGGCATGTCCATCCAGCAGGGCTTCACAGCCGTGCAGACGGTCCTCGCCCCCGAGGATCTCGCGGTCGGGACTGCGGCTGTCGTGGCTTCGCAGTCGCTGGGCGGCGCGGTGTTTATCTCTGTCGGGAACAGCGTGTTTCAGAACCGTCTCGAGGCACTTGTTCGCGAGACCGATATCCCGGGTCTAGATGTCCGCAAGGTTATAAGTGCGGGCGCGGTCGCGTTTCGCAAGGTCGTGAGCCCGGATGAATTGCCCGCTTTGCTCGCGCTGTATGATGCTGCGCTGCATACGGTGCTCGTTGTTGCGGTGCCGCTGGGCGCGTGTGCGTTTCTGGCGTGCTGTGCGTTGCAGTGGAAGAGTGTGAAGAAACCGTCTCCACCGCCGCCGCAGGGTGCGGATGCGGATGTGGAGAAGGCGGCGCGGGAGCAACGGGAGGGAGGGTTATGATGAGGATGGGGTGGGTTGGCTGGGGAGGGTGTTTGGGTTCGGATTGTTATGTTATGTCATGGATAGAACGTGTATTAATTATGATATATATTTTAATGAGGATGTAATGTTGTGTGTATATGAGGGGAAGCGAGATGTTCTGGCTGTGAATGTAGGTATCGATGGCTATGAACAAAGAATCCATCCTTCAACATGAAGATCTTTCAGACGGCATCCTTTCATGAATTGTTAACTGACATACTATGGTGTGTTTGGAGAAGAAGAGCCGGTCTTGGAGACTTCACTAGTTGTAGGTATATCTTCACATCTTGCGATGTCACGGCTACCTGGCCCCAAAAGGCATGAATAGCATCTAGGTTAATTGGGTCGACAGTAACGGTTAGGATTATACTTTCCTGAATACTAACACTCAAGGGCATCCACAAATGGAGCCTGGCTCCTCGCCGGGCAAAGGTGGCCCAATGGGACAATGCACTCACCTAACAAGACAGATATAGCAGAGGAAGGTCCAGTTCGATATCTCATCCGTTCATCGGATCAAAGAGAAGGGTCGAGTTGGTACGGCGGTGCTTACACTCGATGAAATCGCTATAGCTCTAACATCACAAGTAAGCTCAGCTCGAGGGTTCGATTCCCTCGACGGTCCTATCAAAAGTTATTTTTTTTCGTCACAGGTCGTTTTTCTAAAATACACGGCGTACCTTAAGGTATATGATATGGTATTAGGAGTGGCTGCTGGGCAACTGCAGTCCATCTATTTCAGATAACCGACGGCCTGAGCGAATATCTGTGATCCAGATATCACAAAGGAGAGGTGCCAGACTCTAGAAACTAGCACTTCCCCGGAATTCCTCCAAGTAACCTCACCCAATGAGAAATAGGTGATGCTGCCCATCTTTAACACGTTCATTCGTAAAGCTCTAGTATATAGCAATATATTATTCTCCTCACGACATATTTGTATCCAACCTAGATCGCATCCCATAGCAACCCCTTTCCCTTCCAATAGCATATATAATTATATTCCAACACCCATGACTCGCGCCATTACCATTACATATCTCTACACCACACCACCCATCCACCCTCACCCTCACCCTCACCCCAACTCACCCCCTCCTCCCCTTCCTCCCAACCCCAAGATCAAACCGATCCGGAAACAAAATCCCATTCGCAAGCCTCAAAAGCTCCCTCTCCACCCTCCCCGCGATCCCCCTCCTCTCATCCCACGGCAACAACCCCATACTCCTAAGCCCCTCCTCGCCCCCCGCATCATTAACATCCTGCACCCCAGGGCGTCCCATAAACTCCCTTTCCCCACCTAGCCCACCGCGCAGAAAGCCGCCGCTGGCAGCGAAATCCGGAGCCGGCAGACCAAGGAGAAACGCCTTGCGCTGGCGCGCGAGGTACAGCGCGTTCGTCTGGGTGAGCGGACACGCGGGGACGTAGAGGACCCCCGCGTCGCGGAGCCCGGTGTGCACCGCGTCGACGGCGTGTACGGCGTCAGGGTGCCAGAGGACGTAATCGCCGGGCTCGACGCGCGGGATCGGGACCATAGTCTTGTGCAGTCTCAAGTGCGGATGGAGAGCGCGACTCAGTTCCTGGATACCGCAGCCGGGGACAGCGCCTTGGATGATGCTAGTCTGGGCGACGTTGAGGTTCCAGTTGTTGTCGTGGAGGAAATTGGGGCCGGAGGGGAAGCGCGGGGAGAAGAAGGGGCGGAGGAGGAGGTAGGCTGTTGTGAGGTGCAGCATTGGACAGGCTTGTAGGGACCCGCTGCCCGGGGCGATGGGGGAGAGGGAGAGCCAGCCTTGGAACATCCGGAACATGCTGCAGGAGCTGACGCCGTTGTAGAGGTCGGATGTCACGGCGAGACGCGTGCTGCTGTCCCACGGGTCGTAGTCTTCCCAGCGGCCTTGGAAGATCTTGGCGTATGTGCCTGCGCGGCCGTATCCGTCTGTTTCCCAGCGCTCGACGCTGCCGTTGTCGATGTGTGGGCCGGAGGCGAGGGATGTGTCGCCTGGTTTCCGGATGCGGATCCGGTCTGCGTAGGCTACCGGGTGGTTACTGCTTACGAGGGCGTCTTCGTTGTTCGAGTGCCATATATTCATGATGAATCTCTGGACCTCGAGGAGTCGCGAATCGGCTCGGGCACGCACTTGTCCTGGACTCCAGAATAACTCGTAGAGTTGGGGATCGTTTGCTGGAAAGCCTTTTGCTGGGGGGTTATGCAGAAGATACTCTAGCGTCTCTTCCTTCCATAACATGGCAACATTTGGCGGGACGACTCGCCGTATAACGGCGACGCCTCTCTTCTTCAGGGCATCTCGGAAGACAGCTACCTTAGTTGGACTGTGGATATCGATGTAATCGATAGTAGGTATGATATCAGATCCAGCAGCAGCGATGCGGTCTGCTTCTTTTCTTAACTGGCTAAGAAGGCGGTAGAATGAATCAGCGACAGCTTTCTCGTTGCCGGCGATGAGTTTTCGCTTGATTTTGGCGAATCGCTCTGGGAGTGGGATAGGATCCGGATCTTGTAAAGATAGGAAGTCAACTGCCATTACTACGTTATATACGACTTGATTTAGTCCTTAGACGTGTTGCAGGCAGTTCTTTAGGAGTAAATATCATGTAGTAACACTAAAGAATAAGTCCCTAGGTAGTTATCCCACCGGTATACGACAAAAGAACACAGACCCAAAAAACCATCCTCCTAGCAGGTATATGAAGGGCATCGAAGAGAAGCCCGTGGGGGTGGAAAAGCCCTCGTGGGGGTTACAGGCACGTTCTATTTCCATTCCGACAGTTGATAATGCATCTTTATAGTAGGTGTTGTCTGAGTCGTCGAGGCTTGCGTCGGTAAAAGCAGGCCCTGGTGGAGCGTAGACCCATGGTTGCGGTCTAGAAGGGAGCAGGGCGATTCAATCAGACGTTGTCACGTTGTTAGAGGTTTAACTGCATCTGGTTTCCAGGTGGCTCAATCTTCGGCAAGGGACTCCGAAATAAAGATCTCTTGGCTTGATACCCAAACCCTGGCTACAATTTACTAGAGCCGATATGGGTCTGATACGTTGGATTATTGGCCAGCCTAATGCGGCTCGTGAACGACGCTCCCACGGCCCGTTGGACCGATCCCACGCTGACAAGTCGACATATTAACTACATGCCTGAAAGACAGAAAAGCCTCAGCCATTCCGAATAAGGTCAGCATTGGGCGTAAACGAGATCCAAGTTCACCGACGTGGTATTATATAATCCTCCGAAGATTCCACGGGTCTTTTATGCATTGTTGTAAATTAAGAGACAGTTCCCGGCATCCCCAAATTGAATCTGTGTGGTAACTTCGGGATGCTTAGGGATTCTTGGGGATTCTTGGGGATTCTTGTGGTCCTTGGAATTCTTGGTACCACAGATTACCCGGACGATGGATCTGAAGATGCTTTACCTCTCTTCGACCGACGAACAGGCGTTTGTTGATCCGTACTATTGCCGGTGTCACTTTTCTTTCTCTTCGCCTTCTTGGTTGACGAATCCGCTTGAGCAGGTTGCGCATCAGACGTAGGGGCTATAGGAGATGTAGGGTTTGTCTCTCCATCCGTGGATATGGTTTCTGGAAGGCTGTCTTTCATTAAGACGTAGGCCACTCTCTCAACATCAACGGCACTGGTCCCTAGTCGCTCGTTTAAAGAATGCACCGCAGCGCTCAATTTCTTATACTCTTTGGAGGTGTACTTGATAGGAGAAGTCTGCCCATCCGTGCACAGCCAATAGAAAGCTTCATCGGAGAAGAAGATGACGTCGTCAGGATCATATACTGAGAGAATAAGGGATGCTGTAGCCGGACCAATTCCCGTCAGTTTATTAAGTATAGCGAGCGCTTTGAGCGCTTTGGTCTCACTCGAATTTTCTCGATACTTCTCTATCGCATCTTGGATAGTACTTTGGACAACTGTTTCACTATTCGATGAAACGAGCTTCATGAGATTCGGCCGAAATTGCCCATGATGCCTGAACCGGATTAGAGGCTAATTATATTTACAAGTAATGAGACGAAACACATAATAATGCGTTGATAGACTACTTACAGCTTCCAATCGACCAAGGTTCTCACATGATCGAGTGTCATAGGCGGCCTTGTCCTCTCCGAGAAAAATAAATTGATGGCGTCATGATATCGAAAATGATCCAACTCAAGCAGAGTATTTGGTCCAAACTTGGCTGTTCATGACTGTTAGCTAGTCGGTCGTCATTGTAAGCGGTTACTTCCAACACGTACGCGCTTTGGTCGATGAGATGGATTCTATGAGGGGGCCATAACGACCCAATGCTTGCTTAAACAGTTTGAGGGTGATGTTGTTCGGTAGCAAACTTTTGTCTAACATTCTGAATTCTGACTCTTGATTGTACGTTGAATGCTTTTTGCCCACGATGACGTCTAATCTTGTCAGTTTCGGAAACCATCAAGCTCGTTGTTATCTCCGAATCACAACACTGTTGATAACACACCGACGAATCTGAGTAGAATGAGGGATGGATACTAAGTAACTGACCAAATGGAACTAATTACTAATAAAATGGAGAAAGTCTTAGACCACGTGGTCCGTGCACCAAAGACCAGAATTGTTCCAGAAGCCGAATTAGCTCGAAAAAACCGAGCCCAAAATAGATTTAGCTCCGAAACCCCTGCATCGGCTCTAAGAAACTTTGTTCGATCCATTTTGACCATTTCTTTCGATTCTTTGAAATCCTCTGGCCCCCGATTTTTCTTACCATCTTTCGCATCTTTCGCAAATCCTAACCGCCCTCTCGACGACGATACCATACCATTGCCGACTCGTTCGCTTTCCTCTCAACAAAATGGGTAACGTAAGTCCACTTCTACATTACGATAGCTCTACCTAGAAGAATTAGAAGGATTAGAAGAATAAGTGGCGCCTAAAGGATAAAGAAGAAAAGGCGGGACGGCGAATCCCGAATACAAGATAACCCCAAAACGAATACTAACAAGCCTCGTAAACCAGGGAGCCAAGGCTGCGCAAAAGCGCGAGCGTAATGCGAAGGACAACAAGGTCGCCAAATCGCAGCTGAAGTCTGTATGTCTTCTCCGCCTCTCCTACACTCTTAGTCCCTTGCACAAGAGGATATCGACTTACACGTAGTGTCTCGTAGAACGTCAAGGCTATGGATATCCAGTGCAATATTTGCAAATCGACCTTCCTGAAGACGACCCGTGCGCCTCAGTACGTATACCACTCTTTAAACCCACCTTAGAATCGCCCTTTCAGAACATGCGATGGTGTAGTTAGTTAGGCCTCTAACACGTCTTACACAGGCTCACCGAACACGCCGTGAACAAGCACAGCAAGAGCATTGCCGAATGCTTCCCCACCTACGAAGTCCCCGCCGGCGGAAAATAGAACATGCAAAGTCGCTCTATCCGTACGCACCTAGGACAGGTAGGTATAGAGACGAATCCCAAGCTGGCGAGACGAGAGAGAGAAATGGGCATAGCGATTGGCGCACATAGGTGTTTAGCAGACTAAGGTAAACTGGGTGGGCTGCATGAAGTTTCACGAAAGGGGAGATGATCCGAAGTAATGAGATTGACACGACGTTAACTGAGTTTATATTTCCTTTCCTTACCTACGCATCTGTCCTTCGTTAAATCGTGTATGCTAGAAGATCCATAGAGCGCACATGGATCAATGTGCCTCCACAACCTGCGCCGGTACACCCACCACCGCCGCCGTACTCCCACCCCCATCCCCCTTCCTTCTCACCTCTTCCTCCTCCCTAGCCTGCCCCTCCCGTATATCCTTCAAGATCTCCGGATACCACCGCTCGCCCACATCCGGATGACTCTTAACGCGATTCCTCAACGTAGCCTCTCCCAACGTATTCGCCACGCCCCCCTTCCGAAACGTAAACTCCACATCATCCAACCTGCCCCCATTCTCTCTCAACACCTTCTCGCGTACCCTCCTCACCCCCTCCGGAACAACGCCCACCCCCACCTCCTCCAGCTCCTCAAACGTCGTGCTCGCCCTAACCCCCTGAAAAAACGGAATCGAGAACCGCGCCCCGGCCCCCGCGGCCGGCGAAAGCACGCGGTGCGTCGTCGACGCGCAGACGCCCTGCGTCAGGGCCTCGAGGCCCTGGCCGATTGCCACGACGAGGGTATGCGGGACGGGGGGGCAGTCGATCCAGCGCCCGCGCATGTTCTGCACCTGCAGGCCGCGGTGGTCCGTTGCTTGCAGCAGGTAGCTCGTCAGCATGCTGTCTTTATGGGGCCCGACGCCCTGGCCCTCGACGTTGGAGTCGAGACCGAGTGTTGATACGTCGGGGTACTTGACGATTTTCAACTTGTGCTGCTGGTCGGCGTCGAAGTAGCGGTCGAATGCGGTGACGGGGAGGTCGATTGCTTCGGCGATGAGGCGTGTGAAGGTATGGGATATGGAGCTCATGAGACGCATGTATTCGGTGTATACGGCGCGGAAGTTCGGGAGGGCGGTTGGGGAGGGCCATTGGTTTGGTGCTTGCAGGTTTGTGTATTGGGGCGCGGAGGGGGAGGGGAGGGGGTGTTCGGTTGAGAGGTCGATTTGTTCACGGTGGTCGATTTTTCCGGCTGTGATTTCGGCGGAGAGCTGCGAGTAGCCGAGGAAGGAGGGCGCGTTTTTCATTTCGATTTTGAGTCTGTGTCGAGTGTAAGCTTTAGGATGTTTGTGTAGGTGCTAGGTAGGTAGGTAGATATCTAGATGTCTGGACTTACTTCTCTTCCTTCGGGATGTCAAAAAAGGCTATGCCTTCAGATATGACCTGTTGCCATAACTCGTCTGGAATGCCGACGTTCTTAAGATACAAGAAGCCGACTTCCAGCAGCGCGTGTCGCAGATCGGCTAGGAACTGCGGCTTTGTCTGCGGATCTCTAGCTAGAGCTAGATCTAGGATCGGAATTGAAGTGAACGACATCGTTGTTGTTTAATATCAGCTACCTAGGGTTAGGAGAGAAGAGAATTGGTTTAGACATAGGTGTCCTATGAATTTGAGGGCATCGACGATCTAGTTGAATATATAGACAATCTGTAGGGCGTTGAATGACAAGCTGCATATCTCATGATGGAGATCCACTTGTAGCTATGGCGTAATCCCGTTCATCGGCATCGGCCGTCCATTGAACCAATGAAGGCCCTCGATAAACTTTCCCCAATTCCAACCCGCGGGGACAAAGGGAAGTTTATAAAGCTCCTAATGTGTGCTGGAACTCTACCTAGAATTGAATGGGGTAAGCGTAAATTGAGTACGAAGCAAGTTTCTTCGATAAGATGGTAGATTGACATAGCATGTGGAAAGGCATAGGGGGTACTTGAAATAACTTTTATATTCACATAATTTCTCCTATGATCGCTAATATAGAATCATAGTAGTTACCCTTTTCAGCAGTGCCTTATTGTCCATGAAAACTTTGCGCCGAATCTCTTATGCCCGCTGTTATGAATCACTTTTATACAACGAGTGCCTCTTCGATTGATCACATGAGCTCGAAATCCCAAGATGATATATACCTAGGTAGGTAGGTTTATTCTGGCGCAAAACCTTGCTTGAACTCCTAAATGTCCTGTGGGTATCTCCGCATTTCTTCCTATGCTTCAGGGTCGTCGGCTTCCTCAGTCCTCTTCATAAACTCGAGTTATCCCCCCTAAGAGCTTTTCGCATAATGTTAGCTCTCATCCATGATTAGACACCGAGCTCCTCCTTTATAGTACCACCACAATGAAGCGATGGTACGAGCATGGGATATCTTGTTAGTATGTGCGAGTCGTTGGTATTATTTATAAAGTAGGACATTCACGCCGGGACAGCGGAGTTCGCCGAGAATAGTTTCGTGACTTGATAGAACATATCCTCGATGGGCGGCATGGCGAACGCAGGCGCGGTATCAAATAACTCCGCAAGTCTCTGTGGCGCAATGACAACAGGAGAGGCTTCGTCAGCTGCATCTTCTGGTATATCGACGTCCATTTCGTCCCCACTCGCTATCTCATCATCATCTCCAGCAAGCAACGCGAAAGTAGTTCCGTCCTCTGGAAGCTCTTCGGTGTGTACTTGGTCGAGATTGAGGTCAACGAGCGGTTGAGCAAAGGCAAGGGATTTGACATCCATGCCTTCGCTAACGGACCATAGTTGGGCGGCGGAATCTAAGACAAGGTATCCACTATATCCAACTGCGGCAACGACTGATACTATTGGGTGTGGAAATTGGCGCACTAATTCTGGCTCGCTTTGGTCTGGCTTGAATATGGCAAGTTCGGAGTTAACGTATTGTGAATTTAGCTTGCCCCGCGAAACAGCCACCGCAAAAGTCGAAGTCCGATAGTCGACCGCCATGTGCGTCAGGATAGATGCACCTAGATTGTGGGGATCTTCGCTTGTCCTTAGTTGAACTCCGTAGAGTAACTCGTCCGAAACCAAATCGTAAACCATTAAACGATCGGAAAGCACAACCATAGTCGAGGATATAATCTTAATATCCCGAACATCCCCTGTTATTAAACCATCGATTGAATTTCGAATTTTGCCAGACTCTGTGTCGATAACATGAACAGCCGAGCTATGGATGGTTCCGATGGCGCAGACTAGGGTAGATCCATCTTCGGAGAAAGTGACTGCGCCTGAGCCTCGTAGAAAAGCTTGCACGGCTATCGCATCCGAATTGAGAGGCTCCTCGTTTTCTTGGAGGTATATGGCCCGGGAACATGCCCAGCTGTATAGTTGGCGATCCATTTTACCCTTGACCAATACTCCGTCTCGTTGTCTGACTGTCGGTTCCCAAAGTCGGACAACTCCATCTTCTCCAATACTTGCAAAACGGTGTACATTCGGGTCGGCAGCTAAACCATAAATAGGCTCACTTCGACCCGTATAATGCGGCGCATTAATGCGAGATACAAGCTCTAGGTTCTGATCTTCTGGGGAAACGGCCCAGAATTTCAGAAATACTTCGCGTCTCTCGGCGGGTGAACCTTCAAGAGAATCAACATCTCGCGTAGGCGGCTGCCATTCGTCCGTCGTGGCAAGCCATTTGCCATCTGCTGAATATGTCATACCGGTGATACGGGGTTCTGTTATTGCGTAGCCCTTGGCTGTCATGTTGTTATCCGTCGGGTTCGTTCTTGTTAGAGCCTGTTTTGAGACGCCCTGTAAAGTAGTGAGGTCGATCGTCTGTATCAAAGGAATTGATGGACCACTTCGAGATTGGCTGATCTGCTGTCCGTTCCCTACACAAAAATGAATTCGCGAAGAGTCTGCTGGGTTGATAGCTGCGGGTGTCTTCAACAACCGAACCTGGGAATTTTGTCCAACTCTCCGGACTATATCATCTTTTGACAATGGTTGAGGATAGGTGAGGGTCTGGATCCCGGATATATAAGTCGAAGGTTTCATTTCTGCTGTTGACAAAATGATAACCGAGTTGTCGTCCAAATGAACGACGTAGGCGGAACCACGTTCTGAAACAACAATATTCTCGATTGTCGCTGAGAGGTGAGGTAGGAAGTCCATTTTGTGTGTATCTAATTGCCAAAGGACCAACGTCGACTCAGATCCTCCGGAGATGATATAATTACCTATAGCTAGAATTAGATTTTGATTATCAAAAAGTAATAACAATAGGAATGTTTCTTACCATCTCGTGACCACTTGACGGCATGGACTGCCTTGCGGTGCCAATGATATTTGCGGGGTTGGAGAGAATTTCTGTGGCCCTTTGAGCTGTGCAGGCGGTATAATTGAGGTATGAGGTCGTTATAGAAAAACACAGCTCCGCGAGCACAGCCAACAACGATTTCCACGACAGGTGCATCGCCTGCTTCTGCCTGACTCTTTTGGTTAAGGTGCACACGGTCTGTCACCCTCACATCTAAGGATGTGATCTCGTCACTACCGTTGAGAGTGAAGAATTCGTATTCTAATTCGCTCACAACATGAACTGCCGGGGCAGTTTGCCTGCCAAATAAGACATTCCGCTCTGATGACGCTATCAACGCATACCCATTTCGGATGGATCGTAAATCCAAAATCGGCTCCACCTGGTTTAAGAGAGTTTTATGTGCGCTCATCTTGTACCCTTGAATATCACAAGCAATGATTTGCCAGGTACCATGTTTTTCGACGGAAACGAATGGCACATCTCTGAATTTGGAGCCGATTTTAAGGGGTTCGATTGACATATCGCATAAAAGACGACATTTTACTTTAGATGCAAACTCGGCCCCATCACCATTTGTCCAGTTGATCGACCATAGATGACCAGCAGACGAGGCGACCCATACGATATTGGGTGAGCTGGGGGACAGGCAAATGGAAACAATCTGTTGTTCGACGTTTTCGGCATCTAGCTGTAGCAGTGGAATTTTGCGTACTAGAAGGGATTCTGCTGCGGAGTATACTTGGATAGAGGTGTTGTATGCGATTATCAAGTACCTGATGTGAGTGTTAGCCTTTACGTCTCTACTCGCGTCTATCACCAGGTTTTGCCGGGTAGATTATCTGTAGCGCGTACTTCTCATCTTGGGTCAATATAGGGTCAATGTTCAACATTCTTCCTCCCATGGGCTTTGAAACCTTCCATGTCGACAATTGGTCTTCACTAGCTTGTCCATTCTCTTCTGCTTCGACCTGAAGCTGTTGTGTTTCCTGGTTTGCGATAGAGGCGTTGTCGTTGTTGGCTTTTGTATTAGAATTATTCGAGCTATCTAAGTCCCCTGATGGTGTAGTTGAGCCATTGACTCCATTGACTTTGCTGGTCGTTGCGTCTTTCGATAGCTTGCCGTTGGTTGGGGCGGCTTTAGAGGTGCGGCGATGGCGTCTTGCTCGTTTCCGTTTGCCATGCTCATCGGTCTCTCGTTTTCGTTTATTCGCATGCGTATCCTAAGAGATGTGAGTTTATAAGATTATAAATATTGTCCATAAAGCTTGGCTTACTTCTGCACTTTCTACGGGAGCCATCTTGAGATTTAACAGCCGTGATGGTTAAGAAACGGCTTTGAGTATTACCAAAATCTACTTTCTTAAGGTTGCAGGCTAAGCGCAAAAAGTTCACAAGTTTTTTGCGGGACGTCGCGATAAGGTACACGGATAAGAAATTTTCGGGGGAGGAGCAATCCGAGCGCCCGTATCCACATAAAAAGTACGCAGGTACGTCTTACCTTTAAAGCTCTTGGCGTTATTTTTTTAATCGATAAGGAAGCAGATCATCAATCTCCAAAGTTTCTTTCAATTCACGTCTTGTTAACTACACGCTCCTTTCTTGCGACAACAACAACAACCTGCACTTCGCATAACCAACCACACCTCACGCATCGACTTTCAATTTAATAAACTAATCCCGATCAACATAAAACAATAATCTACGGATCCCGATCCTTACCAGACAAGATGATTATTCCTATTCGCTGCTTTTCCTGCGGAAAGGTAGGCATCGCGACGCCCCGCTACTTAACATCTTCTTTGTATTAACTAAAGCGCAAATAGGTGACTGGCGATCTTTGGGAACGCTACCTCAAGCTGATCGATGAGGGCAGTGCTGATGGGTTCGTCGCAAATCTCCCATTATTTTCACGTTGCATATATACGTAGGATACTAACAGATCATCCAAGAGATGCCATGGACACCCTAGGTCTTAAACGCTACTGCTGTCGTCGCATGATCATGACTCACGTTGATCTCATTGAAAAGCTACTCAAGTACGTCTTCAATGTATCGAATCAAATGATGGCATAAGGGTGAAGTGCTAACAGGTAAATCCAGGTACACACCGGACGGACGTAACGAGAAGAAGATCCAGCTTCAGCAACGATAGATGAAATAATCAAACTTGGATGCTCATACGAGTGGCGTTGATATGTTTTGGTGGCGATGATTAGCACAAAATTGCATTCTCGGGCGTTAGGTTGGTACTTTGAGGAAGGCGTCTTGAGTCATCGCAATGATTGAGCTAGAGTACGATGTGAACAGTCTGCTTTAGAAGAATGCCATGCCATTTGTACAAATGAATTCATGGATCCCACCTACTTCGAACACGGGCAAAGCAGTTGGATGTCTCGTGCGGCTGAAAAGGCAAAAGAAGATCAGTTATAATTTGAATCCATGACCTACGGAAATCCTAGCCGAGTTTGCTGGATATCGGGTGCGGTCTGCGGGTAGTTCAGCCATTCGATAATCTCGATTCGCGCTTATTAGTCGCGTAAATGCACCTACACTACGAGGATGTTGGCGGCGCCTAACCACAATTTCGCTTCGAAGTTCCTGTAACTTCCGTAAATAATTCACTCTAAAGCAAGGGAAATATTCTTCGTAACTTTTCCAGGTCCTTGGTATCGAAATCTGCATTGCCCGGTAATTAGCTCGGAGTCGGCGAACATGTCAGGTGTTCTGTTGGAAAGAAAGCATCCCAGCTCGAGGCTCTTTTCGATAGGTAAACTTGATATGTGATATTTGCCACGTCAACCTACACATGCAGACTGCGGTTCTCTCGTTGCCGCGAAGCGCTGTGCCGCACCCTAATTATCTAAGATCTAGTCGTTATGCTTTACATGGAGCGTTTAGATATGCGGTCTAGAGGCTAAGCGGCTCCTCTAATCGGCGTCGAGTCTAAGTTGACGGCCAATGGGTATCTTATGTAGGTACCTAGCTAAGTACATATCATAACAATCTCGTCGAAATCCTCTTGGAGCAAGCAAACTACTTCTTGATCTAACCTATATAGTCTAACTGCATGGACAAGCTACTAGTGGTGCGTAAGTTAGGTAGGCATACCAACTAACAGGTATCCTAGTAGTAGTCAGCTATAAGACTATCTCAAACTTATACTATATAGTCATGTTTAGTTAACTGTTGGTGTAGTTGGAATAGCTACCCATAACTGGTATCAATGATCGCCTTCCAGGACCGGAAATTATTAAGTAAGGCTCGTCTATACAGCTGGGATTGTTTCCGAATGCAAGGTTCTCCCAGCCTTTCTGCATAGAACTCTTTTTCCAGGTCACTAGCATGCCATTCAAGCCCGATATGTATGTGGAAGTATGCAGTATCACGGCGCGTATGCACGTCTATCTACACTACATCCTCAAGCTGTGTTCTGGAAGCACGCCCCCAATGGATAAGCGAGAGTTGATCTCAGATATGTTAGTGCATGTTCATCGACTTCGTTGAATGCTCGGGTAGTAAACCAATATCAGAGCTTACCATGAGGCTCGTGAGCTCTGTTATCATGGTATCATTAAGCGGTGTGTGTCACTTAGCCCCTGAATGGAATCTGTTGCTTTGAATTGTCCAATGTAGGAAGTTATGTAACTGGTAGGTAACAGGTAGGAACTACAGGTAGAAATATAATTTCGCTGTGTTACACAATGTACTTCGTAGACGATATGACTTTGAGGATGCCACTTCCTTACTAAGTAGCCAATCGAATAACAAGACGTTCACCCAGGTGGACCCGACTAGGATTAATTTGGGCAATCGGGTAACAGGAACCGGTCCGGAAATTTTTGGAATTTTTAAAAGTTCCATGTTCAACATCTTTTTCTCCTGGTGATGAGATGTAGTGCTGAGAGGTAGGCGAGTCTTCCCGCTCAGGATTAAGGATGTTTGACGAAATATCAATTATCACGATATTGTCCATTCTACGTTTTAGCTCACTAATGGCTACTGGTATGACTCCTCATGAGAGTAGAATCGGCCGTATGGAAATTCGGCCCCCAACTGGCCATGAAGACGAAGCAAACTCGCTGGCTCTCGCGGTAACATCCAGGCGAGGGTAAAGAATTTACCTAGCTTACTCCGCCAGCTCGGCTTCTTACACCAACTGGGCTTCTAGTTTATGCTATCAATGCAATGATGCCAAAGGACTCGGGATGCCGAGTCTAACAACGAACCCTAATGGCTATTCGAAAGACAGCTGGACCTTGGATATGCACCGTTTTAAGGTCGCTGCCCACTGATCGGCCGAGACTGACAGGACTGACAGTCTGACACACCAACAGCCTTCTGGGTCCCACATGGTTTGACCCAGTTAGTGCTAATAAAAGGAGCGGTACCAGATCTTCGGGAACGCCTTCATAGTGGATTTCATCGAAGGATTGGTTCTTGCGATCGCTCATACGAAATACCCACAACTCTTCGCACCGGCATTTTCTTTTCATCCCTCTTTATCATGTCCATGGATATGGTATAGGCAACAACACATTATCAGGCCATTTAACCCAAATTTGCTTCTGATGATGTTCAGATATCGTCGCCACCTGGCTGCCGATTTAGTTATCAGCGGCATTAAAATTACCTAAGCCTACTAGATGTCCACGGTGTCGGATAGACGTTTCTATCGCGAGCTGAGACATTAGATCTCAAATTTCCTAAAGGGAAAATATCCCAGGTGTTTATGTTCAGCCGTTGTGATTCAATGTGCAACTTTGCTTACGTCGAAGGAATCAAGAAAAGAAGCAAGAATGTTTCCCGTTTCACTCAGCCTATGCTATCATGTCACTTCGTCATTGGCTACAACATCCCGAACTACTACGGCTACTACGGTAAGTCTGGGGGCCTGTCGTGATCTTTTGCGCTTTTACATTTTTTTACACTTTTACCCCGACATGTTCAGGTGAAAGTGGGTTAATAGCTCAGTCATAAAGTTCTGGACAAGGGTTGACAGGGTGGGAGAAGCTCAGAGCTCGAAATGGCTTCGTGTTACTCGTCGATGGAAGCGACCCATGTGTGGCTCTAAGCGCCGAAACCCCTGCTCGTCCCCCTGCAGCCCCCTCCGAAGTCTCTCCCTTGCTATCATCCTACTCGTCGAACGCTGCGCTCAAGTAGTAAAGAGGTCAAGACGCGCATCTGCATGCTCTAGGATCTGTGGATGACCCAGCGAGCGCAAAACCGATGGTTGCTAACTCAGAGTAAGCCATTTTTTTGTGAATGATACGAGTCGCAGAGATCGGATTGTACCCGAACAATTTATCAATCAGGACAAAAAAGAGCCTCCGTACTACCCATAAGCTACCTATTAGGCAATAGAACAGCGAGGGCAGGAATCCTTCTCGTCAGTAATCTACGACGGCATCCTACCCCATCTTTGCTTTTGCTTCCACTCTAGGCCACCTCAGGTCCAAGTCGCGATAATATCATACATCCCACCCAATAACGCTCCCGCTATCCGAATCCCTCGCTACCCTCCGGCTCTCATATCCAACTCAACTTCGATTCGAAGGATTCATAGGGTAGCTAGCTCTACTACCTAGTGTACCTATCTAGTCTTCACTCTGCTGGTGAGCTCCACGTTCATTATCCCTTTCGGGTTTCAGTGGAGCTCCCTTGGACGAATCTCAAAGCTCAACGACCTTTCTCAGCCCCTCCTACATGAGCGCAGCAATTGATTCAACCTAGCCCACCACGTTCTGTCCCTCCAGTCACGCCGAACCACCATCCCGATAGACAATACATACATACATATAATCCTTCCGTCCCCTGTCTCGCTTCAACGGGTCATCTTTCCTGGGAACTGTCCGAGTGTTGGTCCCCAGCTTGTTAGAGCCTCGCGATAGTCGATCTGCATGATATTGGGCTGTCAAGGATCGCTGGTATTCGAAAATTCGCACCGCCTTTTTCGTGGGGTCTCGCGCTGGTCGATAAAGCAGGCTCTATTCTACGGGAAGTTACCTAGTAATTCTCCTTCAGTGTTCTCGATCCGACCATCGTCAAGGCCCAGATCCGACCCATATTGCGGCCCTCTACATAGCCAACGTATCCATCATCGCGTCTGTAATAAGCGCGCCACTTCTTCGCATTAGATTGTTGAGGCGCGATATAATATAAAGAGCCGCTATCAAGCGCCCTCGAGGCAGTTTTTCAAAACACCGCCCGACCTACATCGTGGCCGATTCATCTTAATTCTCCTAAGGTAGTCATGGCTCTCGAAGCTCCGTTGAGATCGTCAACTGGGAGTATAATATCCGCTTTCTCGCCTCACATGGATGCATCTATGTCTTCGCCAGAGTCATCCTCTGCTCCCCACTCACAATTCCGCCCAATGTCAGTTACTTATCACTTCCAACCTCCATAATTGGCGACAGTCGCTAATAGAAAACAGGTCTACTAGTGCTATAGAGTCCAGTTCCTTACGGCCGTCATCGGCGGCTCCCCGACCCGCTTCCGCCAATCACTATCTCATGAGTCCGAGCGACATAGTCGGCCCTTCGCCAGTCACATCCGTCGGGACAGAAGTGACAGAGATAGATGATGAAATGTCTGATGAGGTTCGATCCCAACCTACCACAGCGAACCCTGACCGGCAACCTCAGGTTGGTTGGCTCGAAGACGGGAATGCGCTTGCAGCCACAATGCTGACTTAGAGCTAGCTTCTAATGCTTAGCACGAATGTTCCCGATCAAGTTCGACAAAACGTAAATGAAGAGGCTGTTTCGGTCATTCACGCGCCGGAGAGCTTCCAGAGTTGGGTGAGTTCAACTTTGATATTCAATTGTTATGCATTCGCTCATCATTGCAGACTACCGCCGACAACTCGCCAAGGCAATCGGAGTCGACCCAAAAGACATCGCCTTCTACTCCTCCCGCCAAGCCAGAGAATATACTCCTGCCATCTAGTAATGACTTGAACTCAAAGGTAAACAAATCAGCTATTTGTCGGGAATCGATACGATACTAACTGATACAGACTAAATCTCCTGCCCTGCCGACACCGCCTCCTCTATCAACAGATATCAAGCCCGTCAGGTACAGTATTGACACTGCAACGCCTAGGGCTCAGAATCTACAGGATGTACTCAAGGACTCATCGAGGATACGGTCTAGTAGTGCTAGTAGCCTCGAATGTTAGTGCAACAGCTTCTTATATATAAATATTATAGCTAACAATTTATAATAGTAATACCGGAGAGCAAGGAACCTGAAACGGACACAGAACCCGACCTAGAAAGTTATGACGATGAGGAATTTGTAACGCCTGTTCGTGAACAGGACGTTGATGATGTGGAGATCAGTTCTTTGAAGACGGCATTACAGGAATGTTGGACCTTGTGCAATACCTTGGCTACTCTTAGCACGCACCACCGAGAAAGAGTATTCAGTACGTCGGGAACCCCTGATGGCCATGAAAGGGCTTGGAAATGCTGTTGGAAGTTGTGTCAGCGATTATACGACAGCCGCGACGAACCTGACGAATCCTTTAACGTTCGTCAAAATCTGGATCTTTGCAGGGATTTCTGCCAATCCCTCTTCGATATACGGCAACGCAAAGACGAGGTTGCGGATTCCGTTCTGCGGGTTAGCTTCGAGCTCAACAACCAGTTAGTGAACTAATATTATTGTTGTTATTAAGGGCAACAATCATACTAATAGTAATCTAGTCTATACAGTGCGCAGGATAACCGAATCCTTCCGGAGGCATTCCGAGAACGGACTCTAGACTTCTACATAACACTATGTCATAGGCTTATGAAGCAGCGTGGCGAGCTGGGCGAAGAAACGGATTCGCTACTCTCTGCATGTTGGTCACTTGCGGAAATGTTATTCAGCTTACGACAGAGCAAGAGAGATGGGAAAGCTCCAGACGAAGAACTTCTAGGCTCGGCGGTTCAAGCATGTTGGGAACTATGCGACATATTTAGGGAAGGATGGACACAGATCCGACCGGACAGGGGGACGCCGCGTCCTAGTCAAACCAGCTTTTTCACATATAACCGAGAAAGGGAGGCGGCCGAGTTAACAGACGGCAGAGAAAGCCGAGCTTCGCAACGCTCGAAAGCTGGCAGTTTAAAAAATCAAAAGTCTCAAGGAGGAAAATCATCTCGCAAAATACCACCAGTCCCCGAAACCCCCGTGACCGAGTTCGAGGACACACCCGTCTCTCCTGACGGCGAATCTCCACAAGTACCTAACATTCTAGTCCTCGGAACGGATAGCAATAGAGGCGGCCGATGGTCCAGCAGCGCCTCAAATTTATCTAGCTACTCCCAAAGTAGCCAACGGACGTCTAGCACGGCTACCACAGCAACAACAAACGAAGACCCGAATATTACGCGCATCAAGATCCTCCTCCTTAAAGCTGCGATGAATATCGGCTTCTCGCGCGACGCTAACGTGGACGGACACTATCATAACGGCGCGGCCTCCTTGCAAGCTTTTGTCAAAGCACTACCTATGGGCTCGTTCGGCTCATTGCCCGCCCACGCCGCATTACTAAAGAGCTACAAAAATCTCGTCGTAGCCGATTCATCGTTTCGACAGGCATCCTCTCTACCGTCGCGTGGGAAACGTGTCCTAGCTACCGACGTAGCGAATAGCGTCGGTTGGATGGCGCATCGTGCCAGCCAATACGGGTTCCTGCGCGACCTATTCAAGCTCGTGTTTGGCTTCCACGTCGAGGAGGCCGATGGCCGGAAGAATGTCAGCATCGCGGTTTGATCACTATCTATCACGACTCTCTGTTACGTCCATTTTTATACGATTGATGAGGATGATCTGATGAGGTATACGCACACGCATGGGAATCCGGACTCAGGGAAAATATTATCTCATATTCACGATCGATGACGAACTCCTACCCACCCAACAGAAAGAATATAACATCAGACAAAACAAAACACGACTTGGACGATAACCAAGCCCAGAGTCTGGGGTTACGATGTTTTGTATTGGGTTATCTTGATTATCCATTTATCCGGGGCGGTTCTAGTATTTATTTTTAATATCCATTGGGTCATCGGTATCACGTCACAATGTTTTGTTTTTTCCTCGCTTTATTCGAAGCCCTCGCTTTACGCTACTACGCTTTTTATAAGATACCCCCCTTTTTTCTCTTATTTATTCCCTCTATCTCGGAGATGATACGATGATCAGCGGCGCTTGGAGGGTATGAATGGAAGAAAAGAAAAGATAAGATGGAGGGAGGTGGATATGGTAGAAGAAGATATGGGGGTTGGGTTGGCTGGTGTAGATGAGATGAGATGGGTTGGCTACCTAGGTACTCTGGGTATCTACCTACATACTAGGTAGATACGTGGGGAAGCTGAGTTGATATATACATATACCTGAGCAGGTATATTTGTGATATGTTGATGGAATACGGTTACGGATATTATGATATACTTATGTAAAACGCGGTGGCTTAAAGAGTTTATAAGGCTTACGCCTAGCAAGATAAGGAATTGCAAGAATCTTTGGATTTTATCAAGACATCGTATCCAATCTCACAGGTGACCATTCCTCTAGTCTATTAGCAACTCGTCCATACAGTCTGCAGAGTGAAGTATAAATAACCCATCACAGTAACGGTCTTCCACCGGCAATGTTAGATCAACGACCATGCTGGGATGGCCTAGTCGGTTACATACCTCAGACACCACCCAATCACGAACAAATATAATCGCAGGTTAGTCAAATGGGGAAAAGCAGAAATTCTGTATTGATCCATCAAAGCCTCTCCTATCCATACATGCGAACAGGAGAATCTATACCCACCAATACCGTAAGATGGGAAGGAAGATAGGCCAACTCGTCCATACTCAAGCTCTTCTTCTCATATAGTGCAATGTTTCAGTTGGTCCATCCATTTTCCCTTCGCCATTTTCCCCGTTACGCCATCTCTATCGATTGTGACATTCGCAGCCTCCGAAAAAAAAGCGGGATAGCATGCCACCTAGACAATCCTATCCTTCGTAATTTTCACCACTCTCCGTCCAGCCATAAACGTACTGCGTTGCTATGGTATCGGTCTCTTGTGTGGTACGGGGTTACGTTATCTATTTATCCTTGCGAGTGCCAGCGGGAGGCTGAGTCTCGCCATACTTCTCACACAGATTGTTGTACTCGCGGGATAAACCCTCAGCCTGCTTACGCAGAGTCTCGATATCACGGTCCTTCTTCTCAAGTTCGGTACGGAGGCGGGCGATCTCGCCGGGCTTTCCGGCCTCGGCCAATTTCTCAGATTCCTTAGTCTTGCGGTCGGTGCCCTCGTACTGCTTAACCTTCTCTTCCAGGCGGAGAACTTCCAGGATCATAATGTACGTGCGGTTCAGGATAAGAGATAGGAACAGGGTGAAGCCGCATAGGTACATGTTGCGCTGGCTGTAGAACTTGCGTGCTTGGACTTCGAGACGTTCGTGACCCATCACCGCTCTGTTGTGGGGGTGTCCGTTAGTATGGTGTGACAAATGTGGCTTGTTTTCGGCTAACATTGGTAGGTATGTTTAAAGGGAAGGAGAGGGGAGTAATTGCGGGGAATCTTGAGGCTTGAGAGACTTACGCTGTGCCCTGTTTCTCGGTAGCGGCGGCTAGCTCAAGTTGAACACGGTAGACGCGGTTGACACTATCCAGGAATAGAATCAAGATGAATACGAAGGTGATTTTGAGCCAGTATTGTAACTTGGCAACAACAGGGTTCTCTGAGAGGAAGCTATAATATTCAATAATCTGTCAGTTCCCATCTTTGTGTTGCCAATAGTATTGTTACTTGGCTGGGTTAACGTACGTGAACATCTTTCGCCGGATGGCAAAAGGCATTGGGACAACGAGGAACATAAAGAGTGACATCTCCGCCACCAGGAGTATGAAGACCTGGTTATCCAGTATTAGCAGAGCTGTCAGGGACAGTAAGAACCCCATCTTGGCTGTAGTGGTGTTTGGAAGATGGATTTCTTGGGATGATGGTTCTGCAAGAAATTTAGACATACAAGTGTGTAATAGAGCGTCATCTTGAGAAAACACCAGTGGTGGTTCTAATTCTCGGGAAATGTTTCGTAGGTCGTGGGAGTGTCGGGAAAGAAGACGACGATGATGCCGATGTGGTGCAGCAGTGCCCAAATGTGTTGTCAAAGGTGAATTGGACTTCAGATATGCAAGGTGAAGTTTTGCCTAACGTATGAAAGGACGATACAGGAACCAAATGGCTTTATGATCTTGATATGAAGACAAAGGAATCCTGGTTTTTTAATGTAATTCTTAAGAAAAGTCAAAGTTGTTGGAGGATCGAAAATGTGGCCTTGTCTCACGAGCTTGCAGGTAGTAGTTTCCCGGAGCTGACCGCAGCAACGCAGCTGTGGTTGGTTAGTGGGGCTGATTTAGGTAACACCCAGCTTAGCTTCTCAGGCTGCTCTAAAGTCAACTACGTCAGCTCCGTACAGGGAAGGAAATGACGTCGTAGTGACACAACCAATTAAGCTAGCCCCTATTATGTAATCAACTTCAATCACAACCCTGTACCTCAAAATAATTGGAACACATATCACGAAATAAACATCACATTTGTTACTTGCATAGCACTAAGTTCTATATTTCATTCAATAGAAATACCTAACATTTTGGATATCATCACGATTGTAACCGCGTAACAACCATAGCCTTTTCGTCCAACAACCTTGAAGATTCGGAGCTTGGCCTTCAAACACACTCCGCCTGATAGTCTGGCTTAATAGGATCCTGCAATCTGTCCTGTTGCAATATCAGGTCATTAGGATTGCGTGGACTATAATATGTTTCATTCACCAAACTAGCATCGATGAGTCATTCGCATTCGGTTTATTTGTGTTGCCACGAGTTGTGTTTATCTACCAGCAAAGCTACAGAGCAGACATCTGTCCTCGGAGCCAACCATCACGGACCTATCGGATGACAAAAGTACATCGGCCCTAGATATAGATGGCCACTTATCCCTCAGCCTCAATCTCGTAACTGTTGGATTTATGCTTCGGTTGGAATTTGAAACTTGGATGAGCAGGGCCAAGGAACATCTCGCTATCTCACGTGTCAGCTAATGGCGAGGATGAAAAAGAAAATAGGAAAATAGGAATAAATAAGGGCATACCTAATTTTAAGCCAGTCTTTGTAATGATCACTGGCAAGAAGAGTCTCGAGATCGTTCCGTCCTTGATATCTCGGTGGTCGATCGTTGAGGCTAGGAGGTAGATGTTCCAGGATGCCAATCGGAACGTAACGGTGAGTAAAGCTTAACCACTCCAATAAGAATCGTCTCGTGAAACCCAACCCCATCTCGTCCGATCCCCAAGCTTCCAATCCGTAACGTACGAACTTTTCGATATAGCCTAGTCGTTCAGATGCCGACTTATCTAGATATTGCCCCTTCTCGATCTCTTCGAAGAGCCACGGCTTGACCATAGCGCCTCGCGCGATCATGACAGTATCAACACCGGCGTTGTCGACATGGTCGAAGTAATCCACGTGGGAATAGCAATCACCGTTTCCGAGGAAGTAGATCTTTTCGTCGGAGGTATTCGCCTGGGTGCTCTGGTCAGCTTCGTTAGCAGTATCCGTCAGCTCGTCCTTCTTGTCCTTATACGACTTGATTAAGGCCGAGCATTCAGCAATGTAGGACCAGTTAGCGCTCTTGGTGTATCGCTGCTGTCTGCTTCGCCCGTGCAATGTGATTGCTGCACACCCAGGGGCTCCTAATCTACTACGTGTGTCCGATCCACCAAAAGCAAGCCTCTCAATAAGCTTGTCTGCTGTTGCCTTGTCATCTCGGACACCAGTTCGTAGCTTGGCTGTGATAGGTACTTCTCCAGAGACAACGTTCATGCCTCGAACCATTTTCTCTAGCTTACTAGGTGTATCAAGAAGACCAGAACCAGCACCCGCCTTGTAGACTAGATCGATGGGACATCCGCAATTCAGGTCAACCACTCGGAGATGCGGGAGGAATCGAGTTAAAGCTTCAGTCGTTTTCATCACCACCCACGGCTGGTTACCCGAGATCTGAGCACCGAACTTGAGATCCTTCGCATTGTCGTAACCCTTTACCACCGTATCTCTGCCAGTCGTGAACCGTGGGGGAGTAATCTCCGATTCATGGGCCTTCATAAGTGCCCATTCCCCTTTTTGTCCCTGGACAAGTGGCATACCCATAGCCATCTCCGAATAGGTGACTTGAGCTCCAAGTTCCACACATAGTCGTCGAAATGGTAGATTTCCTTGTGTAGTTAGGGGTGCTAGGACTGGCGTCTCCCTTCCGAAGTAGATCTTCCTCTTCTCCGACGGCTTGAGCGGCGGATCAATAAACTGAGCTCTGATTTCTTCTCTGTTAATAGCGTTTGCTTCCTCACTTCCTTGATCCTTGGCGTGGTGGAATTTTCTTGTGATATCCGTGTCCTTTTCCAACCACTTGATATACGGTTCAGACTTGTCAAAATTGACCTTTCTTCTGGCCAGATCCCACTTGGTATCGGTCGACACGACATTTACAACACCTGGCCTCTGATCAGGGTCCTCGTTGGTGTCCATAGCATCAGAGTTCTGAAGAATAAGCTCTTTTCGACCATCCTCTCGTTCGATTTCTTCCGAGTGGCTCTTTACAAATCGGCACTTCCAACCGGCAGTACATCTACCGTATTTCTCAAAAACGGGACACTTGCCGTCTAGGGTGTCTATGTCTTCACGTCGGCCCTCTTTGAGATACTTGCGTAGGTCATGACACATATTACACCTCTCGCCGAATTTACATGTCTTGGGCGAGAACTCGTTGCTGTAGGTGACACTGTTGCATAGGCGTATAGCATCTTCAAAATGGCCGTAGTTGCGATTCTGATTTTGACCACCTTGCTTCTTTCGATTCTTGCCTCTTTTACCGCCACCATCTCGGTCATCTGTCTTGCCGCCGTCTCTGTCATCTATAGTTGTCCCGGCTTCTGCCGCATCATAATCCACGATCTTGACTGGTTCATCGGATGAAACTAGATATCTAATAGAATGGTTAGTTATAGACTGAAAGGAGGGAAATTATTTAAAGTGAGGGTTAATCTCACTCAGCTTTCACAGGCGCAACACCTCGAACCCTGTCTTTTAGTTGTGATTGTCGGGTTTCCTGTTTCGCCTCTTGGTGGTCGAGCTTTTGTCTCTTAGACGCGGGTCCGTCAGCCATGACGATGTCTGATGAGTTTTCAACATGTGGTTCGGTAGTGGATGTATGTTTGAGCGACTTTTCTACAGAATGTAGAGCTTCTGTTGCTTTAATATCCTCAGAGATATTACCATCCGCCATTTTGGGCAATCAATTCCAAATATATAAAATTTCTGGGTTTTTGCTTGGTGAATTTTTCTTTTCATACAGCCAAGCTGCAATTTGTACTCCGTCTAGCGCATCTAGAAAGAGCGTTGATAGGCAGGTACGTACCTTATTGCGTAGAGCCCCGCGCTTAAATTAGCAACTGCCCCGCCATAAAGCTATCTTGTACCTATCAGACGCCCTATCAAACTTAGAACTTCTCAATGTTCTCATCCATCTTTAGAAAACCATAAATATCGGAACTAGACTGCCAATAGACTTATGGATTTTGTATAATTCTTCGTCTTGAGCGGATGTTTCATAACTTGGGTCTTTAGACACGATTACCTCTAAATTGGTGTTCTCGGTTTCGCTTAGGTACTACGCCCTCCCGACACGAAGGAATCATTTCGTCTTCAGTTCTGCATGCACAAGGCCTTTGTAGACTCAATTAGGACGCACTTCTGTTCCTTCTCTTATGCTTTACGGGGTTGTCGTACTTGATTTGCTGTATGTGATTCTCGGAAGTTCCGAACAGCTTAACGACGTATGGATAACTCTCATGCTCGTCATGGGGGACGGAGTTGAATAATATGTAAGGGACCTTCGAATCAGCCAAAGGAATGGTGTCACTTGTGATATAGACATCCAATGGGATTGCTTTTGCATTAGGTAATATTATTAACTTCGGAAGGTATTCCTATTGGTCTCGGATAGTCTGCAGAAGTGAAGATCCCTTCTGCAATTTTTGCAATGGCTGTGAGAAAAAGCAAATGGATATTGGGATGGGGGCAAGGTCGACAGATTTACAAGTCTGCGAGTCTGCTTCTTGCTTTACATAATGTATCCATGCATTGAAGGGCCCAACAACGATTAGACCTATCTACATAGACAAATCGATATGAAATATGATCTATAATATATAATCTCAATCTCGACGAGATCGATATTTACCTAGTAAGTCAGATGACATGAATAAGATGTGCTATGCTGACCAACTTGAAGGCTTGTCTAGTGCTGTTAGTTTGACGTATGCAGTCATGCGGCACGGAAAAGAGGTTGAGTATCAACTTTTTAACTGTTCGAGTTGTGTTGCATTTAAATTGCCGGCAGAAAACCCAGAGCCAGGTCTAGTTAAGTTTCGTCACGATCATGAGCTCGGAAGGATTGCCTTTGCATCGATAAAATCCCAAGACCGCCTATCTCTATTTTATCCATTCCTAAACACTCTATTCGTGAAAGAAACTGTAAGAGTACCCAATGCTACCATACCTAGTACTAGTAGGACTAGGTCTAGGACCCTAGGTACATAAACAGGCTTTCAACTGAGTTCAGTTACAGCACATAAGGTACGGAAGTACCCGAGATCAATACCCATTGATAGAAGTCACCGCCTAGTGATGATCAATTTGTGCCTGCCTACCTCTAGGTATGATCATCAATTAATATTCTTTACCATGCAAGTATAAACTATAAAATGCAACTTCTAATGTCTTTCCCTGACTTCCCAAGGCGGTGGCACGCTATTACTGGCAGCTACTGGCTGTCAACGTAATCTTAATGCTTAGGTAACAAGCAATTATAGACCGGGCCGGTGGCCGCTATAGACCGTTATTGTAAAGTCAGCGTAACCCAAGCTAAGGCGGGGAAGGTGCGGGATTGGTTGAAGACGATAATTTGTTCTAAAAAGTTTCCGAAAGGTTGACAATCACTTTTCCCTCCCTGCTACAACCGACAATTTACAACGTCTACCAACCTCTAACCTCTCTTTCTAGAAAAGTGCCCAATTTCATGCAGGGGCCTGTTGAAGCGAGGGATTGCCCGCGTGGCCTGTCAACACTTTGACCTTGAACCTTTTTGTATTAGAACGAACTATTAATCTTTACCCTACCGTCATCATCCTATATTCCCTACCATCCGTACCCCATACCTAACAATATTGTTGTTAACCCTTTTGTTAGCACTTCTAGCCCTTCGTATTCCCTTTAAGCTACCTGCAAACATCGTCAGATCTAAACATCATTTCTAACAACCTAACTCACCTAACCTACTTACCTAACCTATATCAGTCTAGATTGCTTAGATTGTTTACACCTTAATCTCTTACCCCTATGCCCTAAACTTTCGAACGTACAGGTTTCCCCATGCCCTTGCGCGACACCTCTATTAATTACCGAGAGACTGGTTAGATGGTTAATTTTGGCAATTAACCTGACGTTCGTTCATAGTTTGGCAGGCCATAACGAAATTAAGAATTGAGAGGCGACTAAGTAGCAAACTACCAACTTTGGGCACGGAACGTTAGGTAGGCCATGTGCTTCGAGCTCAGGCCTCTTCCCTGAACGAAACAATGGCCGAAAACCCACGATCGCCCACGGCAAACAGCAACAAATCTAGGACCGTCCGATCTCAGAAGATCGCGCCCTCTACCTCCGATGCTGTTAGTATAAGCGACCGCACCGAGTCCTTAGACCGAGTCCCTCCTCCGACTACGCGAAGTCATACCCCGGGCCACCTCGCGTCCAAGAGCCAAGGCGGTTCCTCGAATAGACGCAAGGCTTCAGGACAATCTATACGGACGCGCTCTCAATCCGTCACCTCGAAAACTGCCGCATATACCTCTCCTCCACCCCAGACAGCGGCACCGGCACCGGCGCCGACTCCTATCCCTACCCTTACTCTCCGGCGCCATGGGGACTATACCAGCCCAGTGCCGACCGATCCGCAGGCCGGATCGTCTACCAGCCTAGATACCGACGCACGGCGGCCAACGGCTATGCGTTCGACGTCGGCCATCGCGGGTCGGGCCACGACGATGAGTGCGACCTCGGGAACCTCGGGGGCCTCCCGCAAGTCGTCCGCACCTCCACGTCCACGAGGACCCCACGTACCCTTCCCACCTCTACAAGACCCGAAAACGGCGTCCGACGTGCCCGCTGCGCCCTCCTCGGGTATGTATTGGTCCCGGGCACCTGTGTCCGGAGCTCCCCACACACCCCTCCGTGCGCACACGACGACTCTGGTAGGAAGCAACGTATACGTGTTCGGGGGCTGCGACTCGCGCGCGTGTTTTAACGAGCTATACGTATTGGACATGGACTCGTTTCACTGGAGCAGTCCACACGTAGCTGGCGATGTGCCCGTCCCGCTTCGCGCTATGACGTGTACAGCTGTCGGTAAGAAATTGGTTGTATTTGGTGGCGGCGATGGCCCTGCCTATTACAACGATGTATACGTATTAGATACCGTCAACTTTCGGTGGCATCGACCACGAATCGTAGGAGACCGGACACCAAGCGCGCGGCGAGCGCATACAGCATGCCTCTATAAAAATGGCATCTATATGTTTGGTGGCGGCGACGGAGTACGTGCCCTGAATGATATCTGGAGGTTAGACGTGACGGATCCTCAAAAGATGAGCTGGAAAATGGTATCGGGACCCTCGACGAACTCGACCAGCAGCGCGAATGGCAGTACCCCGGTCAAGGACACCAGTCGGCCGAAAGCGCGGGGTTACCACACGGCCAACATGGTGGGCAGCAAGCTGATCATCTACGGTGGCTCAGACGGCGGGGAGTGCTTTAATGACGTATGGGTATATGACGTGGAGACGCACGCGTGGAGAGCGGTGCATATCCCCGTCACTTTCCGACGGCTGTCGCACACATCGACGATCGTCGGATCGTACCTCTTCGTGATCGGTGGCCACGACGGCAACGAGTACTCCAACGACGTACTGCTGCTTAACCTGGTGACTATGACTTGGGACAAGAGGAGGGTGTATGGCCTGCCTCCCAGCGGACGCGGATACCATGGCACCATACTTTATGACAGCAGGCTTGTCGTCATAGGTGGCTTCGACGGTAGCGAGGTTTTTAGCGATGTCTGGATTCTTGAGTTGGCTGTTCATGCGTACTACTCGCAGATCAGCCATTTTTCTATCGAGGTCTAAGCTATTTACCTAGGTCTTTTTGATCATCTACATACATATATATCTTGGCATTTAACAATCATATTTGGAGCGTCGGCGAGAATCTGGATGCTAACATACCTTGGAACCAACATGGAGATAGCTAAACTACCTATCTACCTACCATCTCATCACTACAGAGATATCATCGCATACATTAGAACGAGGACTAGAGGATAATCTTTTTTTGCTCTTTTTAGCGAAACCGTTGGTCTTTCAGGGCTTCTCCCGAAGGGAGGGGAAACGGATATAAAAGGGGTTTCTTGGACCGGGAGGGGATCTTGGAGGTTTTTTATATCTCGAAGGATGGGTTGGATGGACGACGGGTCACGAGATGACGATTACAGGAGTCTGTCTAGTGGCTTAGCACCTAATGTTTGTTTGGTCGATCTAGGTATGCGTTGTAATATATATTGAAGCACGATGCATTCGTCTATCATGACACTTTTTGCCGCCGCCTCTACCCACCACCGTTTATATAATCCGCAATATCCTAGGTTCTCAAGCCAATCTTCCGTTTCCTCCCCTAAGTTTTCGTAGCTCTGGTCAAGGAAGATGTAGGAATCGTAACCAGAACCTCGACGACTTGGATGTTCTCTATCCAAGGTAAAGGAAGTAAAGGTGATTTTGTACACGAAGCGAAGTGAACCGATGAAGAGAAGAGAGGAAGAGAACCGATTTTTTAAATTCAACGAAAACCCCAACTGCGTGAAGCAGTCCCAAACTCCGGTACAATGATCTGATCTAAGGGAAATATGCAGGTGATTGAATATGTGAAAGTGAATCCAGGACGTAAGTGTCCAAACCCCTTTTTCCTCCCATTATCACGAAAGCGGCGTGAGGCTGGCCTAGCAGCCTAGCCTCACCTGCTCCTCTCGCCATGTTCCCATCTCTCTTCCCTGCAACAGCGAGATGAACCCAAGCCCACACCCATCTATTTCTTCGCCTTCTGCGCCGCAATCCTCTTCTCCTCAGCAGCCACCATATCCTTCCACAGATCCTGGCCCTCATACTCCTCCTTATGGACCTTCTTCTCGATCAAATGCTTCTGCTCGGGATCATCCGGGTCAATGACCTTAATAATCTCCCACCTGCCCGTGCCACTCTTCGCGTCCGCAGTCTCGAACACCGCGCTCGCAATCAACACCGCGAGCGTCAGGCCCTGCGCGTATACTCGGGCTTGCACCAGTTTCTGCGACGTCGTGATGTACTTATTCCGCCCCACGATCCCCAGCGCGATCCCCATCGCCGCAACCCACGACACGAAGACAATCGAGTACCGGTTCTCGCGGCCCCACGTCGTGAACCGCTGCCAGCTCGTCTCGTTCTGTCGGATCAGCTCTGCGGTGCGCTGCGCTTCGTCTACGTAGAAGTTCATCGGGTTGTTGTTCCGGTGGAAGGCGTTCGACCACCGCTCTGCGTTGACGATGGCGCCGAAGGTCCCTGTGGAGGTGACGAGGAAGGCGCGGAAGGGGACGGTTAAGGAGCTGAAGGTTGGGTATCGCTTTGAGGCGAAGATCACGCCGCCGATCCCGAGGCCGATCCCGAGGGTGCCGCCGATGGCGCCGCCGCGTAGGACTTGCCCGTAGTGTGCGGCTTCTTCTTCTTTCGAGATTACTTTCATGGTTGCGGGGTTGTAGTGGGGTTGGGACCCGGCTTGGTTGTTAGGGATGGGTGATGTGGTTGTAGGTGGAGGTGGAGGTTTGAGGTGAGTGGAATTGGTGGCTAGCTTGGTTTGGGTTGGTTGTTTGGCGGGGTGTTAAATCAGTTTCTTGACCGGGTTGGGATGATTCTTGGTTTGCTCGGTGCGACGATAAGATGGATGATCTTTGTAGCTGTGAGGGATTTTGCCTTTGTAAGATTGATGTCGTATGTGTTTTGTGTATCTTTAGGTAGGCACGTGGTCGTATGGAAAGTGAGTAATATTAATGTAATATTCGAGGTATGTCGGATATCTAATGGGAGGAGGTAATTGGTTAAGCTGTTCTTGGCTTGGTGTCTTATGTCTGATGTCTGATATTATCTGATGTCGCAAATTGCAATTGTTCAGGTATGACGAGGTCGCCACGCAGGATATTTATTATTCTAAAGCGTCCTTAGGAATAGGAAAACGGCGATTGGATTTCTAGGAGAAGCGATGTAAAAAAGTGAATTCTTTCCCCGGTCGGGATTTCAAGGGCAAGTGGTGGTTCTTAGTAACACAACGTCAAATTGACGATGTTTTTCCAGACGGCGCATGGAGAAAGTCGGGAAAAAATTACATGATGTAATCCACCCCGTTCAAGGTGGCACGTTTAGCGAGGGTCTGGTACGATGCAATTATGGTTCCTCGCAAGGGGAGACCCCGAGCTATTCCCGGATCGTGGCTGGTGAGCTTGTGGCTTTCGCAGGTATTTGTCGGGTTCTACAAGGCTAAAATGCTCTCAATCATTCTCTCGGGCAAGTGGCGGGGCAGTAACGGCCAACTAAGCCACACCTAAACTTCATAGAGGAAATGCTAAGCGCCGCTACTCGCCGTCTGCTTGCGGTTACACAAGGAAGTTCGGGGTTTGGGGGATTTTAGCTTTCCAGCTATTCGTAATGGGTAACGAGAAAACACGGCGTCTTCCGTCCCGCCACTTTTTGCTTTCCCAATCACTACAGAAGCCACATTATGCACTTGATGCCCTACAGGCTATCGCCCACTTACCATCTGCATCTGTATGTATATGCCTTAATAAGCCCTATGCCTTGACTCGGTCACGGTCGACTTTTGGACAACGGTCGGCGGTACGGCGTGTCGTTCAGGCAATTGACTCGGTGTCGCCATTTGAATTCCTAGAGATTTGCATCGACTTGGGTTGAATAAAATTCCCATGACGATGGATGATGGTCCATGGATGATCATGACCTTTCGATCATACGTTTGGCTTTTATATTATATCAACCATAAAGAAGCCCGACGATGTTCATTCTCAAACTTGCTCAAGCTTCAACGAACGGACGACTTTGAAATTACAAAATAAACGCCGTGGCTAGGCGGACCACCGGCTCAAATATCGGAGCTTACGATCCAGTGATCACTTTCCCAACCATCACAGGGTCGTATCCCATCACGTGCCACGATCCTCTTCTTGGCAGTCGGTCTCTTGTCAGCTCCGTTTCCAATGCGTTCGTGATGTCTTGGCTCAGCCAGGGCTGTTCGGGAAGAACGCATGAGATGCCGGAGGACGCAGGGAACGTTTCATGGGTTGCTATGTAGGGCTCGGTTAAAGCTGACACGACCGTGGTGAAGCCAAGCCAACTATTCTGGAAGCATTCTTCTGTAGGAAGGTGAGTTGTGTGATGGGATTTGTGAAATCATGCATACTAGGGTACACATATCTCTTAACCGTCATAGCTATCGCCATTCATACCCTGTCCGCTTCGAGGCGATTATGCGCCTCATCAAGAAGCCAACAAACCGATATACCCAATTACTTACCTTAATCATTACCGACTAAAGGGAGTCACGAACACGTAGCCTTAGGCACGATAGGCAATTCAAAGTTCATATTCATAGGATATTAAGAACTTCGAGATCTATTAAGACCAGGGAATCAAGTCACGCCGGTTCTCTTTCGGGAATGTACATGCAATAGCAGTCTGCGTTAAGGAGCTGAGAAAGGAAGACATGATCCGAACGGATCACAGAGCGATCCAAGGTCGCGGCCGAGATGGGGCTGCTTCAGGATGATCGATCACAATTTCCCAATCGAACCCGTCGCCGTGGTAGTCGTCGGACCAAACTCCGAATGTGTATCCATCGAAGGTGCACATGGTGTGGGTTCTTAGTGCTGTCTTTTAACGCGGCTCGGAGATGAAGGCCTGTCGTTTAAACATGGCAGTGCTCTCAATCGGCACTTCAACGGCTACTTGTGTAATTATGTAATAAGTTGCTACTAGTCGCGAAGCCGTCGCCTATGTGCTGGCTAGATATAGCAACTAGAGATGGCATCTCCGGCATTAGCATTCCTCAACAGCAACATTCTAACCCAACCGGTCTCTATAAAGTAGCATAGTCCAGCGTAGTTCTGCGGGACGATCTGTTTAGTGTAAGTGAGCTGCTTGGCCGTCTGGCGACGAGGATTGGTTAGTTGGGAAAGGTGGGAAAAGTGGAAAGGTCTAAAGGACGGATTCTATTGAAGAAATCGAGATTGCATGTGGATTGCTTGTTCTGCTCGTGAAGTTCGCGAAGTGGGCGATATGGTTGAAGCTTTGCCGGAGCTGACACCGGACCAGGGGATATTTAGCATCTGGTTACTAGTAGCCCCCCTGCAGGGTCCAAGGGATGGGATACGAAAAGTGGAAACAAGATTTCTCTTCGTGGGCATCTCTAATTCAGGGTCCAAGAACGCTAGCGCATATCATTAGAAGGCAAGCGCCTTGTGACGATCGTGGTGGGCATGGTATGTAGGTATAGGCATAGTGGGCGCGGTGGGCGCTGTGGGTTGAAGTTCGTTTCTAGTGCTTCTAGCGTGCAGCGTGTTGCCTCAAGCGCCATCCATCGCTCATCGGCGTGCCGCACCCAGGGGAGAGGATCAGCGAAGTAAGAGGCATTAGACGATATTAGACAACATCTCTGATTGGTAGCATCCCGTGCGGCAGTTCGATCTCTCATAGGCGGCTGGTGCTAAAAAAGCGGTGAACGTCCTTGCTGAAGTGTCATGTTTTCCCGTTCGTACGTAGTAGAAATGGTGACCTCACTTGGTAAATTGCGACTCTGTCTGGGGATGCTGGTTGATGCTGAGGTCAGATTGTTATTTAAAGGAGTATAGAAATATTACACATCACCCTCATATCCAATCGGTATAGAATTGTCGTGAGATATGCATAGGGGTAATCGGGATTGTCTATAAGCGACCAACCGCATTCTAGCAATTGGATTGCGTAGTCGCGTAGAAGATATCCGATCAGTTGCTAGGTAGTTGTTCCCGCGGGTGTGACATCAAAATCAGGTGAATGCGCATAGTAGATCGAAAAGTTCACGAGCCTCTCATGTAAATGGAAAAATATCGATGATTGGTAGCGAGATCATCGATTGGCATCGTGGACACATCCGTTCAAGCCTTCAATTTCGTCATAATAGCGGAACCATGTTCCATTGGTCGCGGGGTAGGATAATTGCTAGTTTACCTAGGTACGCAAAGACCTTACTGCCTTGGAAAGCCTTGGTTTAGATCGAAGATCATAGATTCTAGACTGATAGATTCGCATCTTGTAAACTTGTTCAGGAGATAGTGAAGCCGCGAACGCGAAATGATGTCGCGCATAAGACTTACGACGCAGCGACGAGGTATGGGTATGGGGTTAAACAGCATCGATTTCGTGCATGTCGAATATTCCGCACTTGCATCGACTAGAAGGTGCTAAGATATCAATCACGAGTATCATTCGTTCACTATTAAGCATGGAACTATGCCACGCAGTAGTACCTAGCGGAGATTTAATATCAAGTAAGCCAAAGATTACCATCCCACCTTATCATCATCATATGCTAACGCGCTATGCGTTATGTATTCTTAAGGGGGGGTTGGTGGTTGGGGAGGGGGAGGGGGAATAGGGGATGGTGATGACGATGACGATGGCGATGGTGGAGGCGGTGGCAGATATTGGCGGATTAAAGTCATGTGAGGTTTGCTGAAGGCTTCACATGAAGCAAATAAAAAAATGGCCGAAGCCGAAGAATCGGTAACTCATTTCTTTTTTCAGCTCGGCGTCGTCGTAAGGCTTCCGAAAACAAGGAATTGACGCACGAGCTGAACCTCGAAAGAAAAAGGTCAAGAGGCCAAAACAGGGGGGCGGCCGCATGACCCAGCCCTGAATGTCTTGTGTTTCAAGAATTGCCTGCCTGTTTAGGTAATTAGTTCTTCGAGGCCGATGTTTGTGTATATGTATGTGTTTATGTATGTATGTATGTCGAGGTTATCGTAGTTTGTGTAAAGAACATCCATGATATAATAGACTAGAAGCATAATACGGCCTAGTCGCTCAACAACTTCTATTCATTCACTGGCTGACTGGCCAAATAGGGGATGTTTGCAACGATTTGTGTCCCCGGTTCGTGTAACTAAGTGAAACCAATGAGAAGAGCCAGCGAACCGAGTCCGGCATCTAATGCGGTATCCGAGGCTTACGAAGCAGTCGGATTCCGAATAAGATTGGTATTGGGATAATATGGGATCTGAGATATGGGATATGGGGCACGGGAGAATATGGATGTAAGCCGGATGTTCATATGTCTAAGACGCGCACCAACGGGACTGGATTCCCTCGGCTTACGGGGATATAGAATGGAACCATCAAATGAGAGGTCAGCGCGTATCGGGATTATCAGTACGAAGGCAGTAAGTGGCGTCCGAGAGGCTCTTGGATCTGATTCACCAAGTGGCGTCGGGACAGTCGATACTATGCCAGTATATGCGTACCTAGAAAGCCACATGTGATTATCATTCGCCGGGAGACCGGGTACGTATGAGTCAGGGCAACATCTAGCGAATGAGACATACAGGGACATGAAAGATGGACGGCTATTAAGGGGGGAACTCTAGAACATACCTATATGTATGTAGGTAGATTCTATTCCCGTATCTTGCTTCTTTATGACAGCACGGTCAAGGACGGTCTGCACCTGGATTCCTGGGCACCGTATGCAGCTGCAGCTGATAAAGGGAGATGGATAGGGATAGGGATAAGGATAGGGGAGGGAGAGAGACATACAGTAGACCAAGAAAGATAATTCCCGATTGCGTTGGCTATCCAAGTACGAATATGTATGCATGCCGCGGTGCCGCACGAGTAATAAAGTGCCCATCTCTTCTCATGCAACCACTTAAATTAGGAGTAAGGTTACCTACTGATGGCCGCATCGTGTGGCAATCCGTGCGTGAGAATGAGCTTATTCAATTCCATCCGTCTTTCGAGTCATACGCATGCTGCGATGCTTTGCTGCCAGGTAGATGCTTTTGCTTACTACCAGTCTGCCAGTCTGTCAGTCTGCGAATCTACTACCCTACCACCGTTTTCACATGATGGCCAATCAGTCCCGGGATAATGATGATCATGGCTGAGACTCGAGGCTGGCTGGTCGGGTACTAGGCAGCTAGGTAGCCTTGTCTAGAACCGACTTATTTGGCTTATTCGACTTATTTGTCTTTTGAGGTTGTACGAACAGGAAGAGTTGGTTGTGTGACAAACAGCAACTAAACTACAACTAATAAACTAGGATCTCTTTAGCCTTTAACAATTATACCTAGTACGCTAGCATGTACTTCGTACCCATGGATGTTATGCATACCAGCTAGTCTACTTATGGTATATAGGGACTATGACGCACGAGCATGACATAGCGTTCAAGCAGAAGTCGCGCACAGGCGCAGAGGGCGAACAATAAAAAAAAGACAGGGAAAGAGCAGTATCATCGCAGCATCGTTCCCCAGATTCTAGGATCAACAGATCCCGATCAACCTTGAAATCCTGTTACTGTAAACATAACATTATTTTTATTAAGTTTTCTTAATTAAGCACATGCTTGATAGTTTGAGAGAACTCGTGGAGAAGATAACTTAAATTTGTCGGTACGTATACCGTTTGGATATTTTAAACATTGTTCAATCATTCAATTAAATCCTCAGCCGGGTCCCTGCTAATTTCATACGCATCGGCTTTCCTTAATCGGTGATCGTGTCGCCCATAACCCCCCATAACCCCCCCATAACCCCCCTAGTTCCTTTGATTCCCTAATTCCGTAACAGACTTGCCGTTGAGTGTAACCTTGGAAGCCATGGAGCCATGTGAGTTCCACACCATCTCTTCCGACGATTTGAATATGAATTTTAATAAATCAACACGATCCCGAACTGTTCACCGTACCGGTATTATTTCACGGTCGTGACATTAGCAGTCGTCGTGGTTTGTTTTGAGTCCTGAGTAACATAAGTCTGACTAGAAACAAACCTTCTATCTCGGGTCTAAGTTACTTTTAAATCCTTGCTCATACGGTATCATTCTGATTCACTATTATAATCGGAACTTATTAATGGTTTTCTTGGTTTCTTGGGGGCGATAAATGTCACTGTGCTGGGACTTCTAAGTCTCTCACAGGTACTGTAGATATGGGGAACTATCGTCACTGATCAACATAACTGGTGATTCCTACTTGCTATCGATGTTAGACGGCCGTTTCCGGAGGTGCTAAACATCACTCTCAACATCTTTTCCCCTCGTTGCCCTCGCAAATAGCTTGTACGAGACTACAAGTCAATTCAGACGATCAAACGACGTTGCAGCGAGTCTAGTATCCATAACCCAACTAAGGTTAGGAGATTGCCGTTAGATCGAGTAAAGTGGTTCGGTGACAATTACAAACATCAAATTCGTGTGTAACTAGCTCCATCCTATCCCGTGTGCCTAAATTGTAATAGACTTGATATATCCTTGGTATAACATAGGTTAGTTTAGCTTCAACACCTACATAATACTTACCCACAACTCTAGCCGCGCATTATATTGTTGTGATGGATCAAGTGGATGGATCGTATTAAATAACCACTACCCACGTTTCTGACCTTGTACATGCAACATGCATACAAATATCCTTGCGTAGCTGCGTAGGTAGCTGCGTAGATCGAAGTAGGTATAATACATCCATGGATATATTCGTACACATGGATGCGTAACAATATATTATTAGCTCTTCCGTGTTTACTTTACTTGCTTTCCTTCTGAAATATCTCAAAGTGTTGCTATTTTCGATCGCGCTGGCGAGAGCCTATCCGTATCCGTATCTACCTGGTATCCAAATCACCTCCATCTTTCGACTTACATACACATTGGACACCGCCGAATCTCGACTCGGGATTAAAGACAGCTCATCGTAATTATAATCCTTCATCCCATCATCCATCTGATGCCGTGCAACCTGTTGCCGTAGCATCTGCTGCACAACCTGACTAAGTAATCGTCGAATCTAATATCCTGAACATCCTGAACATCCGCGACGACAAGGACCAAGGACCAAAGGCCTCAACATCTGCAACTTGGCTGCTTGGAAGCTGCTTGGAAATCCTTTGATGTTTTCCGCCATTACCCACGGATCTAGGTGCAACCCGAGGAAGCTTATGTACGCGGCAACGTTGTCTACCTACGTCGAGTCTAAACTCAGAATTTAGTCTCATCTCAAGTTTGGCAGCGGGTGGCTGCGGAGTTTACGTTTACGTCTCAGAGGCGAGAGTTACGTTTCCATCCGACTTAGTTCGCCTCCACTAAGGTGACTATTATTATTACCAACAACCCGGAGAGGTCTCGTGATTCCTTTGTGCTTTACACATCGCGAAGTTTCAAACATCTATTTATTATTATTTACTACTTCATCCGAACTATTATTTGGATCTCACCGGAAACTCGCACAGATCTGAACTGTGTGATATTTGGGACGGCGGATCGTGCACACGGATCGTACAAGATATACAGGCATACTGTGTGTTTGGTTTACGAAGCTTTGATCACTATCCGGGGCGGTTCTCTAAACCAACCCCATCACGTCGTCATCTTAGCGTTAATCTCAACCAACGATCGAACAGCAAACACTAAAAAGGGCATCCAGATTCTGGATTCTAGATACCTAACTGCCCAGACAACTTTGAATTGGGATAACTGGGACAACTAGAACGTCCTGTTTTCTAATTAAGCTTACACACATATATCCATACCTACCTACCTCATAAGGTATACACTCACCTCTTACATACCTCCCTACCTCCCCAACCTACCTACACGATACGCACATAAGTGTTACACGGGCGTACATGAATGTCGAGTTGCGAAGTGGTACGACAGGCTTGGAAAGGGTTCCTACAATACTACGATACGGCAATACGACTTTGACGACTCGGGACTCATTCTAATTTCTAACTGCAGTCACGGTCATAATCCTGTAAGTGCTGGAACTAAGTTATATTAACTTATTACCTTATGTACGTACCTTAGTCAAGGCAAGACGGAAAGGCGCGTCTTCGGATTCGTCCATCCGCGCTCCAGATGCATCTGGTTTCTTGTTCGCCTGTTCGCCAGTTCATCTGTTCCTGTTCGCGCTCACGCTCACGCTCAAATGCTCGCCATTCTTATCCCCCCAATCCCCTATTACCTACCTAGTACCTACCTTATTATTCACTTCCGTCACTTTCACATTTTCGACCGCTACTTTTACTAACCTAACCCCCCTTCTGTTCAGCTTGTAATATTGGGATCTCGACTCGACCTCCTTTCTTACATTTTTATTCACTACTATTCAGTCAAAGATTAGATTCGGCTCGACTCGACTCGACTCGACTCGACTTGACTTGATCCGACCCGACTCGGTCTTAAGTTGAACTCCTTGAATTCTTGAATTTTCGTGGTTTTATTCTATTTTCGAGGTTACCGTTTTAGTCCCTAGGCGTTTCTCGTTAAACACTTAACTCAATTCTGGAACTCTTTAATCCCTACTACAACGTGCGGCTACTACATCCCTAGGGGTATCCGTTTGTTAGGAAGGTACGTAGACGTCTTGCCTCTTGCATCCCGTCTCCCATCTGATCCGTCCTAAAGCATTGACCACAGTACCTAATACCGGTGTCTAAAGGAAAGAGCAAGCGCAGGCTAAGGACCGAGGACCAGGAAGGCCGTCCAAGGGTTGAGTCCCACTAATAGCCAACTGCCAATCATGAAGAGCAGCGCCCTGGGTCGATGGCTAGCAGGCACGACACGTACCCCATCTCCAGCGACTACCCAGTCTACACAGTTAACCCAGTCGCACTCCACCCAGTCTTCCGCCCAGTCTACCACCCAGTCTAATGACACCGAGCATCCGTTTAGCAGCCGCAGCAGCGCCGAAAATAATAATTATTATTTGACAGGCACCTGCTTTACAGGAAGTGCCTCTGGCTCTGATCTTGCCGCAGTCGCAACTACTACTGCTTCTACCGCTCCTACTACTGCCCCTACACCAACTTCCTCCCACTCACTCACCTCGCCGTCTCCTTCACCACAGCCCGCGACCCCGGACGATCACTTTAATAATATTCCCGGTCGCAACAATTATTTCGCAACCGCGACCGCAACCGCAAAAGCGACCGCAACAGCAACCGCAGCTGCGTCCGCCTCCACCACCACCACTACTTACTTTACCTCCACCAGCAACAAATCCGCCCAATCCACCAATTCCACCAAATCCTCCACCAAATCCACAACTAAACCTAACACCAACAATACTACCAATACCACTAATACCAATACTACCATTAATACCACCACCACCTGCATCGGCGCACCCACTGCTTTTACTGCATCTGCATCGCACTTTGCATCTGACTCTGCATTCCGCCCCTCATCTAAGCCAATCGATATCGCGAATAAAACAAGGCCGCGCATTCGTTCCGATAATTCTGTCTCTCCGCCCCCAGGCCACCACCCCAACCCAATCTCCATCCCCATCGAAGCCGATTTTCTTCAACTGAACGTCGACGGCGATCTTGACCTCGACCTCCAAGATTTCGAAATGACCACCGGTCCTGCGCTCGACTCGGCCGTGGGCCGCAGTCGCCAGGACTCCTTCGTCAGCGCTGGGCCTAAGCCCATTTCCATGATCAACCCGAATCGCGAACAGGCTAATCGCGGTAGACGGGAGAGCTTGGCCGGTAGTTTAATGAACGGCATGAGCTGGGGAGGAGTGTCAGTTGGGAGTTTCATTAGAGATGAGTAAGTCGCATCATCATCATTTTCCCATGATTTTCCTTTGTACCGCCATGTCATGTCATATCAAGTCATGTCTTGTCATGTCTTGTCATGTCTTGTCATATCTTGTCATGTCATGCCTTGTCTTGTCTCGTCTTTTCTTGTTGTATTGTCCCGAATATTGGTTCCAATCCCGAGTTTTCAAATCCCAAATCCCAATGTCCCAAATCCCAAGTCTCAGGTTCCAAGTCCCAAGTACTTGTCCCTCGCGCTGTCATCCCATCAATTTGTCTTCCGCCTCCGGTTACCGATTCGAGGTTTGCTGCTGCTCTTGCCGCTGCTGCAACTCGTTACGCAACCGTTCCCGTTTTACCCGGGTATATTCTTTTTTGGGGATTTATTTTAAGAAACATTCTTTTACCTACCCGGCATGTGAAATCCTCCGATGACGGGTTGCTAACCATTATGTCTTGTAACGAATAGCCTCGCTATGACTGGCACCTCGCCGTTCACCGGTGCCCATCAATCGCCTTCATTCCACTCCAACTCTTATATACCGAAGATGGAGGCGGAGTATTTGCGCAACTTTAAATGTTGCGACTTGACTTTGGATACCATGCACGACCTTCTTCGCCACTACGAGACAGTCCACACGGGCCTTCGAGATGCCCAGCTAAATCGCAACGGATCCGGCGTGCAGATGCCCCACCGACTCTCGGTCACCAATCGACCATCGATGTCCATGGTCGGACGGCAGGACTCGCAGGGTTACCAGCATCCCGTGCAGATGGGATTTCCGCAGAACCGATCTATGGGTAATAACGTTAGCTCAGGTCTAGGCTTCAGTGGATTGCAGATGGGACGACAGTCTTCGGCTTTGGATTCGAATTCTCAGAAGCGCTCGCAACAGCTCAATCGAATGCAGCTGAACGACGAGATGGACGCTGTAGGCGATATGGAAATGGACGATGCTCTTGGTATGATGGAGATGGATGACAGCCAACGAACCATCCAGCAAACTCGTCAGATGTTTGGGCAACAGCAGCGACCTCAGCTGTCACTGACCACTCCTGGCTTGCAACACCAAGCGCTCCGAACATCGCAGCCATCGACGCCTGGCTCCTCGAATTTTGGATTCCAGAATAACCCTACTGTCTCGTCAGTTAATACCCCGACCCTGACAACTCAGCAAGCCGCAATTCAGCAACAGTTGGGTGGGAACGGAAATAAGGAGGGAATGGAAATGGATTTCTCTCAGCTGGGCAACCTTGACCTGACGAACATGGGCAACTTCAATGGGACCAACCTTTCCGAGTTCTTCATCCACGATCCGGCTAAGCGCCTTTACAGCCCGGGTGGTGGGCCGGCGAACCAGAGAGCATTACAGCAACAGATGGCTCAGTTCGGTTTGGATGCAAGCCAGTTTGGAAATATCACGGATCCGAGCCATTTGGCTGCATTACAACGTGCGATCGCAAATCCAGGATCTTTGGTCATGCCTCCCGAAGAGGATAAGCCGTTTAAGTGTCCCGTTATTGGTTGTGAGAAAGCTTACAAGAACCAGAACGGATTAAAGTAAGTTTTCATTTTTTTAAGGAAAAAATCTTTTTCATATCTTGTCTTTCTTTCCCCTCTTCTTCTCCCCTCCCCCCAATTTTGCATTTCCCGGCCCTTATCTTAACTTGTCGCTAAATTGATTATGCAGGTATCACAAGCAACATGGCCATCAAAACCAGCAGCTCCATGAGAATGGGGACGGCTCTTTCTCCATCGTAAATCCCGAGACATCCGCTCCTTATCCTGGAGAGACCGGAATGGAGAAGGAGAAGCCGCACAAGTGCGAGTACTGCCACAAGCGGTATAAGAACTTGAACGGTCTTAAATATGTATGTCGAATTCCAATTGTATCGGATGATGCGAAGCTAACAAAACAATAGCACAAGCAACACTCTTCGGCTTGTGAGATTCAAGCTCAAGCGGCCAACATTAGAGCCAACTTGGCTAACAATCAGATGCCGTTCAATATGTCTGGCATGAACGGACTGCCCGGGATAGGCGAAGAAATGCAGCTGTAGGACATGGAGTAATTCTTGTCTGTCCAAAAGGCAGTGGTCTCTCTCGAGGATGATAGTCCTGGTTCGAGAGTTGGCTGCACCGACTCGTATACATTCGACGATCACATGATTCTCGAGGATTGATTCAACAGCATAGATGTGCTCTTATAGACTGGATACCCCTTTTTCTTTTCGCCGTGGCCACTGTACATAGCCACGGCTCATCTCGGTTTCGGAAAAGTTTGTCCCTTTACGGCATCTTGGGCGGCGTTTTTGTCATAAGGCGTCCAGTCCAAGATATACCCCTTGATAGACTTCTACACTACCCCGTCGTCTTTCGCATATTTCCTTTGGTTCTTAAAATAAAACTCGATCATCAACGACCCCCCCTACGACGATACATTTTCCAGCACCCTGCATTAAAACTGCGTTTCGATGCCACGGTATATAATCCCCGCACGACTAAAACGAGGACACGAAAAAACTGGAATCTACGGCGGATGGAAACGAATGACGGAGATGATGATGAGCGTCGAGCTATATGTTATGGTCGATGAGAGATAATAGCAATCTTGCCCCTCTTATTCGCACGACTATAGCCGAATGCATTTTCCTTTTCTTATGCCCTTTTCCTTTCGCACAAAAAAAGAGACGCTCGTTCTCGGAGATTGTTACGCCTCACGGCTCATGAAGATATTCATTTCCCCTCTATTTCCTTATTTCTTATTCGACGTCGTTTTTGCACCGCTCCTACGAATAGGGGAGCATAAATAGGCGTTTTTCTACGGTCTGACATGGGCAAGGGTCATGAAGAGCAGATAAAAAGGGGAGATGGAAAAGGAGATCAAGAGAAAAAGAAAAAAGCAATTTAGGCCTTCCTTAAACGTCTGTCTACCCACTCATCTAAACTCACAAACACTTTCGTCGTCTTCTTGGGCTTGGACATGGGACCTCGACAGACCAGACTTGTCTATAGATTTGGGGTGGCTAGATAGGCATCTGGCTTTACCCCTTAGACATACTTCGTACCTTTCTACGTGTAATTAATCATGAGAACTTCTACGAAAGCTTGATGATATGCTTTTTACGTGATATCTACCATACAAGCTCAAATACATTATCCACTCTACTTACCACCTGCTCATCGTAGGTAGGTAGGAAGTCTTTCACCTGAGCCCTTAATGTCTGCCCGTAGAGGTTACTGCATAGCACACTAGAAGATGCTATATTCGTCTCCTTACCAGAAGAATTTGTTTGCTGCCCTATAGCAAAATGGATCCAATATTACTAACACAAACCAATTTCCCAAATTTCTACCTCCACAACCTTGAGCTAGAAGCAAGGCAGATGCTCTCCCATCTGCTTGCTAATCTAGTCCCATTCTATGGACCAGCCAGCCCACAATCCCTCGTCTCGAAACCGGAGTCCTTCACACTAGCATCGGAAACCCAAACCTCCACGGTGGACCTCCAAAACTTCACATCTCACTAACAACGACATTTGCCCCGTCGCGCCCTTAGCAAAAAGAGTCCACTCTCAGATCCCGAACCCCCATGCCCCACCGGAGTTCTCGGGTGTGGATATACCTAACCTACCGACCTAAGAAGGTGCTTCAGTCTAGAAGCCTGATGGAAGCCGGTGAATAGTGTTTCTGTTACATTATGGGAAATCCCGAACCATCTGGCTGCATATGCGGGTAAGGATAGGGGTCGTTTTATACTTTACAGCGAAATGAAGTTCGACAATCACTTGTATCCTTACACCCAGTCTCAAGGCTCAACAGTTGGCCAGGCTTTGCTGCAAGCCTGTCTACCCTCTTCATCTATTCACCACGATCTTCCTCTTCCTTGCCTCGTTAACGCTTGATACACGTCCATTCTATTAGCCTCAATATCCAAAGCTCCTCCCCCCTCCCGTCTGCGCCTCAGGACTAAAAACTATTACGAACATCCTGCATGAAAACCCCCCTCAGCTCCGCCTCAGCTGAAGCCGCCTCAGCTCGCACAAGCGAAAAGCAGAAAGAAGGCACACGACACACACGACACCCAACACGAGCCCATGACGCGTAGCCCGCGCGCCAATCCCTAACCCGTTAGATCCGCCGACGCGGCTCCCGCCCTATAGAGCCTCTCGGATATGGCCTTAGTAATAAGCAGCGCGGCCACATGAAATCGACAACACCTAGCGTTCTAGCGCTATATAACACCTACCAGGAAATACCATGTTAACAGAGGTAGAACAAGATGCAGAATCCAAGAGGCCAGACCCATGTATCTAATTTACATACATGTACGCTACAGACCAGGAATTTCCGGAGTTCCGCAACCCACAAAACCCTACCGAAGCCGGCTCTTGGACCTAATGTAGGGCCCGAGTCATACTACCATACCGTCTCAAGCTAGGCCATGCCGAGCTCCGTAACGATGACCCATCTCATCTAGACTTACCTACCTACCTAAGTACTTACCTCATGTAACGTTAATGCAATCCCAATTTCACATGCCTAGTATGTAATAGCCCTTTCCACTCACCAACCAAGCCATCAAACGAACGAACGAAGAAAAACCCACGAAGTGGACCACCCAAAGAAGGCATTGAATAATTTCCGTAACACTACTAACTACCTACTGCACTACTACTACTCCGGCAAGCTACATAACAAAGTAATAAGGTAAAAAGTTTAAAAAAATACGCAACGGCACCCTATACTTATAAGGAGCGCAGCAAGAAGCCAAAGCCAACCCCGATAACATATGTATGTAGACGTAGCATAGCCTAATCGCAGCTCACAACTCAACTTCATCATCTCCCTTTCCTTCCCCGTGTCTTTCTTTCTCTCTTCGACTACTCATCTCCCCACCTCTTCAATACTCTTAGCTCAATACTACAGCCTAATCTCCTCATTGATATCCATCCCATCCCAAAAACGCCGAAGCCATGCTCGAAGCCCAATCTCAACACCTCGCCTAGGTGTGCAAAAAAACAAGGAGAAAGGGGTGTGGGTTAACAATATAAAAAGGTAATAATGGATGCGTCGTTTCCGTTGAGTTCGTGAGAGGATACACGCCAGGTGTATTCCGGATATCCATAAATTGTAGTCCTCTTTGCGAGGTACTTGGGTAGGTAAGCATATATAGTAGCTGAGCTAAAGGCGCGACCGAATAGAGCGATATTCATATGCTTGAATGTGTGTATGTATGCTTGTTTGTCGTAAGTCGCGTTGCTGATGTTGAATATTTGTTATTATTGGAGACCCCTATATTGCATGATCTCCAGCATGCATTGCTATGCGAGGTCCATTCCCTCCGAGTCGTCAACGTCGGAAGGTAGAGCTTGCGTGTGGTCGCTGCTGATGCTATCTTTTCGCGAGACACCGGATGCATCGAATCGGCCACGGCAGTTATCCACATATTCCAACTCGTCACCTCCGATGACCCTGCCCTCCATGTCGATCTCTTGTGATAGCTCGACTAGAGCTGATCGCGGTAAGCGCAGGAACCCCTGGGTGCGTACGATACGGCCCCAGTGTGTTAGACAGAATTGTGCGGCTCTCTTACGAAGCCAATCCTCGCTCGCCAGTCCTGCGCAGTACCAGATAATACATGCGTGCTCTACGTCAAGCTCCTTTGATAGTCGATTCACGCAGAGAAGGCGTAGGTGGGGTATATTGTAAATGTTGGACATGACCAACAATCCCGCGACGTCCGAAAGATCGGTCACGCCGTCGTCGGCATGGATGCTGTCCGTGTAGAGGTAGTATAAGAATGCCTTGACTACAGTGTAGGGCTCCGGAATGTGCATCTTCTTTGTGTGGAACTCTGCCATCTGCGCATTATACAGCCTGGCAAAGTGCGGCCATCTAGCTTGGAGGATGAGCTTGTGAACATGAATCGGGGCAGAAGTGGGCGCATCAGGCGTGAGCCAATTTTGGTCCATTGGTGATTCCCCTGCTCGAATAAGACTCGAACCCATCATGTCGTCTTCGTCGTAGTCATCACCGGCAAGAGCGGTTATTGTGAAGTCAGTTCCACTTCCGGTCTCCGGTGGCTGATTGAAAAGTTTGGCAAGATCGTGACCGAGTCCTTTCGAGGGCTGATCTTGAATCCGAGCGTGGGAGGTTGGTCTAGCATGGTCCGCCCGAAGTTCAGAGCTCGCGTTGTTTCCTAAAAAGCCATATCGTCGCAGATCAATTTCCATTATATCACTTAGATACTCCTCAAAACCATTCGGTCCCATGTCGTTAACTGCGTCGGTCGGGCATCCTAGCAGCCAGGCTTTCGTCCCATCTTCATTCATAGTGCAATAATGCCATTGATAACCCGACTTGAAAATTTCCCGGCCCTCGGCCAGTTTCTGCCATCTCAACGTAGCTAGATCCAAGGCCGATAAGGAACATTCCTTCGAAGTAATCGTCGCAACCGGGGTGACGAAATCTAAGAGCGTACCCGAGGAGTAGATGTGAAAATGGATACCGGAACCTTGAGACGGAATATTTCCGCCGGATATGAATCTTAGGACGGAGATCGGGCCGGGGGCCATCGGAACCTGTCTCTTTAGATGGAATGAAGGGGTGTTGACCTGAGCTGTCCGGATGTTAGCTGCAAAGCCTGAAGCTCCAATAGGTGGAGCTGAACCAATCGAATAAGACGGCCGTGGGGAATCGCCGGGACGGCTTGTCGATGCTTGTCGGTCAGGAGCGGAGCTCCCGATTTGCGGCGGAGATTCGAAATCCGGGCTGCCTTTGAGGTCAAGCCACCATAAATCGCCGATTTTGTCCATGTCCCTACTTAATCCGCCAAATACCCAGACTCGATCGCCCCTACAAAATATTAGCACTAAGCAGTAGGGTTATAATAAACTAAATGAATATACCATATATAGGCCGAGTGGTCGAATCTGGGAACGAAGCGCCATGATCTCGACCAGGTGTAGGTCTTCAAGTCTAAATAGCATATGTCTTCCGAGACATAGCTCTCATGGCCTGTTATGCCACCAACGATGAACAACTTGTCTTCGTGCAAGACCGCCGCGTGTCTAGCTCGACCCTTCGGAACGGGACCGGAGACGTGGGGCTGCGTCCAATGAGCGGTCTTCAGATCGAATACTATGAGATCGGAAAGATACGTCCTATGCTCATTCTCACCGCCGAAAACTAGGAGCTTATCACCCTGATACAAAGTAGCAGTATGTCCTACAAAAATACGTAAGCTTCGGCGCACACGTGAGAACACAGCAGGCCAAACCTACCCATTCTTACGCCAGGGATATCCCCATAGTTGTCCACAAGACTCCACTGGTGGCTAACGAGGTCAAGTTTTAATACGTGGTTGTAGACCTCATCTGTGTACTGATCAAATCCGCCGAAAGCATAGATTTGATTATTTCCACAATATGTAACCGATGCGTTGACCAAACAAGCAGGCCGCTGGCCGAGAGTTCGCGTCACTTTCGGTCGGTAACCATCCATCATAGGCCTACTTTTCATGGGCGAGTTTGGCATAACGAAGGTGTTATTCGACGACACGGCAGACATAGCAGATACGGGAGTCGGCGCATTTGAGGTTGACGGTGTTACGGAGGAGGGCGCGGAGGGAGCGTAGGGAGGGTTAGCGGAGTTGGAAGGGCCGCCAAAAAGGGAGTGCGAAATGGACGAGGGAGTTGAGGGATGGGCCATTTTCGATGTTCGATGTTCGATTTATCGATTATCGATTGTAAGGCTACCTAGATTTAGCTGCGGCAGGTTTTCGACTGGGTTTTGGCTGGGTTTAGCAGCAGCTGAACACTGGAAAGGCTGGACTGGGACTGGGACAAGAAAGACAAAGGTTATCTGTCGATCGCTTTTAAGACTACGTCGACATTTCTATTCCCTTCAGGCGCAAAAAAACTTGCGACGAGAAGACCAAATTGACCAACAAAGGGGTTTAGAATTGATTTGGAACAATGAAGATTATAATCTGAGAGGTGGATCTTGGAACCTTGGACTTGGGATGGCAGAGAAGAGTTTGGTTGTCCTATTGAGTCTGTGAGTCTGTGAGTCTGTCCAATATTTCATCAATCATCAATTTAGATGCACTGATGCAGCATTTGTCAAATGCAGGGGTTACTTGTTCTTCTTTCGATCAGCCAGTTCAGGCTCGGGTTCCCGTCTCACACCCGCTCACGGTCGAAGACAGGGTTGGTTCTGGGTTGGCTCTGGCCTGGCACTGGGTTGGCTATGATCAGGCTGGAAGAGTCCAAGTGGAGATACTTTTTTTAAATAATGACCAATGCGGCCTCGTTAATAAGTGACTAAGCATGGGACTGTGGAGACATGACTTTCGTACGCATTTTATGTAAAGTGACGCACGAGCCACAAAAGCCACTTGAAACGAATGTATGAATCGATAATTAAAATTTGGTACGTGACTATGGGCCTAAACTTAATCGGGCGTCGTTTGCTAGAAATTGGTGGGGTGAAATGGTTGCCCTGCACAACAAAGAAAGTGCGACCCACCCGTTGTAAACACATAAATCCAGAGAGTTCATCAGGAATTTTGACTTTCGATTCTTTCCTCATTACAAACCTTCACTCTCTCCATCCGCAACCCTTCAAATTCCATAAATACTCTCTGCCTTTCTAGGCCACATTACCATCACAAAGCCTTTCGCAAAGAATTCATCACTTTTCGAGTCCATTAGATCTCATCGCTGCTACATACGTACAGCCATTTGATCGCCCCACCGACTCAGCCATTCTACGTGAAGGCATACTTCGATTTATCGAGCACAACAACGACTGATACTAACCAATTTACCCAATCCAGGAACCATTAACTTGAGTCTCTTGGAGCTCGTTCGATATTATCGGAGCTCTCATAACATACTCACATCAATACTCCTTCGAGACATTGAGTTGTACTTCGTCGGAGTTCAACACGTACTTATCTCGATACGCAACCTATTTATAGTCATACACTAGACAATTAGACGCCATGGCATCAGTTGCAGTATCGACTCCACTTAAGTCCCACAAGGGACTTTTCTCTTCCCGTACCGCTGGCGGTCGCATGCCCTTGACCCCATCCCCTCGCCAACGCACCGTGACCAACAATATCAATGTGGAAACGTCTCCCTTCACCCCCGACCGACAATCTCACGATGCGTGCCGCCCAGCTGGCAAGTCAGTTTATGGAGGAAACCTATCGGCACACTTTGCCAAGTCCAACACAAGAGCTTCGCACCGCAATTCGCCCAAGTCTAACATTGCCCGAAGTGTTGCCACTCCCCGCAAGGCTCTAGAGCTAGGTGTGTCGGACTTCACTCTCGTTGGCACTGGACATACCAAGTCCCCTTCTAGCAACAAGACGAAGAAAGCACCCCTACGACAGAAGTCCAACAAGACTACCATCAGCTATGCCGCCGACCGATTCATCCCGAATCGTAGCAACAGCTCCGCCATTTCCAATGTGGGCTCTGGAAAGCTTGATACTCAGGACAAGTCACGACCTAAGTCGGGTGCCAGCAACGAGCCGTCCACTGTCTTATCATCTGCTACAGACGATGCCATCGCTGCTCTAGAAAGCCTGAACATCAACGAGGATGAAGAGACCACCTACGCTCGCCCATCCCCCAACACTGTCGCCTACCAAGACTCCTTGGCTAGTGCTTGTGGCGTCAACCTTAACACACGCATTCTGCAGTTCAAGCCTGCTCCTCCCGAGTCGTCGAAGCCTATTGATCTTCGTCAACAATACAACCGACCTTTGAAGTCTGCCAGTGCCAACTCTGCCCAGTTCAGACGTCGCATCGCAACTAACCCCGAGCGTGTTCTCGACGCACCTGGTCTAATTGATGACTACTACTTGAACCTCCTCGACTGGAGCTCAGGTAACCAGGTTGCCATTGGTCTGGAGCGCAGTGTCTATGTCTGGTCCGCTGATGAAGGCTCTGTGAGCTGTTTGTTGGAGACTACCCCTGACACCTATGTCAGCAGTGTTAAGTGGTCTGGTGATGGTGCCTACGTCGGCGTTGGCCTTGGAACTGGTGAGGTTCAGATCTGGGACGTCGCTGAGGGCCAGAAGGTGCGCAGCATGTTCGGTCATGATACCCGCGTTGGTGTCATGGGCTGGAACAAGCACCTCCTATCTACTGGTGCCCGAAGTGGACTCGTCTACAACCACGATGTCCGTATTGCCGAGCATAAGGTTGCAGAGCTCGTCTCTCACACTTCCGAGGTCTGTGGACTGGAGTGGCGATCTGACGGTGCCCAGCTTGCTACCGGAGGCAATGACAACCTTGTTTCCATCTGGGATGCACGATCCCTTGCCGTCCCTAAGTTTACCAAGACCAACCACAAGGCTGCTGTCAAGGCTCTTGCTTGGTGCCCTTGGAACATCAACCTTCTCGCTACTGGTGGTGGCTCTTACGACCGTCATATTCACTTCTGGAACACCACGTCTGGTGCTCGCGTTAACAGCATCGACACTGGTTCTCAAGTCACCAGCCTCCGGTGGTCTACCAGCTACCGTGAAATCGTCAGCTCCAGTGGTTTCCCTGATAACTCGCTCAGCATCTGGAGCTACCCTACGCTCGTCCGCAACGTCGAGATCCCCGCCCACGAGAGCAGGGTTCTCCACAGCTGCCTCAGCCCTGACGGACAAATGCTCGCTACCGCAGGTAAGGAACAATCTATCACGAAATATGTCTTCTGAATATGCACTAACTTTTCCTACTATAGCTGCCGATGAGAGCTTGAAGTTCTGGAAGGTGTTTGAGAAGAAGGCCGGTGCCTCGGCAGGCATTGGTGCCAGTGGCTCTTCCAGCAAGGCCCAGATGGCTAAGCAAATGACCATCCGCTAAATCGCCATGCAGATCTGGTGAATGTCAGGATCACAATCAACAACAGTAGGTATCGCAATTTTATTCTGGCATCTCTGGTACTGCATTTGGTGTCCCTTAAGCGCGGCGTTGGGGATATTCGCATCCTGCGACCGTGTAAAGGTCTTCGTCCGGATAGGATAGGAGTTGGTCATGAGCTACGATATGATAACGCCTGTCATGGAAGGCCTGAAGATTGAGATTCATATGGGGAATTGTATCACAATGGGCATAATAGGCGTTTACGGTCATCAGGTTGCATTAGGCACTATTAATTAAGGATGAAGCAGTGATAACTAGGAGGTTCGCATATTCTAGTTTGAGCTTCTATTTATATTCCTAAAATTTTTGTGTATTCTCACGATTGTGACTTGCGATGCAGGTGATTCGGCTTACGCTCTCGATTGCTTCCGCTGTAAATGAAGATCGGGATTTGGTAATTAAGACCTGATTTGGCGTGCGATGATGACTTTCTTAGGTACATGCTTAGGTGCGTCATTCCCCGTATCAATGGTGGCAGTACCTGCCAATGTGTACCTGGGCAGCTGGGCGGCACAGTAGCGAGAGGTACGTAGGTACCTATTTTAGTTCGGCGTTAGTGCGGTTTAGGCTGTGTTAGGTAAGCATAGACGCGGCACTTCCCAATGTATTAACAAACTGCACTGTTTTAGGTGAACTTCGCGAGAACATCACCAACTTCATCCATTTCATGGTCAGCCCAACACGCTGCAGCAGTACACAACCGTGAGAAATCATATGCGAACATATGAAGTAAGATCAGGGAAGGCATAAATTTAAGTTTTAGCAATATTTGAAGAGGGCGCACGGGGAGGAGTTTGGGCATTTGAGTGAATGCTTGGGGTTCCGTTACCGACCTGCGTATTCCAGCCATTCTACACATTCTACACTCACTCTACACACACTCTACGCACTCTAACTTTCGCTATTCGCCATTCGCAAGTCGCCGCATTCAACTTTATCTCCTTCGAACTTTCGCAACCCCACGTTCCCGACAATTGTAACTCTTTTCTTGCAATTGTCAATACTTTCCAAGGTTCATAATATTTTACCTTGAATTTTTTATGAAACCTGACAAGTCATTCGATTTATCGCATCCCTTCGCTCTGATCCGCACCCGACCTTGGCTTAAATAGCCATCCGATCTACCCAAACAACCGCGACTTGATCACTCAAGATGTCTAATTCGCAGGTCGGAAACGTTTATTCGCAGATCATCACCGATGTGCTCGAAGCATCGCGAGTAGATTTCGAAGAAGGCGGCGTGGACGAGACTGTTTTGGAAGAGCTGAAGAAGGTGAGTCATCGCGATCTTTTCTTTTTCTTCTTTCCTTCTCTACCGCTTCTCCCTTCGGTCAGCATCAATCATCGATAATCATCATATTATCATCGAATCCTTCATTTCAATAGAATTTTAATCGATTATTGTATACATTTTAAAAAGAATTGTTCGGATTTGAGGAGTTGGGAGGCAACCTCTGCTGTCACTTACCAGACAGGCGTGTGCTGGCAACAGGCGCGGCCGAGGGTGGTGAGAATTGGCGGATTTCGTGAGGGGCGGGCAGGCACTATTTGGGCTTTTTATCCCTCTGCGCCCGCTGCAAAGCTCCTTGTGACTCATGTCGTTTTTTATTGGCTCATTGGTTGAATGCTAATCCACTCACGTGCCACTCACTGTGCACGTTTACACTATTTCACTCGTCGCTCTCATATTCCAAGGATGCCGTCAACCGTCTACTCATCCAATACATTGCAAGCTCAATGTTTCAAGTCACTTACCCATGTCTCCTACAAATTGTCAAAATATATGACATTGTATTATTCATGCAAATATGGGTTCTATTAGCTAACAATTCTCTACTAGGGATGGCAAAAGAAGCTATCCCAGCAGCAGCTGGCTGTCTTCCCTTGGGACCCTAAGCCGGACCCTCCTGCGCCTGCTGTTGCAGCACCTCAACCTACTCCGGTGCCTGAGCCTACTCCTCAGGCTCCTACCAACGGCGCTTCGTACAATCAGCAACATGCGCCTCAACCACAAGGCTTGACTATGCCTGGATCGCAACCCCTTAGAGATGCTGCGATCAAGTCGGAACCCGGCGTCAAGACAGAGCCCGATCTTGAACATACGCCTTCGTTCCCCCAAGCCGCTCAGCAAGGTGGTTCTGACGTCGTTCAAGAACGCGTCTCCCAACAGCTGCAGTCTATGTATGGCGATCGTGCGGCAGCTTCAATCAAGCAGCTTCAGCAGACCTTTAACAACGGCCAGCCGCAGAACGCCCAGAGGCCTGGTGGTCAACCCGTCCCGCAGAACTACCCTGCTCAGTTCCAGGGTCATCCTCAGCAGCAGTACCGACCCACCATGCCTCCTAATGCTCAACAGCAACGTGCCCAGATGCAGAACGGACAGAGACCTCCGCAGTCACAGATGGATGGCGCAAACGATGATCATGGTCACCTCGGAGTGCTAATGCGTCGCAGCCAAGCTGGCGATGTGGAGATGGGAAGAGTAGAGATTGACAGCTTGCTCCATGCCCAGATTGCGGCGAAGGCGAAAGCTATGGAAGGTGGTGGCTTAATGCTACCTCTCAAACGTACGGGTAAGGGCAAAGCTGCTGCCGCATATCACCGCACACCAGTCTCTAGCGGCCCTTCGCAATTCGACGGCACGGGCGCGGACGAAAGTATGAAGGACGAAGTATCTGATGAGGATGCCATCAACTCTGACCTCGATGATCCTGACGATAACCCCGAAGAGGAAGACGAGGACGAGGATGGTGGTCAGATCATGCTTTGCATGTATGACAAGGTCCAGCGCGTCAAGAACAAGTGGTAAGTAAAACTTTTTTGCTGGTAGATCTCTTGAACGGCATTTGCTCACGATCAAACAGGAAGTGTGTCTTGAAGGACGGTGTCCTTAGCGTGAACGGCAAGGACTACGTGTTTCACAAGGCTACTGGTGAATATGAATGGTAGTAGCCGGACGCTCTTCTTTCGATCATTGGCGTTACGTTGTACAAGACATGATTTCTTTTTTCGTATTTGAGGGCGTACATCGCCTACAGGCCGACTGCGACGATTTCCTTACTTCACTGCGTTGCAACGTACTAGCACCCTCGAATAGATAAACGATCAGGGTTAGCAAGGCAACTTAAGAAGCAGGAAGAGGGAATCTGTCTTACTCGGCATAAAATAGGGAAATAAACTAAAAAAAAAAAAAAAAGAACATGAACGAGACTCACAAGTGGATGGGCGGATGGAGTGATTCATTGATTTGCGATTAGGACTAGCATGGGAGGGACGTTGGTAGATATTGCTCTTTTTTCTACACCTTACTCTGTCTCTCTATCTCTCCAACTCTGCATTACCTCCGATCCACTTACCTGCGACGAACGAACGTACTTCACCCCTGATTCTTCCCCGGCTTTTCGAACAGCGGGGAGGGGCGAGGCGTGCGGGAAGTGGAATGTGTAGACCTGGCTTTTTTCTGCCTGGTGCTTTAGGCTACTGGAGCTGGGGTGCTTGTACTAATAGCAGATACTTGTTGCTGAAAATTCCGTTTTTGATATGTGTATGTGCTTTGTGATTGTGATTGTGATTGTGGGTTTGGTGATTTGTGGTGAGGGTTTGGATGGTGTAGAGGGTGGTGATCGGGTAAGGCTAGCTGACGCCAGCTAGCTACGGGTATCGGTTCCGGCGATCGATCTGATTGAAGGGGGAATGTGATTACTCACGTAAGTATTGCCGGCTGATGGCGGGTAAGCTTGGGACGGACCGTACCGTGGTGGGTTGGTTGGGATGGTGGTAGGGGGTGATATGTGTGTATGTCCCCTTTATTAGAGAACTGCCTTGCTTGGGACGTATTTTATATATCTGCAAGTATCTTAGGATTTGGGAGGTGAGCAGGTAGTATTTAGGAGGTTGAATGCCTAGGGGGGAGATGAGTTCATTGGCTTATAAAGGATAAGTTATATAGATAGGTACCTACATTCGAGAAGGGGAATGCTTGAAAAGGGAGTTTGGATATGGAGTATGCTATCTAGATTCATCTTCGGCTTATCAACGGCAGATCCTACCTAAGGGGCTCGACGGGGAATATGTGCCGGGAAACACGTGACCCCACGGCGTAGTTCTGCCTCAGGGTGACTCAGTATCTCAACCCTTGCCGTCGCTAAATTTTCGGACAACGCAACAAGGCTTATATAGTGTGATAAAGTCCGGACATTCAACCGACCCCACTAAATGGACTTATCCTGGGTGACTTGAGGCCAGAGAAAACTCTAACAAGGCTTGCTATATGGTGGAGCGGTATCTCTCACCTGCACTTGACACCGTGGCTTGCCTGACTGGGGTTTTTCGTAGGTTCTGGATTCGAAATTCAGTTCTGAGCTTTTTTTTGGGCTTTTTTATTTTTTTAACTTGGATTATCATCATCGCCATTATAAGCTGATTTTCTCTAGATGACCTTACCCACATACCTATTATATAATATTCTATGCATTAATCTTGACTTATCTGCACACATTCGTACCTTTATATGCTGTCGTGGTCTGATTAGACTTCTTACACATGTGCTTACCACCCACCTGTGCAATACTCATCGAATACTATGCCGTGCCTGCGTTTTATTAGCCACCCAGGTACCATATCTTGGATTTTACTAGAAGGCACATGTCATGCATTCTATGAAATTCTCTACTTTTATGCATTAAAGCTTTCGTGATAGGACGAAGTGTACTCGGATGCGACTGAGTACCTAGTATATCCATGGATTACTCAGATCTACTCCTACTCCTACCCCATCAATTATCATAGCACTATGTCTAAGCGATCATCTACCGCCCTTAAATCCCGTGACTATCGACAGGCGACGAGTACACACAGCTACAGGGAATCATAGTTTATATTATGCATTTAATCGTCCATCTACACTTCAGCTGCTATCAACCGGATGTCATATCCCCCTTTCCTCCAAGACTCGGTGACCTTAATCTTAAGGGGGCCATTGACGATGGGCTAACCCTTCTATTTTATGTTATCGACCTTCTCGATACTATTAGGGCACACGAGATACGCGATGAACGCCCTTTGAGGGTATCAAGATCGCGCACGGGGATGGACGTGAGGGTCGTTGCCTGTCGATGACCCTCAATCCGACCTTGCGCGTCCCATAAGACGCCTAGTTAGAAACAACCATAAGATAATGGCAACCTCGTAAGGAAAGAAACAGGTATCAGACACGTTATAACATCACAAAGAGTACACGATATGTTACTACAACCACATCGAGGTTACCCATGACAACAGTCGCTTGGAAATCTGCGATTACGTAACCAAGTATACATATAAAACATAGTTAATGTTAGATGGTTAAGAGAAACACTTGGAGCCACTTGACTCGCAATCATACACATACGGCTTGAAATCCCGACGTACTTGGCCAGAGTGACGTTAGTTACGTTTGTACACTTCTTAGTTCGATGGCAGGCCATAAACGGGGCCGATATACGAGGTCGTTCTCTGCTGTTTCCGTAGAGATTCACGAAGCCATGCCATATCCGGCCTCATATAGGGACCTTCATAGAGCGTCAAGTTCCGCGAGACGGAAGTGCAGTTCCGAAGGCGCGGGAGCATGACTCCGGTATGATGAACTAGAAGTTAGGTTAGGAAGTAAGTATGTAACTAGTGCTGGTCCTAGAAAGACGGCGATATGTAGTAAGAAATATGGAGGCGGTCTGCGATACGGTCTTCTAGATGAGTTGTCGTCTCGTTCCCAGAGCGGTATGCCGAATCCTGGAGATCTTTACGAAACTAGCATCATCGGTCTGACACGTGGGTCCGTCGACCGGGTCTTATGCCCTTGAGTTAAGACTCGTCATTACTGACACGTGAACTTTTCGTTATCCCTCTGAGGGGGAAACTAAGTCGCATGTGGAAGCTCGTCTCCGTTCGTGTATGGATATCCGTCCCTTTGGAGTTAAGTTATCATGTATGTTGGTCCCGGCGGCCGGGCGGCCGGGTCTCGGGTGGGACCCGCGTCGTAAATCTTACCAACGCGGGAGTGATATGTTATAAAGTTGACATAATTGTGAGCTGAGGGGTATATGGAATGGCTGCATGGGGCAACCTCTACCCGGTGGATGGTGCGTCGATTATAACTTTGTGGCTTGAGGAACTAGTTCGTGTTGGGCTCGAAGCTCGGGGGACAAGTCGGTGATTACACGTGTATTGGTATATGTGGTAATTGATCATAAGTAGCCGTGAGCGGTTGATATCTCGAGAGCTAAGGAAGGGCTAAGGCACCTCACATTCTGAAGCTATCCATGTTATCATAAGAAGAGTGTCATTGGGTGCCGCCGTGTTGGGTTACTCCTCTATGCCATTTTTAGTTGGTACGAGTCTCTTAGCAGCATCTTATACCCTGATAAATGCGCCACAACTCTCTAATTGAGATGAGTCAGCATCCTTGTCTATAAGTACAGTACTTACCTACCCACTACCTAGCATTGCCATCCTTGACCCAAAGCGAGCATGGCTTGTTCAAGTCGGAGTATAACCCGGGGTTTAACGGACAGTAAAATAGCCTCGCAGGATTTTCCTTAATAGGTTACCTCTATGTGGGTTTATGTAGGACTCCTACGACTTCTAGCTGGCTTGGGGTCCGTGAAATTGTTGGAGGATCGAACATAGCGACGTGGGGGAAAGGGTCCGAACATTTAGCTATACGAAGATTCTAACAAATTGTAACAAGTCGTAACCGCGATGTGCCGTTACGTGCCTGGGAAATTGATGAGTGTGAATGCAGGTCTCACCTTCGGTAACTTTTTCTATAGGCCGAACTAGATCGGTCAGGGTTATGGTGAAGATGTGGCGCCTGCGACATGCGGCTCGCGGCAGATGATCGCTAGGTCTAGTGTTCTTGTGTAACTCTTGTTGAGATGACCGGCAGGGGGGATGATACAGCTTGCAGGTTGCAAGGTTGTTCGAATATCCCTTGTTTACGTAATGTCGAGATGGAACTTGGAAGCGAGCTTGTGTAAGGGCTGTCTAGGTATGGTAGTTCTTGACCTAGAGACCGAATAAATTAATACCTACTAGCCAAACAAGTTCACCGGCTGACCTTGATGTTGGAAGTTAAGGCGATTCCATCCCGTGCCTCCCAGGAGGAGATTCTTGAAGCGGGGATTTTCTCTATCCCCTAGTCAGATCCTTGGTCGAATCCATCTAGCTGACTCTTACTAGATCTAATCATAATAGTTAATATAAAAAATGAAATGGAAAAAGTATTAGTACGTACCTAGGTACATATGTAAGCCGGCGAGGGTGGCGGGAAGTGCGGGATCGGCGGAAGAAGAGCAAAAATGTGGAAAAAGTGAAATTTAGTTGACCCGACAATCTGGTAACGAATGTGTGAGCGGTGAGACGTAAATTTATAGGTCTATTCGATAGGCAGTCAGACAGGCAATTCGGGATTTGATTTCGGGTCCCGGTCCTAACTTGGATGCTTGATGCAACCTTCTTCGCCGGCGGCAATTATGATTTGCAAGAATCCTCGCCTTTTGCATAGGATTCTACCTGGTCCTCATCCCCGGCAGACCCGTACTTTCAGTAAGATGTTAAAATTCCGGCTGGCTGGCCGCTTGTCTATCATAGACGGTTCGATCAGCTGATACCAATTTGATGCAACTAGTCTCTCACTATTCCCGTCTTGGGCGGATTGAGATTCTGAGATTCTGGTACTGCGATATGATATATGCATATGAGCTCAGTTTAATGCGCGATCAAATTAACGAGACGGTGTCTGTACGCCTTGGAGAAACCTGACGATAAAGCTAGGACAAATTAACTTGGAAGTGTAGCTGGTCATCGGATGGCTATTCGGTTCCAACTGCGTCTCCTAGATTTTAGCCAGAAGCATTAAAAATGTGTTGTATTATGTCTCCTGCCGAGGGAAGCGCTCTGAGATGATTTGTCAACTAATCTAATATGATTCGAATGGCGACTGACTCGACGGACTCGTGGGGTAGCTTTGTAGCCATGATAACCGTTCCTTTCCAGGGCAATTTGTTGATTAAGAGGCAAGACATATACGACTCGGAGATGCACCTCACCTACATGTCTCGGCGCTTGGTAATTGAAACGCGATAAATTTGTCCTTTCAAGTACCGAATGTTTTCGGTAGAGTTACATGCAGCCGTGTCGCCCTTGTATACCGAATTGGAATTTTTATAGGCATCTGACAGGCGTTGGTGAACGCAGGTCAAAGCTGAAGACGGCTTATCGCAGTTCTCTTTCTGCTTTCTGCGAGATCTATCTTGCTGGCTGTAGGAATGCAGGTACCAGTGAATTACCCGACGGCGGCCTTTGCGGTCTACGATCGATACCAAGACCAGCCCAGTCATTTGATCCTGCAGCCGGCCGTTGCAAGGTCAGCTCGCTCGCTCGGCATCCAATAGGATGGCATCGATATGGTTCCAAAGTAGACGGGCGTCGCACAGTCATAACTGAAGGACCGATGAAATCTAATGGTCAAACATGCCACTAGAAGACCAGGCTGGCAGATAAAATTAGAACGGTGGGTTTTGTACGTCGGGATCGAGAGCGGTTCGCAAGAGTGGTTCGCGGTGTTGTCCGAAAGTTGAAACTACAGAGTGAAAATACGAATCGCGGACACACCAGCGATCGACATTTGTCTACAAGGCCTAATTACAACCTAGCGATCGTTTCAGCTTGGTTGGAACCTTGTAGATGTATTTTTGCCGGAGTAGTGATGCATACCTGCCTAGGTAGGCAGCTATGAGAACTCGGATTGGCTGAGGTGAGCTGTCGGATCGGCTAGCCATGCCCTTGTCGGGCCAGCATAGTCCTCGACGACCAAAATACCGGGCCGAGGACAGGGGTGGCTTAAGGGACATCCCGCTAATGCCTCGCTGATGGAGGTGGAAGTAAGGCCCACCATCTGCATTCTTCCTGACGTGAGGATGACTCTTTTGAATCGATGTGTCTAATGTATGTAGGACACGAGTACATCGTACGGATTGCTGGGTCGCTCACTTTGTTGGAATCCTTTTCAGCAGCCATGGACCCTTTCCATGTCTTCATTAAAGAATTCTGACCCGAGACAATTGCCAACACAGCTCTCTAACTAGTGGGGAAATGCCAAGAACCATGTTAATTGCGTTCCGTACTGTCGGGTTCGATATTCTTGTCCTAATTGGTCTTCGTGGCAGGACTCTTCCCCCGTGAGGGTTAAACCCAGCCTGTGCTAAGTCACTTAAGTCTAGGGTACCTGCTTATACCTCGATATGATAATAAAAACTCCTTAGGGAAATGTCGATTATCTAGGTCATAATACGATGCCGATTATCGTAATAGGCTAGGTTTTGCGACGAACCCTGGCTGCTCCGTCATGCTTATGAGGTTCGACGTATGTCTCTACTCAACTTATACCTGCAGTATTGGGTTAATGACTTGTGGACCCCATCAGCTCGAATGCATAGGTAGAAATGAGGTATCCAATCTATGTGAGGACTTTGTGAGGGCTAGACGTGCTTGGGTCTCGTCTAAGTGAGTTGGCTGACGATCGTCGTGAACACATGGCATTAGACCTCGTTTAAAGATGGGCTTGATTGTTACTCGAGAGGAATTGCGAGTTGCCCGATTGTGATGGTAAAATAGATAAATGAGGGTCAATTGGTAGGTAGTACTGCCTCGCAACGAGATGTTAGGGTAGGGAATTGTACCGAGGGCGCTGTATGGTGTTTTCATATGCAATAACAGCTCAAGAGGAACGGCCTAGTTGCATCTGCAGATGCACCCAACGGTGCAACAAGCAACGAGTACTTCGTAGGTACACCGCTGGACATCCCTGATGCCCATGTTGAACATGTACTTCGGTAGGTTAGAGCTCCATCATCATAACTGTCCCACCGCCATGGTTCGGCGCCCCGCGATGGGAAGACGTGTTTCCAATTTGGACGAGTCTCGTTGATGACTTTATTTCCAGCAGCCTTAAGGTGTACTATAACGAACGGAAACCACAGAAAACCAAGTTTGGTTCTCGCTGCGGTCTCTATCCTAGTCATAAGTGACACGATCAAGGCTTTTAGTTGACCATCCTAGTAAATATTTCGCATATTTAATGGGTATACCCGAATGTTATAGAGGCGGGAGTGAGGGTATCGTCATTGTGCGTGCAGCCACAAAGCAATAACACCCCTTCGAATCTAAGCTCTTATTTGGATTAGCTTGGATGCTGTTAGTCTTGCGCGTTTTCCCATCAATATCGTTACGAGGTTAGTGATACTATCAGGGAAAGAGTGTTTAAGCGTATGTCTGTCTATAGGTAAGAGATGTAAATGCTTTTGACGAGATGTATCGCATTGCGTACCTCCAACTTACCTGCCGTGAGTACAAGGGAGACCTTGCGGAGAGCGGATACCAGGGTTGTTGGTTATCCTAAAAGGGACCGCCGGTGGACAGTCATTGGTGGGAGCGCTGGGAGTTGTTGGAACGAAGAATGTACAGTGACTTTGGACCATACGGAGCCTTATTTAGGATAGTCTTATGATCTGACGTCGGGATGATTCGTTGCGAGAGGCCATTTCGCAACCGCAAAGTGACGCACGCTCTCGGGAATCTGCTTAACCAGCTATAGATTGTCGCCTCTCTAAGTTGCACTTTGTGACTGATTCGCAACAGCGCATTAAGGGGATGTTTCTCCAGAGGGTCGTCTGCTTAGATGCGTCTAACGTCCCCTCTAGACGTAATGGTTTGTTTATGTCTTAACCATGATGCGCACAAGTCGGTGTATTGTTTAGCCATCTGACCTTGAGGCCTCAGTAATGCGCGTTTACAGATATATCTAAGTCGTCTAGTCGTGTAACATGCCGCGTTCTCTCGAGATACACTACAGAGGAGGATATAAGCAACGGTCATAATGTGCCACTAATAACAGGTGGTAAGATGTTGTCAGCAACACATGTTACGCATATGGTAATTCCTCCCTCACTCCTGTGCTAGATTAGTTTCCGGACCTATAATAGCATAGTAGATGATTCGAGGCCATTAAGACGATTGTAGGTCGGGTAGAGTCTAGACTCGAGGGTTAGCAGATGTTATTTTGCTGCATCCCATAAGCTCTCCATTGATTACAAGATCTTGTACTAGTACCTCTCCCTTCAGCATTGTGTCACCGCTAAGGAAACACGATCCTCTTCATCGGGACTGAAAGCGCTATACCGGTGGGGCTAGGCTCTTAGGCGATGCGTCCACCCGAAGCCTTACAAAAAGAACCCACTTTGTCACCAAGTGGACGGGTCAAGCAACGAGGCATCGTCGGGTGTGTCATTAGATTGGTGGTACCGTTCCCGAGACTGCTCGTTGGCCGAGACGGATATGGCTTGATGCTTCATAAGACCTTGTACATACTCAACATTTCGACTTCAATGGATAGGTATCATCTCTTCTCAGCAGAGGTTGATACTTATGAGAAAGAATAATGAAATGTATTGAGAATACCTCTAAAATGATGTTACGAGTCAAAATTGATGAATTCCATATCGATAACTATTAGTAAATAGGTAGGTAGGTTAGCTTGAAGTTTAACAATATGGGTCTCGAAGTCTGGGGTGGATAGACTGAGAAGGTGCATGGACGGTAATTGCGTAGTGGGTACGATGTACCTTCCAAGGAGCATTGGAACCTTGGAACCTTGGAAAATTGTAGGTAGAGTACAGAAGGCGCATTCAAAACATTTTGCCATAGGCAGATCAACACCAGCTGGCGGTGTATGCGCTCACAGCTATCACCCAGCTGCTGACTGCTGGCCTTGATCCACTTGGCAGCTACCAGCACTCATGCCAACAGTTGGCTTACAGCTGTGACCCACTTCAGTGCCAGCTGTTGCCGATCTACCTATGGCAAAATGTTTTGAATGCGCCTTCTGTACATACAGCGCTAGCTAATGCTTGGCTGCTTAAGGGACCCACATACCTCTTCTCCGAGGTGCTAGGATGTGTTGTACCTTAAAGTACCGCTATATAACCAGGTAGGTTGTGCTATACATTTGAGGCCGGTGTAGAATATCTACTTAGGATACCTGGAAATCCTAGGTATTGTCCAGAGTGAACCAGTTAGACAGGTCAACTAGCGGTCGACCAGTAAGAGTTGATGTACCCTACATGCATATTTAAATGCATATTACCTATAACCTCAGAAAGCGATGTTCCAACGTCGTTTTTACCAGGACTTCCAGCTCTAAAGGTCCCCCTGTCCATTATAAATCTCTATCTCAACTTTAAAAAGTCTCCTATGTCTACCTGCTACCACGTCTTCCTCCTCCGCCTACTCCTGCTTCTCCTCCTCCTCATCCATTTTTATGTTTTACGTTTATGCTGCTCGATGTTGCGTCCGCGTCTCGCGTGTCTAAGAGATTACGGATTTACATTACCTATTACATACACCTAAGCACCTATACACCTATACATTAACTATACATTACCTATACACTACTACGACAAATACGGCACCGTGACTGCTCTGGCATACCGGTACTTAGGCTATACTGGGTGGTACTTAAAGCTAGGGTTGGCACTAAAATAATTTTATGTTGTACCTCGTTCGATTGAAACTCACAGCCCCCACTACCCGCTCATCGTCACATACTAGTCACATATCATCTTCTCGTCCGCGATTTCTTCAACACGCGTACCTTTGTTCTAAAGTTCGGTCCCTCGTTGACTTTTTGTCTTTCGAACCTTTCTAAATTCTTTTCTCCTTCGGTATTATCTCCCTATTATTCCTCGGTTGTGAATTTTCGCCTTTGTCATTCATTATTTTTCTTCCTTCCCCCTTTTTAAAACTTTTGCGCTTTCGAGGTCCTAATTTAGAGCCAGGTGTAGCTGGTTCAAGTATCCCAAAGCTACCTATCTGCACCTATACAATTTACAAGGTTCTAACTTAGCGCATCGCCGACTCGACGTTGTCGAATTTATCGCAACATTTAACATCATTCCCATCTAACCTTTCAATACCTTCACCACGGATTCCCTAGGGTTGCGCCCTGTCGCGCGCGTGCTTCCGCCCCGATTGGGCCACACCGTTCCCGCCATGGCTTACAATGGCAACGGTTCGATTTACCCTGCGATTTCAGGCTCGGTTTCTGGCCAGAATGGGTACGTTAAAAGGTCTCCGAGCTTCTAAAATTCTATCTAAAGCTTTTGATTATACTAACAAAGGTCTTTTGTTTTTATTAGTGCACCGATACCACCCAACTCCATCGCGCCCCGAGTCGAAAATAGAATAAAACCGGAAGAATGGTGGTACACGGAGAATGGCCGATCCTACGATACGTTTCGAAGAGGCAAATATATGTTTCCAATGGATGAGGTATGGAGCTCGTTAGATCGAATCTTGACCGAATGGGACTTCGACTAAAACTGGCGTTTAGGAAGAAATGGATAGAATGGATTTATTACACAAGTTCTTTCTAGTGGCACGGCGGGAAGACAACGCTAGCTACGGAGGCCTCTGCCAGCGGCTGCTACCTCGCCACCCCCGAATTCTCGATCTTGGATGCGGAACTGGTATCTGGGTGATCGATATGGCTGAGTGAGTCGTTTATATGACATCGTGTTAGCGCACAGACTGTCGGCTAACCTTACCTATCTCTTCATAGTCGCCATCAAGGACGAGCTGATATTCTTGGCTGGGATCTCTCCTTGATACAACCTCTTAGGTGCGCTGATCTTTGCCATGGCCCCTTATTTCTACTAATGACCTAAGTATAGAATTCCGCCCGGTGTCGCGTTTCAGCGATGCGATATCGAGGAACCTTGGTCTGGTGTTGAAGAGTCTTCTTTCGATCTCATCCATATGAAAATGCTTGCTGGTTCCATAGAGAACTGGACATCTTTGTATAGTCAGGCACTCAGGTACGGGCCATTATCTCTATTTAGTCGCAGACCCACGTAATTATCGACCGCTAACTGTGACTTATAGGTATCTCAAGCCCGAAACGGGAGTACTTGAACATGTAGAGATCGATTTCACGCCCAAGTGCGAGGACGGGGAACTGCCCGAGGATTCCCACATTAAAATATGGGCGCACGAACTAACTCTAGCGATGGATAGAGCTAGGCGACCTATAACAGCGAATCCCCATACTGTTGGGTTGTTGGAACGACTCGGCTACGTTGACGTGAAGCAAATTAGCAAGCGGGTTCCGTTCAATTCTTGGCCCCCAGATGAAAACGAAAGAGAGATGGGTAGATGGTTCAACCTCGGAATTACGCAGGGACTATACGGCCTATCAATAGCTCCCCTAACCAGAATGAACGGTTACGATCCGGAGCAGGTTTCGAATTTAGTTGCTAAAGTGCGGAAGGAAATGTGCTCTCGTGGGATAAGATCTTACTGCACCATGTAAGTTTTCTCTGCCGCTACCCGTATTGACAAAACTTACAAGGGATAGGTACATTTGGACAGCGAGAAGGCCGTCTATCCCCGGCCAACGGGCGTGAACAATTCGGTTCCCTGCGACGCAACAATTGGACCGGTATCTATCTACACGCCACCAGAACCAAAGCTCCTGTTATTTGATCTCCGAGGCCACAGCCCACCTTGGACGTCTATGGCGCTTGCAGAAAAGACCTATCACTCCTCTATGCAGGCTCTTCCGCCTTTTTCAAGTGGATTAAGAAGCTACTATAAGGCTCACTCTGATGTACAACGAAGTACATGTGACTTTAGGGACGTTACCCGAGCTTCTTACGGCCCCCAAATTCCAGACGAACAACTTCCGCAAGGTTGAAATGCACCATTGACCAACTATCTTGATTCTCACGTATGAAATCAGGCTTGTATGAAATGGCACATTGTCCCTGCAGGTTGCCCGTATTGTACGATTTGCCATGTTGGTCGTTTGCTCGACATTCCTAGGCCATTCCGTTTTGACCACCACCGCCTGTTCGACATACTCCTGCATCAAGAGCAAAGTCTGGGTGCCATTCTCAGGGGGCTGAGCACACCTTTTTTTTCTCCGGTATTGGCTAACTAGGCTGATCTGGAAGTAATACGTCTGCGCGTGCATGTCGCAGATTAGCGTGGGATATAATTGGATGTACACTACTTTCTTCACGATGCATTTCGCCTATTCCCGACAACGAATGGCAAAGACTAAACTGCACTTGGGCCTTCTTGATGTTGTTTACGTCGGTGCCTTTCATCTCGACTTGCAGCGATTCCGATTTCCGATCATGATCATGATATGCGCTGCCGGGAAATGATTTCTATCGATGTGTATTGGTCGGTCGTTTTCTGTTTGGCGCAGCAGAAGTCGAACCTTGAGATGGGGAGGTGTCTTCATTGGCGGGATTGGCTTGGCACCAAGCATACAGGTGCATTGGGCAGTGAAGAGTTACACTGCTTTCCTCCGCCTTAGACGAGACGGCGCTCCGGGTCATGATTGCATTACTTTCCCTTGATTGTATGCATTATACATTTCGGCGGGTGTTATTTCGGTGTCATGTTTGTCTGGCTTTGGCTTTTGGGTGTGTGGTTTTGAAAAAAAGTTGACCTGCAGGGCGGCCTCTGGCAGCCTAGTCCCGAGGCCTGTGTTATTTGTTGTCTATTGTTGCAACCCCGTTGCAGTAAATACATTTTTACTTCTATTGTAAATAACAGCATTATTACTATTGTTATTGATATTCCGACCGTTACTGAGCTGGTCTCAGACGTCTCGTGCATTAGTACCATATTGTGTGCTCGAGCGTTGGCTACTTGGCCACATCAAGTTGGTGAGCAGTGATCCTCGTCCAACCAACGTGTTTATCTTAGAGCTTTGTTGCATTCCATATAGCTAACAGTTCCATAATAGGTACATGTTTCAATAAATATGCGCCGGTCAATTAGCAATTGAAGCCAACATCGTATGCCTCAACCTGATCACCAAGTTCGTGCAACTTACCCGACTATTACTACATACATGTAGTCTACTTACTACATACCTACTTAGTACCTACCTAAGTAAGATAGGTTATTGATCATTAAAGAGATGTACCTGTTCCATATATCCAAGGAACAAATACGAATATATTTCGGAGCTTGCTCCTTGTATTCATGTTCATGCCATTTTACTTTAGAATGTTCTTCAGCTTCTAATGCAACTCAACGCGCCTAATGTTAGAAGTTACCTTCTCCAACCAGAATAGGGCTTGTCGGTTTGAAACCACTCGGCCGGGTATAGATTAATGTGCCACACTTGATTAACGTCCATGCGCATGCGAATGACGCACGTCTGTGAGGCCCGGCTGTTCTTCAACGACATCCTCCTCGATACCCGAAAGTCGTCGACGGGAGGGTCGATCCGATCCGTGCTGACTTATCCTGTTCGCTCCTGGATGAATCCCTTGTTCCTTGGTGGGTTTCCCTGGCTGCCGTTTCGAAGGGGCGGATGGGGCCATTTTTATGGCATTCATCCCTTTCGATCACAATTTACCAACCCCTTGGCGGCCGGCTCGTGGTGGCAACGATGGCGCTCTCGAACGGACGGGTAGAGACGACTGCTACCCAATCTACGTAGGAATCACGCACGCTACCTTGACCAGCGAGCGAATCGCTTCCACGCTTCGTTCTACCGGCCCGATACGTCTAGCTCTTCGTGCTATCCGATAATAATTCTTAACGGTGGAGTCTCGGGAGCTTTACGAATACGTAACTGGCTGGCGACATACATAGCAGTAAGCCAGGCCAGCTATTACCTACATCTGCCACATGTAGCGGTCGCCTTGATACCGTCCTTACTCGTGCTCCGGCGCTTCACGCTGCTGCTACTACCTGAACTCGTGCATAGATAGGTATTATATGCAGTAGCGTATTAAATATTTCCTACTTCCTCACTACTACCACGTTCCATTCCTAAAGGAGGTCAGCAGATCTTCCCTCTCATGCAGTTGGTTCCTTCTATATCACCGCACATCACATGAAAACATATAATTGCTTTCCTGCCCCCAAACCTCTGTTCCCTAACTAGAAACGTGTCGTGTTGGCTATCATGCAGTTGGTGCCGGGTCGCATTCGATGATGCCGCCTCTCACGATATTTGAGCGTGTGGAATGAAATAGGGCGAGCGGACGGGGTAAAAGGAGGATGGATGGCCGCCGGCTCCAACCCCCTTTCCTTTTTGACTCTCTTTTCGAGCCGGCAATATTCGTCACGATTGTCAACGCGATACCTACGTGTCAATTCGACTATACAAGGAGGTTCTAGGCGTTGTCGTTGCCCCGGGCGTCGTTACACGATCATCGAGCTCCCGGCAGAACGGCGATGGCTTCCGCCACCCACCCCCCTTTTTTTGTTGTTGAGTATTACACAATGGATACTCGGGAATATTATATTTCGACTAGCGGTACTGAATAAGCGCCTTCGGGAGGTCCCCGGCTCGAATTCGATTACTTTATCGATGAGTGAGTAACGATGACACCCAATTCTCGTACGCCCAACTTTCTGGCCGGCTAGATCCTACTAACAAGTAAGCGGCATATATCACATCAGAACTATAATAGACTCGCATACGCTACAGGCATATGACACGAAGTACATGTATATGTATGTAACGAAATCTGCCGAGGCCAAAATCGCGAACGCCACACACACGGCCACGACCCGACCAGCAATTCCAGCTGTAAACCGGGGAAGCCAGTCCTCTTATCCCGCCGACGCCACTCGGCCGTCATAAAGAAGCCGCGGGAGCGAAATCTGAGCCTCGATCTACACAATGACACCTCCCTACGGCAACTCCCGCCCCTCCTCCCCCCCAAACCTGCTGTGCCCCTTGGCCACTTGCCGTAAACCGTCACCTGAGCGGCTTGGGTCAGACCGTCCGACCAACCAAAACCGGGGTCCTTGCCACACCTTGTTGGTTCGAGTGGGATATGTACAATATCTCGCTCGCACAACGCACGTCAAAGACGACGCACGCACGCCACTCGTCGCCCGATACGATACATAAAACCTCGATCTGGCCATATGTTCTTCCTGCGAGTTACTTTGTTTGTCCCAGATCCAGGTAGGCAGGCGGTAGCACAGGCCGGTCATGACGTTGCGGCAAAAAAAAAAAAGAGGAAAGGAGATAAAAATGTAAAAACCAACACCTTTCCGGATATCATGTCATAACAACAAGCAATGCCCCTCCCACTACTTCCCCGAGTCTGTTCGGCGACAAAACACAATACCAAATAGTAAGCAAAGAAGAGGAAACCAACACGCACGCACGCAAGCAAGAAACGGTGAGGTGATAACGGTGGGCAATTACTTTAATTCGTCGACTGCTGCAGAACACCCTCTCGATGCAAGTTCGTAGATATTGTACACGGGATGACACACGAACAAAGGAAAGAAAAAAAAAGCAAAGACGATGGTCGACGGCACTGGAGTAGGTACTCAAAAAGGGGGATTTTTGCGAAGGGTTGAGTGTACCCTTCTTCGAGAGTGAATAATACATGGTGAGGAATATACACCCTGGCGATCTCTTGATCTCTCCTTTGCACTTTCCCACGCTTGCCGCCGCCGCCGATCAAAAATAGAGAGACGGCCAAAAACCCCCCTTCTTTTCCTCCCCTCTAGCGGGATATTGGCACATCATCGTCGGGTCGTCTAGTTTAAGAGAGTTTTCCGAACTTCGGAATCCTGTTTTTTCGTCCCTTCGTATTACCCACTATGCTTTACCCTTGAATGCAAGAACACATTTGAATCAATTCCGCCTGTCTATAACGTTCCCCCATTCATGCGTAATACAAGAGGTATCTTTTTTAAAAGTTTTCCTTCCCTCGAGAGCTGCCGTAAGCTGCCGTTGCTGCTATCGTTGCCCTTAGTGGTGGGCGGCGTGGGAGTCGCCGTGGTATCCGATTATCTTGAAGCGACCGATCATCTCGCCGACGGTGAAGAAGCCGAGGCATTCAGCGAGTAGGACGCCGCCGACTGCAAGCTGGGTTTTGCTGACGTTTCTCGCTTGCTGCATGAGGGCGGCTGGTGACTGCGCGAACTTGTTGGCCGTCTGGAGCAGCGCGTTCGGGTTCTGGACGGACTTCAACACGTTCTGCCAGTAGCTCTGGACCGTAACGAGAGACCTGCGCATTATCCTGTTAGAACTGTATGCTGTATTTCGCGTAGATGTCGTTGCTCGGAACTCACGGTGGTGACATCTTCTGGCCGTGGAAGATGATCTTGGCGAGCTCTGATACGACCTTCGAGTAGTAGACGACGGTGGGGGTTTGCTCTGTAAATTCAAGATATCAGCCGCTGTCCCGGTATAATACCATATGTACCTCTTCCTTTCCCCCACGATGCAAAGTGTCATCATATTAAATATGTATCCGTATGTACGTACTCTCAACGAGGGCAACTAGTTTTCCCGTACGTCCACCAACGTTACCCAACGACTTCGATAATCCCTTGGTCGCAGCTGCGATAGCCGGTCCGGCCGATGAGGCAACCCTCGAAAGACCCTGCTGTGCCTTCGCCGCATACTCGGAAGCGACCTTAGATGCCTTCGCTGCGGACTCCTTGGCGGTCTCGGTCGCCTTCTGCGTCGAGGTCGACTCGAATCTTCGGGCCGCCATGCGACTCCAAGCTCCCGATTGCCGAAGCATGGGACGTGCGAGACCGGACGACATTGTGACTCGGGAGTATTCGGGGGAGGGAGGAGGGAAGGAAAATAAAATAAAAAGAAGAAGAAACAAATACAACGATTACGTCGATTGACGGAGAAAAATGAACGGAGGAGGGGAGAAAAAAGTCGCAAGGGTCGTCGTCGGATTTTCAAGGTGCGCTATCAACTGTTTTCTCTCGCAGCTAAGGAAAAAACACTCAAAACTTATCGGCTGTTCAAAAATGTCGACGGCGGAAAAACCCGATCCGAGCTTGGACCTCAAGGTTCAACCCTGACTGCCCTGATAACTAACTTTTGAACAATTGACCAATCGGAGTTCATATAAGTATGTGTAACCCCACAATAATTAGATGTGTTAAAGGTACAGAAGTCGCCTTCAAAAGATTTTGCCATAGGGAACCCCTGTCAGGCTTGGCAACAGCTGTGAACCCTTTTTTGCCAGCTGTTTCAGGGGCTGGAAGTTTAGTTCAAATAGACCTTATTTTTCATCAGGTATTCTACCTTGAAAGCTTCATGTTAACTATTAAACTTTTAGATTTCTATTTAATCAAATGAATGCTTAACATTATAGAAGAAATTTGATTACTTTTAAAGCATTATCTATGGCGTGAAGGTATCTTAAAGCCAAAGATTAATCCAGGAAATCAGTGCCAAGCTGAAACAGCTGGTGATGATTAGCTGCCAGTTGCTGCCAATCCTGACAGGGGTTTCCCTATGGCAAAATCTTTTGAAGGCGACTTCTGTACATTAGGTACCTTCCCTTCATCCATTTATTTCTCTTCTAATATTTCAATCACTTTGGTTTTTATGCACTTCAATGTTGCATCTATCATATTCTCATTTCTTTTCCATTACTTGGAGCCGAATAGTCTTCATTATGCTTCCTGTTTATTAGACTGAGGGGATCTGTTCTAAGAGCAACTACATACTCCATAGGTACCCGTCTGGTCTTTAATACCAATATCCATGGATATCCCTAACCCATTATGACCTTTACTCTTAATTATAATTCAACATTTCGCTCTTGATCTAGTCTTCGCTTTTGATCTGAACTTTGATGGCGCCAGTTTTGGGATCCGCTGCCGTGTTAAAAGCCTCGAGGGCATCTTCAAGCTTAAATCGATGAGTGACAAGCTTCTCGAGGTCTACCACGCCGTTCTCGACGAGTCGAATAGCTCGAGGCCATGTGTTGCTGTATCGGTATTGGAATTGCACGTCGATTTCTCGTGTGCTAGCTCGCATGAAAGGGAAGTTGATCTCGTTCTTTCCCACGCCGATTACGAATACCTTGCCTCCGAACTTGAGGGCCCAGACAGAGGCCGCGACGCTGCTCTCAACTCCGGTACACTCTAAAGCGATTGCTGGCTCGATGCCACCAAAGGACTCCACTATCTTCTTCGCCGATTCCTCAGCGCTTAACCGTTCTACCTTGTGTGTTATGACCGATGGGACGAGCTCCTTGGCGAACTTGAGTCGTCCTTCATCAATGTCGGTGACGACCAAGGGACAAGCACCGGCAGCCTTGCAGCAGAGTAATGTGATTAATCCGATCGGTCCAGCGCCGCAGACAAGTACCGGATCACCAAGTTTGACTCCGCATCTCTGGATACCCGCTAGGGCAACACTCAGGGGCTCTAATAGAGCTCCGTTCTCGTATGACATGTCTCCGATCTTGTGACACCAGATAGCCAGATGATTCACGTATCTTCTCAACAGACCGGGGACAGGTGGGGTCGACAGGAATTCGACTTTCTCGCAACCGTTGTATCGGCCAGTCAGGCAAGGCTCGCATGCGTTGCATATAATGTTTGGCTCTATCGCGACTCGGTCTCCAACCTTTAGGTGTGTCACGGATGGGTGTACGGCGATGACCTGTCCTGCCGACTCATGTCCTAGGATATGATCCCCTTCCACGATCATAGGTCCGATGCAACCGGCATGCCAGAAATGAACATCGGAGCTACATAGAGAGTTAGCGAGTCAACCTCTCCCTGTTTGCTAAAACTTCAAACAGTTTACTCACCCGCATATTCCAGTGCTCTTAATAGCAACAGTGACCTCACCAGGCTTCAAGCTTTCTCCCTTCTGCACGTCCTCCACCGTTGGTCCAGTTTCCTCGATCCATAGCTTGTGAGCGGGGTTCGTGAAGACTCCGATGTTCGCCTTAGTAGGCTTGATGATGGTCTCAACAACAGTTGAGCTCATATTGACGGCAAACAGGTGGAATTTCCGAAAAGAAGAGATGGATGAGGACCCTCTTTCAACTGCTAAGTCTGAGGAAAGTTTTAAGCTCCTACAATCGTTGATGGGGGGCAACCTTAAAAGAGGGGGGACTACTAATTGTTTTTATTTCCTGGTAGCTTCCTCTTTGTTTCCCCCATAATTTTTTGTCGAATCCAATACTTTTTCCACCAAACGTGGCTGACCGAGACGATGTCGGATAGTAACCTTCATCCGGAGAACGGAGAACCCATGTTTTGAGCGGCTACACCAAAAGTAGATCGTGATCTGATACGGCTACAGAGCTGTAGCTCTGCCTGGATCGGGACAATTTCTAAATCAGGGTTACCTATGGGGACCACATCGGTTCCGCGGAAAGGTAAGAAAAAAACAACTATTGTCTGGATTGAGGGGATGTGGGGTGTCCGCAATTGGAGATGGCAATACGATAACGTGACGTTCGGTCGGTATACGTCCGATTAAACGGGGATATGTGGAAATGAAGACGGAGGTTTCTATTGTCGATGTTGTTTGCCGCACCAATTAATCGCGTCGCATCGCACATCGCCAAATATTGTCCCCGCAGAAGCTTCTATCACGCGGTCAAAAGCCATACAGTAGCGCGCCTCACAGCGGGTAAGCTAGCATCCCTTCTAGCACCCCCCCTACATTGTAAGTGTGCCACGTAATTATTTGTCCGGCGGGAGACTAGGTACCTACCTAGGTATCGCGATTCTAAGGGTCCTGTCGCCAACCATCTCCATACGGGTAGTATGCCGAATTTGCTCACAGATGCGCATCTATAACCAGGCGAGCTTATCTCTACACGAGCCATGCTAAGGTGTCTTAACGGGATGTCAGGTAGGCGTGTATACCCCCGCGAATGGGAACGGCCCCTTCGGGTGTACATACAAAGATCTAGAATTCAGCGGGGTTTTAGCGAGATATCTAGCATGGTGCCCTGATCTACAGCCACTGCATACGTCTAATTAAGCCCTGTACCCTTACATACCGGTTTCTAAAGCGCACAACAGGGAATTTTTCACGTGCGACACTTCCAAGGTTAATACGAATGCAAGAACGGCTCTCTCATACTTGCCTAGGTAGGTGCTAGAATGAAGAATGTAGTTTCTTAACCTTCAAGTCCTACTAGGAAGCAATGAACCTGTTTTGAAGCCATCTTAGATGTTTAATTGTGATATAGGTACCTACCTATACTAAACGTAGGCCGTGATTCTCGAGTCTTGCTACTGTTTCAATAGTGTTGTAAGTCCCAGTCTTATCGATCTCACTCTCATTCAAACAGCACTGCGATAAGATCAACCTTTTCGAGCTTGAACAACTTCTTCCCAAGATCTCATATATTAGTACAACTATTTTATATTTAAAGCTTTTTACTCAAAGGCTCTAGGAGTCTAATTCTTACATTTATACATTTCTTTGTGACATGAGACAATTATGTTGAAATCTACCTCTTCTGTAATGTTCAAGTTATTGCACTTGCGATCGGTGTTATATGAGACCCCGACTCCCGAGGTCTTCTCTAGAATTGTATAGGTTGTCTTATAACTTGATCAAATCTCTATAGAGTATAATGCATCTAACTATATCAATTGATTTCTAGCACACAAGCTGCAATGTTATTATCAATCATAATTATAAATCTGCTACGCCCGTATTAAGGAAGTTATCTAAGTGTCAAGTGTTAAGTTTAAACTACTACCTACCTGTTGTGTATAAGAAACGAACGATGTACCTGCCACTTTACCTGCTTCCAGTCATCGATTAATAGCATTTCAACCAATTAAATAAACCCATTCAAAATACGAAACATTACCTAGGATTAAAACAGGATATTGTAAATCATTTTTAAATATTACTTCAGCATTACCAATCACCAAAAAAAATCTATATATTTGGAGGGGAAACCCATTTTCGAATTCTTTTTTACTTATAAAATACCTAGCTATATGATATTTACAAAATATTTTCAATCTCCGAGTTTCGCTTCAAACAAATCAAAATATATATTGACTTAATCTCCTGGATTAAGCGATTTAACGTCATATTTTCTTTTTACGTTTGGAATTTCCTAGCTTCATTTAGATATATTTTCATTTGAAAATGAGCGCCAATACTAGCGGCAGCTATTTAGCGCGCCTTGAGAATTTCCATCAACTTGACAAGGAAAGAGAGGATATGTTAAAAGAGCTAATTACTAAGTACCAGGAACTTGAACAGCGCTTCGAGGCCAAATGCAAAGACCATGATAATGAAGCCCAGACACGCAGCCTTTACCAGGCGCAAGCCAATGAAGCTCATAAAAAATACACTGAGATACAACACAAAACGGTAACTTTACCATATTTTCTAATACACTTAAGTGTCAGGGTTGTAGGACTCGACGTGACGGATTATGCTCACGTTGAATAGGAAATTAATTCATTTGTATTTGCAATTATTGACGGCGACGGTGCTTGTTTTCGTGAAGATTGGATTTTAAAAGGGGCTGAAGGTGGCGCTATAGCTGCCGAACAGTTACGCCTCGATATTAAACATCATCTTAAAAATATTTATCCCGATGTTAACGTGGACCTTTGGAATGTTATTGTCCAGATTACCCTCAACCTGGAAGGCCTTTCCAGGAAACTCGATAAGATCGGGTTTGTGAGGACTTTAAATGACCTCCCCAATTTTACTCGCGGCTTCAGCCGTGCTCAAGGACTTTTCTCAATTATTGATGTTGGCTGGGGCAAGGAACAGGCCGATTTTAAAGTCCGGGAGACGTTGCGCCTGATGATTCATAACTTACAGTGCAAACATATTATATTCGGGCCTTGTCATGACAGAGGCTACATCGTCGAATTAAGGCCCTATAAGCTCGACGCCTCGATATCTAATAAACTTTCATTGCTCGAAACTACCATCGCACCGCGAGATTTCCAGGAGCTCCAGCTTCGTAGAGTTAGATTCCCGGATGTGTTTCGCTCTGAACCTCTTCCGGATAGTCCGCTGTCTCCTCCGCCGCCTCCTCCATCTCAATCCCCGCCTCCGCCTCCGCCCCCGTCTTCTATACCATTGTTGCCAGTATCGCCACCAAGGCAAATAACACCAATAATCAATTCAAGCATTGACAGTGATCCTAGCGTCACCGCTAGAGTTCCCTCCAGGATCCCCTCTTCTTGGGGTACACCAAACCCGACTCCGACCATTAAAGAATCCAGGAAATTTATGAGCAGCCCAGACGCTTCGCCAAAATCGACCGCTTCTCCGTTCAAGTACTGTTTAATTAATTCCTCGGGTCAACGTATCGATGAAGAGATACCAGCTTATGACTTTGACGCCGAGTATCGCCTTAAGATGCGCAGCGAGAGAGAAGAGATGATGTTGAAGAAAAAGGGGCCTTGCAATCGATGGCATTTAAACGGTAAATGCGAGTTGACCATATGTCCTTACTACCACGGAGAGCGCCTCAGCTCTGGCGAACAGCTTCTTCTGAAGGGAAAAGCTAGAAACATGGTCTGTGTAAAAAAGAGTGCTTGTAGGGACGTCGACTGCTTTTGGGGCCATCATTGCAAGTATGAATCTAGTGGGAAAAAGTGTCCCCATAGCAATTGCTATTTTGCCAGCACCCATTCTATGGACATGGTAAGCCTCCTTCTTTCCTTGTTTCTCCGTTCAGGTTGCTCCAGTATGTCTTCGCACCCCGGTTTATCTGGGCAGCTACTGAATAACGGGATGCCTGCTCTATATTCCTTCGTCTCTATGTTCCATTTTGTGGATTCGGCTCACATGACTGTAGACACCAACGGAAAGAATTTATGCAGATGGTTCACACGAGAGATTACCTAAGAGACAGTCCTTCTAAATGAGATGACTCGCTGCCGCATTAGAACGCTTATACAGCCGCTGTCCTAGCTATCGCTGTCGCAAATGGGATATTTTTATTTTTATTTTAAACAAATTGATGACTCTTGAAGCTTCAGGCGTTTGGACGATCATTATATTTATTTTAAGGGGTTGGATCTCACAACTTTTTATATTTTAATACATTATTGACTATTCAACATAGTCGCATTTATATTATATACCTATCTAATGCTGGTACTCAATTATTCAGTATTATTTTCTATTTATATTGTACTGAAGTACCCGCAACATTCGATCAACGGGAAGTGGTGGTTAGAGTCATGATGGTGCATCTTGTCATTGAACATGACCCTTTATTTGATTTAACAACGAGATATGCAGTTACCTGTGACTCGTCTTTATGGTATTTGAACACGAATCACAAAGCTCGGTGGTCTTAGCTAGGCAAGGACAATGGTCTTGTCGTGACTTCCATTACAATCGCCTTGTTTGCTCTTCGTACTCGACACTAAAGCATTGTCCAGGTAGCATCACAGTGTTCTTATACCATCAGTGAACCACCGGAGCATCCACCTACGTATTTATTCTTCCACGAATCTTCTAATTCTTGATCATCCATCACTCAAGCTTTCTACAATTCATACAATCTTAGCAAGCTTTACTTCTACTTTTCTACAAAAAAAAATCCAACATCACATCAGCTCTCACATACGCCTTACAATTCCAACTCTACAATCATCTCTCGCACACCATATCAATCCAGCTCCGACTCTTCAATCAGCTCTTGCGCACCAAATAATTGCCATTCCGACTCTATCATCGACTCTCAAATAAAATCAAAAATGTCGTCTAACAGCACTCTCACCCTCCATACCGAGGACGGCACCGACGTCACTATCACTCGCGACGCCGCCAAGCAGTCCGGTATCCTCAAGGACATGATGGAAGATCTCGGTGAAGAGAAGACTAGTGTTCCCGTCCCTATCGCCGCCACCTCCGGCGAAACTCTCAAGCTGGTCGTGGAGTGGTGCGAGCGCCGCGCTGTCGATGATCACGAGCGACTGGAGCTAAAGCAGAAGGAGAAGAAGGAGCGCGAAGAGAAGCGTGCCGCCAAGGCGGCGAAGAAGTTGGAGAAGGAGAAGAAGCTCAAGGAGGAGAAGGAGCAGAAGGAGAAGGCGAAAGCCGACCAAGGTGGCGAGGCGGACGCAGACAACGCGAACGAGAACGCGGTCTCGGATGCCAGCAACGCCAACAACGCAGACAACGTCGACGATGCTCATGCTGCCAACAACGCTAGCAACGCCGACGACGCCAATGATGCCAATGATGCCAAGAATACAGACGATGCAGACCATGATTCCGACTCCGAGCCAGAGGCCGAGGAAAAGGACGAGGAAGAGACCGACCCCCTCAAGGCCCCCTGGGAAGCCACCTTCCTGTCCTCTCTCAACCAAGGACAGCTCTTCACCCTCATGATCGCCGTCAACTTTCTCGACGTCCCCGATCTCCTCAAGGCCATCGCCCGAGCTATCGCGCAAGAGATTAAGTATATGTCGACGGAGCAGATGCGCGAGTACTTCGGCATCGAGAACGACTTCACGCCCGAAGAGGAGAAGAAGATCCGTGAGGAGAACGGCTGGGCTCATGAGCGCGACGCGGACTGTGATTCTGATGATGGCGCTTGGTAGGGGGGTGAGGCATTGCTGTTTCATCTACTTTCAGCTTACACACGTTGCTGAGATGCCTTTAAACCTCTCTCTGGCTCATGGCTAGCTGCTACGACTGCCCACGACTGATGCGTGGGTGGTTTCGACCTACCTACTGTTCATAGCTGCTTGGAGCCTAATTAATTCACATAAGTCTACGCCCCAATAACTGTGTTTTTGAGTGAATAATGAATGTATTGATATTTTCACGTGATTTTGAAGTATTTTGATCCCGAGCTCGATGATTAGGAGGTGAAGATACGTACCGGCGAGAAAGGTGGGTCACGGGGTCGAAGTGGGTTCTTTGTAGGCGCCTCGGTCTACGATGCTGAATTACCACTTCACCAGATGCTCGATTCTAGATTACGATATGGTGTATTAATATTGATGACGATATTTAACAGGAAAAAAAGTTTTTTTGGTGAAGTGAATATGTGGAGTCAATAAGATGTCGGGTTAAAAAAAGATAATTCAAAAAAGTGATTCGGCCGCCGAGGGAATCGAACCCTCAAACGGAGCTCGCTAAGGAGCCTAGAGCTATAACACTGGGATCGATTGCAAGCACCGCCATGCCACACCGGCCCTGCGTGTATTTGCTGCTGGTCGCTTCATGAAAGTCTGGGACCTTATTATATTATATATGTCTTCCTGCGTGAATGATTATTCGGCCAATAGGATGAAAGTATGTATTCGGCACTGTCTGTGACGGGGTAACTCCGGTACTCTTCGAAGACGGTTGCTATGGGTTTCCGGGAGTAGGGGGTCGTGTTGCCTTGGAGTTTTGGGATGATAAGATGATGGTTTGAGCTGCGGTCAAGCTTGGCGGTGGCTGGATGCCGACTAGCAGTACTATCTCTGCTCCCCTTTATTCTTAGTCGTCGAGAGTTGACTTTGTGGCTCAAGGACACAAGATGGGAAATAGCTATAAATAAGCGAGGATTCGAATAATGAAAGTTGCGCTTCTTGTCTCTTTGTTGAGAGATGAAGGCTCATCCGACGAAAAGTGGAGAATCGGGGAGGGAAGAAAAGGGGTATCACTGGCGGTGCGAACCTCGAGTCAAAACCACCATACAACAATTCAATCAAGCTCAGAATGCAACAATATCAAGATCGTAGAAAATAATGATTTAATTACTGCAACATAAAATTAACACCTTTCCACCACCTTCCAGAACCCCTCGCCTATCTCGTCGTGATTACGTATGTGGTGGCGCTGGTACGACACGAATCATCAACCCTAGCCCTAAGCCTCATCACGCTCAAGGAAACGATCACCCTGCAAACGCCTCTCTGAAAACTCTTCCCCTCCTCATCACCCAAACCTCGCCGACGCATCCGTCAAAGCCCTCAGCTTCTCCTCCTTGGAATACGGCGCCGAGTCTTTCAAAACAACTAAACTACCCCCGTAAAACGTGTTCTGGAAATGCTGCTTCGCCCGCGCATACCGCTCCCCGCGCCGCCGCGCGTACGCCGAATACTCGGCCGCCCCGATCGTCGCGAATACGTACTGAGGATGCACCCCTAGCGCTTGCGCGCCCTTCTGCCCAAACCCAAAACTCGTCACGCTGAACGCGTTTACCTCGCCAACTCTAATCGTCCGGTCCGGGAAAACTAGGTTCTCCCACCTTTCTAACGCAGAATCCACGTTATCCAGGTTCCGGTTTCCCGGAACGAGTCCGGACTCGAGGATCTGGCAACACCCGTTCAGCATCCACGCTGCGGCGGCTCCTTTCGGGTGCCCGGTTAGGTACTTTTGGCATACGGCTAACGCGGCGTTACCCGGGGTGCGTCCTAGGTGCTGCAGTTGCCGGTGTAGGACTTCGACTTCGTTTTTCTCGTTGAGGTCCGTGGAGGTCCCGTGTAGGGATACGACGCCGATGTCGTCGGCGGTTAGGTTCCATACTGCTAATGCCCCGCGGAGCGGCGAGATGCGCGTGTCGTGGGTGTGGAAGGAGTTGCCGAAGCGCCGCCGGGCTTCTTTTTCTTCGCGCTGGGTGGCGAGGGTGAGTTCGTCGAGGCTGTTAGGGGTCGAGAGTGTCCCAAACAGTTCTTGGCGCTCCCGTATCGACTTTAGTGTGTGTGAGAGGAGGCGTCGCCGGTAGTCAATATCGAGGAGTGGAGACGGGTTGGGATTGGGAGTTTCCCGCACGTTGACCATGATGCCCTTTCCTGGGGCGGGAACCGATCTACCGGTGCCATCACTTGCTGTCTGCACATGAGCGACAATGGAGCGAATGGGTAGACCTAGATCTAGGGCTATCTTAGCGCTGGTTAGAAGCTGCATTCCGCAGCCCTCGGATTCGACGAAGCCTTTTCTGGACGAGGCACACGGACGAGAGGTCTCGTGTGGGGCGCGGCCTCGTTCGAGGTCCGCCATGCTGTTGTTCGTCGCTTTCATGTTGGCGAATTCGGCTGATGTGTCTTGGGTCATGTCATCGAAACCTCCGACTAGACAGATCTTCGCGGCGCCGCTAGTGATGAGATCAAAGCCTTGGTTGAGCGACTCGAGCGCTGTAGCACAAGCGCCGACGGGGGTTCTTGTCGGGCCGGCCGAGGACATGAGAAGCATGTTTAACCACGCGCCTGTCGTGTTGATGAAAACTTCCGCTAGGATGTCGCTTTGCACTGGTCGATCGAGGAATCTTTGACGATACAGCTTCTGCAAGGATTGACCACCACCCATGCCTGACCCTACGCAATTGGCGAGTTCTGAGATATGGATCGTCTTGTATAATTCGTATATATCTGTTATGCCAGCAGATAGGAAGGTCTCGGCAGCGCACACGAGAGCCATCTGGGTACACCGGTCTACGCTCTCGCAGAGGTCTTGCGGGAGTCCGTATATCGTAGGATCCCAGCCAGTCGGCAATTGGCCGCCTACGATTCTATCGAAGATCCTGGCTTTGGGGATCATCAAGGTGGCGCCCTTTTTGACATGCACCGAGAATTGGTCGCTTTTCGCGATCTGCGTGATCTTCACTTTATCTCCGTGTTCTCGTACGAACTCCATAGCCGTGTCGAAAGACGCGCTAAATGGCTCAAGATCGTGTTGGACGATGACCTCCTGGAGAAACTGCTTGCTGTCTCGGTTGGGGTGGTCTAGGGGGCTTGGTTCGATGAGTCGCAGTCCTGTGTGCTCCAAAATCTGCTTCTCGTACTTCGCTTTTATCTCGCGGTCATGGACAGGTGCGTCGGTAGCTGCATCTATCCATGTAGCTGCGGCTCCGTTGGCAGAAGGAGCTGGCTTTTGGTTGTGTTTTATGAGTCCAGTCATCCACGCTAATTCGATACAACCTTGGATTGAGAATTCTCCTTCGAGTTCCATCTCCCATCTTGTTCGGGAGTTACCCCAGGGTCCAATTTCAGCGAAACCGACTACGACTACCACTGACTCTAGATCGGCCATACCATCGAGCTTGGAGTTCAAAGGTTTTATCTTGGTACTGTAGTCTGGCAGCGCCGGGAAGCCGAGCTCAAGATCAACTAAAGGAGGAGAAGGTGGCGCTGGGTTCGGCTGAGGCGCTGTAGTGGGTTTGCATCGGATAGCACCTTCATCAAGTGCTTCTTCATCGGCAAGTGCGCGCCTTATTTCTTCGTCTTGGCGCATAGAATTCCGGATTCCTGCGATGAATGCTGCTAACTCAGGATCGCTTCCCATACCTCCGCTGAAGTCCGCTAAGAGGCATTCAGTCTGGCAGATTGACACGACAGGATCAGACATGAGCCCTATTATGAGTTTACCCATCTCTTCAGTTGAAAATGTAGTCACACCACGCTTTGCGATCTCTTCTGCGATCGCGTCGTTGGCCGCCATCAGACCTGTCCCACGAGTCCAGCCGATAATGACACCACAGAGACAGAGGTAATCGCTCCAATTCTCAGACGACCACTTGTTCAGTAGCGTCATGAGTCCTATCTTGGATTCGGAGTATAACCCATCACTACCAAAAGTACCATGGTTTGGGGAAAGGGGCAATAAGACCTGCGCCGGTCTTGTTCGAAAACCGCGCGATTCCTTGGCAACTTTGACGGCGCCCATGAGCCTCACAACATTCGTCAACATAGCGCGATGCGCGAGTTCAGATCTAGAATCGATATTATCGATCTCACGACCTTTTTCAGCTAGCGCCGCAAACGGGATGATGAAGTCAAGATCCCATCCTAGCCCGTTTGTCGGGTCGTATATATGGGTGATTAGATTCTCGATATCCTGCTTGCTTCCCTGATTGCAAGGAAGAACAACGAGTTTGGATCCGTCAGCGCCGTGGCGTGCGAATATCTTCTGGTATATTGGACCTGCTTCCGGCATTGCTCTGGTGGTTGTTACTACAACCCTAGCTCCCTCCTGAAGGAGCGATTGAAGGAGGACGATGCCGATTGAATTCGGGCCTGCTCCAGTAAGGAGAATATCCTTGCCGGAGAACATTTTTGATGTGACGGAACCATCTAGGTTCATGAGTGTCGTTAGGTGTTGATTGGGGGTCCACGATGCCCCTTTCCTCCTAAGTATGTGAGGGGACTTGATGGCTCTAACCTCCCCTTCCGGCCGCCCATCAATATTTGAATTGCGGGCTTCGAGCGGTACAATTGGCGGTCTGTTATTAATATGATTTATAGCTTTAGGACTAAGCTTGTCAAGCATCTTTTGAACTCCTTCGTCCCCTTTGTACTCTAATGAACAACATTTACTGAGCAGATATTGCCGGGCTTTTTTGAGTCTGCTACTAGCTCTATTCCGAAGGCCATCTATAGCAGATTCAAGGCCGTCTTGGCTCGCACTATTCTCTAAGAGATTGTAGTATTCTTCAAGAAGGTCGACATGACCCCAGTTCCAGACGGAATCGTACGATCGCTGGTGATCAGCCTTAAAAATTGGCTTGATGCCATTGCAGAAGTCTTCACCCAGCTCTTTTTCGTACGTATCGAGTTTGTCTTGAATCTCTGTCAAATCACCACCAGAAGTTGAAAGTGGTAATGATTCTTCATCATCGGAAAGGAGTGCTGCTATCTTTCGTCTCAATTGAGAATGCTCCTCGCGAATCTGTTGCACTACCTTCGAATCTAGCATCGTCTGTTGAGGGCTTGCAGTAGTGGCGCTCCTTTGCCTGGACAGCCCCGCATCGTCCAGGTACTTCTGAGTGATGCTATCAAAGAACGACTCGGCATCTTCGTTCTTCTTTAACCTGGTTGATGGCTGTTGACCAAGCGCGATTAAGAGAATCGCGTCTTGCCTTCCCGAAGCAAGACCCCATTTATCGCTCAGGTATGATCTGACCGAGATGAGGTCGAATGAACCAGGCATCTTGGATCCGATCATCTTCTCTATCCTGGTGCGCAGGCACTTCTTCAATTTTCCGTCATATGTGCCTTGGATCGTCGAAGCGAGCTCCTTTAGGGGTATGTTCTCGACGTCATCTGCCAACGGCCCGAATTCCTCCAACATATCCCCTATTATCTCATTTTGAACTATCGATCTCCCTCCTGAAACAAATTTTATGCTATCTTCAAGCTTTATATCCGAAGCCGACTTCTTGAGGCTGCTCGCGATGAGTGCTGTGACTGATTCTAATGCGCTAACTGGAACATCTGGAATTGGGGAATCTGATTTTGCGGGTGGTGCTACCTGTGCCACAGGAGCCTCTGAGACGGGCTTACTGGACTCGGAGACTGGTTTTGGACTGCTCTCTGTTGTCTCTGGCTCCGGTGGCGGAGGGACATCGTACCGGAGATCGTCGTAGTTGGCACTGGTTGAAAGAAGAGACCGCTTGATCCCATTAACTGCGTCCGACTCAAGGTTGAATTGGCCTAGGGTCTTCTTCGCCATACTCAGAAGAGTAGGGGATGGGCCGAATTCAACCAGTTTCTCAACATTGATGTTGTCGAACAGTATGCTTTGAGTTTCCGACCATCGCACCGGCATAGCGAATTGATACCTATGATTTTCCTTCGTTAGAATAACTAACTCATCATCCTTGTATTGGGCACGACCGGCAACTTACGCTAGCAGTTCTGTAAGGAGTACATGAGCAAGCTCTTGCTCATGCTGTTGGGGCCCCATCGTGAGGGCTTCAGTTGTTCTGCGATACGAAGCATAAACACTCATCCGATAACAAGAATCACGACAGAAAATAGTTCAGCTTCTCACAACTTGAAATCTGCGATACTGGTAAGGAAGCAGGTAAGTATTCTATTATTCACGTTATTTTTCTCCAGTGTCTCTCTAGGCCTAATGTCATGGCATCCCCAATTCCCTGAATCCCCAAATCCTGCAATCCCTTATTCCGGTGACACAGGGTTGGCAAACACCCAAATCTCAGTGTTTTAGTGATACAATCGTCCTGTAATCCCACATTCCGTTCTTTCGCAAGCCTGGACTTCAGATCTGACTGATGACTTCTGGTAGAATTGGACGAAACTTAAACCCATTTCTAAGATCTTGTATCCCTCTCTATGGAGGCGACGCTACATGCCCTTTCCCACCACGATATACGTTTTATCTCAACAGTCACTCCTAGGTCGACTTAACAGATGTGAAGTCTTATTTGAGTGGTTTCATTTTTATCTTAAATGTTTTGAGGTTGCATGCGCTCAGCCGGCGATTTGACGGGTTGTCGTTAGCAATCGTTATATTATCATCAGCACTTCACAAGTCAAAGCTGGCAAGTAAAAACACAACATCATCTAAAGCTAGAGTCATCATGTTAGACCTAGATGGATCGGACTCAGGTCCGGAGATCCTTACTCCAGAATCAGAGACAGGGTCTCAATCTCAACCACTCACCCTTATCAACAAAACGCTCGAGCATACCTTCATAATACCGACATTTCTATACGCTAACGCGATTCGACTACGAGACAGGTTTTTGAAAGCCATTACCAATTCAGAAGGGCTAGGAAATGGAATAAGGAGTCCATCATCCGTTATCGAACTTGTCGCGGAGTTTCTAGGTTTCATTACCAAAGAATTTGAGAGGAGCATAGACCCTAGTTTCGATAGGGAGGTCCTTAATTTCGTCCTTCAATCATTCGAACGGGAGGTGCTGCACAACGAGGAAGTCCATGCATTCGTAGCGCCACTCCCGGAAGACGTTGACAAACTTATGGTAATACGATCATATTACCTTGCTGTCGGCGCAGTGAGGCGAACCGGGGGTGTACCGGACTCGGCGCTTATGCGCGCAGCTTTAAAAGGCACTGCTCGCATATATGCTGTGTTCGGTGGTCAAGGCAACACAAAAACGTACCTTGACGAATTGAGGGATGTTTATGACACCTACCCATCTCTCACCAGACGATTTCTCGTTCCTGCGGCTCGATATCTCGAACGTCTCTCGCGTGATGCTAGAGCGTCACAGGCTTTCGCTCATGGCCTAGACATCATGCGCTGGCTCGAACAGCCTGATTCGCAGCCTGATCTTGACTATCTCGTTTCCGCGCCCGTGAGTTTCCCACTCATCGGCTTGCTTCAGATTCTTCATTATATCGTCACGACCTCATCTCTTGGGACGCACCCTGGTGGTATGAGAAATCGCCTGTCAGGCACAACAGGTCACTCTCAAGGGGTTATCCTCGCAGCCATAATTTCGGCCTCGGCAGACTGGCATAGCCTTGAGACACAAGGCAAAAAAGCTCTTACGATTCTCTTTTGGATTGGTGTTCGCAGCCAGGAGGCCTATCCACTCCCATCAATTGCGCCAAGCGCTTTAACCGACTCGATAGCACATGGTGAGGGTGAGCCTACTGCAGCACTCTCTATCAGGGGTATTGGTCGGGAAGCGCTCGAAAAGCATATCACCAATGTTAATCGAGCGCTCCCGGAAGATCGACAAATCGTCATAGCTTTGGTGAATGGTGCCAAGAATTTCGTGGTTGCCGGCCCCCCGATGGCGTTATACGGACTCAACGTACAGCTTCGCAAAGTGAAAGCATCTGAGAATGTGGATGAGTCCCGCATACCGTTCAGTCAAAGAAAGCTACATATCAACAATAAGTTCCTTCCCATAACCGCCCCCTTTCATAGCCCCTATTTGAGGTCAGCAATCGAAGCTCTTCAGGATGACCTCAAAGAAACGAAGATATCCCCTAGTGAACTTGACATTCCTGTATATTCTACATTTAGTGGAAAAGATATCAGGAATGAACTACATCAGAAAGATGACATCGTCCCCTCTCTAGTCAAGATGATCTGCGAAGATCCTGTACACTGGGATAGGGTCATTGAGATGTCTGATGCAACACATATACTTGACTTTGGTCCCGGGCGTACCGCAGGTGTCGCTGGTCTTACGAGTCGCATCAAAGACGGCACGGGAGCTCGCGTCATCCTCGCAACTAACATAACCAACCCGACGCATCCCGAAATCGGCTGTAAACACGAGATCTTTGCGCGGAAAACCTCCGATCTGGCGTACGGCGCAAATTGGGCGAAGCAATACGGACCAAAATTGATCAAGACATCCAGCGACCAGATATTCGTAGATACAAAGATGAGCAGGCTGTTAGGTCTTCCGCCCATTATGGTTGCTGGAATGACCCCTACCACGGTACATTGGGACTTCGTCGTCGCAGGAATGAAAGCCGGATATGAAGTCGAGTTGGCTTGCGGTGGCTACTACGATGCAAGCAGCTTAACTGATGCAATTACGAAGATCTCAAAGGAGATACCACCCGGTCGTGGGATTGTTCTGAATGTCATTTATGCGAGCCCCAAATCAATTGCTTGGCAAATCCCCTTGGTCCGTGATCTATGTGCCAAGGGATTGCCTATCAAGGGGTTAACAATTGGCGCCGGCGTGCCCTCCCTCGACGTCGCGAATGAATACATTCGTACCCTTGGTATCAGACAGATCGGGTTCAAACCCGGGTCTATTCAAGTCATCCAACAAGTCATCAAGATCGCCCAGGCCAATCCCGGATTCCCGATAATAATGCAATGGACCGGTGGTCGCGGCGGTGGACATCACTCGTGTGAGGACTTTCACGAGCCTATCTTAGAGATGTATAGTAAGATACGTCGCTGCGCCAATGTCGTGCTCGTAGCTGGATCAGGCTTTGGTGGTGCAGAAGACACTTACCCCTATTTGAGTGGGTCCTGGGCCACAAAGTTTGGCAGCCCGCCTATGCCGTTCGATGGAGTCCTTTTCGGGAGCCGATGCATGGTAGCTAAGGAGGCTCACACTTCACAAGGCGCAAAACAGGCGATCGTCGATGCTCAAGGCCTTAGTGACCAAGAGTGGGAGAAGACCTACCGGAAGCCTGGCGGTGGAGGTGGTGTTATCACCGTTAAATCCGAAATGGGCGAGCCGATACACAAGCTTGCTACTCGCGGCGTCATACTCTGGGCGGAGATGGACCAGAAGATATTCAGTCTCCCCAAGGAGAAACGGCTATTGGAATTGAAGAAGAAGACGACTCGCGATTACATTATCCGAAAACTGAACGCCGACTTTCAGAAACCATGGTTTGGCCGTACTACATCCGGAACGCCCGTCGACCTCGAAGACATGACCTACTCGGAGGTAGTTTCCAGGATGATTGAGTTCATGTTCATCAAACACCAGAAGAGATGGATCGACAAGTCTCTTGCTCGATTGACTGGTGACTTCATCCGTTACGTCGAACAGCGTCTCGCCACACATACTCGTCCAAGTAGCAGCTCATTGATAGAAACATACGACGAGCTAGACAATCCGATGCATATTATCGACAAGCTCGTCGCGATATACCCCTTGGCAGCTACCCAATTCATGAACTCTCAAGACTGCTTGCACTTCTTGAGTCTCTGCAAACGTCCTGGTCAGAAACCTGTAACATTCGTCCCATGTCTCGATGCAGACTTTGAAGTATGGTTCAAGAAGGACTCATTATGGCAATCCGAGGATCTCGATGCAGTTATCGATCAAGACGTTGGAAGAGTCTGTATCCTCCACGGACCGGTCGCCGCAAAGTATTCCACTACTACCGAGGAATCCATCAGGGATATCCTTAACCGGGTATACGAAGGTCATGTCACGATGCTAAAGCATGATATCTATGGCGATGATTATAGCACGGTACCCACAATAGAGTATTTTGGGGGTAAGACGGCGAACACTTTAGGTGCTCACGCAGTCCCAGAAGGAGTTGCCATCTCTGAGACCAGCAATGAGACAAGATTATTCATCCCAGGAACGACGCTTCCAAACGCAGATGAATGGATGCAACTACTCGCAGGCAATCGCGCAACTTGGCGCCGCGCCTTGTTAACAACCGATATCGTTGTTCGGGGGCATCACTTCGAGCCCAACCCGCTGCGTCGTCTTCTTTCGCCTTCTCGCGGGATTATCGTGGAGATCGCATATCCAGAGGACCCAAGCAGGACTATCATTTCAATCGAGGAAAACATCGGTGGCAAGCAACTAGCAACGATGAAGATTGGACCTATCTCTAATACTATCATCCCCCTTTGTCTGATCGAACACCGCACCGCCACGGGTAGATCTGTTTCGCTTCCGCTATTCTATACCTATCACCCAGAAGCCGGCTACGCACCTATCCGCGAATTAACAACCTTGCGCGATGAGCGCATCAAAGACTTCTACTACAAGCTTTGGTTCGGCAACGGTAGACCTATCGTCCCCTTGGACGCAGCGATATCCCATACCATGCGCTGGGATGGTGGCACTACCACGGTTTCCAGTGCCACAATCCGCCAGTTCGCACGCGCAGTTGGTAACACCGCAGAAGCGTACATCGAACGTCCTGGCCGAGATCATCTCGCACCAATGGACTTCGCCATCCTAGTCGGCTGGAAGGCTCTCATGCAGCCCCTGTTTGATGCCGTAGATGGTGACCTTCTAAAGCTCGTTCACCTTTCGAACCGCTTCCGCATGATCCCTGGAGCAACTCCATTTATGAAAGGAGATGTGCTGGGCGCCAAGTCCGAGATCACTGCTATCGTCAATCAAGACTCGGGCCAGATGGTTGAAGTCTGCGGCACGATCACGCGCGACGGCGGAAAGCCTGTGATGCAAGTCACCTCGCAGTTCTTCTATCGTGGTATCTTTGCGAAGTTCGAAAAAGCTTTTCAGAAGAAGGATGAGACGCCTGTTAGGGTGCTTCTCAAGAGCCCTAAGGATGTCGCCGTGCTGAAGGCTAAGAATTGGTTCAAGCCTGAGGGAGCACAGGATCTTCTACTGGGCCACAGTGTGGTCTTCAAGCTGCACACTTTAACGCGGTTTGGCGACAAGGCTACGTTTTCTTCTGTCAAAACTACTGGGTCCATCGAGGTTGAGATACCTACCACCAAAGAGTTAATACATATCGGCGCCGTGGAATATATGTCCGATGGACCTACGCGTGGCAACCCCGTCCTCGAATATCTTTCTCGACATGGTTCTAAGTTAGACCAGCCCGTGTATCTCAAACACCCGATCCCGATACAGAACAATCACACCAAAACTCCGTTGGAGATTGAAGCGCCTGTCTCTAACGAGAATTACGCTCGTATATCGGGGGACTTCAATCCAGTTCACGTTTCGCGCGTCTTTTCCCAATACGTCAATTTGCCGGGCACCATAACACATGGCATGTACACCAGCGGCGCCGTCAGGAGTCTCGTCGAGACATGGGCAACGGAAAACCATGCCCATAGAATGCGCGACTACAATGTGAGATTCACCGGTATGGTATTACCCGGCGATCGCCTTGAGATCCAGCTACACCACATTGGTATGATGTCGGGCTGCATGATCATCCAAATAGAGGTCGTCAAGAGTGACGAGACTAGAGAGAAGGTCTTGGTTGGGGAAGCTATCATTGAGCAACCTACGTCCGCGTACATTTTCACAGGCCAAGGTTCTCAGGAGAAGGGTATGGGTATGGATTTGTACGAAAAGAGCGCGGTCGCGAGAGATGTTTGGGATCGCGCTGATAGACATTTCCTCAACACTTTCGGTACGTCTTGCATCACGATCAATGATTGTTGTTAATATTTTGATGTGTGCTCATCATGCTAACTCATATTTGCAGGCTTCTCTATTCTCGAGATCGTCCGACATGACCCCAAAGAGCTCACTGTCTACTTTGGTGGTGCCCGAGGCAAGGCAATCCGAAAAAATTACATGGAAATGACTTGCCAGAGCCTCGAACTGGCCTCAGACGGCAGTCCCAAGCTCGAAAAGGTCTTCAAGACCATTACGGAATACACTACATCCTACACGTTCCGCTCTCCAGCTGGGCTACTCTCCGCCACGCAATTTACACAACCAGCACTTACATTGATGCAAATGGCAGTGTTCGAAGATCTACGAGCCCAAGGAGTCATCCAAAAAGACAGTGTTTTCGCCGGACATTCACTCGGTGAATATAGCGCCCTCGCTTCTATCGCTAAAGTAATGCCCGTAGAGACGCTTGTGTCGGTCGTGTTCTACCGTGGCCTATGCATGCAAGTTGCCGTAGAGCGGGACGATGCCGGACGGTCTAATTATTCCATGTCCGCGGTCGATCCATCACGGATTAGCCCTCGGTTCAGCGAAAAAGCACTAAAACGTATCGTTAAGATGATTTCGGACGTCACCGGTTCGTTTTTGGAGATCGTTAATTATAACGTTCGCAATATGCAATACGTCTGCGCAGGAGACCTACGTGGACTCGATGTGTTAGGCGGCGTCTTAGACCGCATCAAGGCGCGCGATGTAGACGTACGACACCTCGAATCAGAGGAAACTCATAAGTTGCTGGTTAGCGTGATCGAGGAAGCGAGCCGTCAATCCCGAGATAAGCCCTCACCTCTTGAGCTATCGCGCGGCAAGGCTACAGTGCCGCTCCGGGGTATCGATGTCCCGTTCCATAGCTCGTATCTACGTCCTGGGGTACAGTCCTTCCGCTCGTTCCTACTTAAGAACCTTAAGGAGCAGAGCATCGACCCGGAGCAACTTGTCGGGAGATACATTCCTAACCTTACGGCCAGGCCGTTCGAGCTCACGAGGGATTATTTCGAGTACGTACACGAGATGACACAGTCCCCTCGCATCGGTAAGGTTCTAGAAGGCTGGATCTAGTAGGTGGTGTCGCAGCAGATTACAAAGATGGTATATACTTCGGAGGCTGGCGTTATGGTGTGCGTCTGCTCGGTTCTTATAGGTGCGTTTGTTGGGGGCCATACTTTTACTACCTACACTATAATTCTCATCTTATGTCATGATATAATTAGAATGTCTCTCGTACCTCTCGAATCTCCGGGCTCCTATCCTCGTACTCTAGCCGAACTTACGATCGAAGACCTCTAAGACGTGCTCGTTGCTACCTCTGTATGTGCCCAGGTAGACATGCATGTAATTTCAGCTGCATGCCGCGCCGCGTGACTTTAATGCTGTGGTTAGCTTCGGGAGCCGAAGTATGTAATGTCATGATGGTGATGTGAGTCTCTGGCTGCAGAATGGTCGCTTGTCACAATACGGTTACGAAACCATGGCTGTGGCTCTTTTGGGATCTGTATTTACATTGTATCTGAACCACAAATCGAACCAATCAATGCTACCCCCACAATGTGCAACTCGATCTTGACACAAGTTTGTGCTGCTCTCGCACAACAGGCCCCCAAGTTGGATTATAGCCCTGAAGTTCGTCTTACACCGAAAATATGAGGGTAATTACGTATATACAGTACCAATTGGGATAATATTGCTTCTATAAATAATTTAGAGGAAATTTTGTGCTATCTCATAGATACATAGGCTGATCAATTTGTGAAATACATGTCTTCTAGATAAACTCTATGCATATATTGTGGCGTTAATTGTTTCCGGCCAGCTCTATGCATGCTAATGTCGATAGCATATAATAACCGCTATGGATGTACCAGCGGGTCATACTACCTCATACGGAATATAAAAGCTTGGCCTTTTTTTTTCTCTACTGCTGCTTATGTCTCTGCTTATGTCAACCATGAATAGACTGCCCTGTTTAGAATTATACGGACCGCTCCGTTATAATGTCCAACGTATTGCGTCGTTAGCCCAACCCACGACAGACACAAGGATGACTTTAACCGACGGGCCTGCAGCGAAGTCACGTTACCAACTACCGCCAACAAACGTAGTACCGCAGCCAGACCGAGGGCCCTTAACCGTCTTAAATGGAGCGAAGGTTTTGGGGGATAATAAATGCGAGATAACCATCGTTTATGGAGCGGCGTGGGCCTAGATCTTGTGCGGGAGCGGGCGTAGGTCAAGTCCCAGAGTCTTCCATACAGAGGCTGTTTGGGTCTTCTAGACCTACCTCTCCCCAGGAAAAGCTCCCTTATCTTACTAGGCATTTGCAGTAATGGGGGCGGCCTCGAGCTGTAAAAAAAGGACCGACCTAGCATGCCAATTGCTACCTGCGTTCTAGACCAGCTTTTCGACTTCTCGAATCGCTGCAGAGCCCTCGTGGCTCGGGTATCTGTCGTGCTCTGTCAGGGGCCGCAAAGGTTCACTGAAACCTCAGTCAGACCAGAAGACGTTCGATTCTGATTTAGTTCCGTTCTGCTCCTCGGCAGGTGGTCAGCGTCTCGTTGATTGGGAATTTGTAACTCTTGTCTGAATCCCATAGACTACCTAGGCACATTAGCGATTCCCGTGATAAGACGCATTCTGCTGTTCGGCTACAAGAGGACTCCAGCCGAGCAGATGGTTAATGATATTTAATATCTCAAGAAGTATTTAATATCCGGACTGGCGGGTAAGGCATATACGCACCCTTCACGCGCCTCGAACAAGCTATAAGCTATTATCACTGCCTGTCTATGACCACTACCAACCTATAGCCAATTATCAATTATCAATTACTAGAGATACAGATTGTGGCAGAACCCCTATGACATTCTCCGCAGCTACCGCATACTTTCTAGAAGTTACAATTGTCTTCAACGACGTCAAGATGATACGACAGAAGCGTACACACAACTCTAAGAGTAGAAAAACTCACAGCCACAGCCACATCGAGCCGTTAGATTACCATGACTCGACCAGCGCAACGTCGGCGGATTTTGCGGGATTTGTAGATCCTATACTAGATGGATCAGCCATCTTTGACGAATTGTCTCAGAAAAGGCAAGCTACTCCTGCATGCTACGTTTCAAATTACTGTCTAGGTAGCTAACGTTTATCTACGGGAAACAGTCTCTTCTGGATGGACGATACTGACACTACCCGGAATCGTATCAATGGAGACGAAGTGCCAATGGCATCAATACAGCACATATCAGGAAATCTGGCATCAGTAGACCCGTATCCAAATGCTCTGGATAAGTTGAGTACCGGAGTGCCGGATTTCCTGGGCAACCCGAGCAGCGAGGACCGGACGATGGAGCGGAGTGGAAAACATCGCTGTTGGGACCACGGGTGCAACGGGCGTGAATTTTCGTCGAAGAGCAACTTCGTGAGACACGTCAAGGAGAGGTCGGGGGCTAGTACTAAGGGCGTATGCCCCCTATGCGGAGCGATTTTCACCCGCAACTCTGCTAGGGATACGCACCTGGCCAAGCAGAGCTGCAATAGAATCCGTCGTTATTCCAATGGTCGACCGCGACCCAGCCGGCTCGCCGTCTTGGGAAATCCCCGTCTTGCAGCTGCAGCTGTGGCCGCGACCCAAGATATCCATTGGCAGGCCGTGGACTGGGGCGTGGGATCCATGACCGACTCTGGCGCAGGCGGGATACAGCCGCCGAGCTGATGCCAATGCTCACCAACATAGGCACTTACATACCTACCTACATACCTAACACACATAAAAAAAGCGCTACTTAGAGTCGAAGGTACTTGTATTGGTAATTAGACGGGAACCTCGCGAGCACACGAATAGCTTGGTTAGCAGAGGTCGAGGAAGCAGAGGAGAAGGAGAAGAAAGCGGCTATACCCCCCCTGGTCCATCGATGATCATGTTATTTTGACTTCGGGATGGATGATGACGATGAAAGCAATTCAAGGCGGCGCTACATACGTTCTTCGGTTACGGTAGCAGGCGCGCCGATCACGATCACATCAAGATAATAAGAATAATTCCATCGATCAGTGCAACCACACGCGTATGCGATGCGGTAAAGATCGGTGCCCAATCCTTCAGGACAGAAGTATTTTTCTCTGTGTGGGTTGTCGAATACCACGTCAGGATGATAGAGATGTATAGCCAAGAGGACCCCTTGAAAGGATGGAGTACGTATGGGTGTGGTGGTGTTCGTTTATGGATGTTTTATTAAAAAAGGGGTAAAAAAGCAAGTCCATGTACGAAGGTACATGTTATCCATCCGGCATAATGGTGTGGCCCCTGCTCTTATTGCCTATACTGTCATTGGACCAATCAGAACTTATCAATTGAGTTTTTTGTCCTGACAACTAGCGACACCCTACCCCGTGAGATTAGATACACGTCAAAACAATAAAGTACCAGGTACCTAGTAGCTTCTACACTAACATTGATGCAGCCTCTGACATGTAAGACGCGTCCCCAACTACAAATGTACCATGGCGCTCAAGTAGATCCGTAGTAATGTTACGGCAATAGGTTGGACGTTGAAGTAACGTCCCGATCTGCCCCGGAGCTGCGTGGGGCTTGGGACTAGCGACGATACCCACTTACCCCATTAGGAAATATAGTATATTTTAATGGACCCTGTTCCCCCCTATTTCTCCTATTTTTCTACGTTGTAAGTTGTGTAACGAGGGGAAATACCATAATTTCAACCAGCAACGTCATTCGATTGAAGGTATGATTTATCGTATATGAGTAATGACGTATAGGTAGATTACATATTTTAAATACATCTACTATTTAAGCTTTTAATGTTTTCCATATAATATAGATGCGTTGCCAAGACTTCCACTCCACACACACGCATATACATGAGAGACATACACGCACTTAGACCACCACCACGCACACAACCACACAACCACACATCCACACAACCAGCCACAACAATAATAACGAGTACGAGTGAATTCTAGTACCTAATGCTTACATACCTACCTACCTCTTACCGATATACTTCGGAGATAACACTACATGACTTGGCTGGAAGCACATCATTCGTCGGGAGCATTCGGGATTACCTCAGCTAAGTCGCTAACTCGTCCATGCATCCACGGCTGGCACGGGATGATGAATAACACACAAACTTCAACAATTTTAAGTCGGCGACAATCGAGGCCCCTCGAATTTCGTATGCTACCTGCAAACTAACCGTCACTTAACCAATCGATACCTTGCCGCCAAGGAAATCGGCAGCGGTTTCCACATTCAGCTTGCGTCCTCCAAAATGTCATCTCTCTAGCGAAAAAGCTTGTTGGCGCTGCGCTTACTACTTTCACTCATGCATGCCACCGAACTGGAGCCCGGAGCCCGACAGGAAGAAAGCCGGAATCACGCGCCTAACTCCCTGGGGACTGACTATCAATGAAACACAACTGCCGAGACAACAACTCTGCGAAGCTACCTCGGCGCTGTCAAACACGCACAACACGCACTTGGGGAGTTTCATCGCCTTGGACTTTGGGGTTGGAGTCGCCGTCCAGTCGTCTTCACCTTCACGTAATCCTCCCCCCATCGAGCCGGCACGGTCCGAACCTACTACTTATGTAAGGTGGTATACCATAACGCCATATTTACCTAGTACCTATTATCTGTTATGTACCACAGAACCGAGGTTCGAACTTATTTCGACGGACGTAACGAAGCATGAACGAAATTGCTTGTACTACCTGAGGGATCCCGTTATCGCGTTGCCCGGCACGGCCGGACGAAGTGAGGAGGGTCGAAGGCTAGATTCGAAGTCGCAAGTCAGCGATGACATTGCATTACTGGCCCCCATCCCTCATCCGCAAGCTGCAGACTGCTAAGGACCTTTTGCTCATGAGGATGGGGCCTATCTGCGGCGGGACTTTGGCATTGACTGGCGTCTTTGGCCAAGACATTATGGCGCCTGCAGGCTGGCGGAAGTAGTGTATCTCTATGGTACCGTGGTGGTGTGCGGCTAGTGGATCGCAGAGCGCGGCGCTGAAACACCTTTCGGACGATACGACGATGTCGAAGGGAAAAGCAAGATTGAAGACGGAATAATTGGGAATAAGATGTGGCGGCCATACTCGGACAATTACGCCTTATGAGTCTACATGTCATTAATTCCGGAAAAAAGGAAACTATCTCATATTCCGTGTCACCACTCCCTCACCCCGTAGCCGAGTTCAGGATTGAAAGTGTAGATAGTGGCAACGGGCATGCAAAGACGATACCGGCTATGATCGACGACACGGCCCCGTCTCACCGCGCCGTCTAATATACCATTCGGCTGGCAATCCCATCCCAATCGCAGCCAGCTCCACCAAAAAACCGGTTTTAAGTCAGACATACAGTCGCCAATTTATCCTCAAGCCCCCCCTCAGGAGTTCTGCCTAAAGATCCCCCCTATCGAGCTACTTATTTCCTACTTCTTCCTCACAACCGCCTCGCCTTTTCTTCCTGGCGTACATATATTGCAGATATTTGGAATTTATATGTATTAACTACCTAACAAACTAGCATTCCGCCTCGTATCTAGGTAGGTAAATTTTTCATTTTTAAACCACGCGCGCGCGCCTGATGTAGAAATGATAGACCTCGTCTTGCAGAAAATTCTCAAACAGACACTACTCACGCTGTCGATCGTCGTGCGGTACCTACACGGGTAGCCACTATCTACGTATTAACTCCCCCCTTTTCGCCACTTACACACCTGGCAGTCGAGAGCAGATCCCGCAATCCCTCAGTCGAAGAAAACCCAGCAGCGGACCTCGATCGACCGCCGCGTCGGCGCGTCCTCCGGGCTAGCGTCGTCCCAGAACGCGCCGTGCGGAGACACCTTCGTCACGTCCGAGTCGAACGAGGAGAAGATGAGGGCTTCGTCCAGGTCTAGTTTGCTGACGTAGTGATACTTGTACCTGCTCACGTTTTAGCAACCGTTTCTTCTCCGCGAAACAGACACAGGAATGCGACGTTACGATACACGAGTGTAACGAGACAGGAGACATGGATATGGAAATGGATAGGGATGGATGGATGGACGGATGATCACGTACCCAGGATCGTACTTAACAACACTATCATGTTTCTTCTCGCCACGGATCGCGATGCGCGGGTCATTCGTGGGAAACACGCGCGCGAGATGGGTGTCGTAGCCCCAGCCCGCAACACCGCTATGGTTGATGAAGCACAGCGGCCACTTCTGGATCGGCTGGTCGATCGTGCGCCAGATGTTCACCTGCGCGTACCGCTTGCCCTGCTTGATCAGCTCGTCCGCTACGTCCCCCAGGATCTCCCGCACCCCGTCTTCGCCGGTCACCGCGTCGCGGTCTACGTGTGCCACGGGCAGCGCGGCGTGCGAGAGCTTGTTGGCTGCGAATTCGCCGGCTTTCATGCTGTTTTGCCGGATCCGGAAGACGTAGGGGACGACGATGTCGGAGCCCGTCGCTTGTTTGACTAGCTCGGCGACTTCTTTGAAGTATACGTCTTCGATGTACTTCTTGCCTGGATCAATGCGGTTTTGTTAGTGGAAAGGGGCTGACATTGCTTCTTGGCAAAGGGAAGGTAAGTACATACCCTCGGCCTCATTTCCGGCCAAGAACTGCTCGGGGGTTAGGGACGACTTGTGCTTAACGATGCCGTATCCGTTATTTAAGTAGTCTGGCTTGGGGTTTAATGTGCGGATGTCCTCAACCTCGATCTTGACCTCGAGAGGGTTGTGCACGTTGGTCGAGCCGCTCGCCCAATCGATGTAGCCTTCCTCTCTGCCATCTTTAGTACCGTTCCACATGCCCATGAGGCCGGTGGTAGATGCAACAGCAGCAGCAGCCATGATTTCAGGCGAGATGAATTTAGCGAATCAAATAGGTAACGTTAGTGCTACGATCAACAGTGATAACCCAGGAGAGCCGTGCAGCGAAGGGGTATCTGGCAACAGGTAGGGTTTAGAATCAAATATATAACCTTCTGAAGCCTCGATCGATGCAAACAAAATCTAAGTGATCCCGAATCGCATGTTCCACGGTGAGAGAATCGTATCACCAGCGATGTAATAGGATTTGTGGATTTCAGGATCTGGGGATCTGGGGAACAGTGGATTAAGGGATTGCGGGATTTCCGGATTCCATAACCTACAGCTAGTTCTACGTGATACTATGTGTCCGGTTTACGTGCGAAACCTGTCAAACACAAACACAAAAGGGATCCCTTTTAATAATTTGTGTAATAAGAGACTTCAACATCTCCTCGTCTGAGACTTTATCGTACGTTGGACTGATCGTTTTTACTGCTCCTCTCCTTTACCCCTTATTCTCCTCCGACCCAACCAATTCTTTGCGTAGGTAGTTACGACGATAGTATTGGAGAAGAATGGACCACCACCTCCAAGTCACAGACTCCCGCACGGGAAAGTCTTACAAGATCCCAATCCAAGGGAATTACATACGCGCTGCCGATATTGGTCGCATTGGTGCCCCAGAGGACAAGGAGGATATAGCTTCTTTGAAAGCTGCTCGTCCACTACAAATTCTTGATAATGGCTTCCAACACACTGCATGCATGGAATCAAGCATCACACATATGTATGTGTACCTCGCAGTCAAACCTATCTAAATATTTCTGCTAATTGATGGTTCTCTCCTACAGCGATGGCCTACGCGGCACAATACGATACAGAGAATTTCCCATCGAGAGCGTATTCCACCAATACGTCTACGAAGACGTGATGCACCTCATAATCTGGGGCAGCATACCCACGCAGCAGCAAAAAGATCACGTCCGTGAAGTGATGGGTCAAGCAATGAACCCACCTCAAAGCGTGAAAGACGTAATCTCGTCATTCCCGTAAGCCCCCTTTTTAAATGTCCACCTAACCTACCTAATTTCTATTCTAACCACCCCCCAGTCGAGACGCCGAAACCTTCCCCATGATCCTAGCCGGCATGAGCGCATTCGCATCCACCGACAGCGTAATCTGCAAAACGCGGCACCAGCAAAGCGCCATGTTCCACGGGCACCTCGACACAGCAGACGAAGCGCTCGCGCGCACAATCGCCTACCTCGCAACCACCATCTCGCTAATCTACTGCCACAAAAACAACCAACCCTGGACTCCGCCCTCAGTCTCCCGTTCCCTCCTCGGCAACCTCCTGCACATGATGGGAATAACAGACCCGCGCGTCGAATCCTGTTTGGCCAAACTCTGGATCCTATACGCGGACCACGAGATGACGAACTCGACCGCCGCCGTTCTCCACGCAGGATCCACACTAATCGACCCCGTGTCCGCCGTAACAGCAGGGATAATATGCGGGTACGGCCCGCTACACGGGGGCGCGATCGACCTAGCGTACGAAGCGTTCCGACACATCGGGACAGCGGAGCGGGTGCCGCCGTTCATCGAGCGGATCAAGGCGAAGGGGGGCCGGCTATTCGGGTACGGCCACCGCGTGTACAAGACGCGGGACCCGCGTGTGGCGCTGATCGAGGAGTTGTTGGAGGAGCACCGCGACGCCGTGGAGGCGAATCCGCTGCTGAGGGTTGCGATGGCCATCGATCGCTACGCGAACCAGGATCCGTATTTCGTCGAGCGCGGGCTGAAGGCTAATGCGGATCTTATGGGGTGTTTTCTTTATACCGCTATGTGAGTACTTTACCTATTTACTTACCTGCGTGTCTACCTGTCTGTGTACTTGCATACCTGCTGCCGAGGTGGGAAGTACAGGTGAACAGCGGAGCGTCGAGCGGAGTGCGACTTTAAGCTCGCTACGAGGCGACGTTGTGGTGCATTCGTTTATACACGCGTATATATAACCGCGTGCTAACCTTCCCGATTAGGGGCTTCGACACGGACATGATCATCGCCATTACCATTCTCTCCCGGACTCCGGGCGCGTTGGCGCATTGGCGCGAAAGTCTGAGTAAGTCTACCTGGTACCTACGTTCCCCGCTCGCCGTATACTACCCCCTTTTCCCCCACCCCCACACTTTTCTGTCTTGGAGCTGACGTTGATGGGATTGGTAGCACAACCGGTGAAGCTTTGGCGGCCACAGCAGAAGTATAACCCGCCGCTGGCAAACTAGGAGGGTTACCTGCGAGAGATAAGGGCAATCTGGGAGGGTTCAAAGGGGCTTGGCGTAATGGTAGGTAGGTAGGTGTATTATATCATAGTTGAATGAACCTGGTTACTACTAGGTACCTATGAGTTCATTGGTGGTTTGGTGTAGCGAGTGGCTTCGAACTGAGGTCCGGGGTTAATTAGTGGGATTAAAATGTCAAAATAGATACCTACCAGTCTTGGCAGTAAAACGGTCTTATCAAAAACACGTAAATATCGGTCGTTACCAAATGTGGTGGTGCATTCCGTTTACAAGTCGGTACCAGGTAGGTAAAGATGCGGGTTGGGTGTCTGATAGTGCCCTTCCGATGCTAGATAGCTGGGGCAGCTCAGCTCATAGGGTAAATTCCAAGGCGACGACGAGGCGAGCGACTCAGCGACTTGCCGCTATCTCAATTCGGCCCTAACTTAGAGAGAGTCAACACCGCCAGCTATGATCGACAAGCCGAAGCTGGATCTTGAAGATCGACATGAGGCTGTCGCTGATCATGGCCGACCTGAAGGAAGAATCTCATCACACCCTCTCCGCCCTTCCTAGCCCTTATCCGATCATCCCGGCGAACCGACTTTGCAGCACCCCCAGACCTCGTCAGCTCGTTGTGTCCGCCGCATAGTTTCCTAGTGTGGCTCACAATCGGTCTCTGCGTCTTGACGGAGCCAGAAAGTCCAAGATATGGCTCAAAAGCCAATAAATCCAGGGGTAGGGGGCGTGGGAAAAGGGGGCGTGTGCCTTTTTAAGGCGTCCAACCAGACCGCGTCGGTAATCTATGTGTGAGATGTCATTGGAAGCGAGTTATTGCCGATGTAACGGTGGTTCGTTTATCCTAATTTATACCTTATCTCGACGCAGTTGGCGGGATTGCAGGATCGGTATGAATGTGACATCGTCCCGTTCAGCCGGTGTTGTGTTGTGGGTGAAGATTTGGGGTGGCCCGGTATTCCACACCTAGGTCTGGCTTCTTTATTCCGGAATGCATACGGGGTAACATAGCTACTTTCATACTCGGGGGTGTATGATTAATAAGTAGCTTCTTAACGGATCTATATGACTCGTATTATGTAGGTTAGTTATGAGGGTAGATCCGCGTGCGGGCAGATTTCCGATTCGATATCATACCTTGAATCAACGTCGTATTCCCGGCTGCCACTGTTCCAGGCCGAAATTGTATGTGTGTGTTGACCATGCATATCTGACAAAGGAGCATCCATGCGCCCCAACCCAGTGGCCTTCAGAGTGTGAGCGCCCAGCATTGAGATACTCTAATTTGATTACATCCTTGCATAATCTTCTGCATCTCTCCGAGCCGTCTCGCTTCTTCACATACTTCCTCTAACCAGTCCCCAGTCCCCAGTCCCCCATTCCCGTATTCCTGCAATCCAGAACTCCGCTATCCACGGTATCGGTCCACCAACAATTCGAATTCCATTTTGACTCTAGAAGAAAATAATCTCACGATATCTCGGTTTCGCGGCACAGGATAGAGTCGGCTAGACTGCAAATCCTACCTTCCTTCACACTGGATGATCGTTAGGGACTACTTACTCGATGGCCAGTAATGTACTGCCAAGTTATGTATACGGACCCGCCTTATACCCGGAGATGGGCCTGATCGGTTGGAGCTGGGACTGCGACTTTGAGGCTCGCTTCAGGGAGACCTCCCTAAGTAGGAAACGGAACCAAGCTTAGATTCTAGAAGATAAAGAAAGAAAGAGGTCCGTAAGACGTTGTATGGTAAGATCATAGGTGGTAGTTGCACAAAGATAAGAGCGGTCGATGAACTAACTTACTTTCGTCTTGGGGGAATATGTAGGGCTGGAGGGTCTATACGTATTTGTACGATGACACGTATAGGGGGTGTAGTGGGTCATCATAGGCTGACTCTTGAATCCGGGATCACTGCTACAGTAGATTGCATGCCGAATCTGCCGCCAACGAGATATGATGTTCCTGGCTATCCCCCCTGAATCCCTGTCAGTGGTGAGAGGTAAGGCCTAGACTCGCCTTTTCTGGTCAGCATAAGTTCTAGGCATGACCTCGTGAGTGTTAGCTGTCAACCCGATCAGCGCATGTCAGAGGTGCCAAGAGGACCGGAGGCGAACTGGAGCAAAGGGACCTTCCCATGAGCCACAATCTAGCCATGATGTCGATCCGTACGAAGGGCCGAGAAGAAGCCTTCGGTGCGTGGCTAGAATCGCTTGAAATAATACCGAAATCCATCCCTCGCTTAAGAAGCTGATCCCGCTAGGTATAGATTACACCATGACGTGCAGAGCAGGGTTAGACCATGTTCTTAAAAGATCTTGGATAGCGCGGATCTCTCCTAGCTAGATCCTCGCGGCTGAGATATTTCCAGCTTTCACCGCTGTTCAACTTCCGACGCGATTTCACGTGAGTCTCGGACCCGGACAACCTAAGCCGGAACAACAACAACAACAAATTAGGTATGGAGGACAAGAAGGATGCTGTTATTATCGAGAAGGATATTTCGGTGGAAGTGCCTCTTGAGACGCCAGATGATTCCAAGAGGCCTAGTGAGATAGGTGCACAGACCATCGTCACCGTCGTTGGCGATGCCGAGAAAAAAGAATCGTCGGACTCCGCACCGATCGAGGAGATCCCGCCCCGGTTCACAATCTACAAGCAATGGCAGAAACGATTGATCGTTCTGAGTGCCGCTTTCAGTGCTCTCTTTGCATCGTGGACGGCCCAGATATACCTGCCCGCGCTCAACATCGCAGCCGACGACTTGCACGTTTCGATTACCAGGATCAACTTGACCGTCACCAGTTACATGATATTGCAGGGAGTCACGCCCATCTTTATCGGGGGGTTTGCTGATAGCGCAGGACGACGACCGGCTTACCTGGCCTGCTTCGTCCTCTACATTATCGCCAATGTCGGTCTTGCCAAATCGGACAGTTATGGGAGTCTCCTCGGCCTCCGTTGTTTCCAGTCAGCAACCATATCAGCCACACAAGCTCTCTGCCAGGGTGTCGTGGCGGATATCGCGACAAGCGCCGAACGAGGTCAGTACACGGCCTTCATCGCCGTTCCGATTACACTGGGGCCGAGTCTGGGTCCCGTCATCGGTGGGGCCATCGCGGAGTACTTGGGGTGGCGGAGTATTTTCTGGTTCTTGGCTGCATGTGCTGGGGTCAACCTCCTATTGCTTCTATTATTCTTCCCTGAAACATGCCGCAAGGTCGTAGGCGACGGTTCCATCCTACCTCGGCGGCGCAACCAGACCGTCCTACAACTGCTCAGAAACCGTCGCCAGAGAAAAGTCGCATCGGACTCTGAAAGTAACACGCCTTCCCCCACCGAGAACATCGAGTCCCCTAAGATCAATTTCGCATGGTCCAAATTCGTCACGTCGCTCGTCCTGCTCTGCGAGAAAGAGCTCAGCTTGCTGTTTATGTATGGCGGATTTGTGTATGCGGGAGTATACGCCGTAGCAACTGCAGTGCCCATCCTCTTCTCCGAAATATATGGCTTCGACGGCTTCAAAGTCGGATTAATCTACCTCCCTATGGCCATCGGATCCATCTTCTCCGTCGCGCTTGTCGGTAAGGGTATGAACTGGAACTATCGACGCCACGCACGTAAGCTCGGGCTGCAGGTGGATCGCGATCGGCAGATGGATCTTTCGGACTTCCCCATCGAGCGGGCGCGGATCGAGGTCGCCATACCGCCACTTATTCTTAGTATGGTCATAATTACGGCTTGGGGATGGGCGCTAGAAAATGAGGTCTCGGTAGCGATTATATGCGTGCTTGTGTTCTTACTCGGCTTGGGTCTTGTGAGCACCACCAGTGTCTTCAGCGCATTGATTGCGGACGTGCGTCCCGGGAAGACTGGTGCTGCGAGCGCCGCCAACAACATAATTAAGTTCCTTCTTGGAGCCGCGATGGCAGCGGCCATCGACCCGTTGATCCAAGCCGTGGGGCCGGGTAAGGCGTACTCCATAATCGCGGTGTTGTACGTCGCATTCTCGCCATGTCTATACCTAGTCGTAAAAAGGGGGATGCAATGGCGTAAGGAGCTGAAGGAGAAAGAGAGTGTTAGCGAAGGCACAGGTTAAAATGGGAAATTTTGATGTTCGCGGATACCTACATACATACCGAGGTATAAAATCAGGATAGACTAGGGGTAGGGTACATACATACATAGATATACTTCTCTAATCGAGGCCGGCAAGCCTATCATGCAGCTCCCCGTCGTACCACCATCAGGCCACTCGCGTGTCGTCGACCAATCTCTTCTGGCTATAAAGCCTCGCTAGGCGGTCGCCTACGTGCATGGTGCATATATCAAGTATTTGAGGGCAACATGTAGGGGAAACAGGAAAACAGGGAAACAACATAAAAGCAGGGGAACGCGGTCCGTTTTCTACGGTTCGTGGGCCTCACTGCTGCATCGAGTGCGGCCGGCGGCGCCACCTGCGTAGGCAACCATATTTCCCAACCCCCTTCACCAAGGTGAGCGTGCCGAGTTCCGGGGATATGTATTCGACCTGTCAGATGCCGGCATATCTAGATCTCTTGCTTCCTCCTTACGCCCACGTGCCGGGCGCCGACGACATCGCGGCTACATACATGTCTATTAGCACCCTAGGCCTGTGGCTATCGAAAATCTGACTAGCGCTATTTCGGATTATTGGGATTATTGGGATTATTGGGATTACCACCAAATATTTAGCGAGGGAGGTTGTACCTAAATCGATAATGGTGAGAGGTGAGTATAGAATTAAGAATAAAGTTAACGATTGCCCTCGTTAAAAGATATGTAGGTACTTCGAGGCATATTCTTTCCCATTCTTCTAATCATACCTCTTAGTACGCATTTCAAACAGCCGCTGCTTCTTCGACGACATCATGAGCCCGTTATGTCATGGCCGCCACTGTCGCGCTCAACTGGGCATTTAGAGCTTTCGACACTGGTGTGGAAATTGCGGTCCTGCATCTACTTTATCGAATATTTTCTACCGCGGGTCGCTGCGACGGGGCCAGTCAATATATCAACGTTCGCTTTTCCCGCGATAGTTCTCTTATAAATCCTATTAGTTACCTAGGTAAGTGAATGGAGAAATTTGCTCCCCTCGGGCGCGATATTCGCTACTTCGAATTGTACGACCGAATCGTCGATTGTAAATATTCAGGAAATCTGAACACTCTTGAATCGCTGTTCGGACAAAAAAACATAGATTAACAATGATGAGGCTTCAACTTCTTCCATAGTTCCGCGGACCGCGTCGAGAAGGTCAGCAAGGATTTAGAATTTGCTTTCGCGGTTAGCCATCACCGGTTGGCTTGCCATGCATACACTATAGAAACTCCTTAGATCTCCTTAAAACTAAATCTTCGGAAATATGCGCTTCAAATAGCCCTCAAGTTCCGAAATAGCTTCTATTCCTAACTTGATCATCGTACCGATCCAGCCGTCGGGCCGTAACACGACGATAGCGCCATGGGTGCCGATTCCATATCGCTGATAAGCCGCCTTATCCACGCCGTCGAAGTACGCACGTCCGAGGGGGGCATGCCCAAGAAATTCATACGGAGAGGGTACCTTAAACCCGGGGAGGATGGTCATAAAGTCCAAATGACCTATTGATGTGTTAGTCTTGGCTATTTTTCTCCATTACAGTTTTAGGTGCATACTTCGATTGACGAGTAATTGTAAGACTGGCGAACCGGCTATGTCTTCGTATACTACCTCCGGAAGAGCAGGCCCACGCTCGCTCGTAAAGACGAGAATGTGGAACGTCGCATGGTTTCGAAGCTCACGAATGAGCCTTGTACGTTCGAAACTCCCCGGGCGCAAGAGGGTGATATCAGGTCCTCTTCTCCCCGGTCTAATTAGTGGTTGTGAGCTGGTGAATGAGCCCTCTACATTTAACGGATTCTCTTCCTGAATCCCATACGAGATACCAAGCCCCGTATTGAAAGTGCTGGATTCTTCGAAGAGCTGACCTAAAACCACGTTGACATCAGCATCTGGGTCTCCCTGCCAATTCTCTGGCAGACGATTCGTCATGAGTCGACTGATGTCCCTGTCGTACTGGATAAGCTTCTGTACATTTGGGAGTCGCTCTGCTTGATAGGTCTTAAGAAGGTCTCCGTTGGTCAATCGGCGTATCGTTAAACTCAACTTCCAAGCGAGATTTACCGCATCGTGAATGCCAGTATTCATTCCCTGGGCCGCTCCCGATGAATGAGTATGACAAGCATCTCCAGCAAGTAAGACACATTCATGAACAAGAAAATTCCTAGCTGTACGCTGTCCTACCGCATAGATTGTCCACCAATCAACTCGTTCGAATTCAATGTTGAAAGGTTTAACTGCATCAACCGCTTCTTTGACAGCAGCGTCTTCGTCGAATTTGGGGTATGCGTTGGCTCGATCATCGGTGAATGCGTATCCGATCCTCGTCGCGCCATGGTCTAGGGCCACCCAGAGAACATTTCCATGAGTGGGCGACTCAATTGAACAGTAGGAACGAGGCTTAGGCATGTCAGTTTTGATCTGACCGTCTATTCTCACCCATTTATCTTCGCTGGCGGACCCCTCGAAGGGTATATTGAACATTCGTCGGACGGAAGAACGTCCCCCATCACAGCCTATGAGATATTTGCATCTTATTTTCCGATATGCCTCGTTGCTGCGGTCAAGAAGGACTGCTGATACCCTATAGCCTGTTGAAGGAACGTTTGAATCAACCGAAGCGGCTGTCAACTCGACTGGCGCTTCCACTTGCACATTGTATGTCGCCATTGCGTTTCGAAAAACTTCTTCCTGGAACTTTTGCCTAAGCACAAGAGCAAAATCAAATGTCGTATCATTAATCTTGTTCATGAAACTCCAACCTCGGCCAGGGACTTCTTCACCCTTGGCATTGTAAGTTACCGTATCCCGACAAGCAAAACAACTCTGTAGCAGCGTATCAGCAAGGTGCAGCTGGTCAAGCATCTCTACTGTTCGAGGGAAGAGGGTGATTGCGCGGCCGTACGAATCTTGCATCGATTTGGCGTGTTTCTCAATGATACGAACCGAGACACCGCCGAACAGGGCAAGTTGGAAGGCCGTGATAAGGCCTACTGGGCCAGCTCCAACAATCAACACATCAACACAATCGACGTTTTCTTCCATGATTCTTAAGTATGTGTTGTTGCGAGAACCTTGGGGATCTTGTGATTCAAACAAGAAGAAAACGTGGGGTGGTGGTAACGGATGGTAAATCGGTATGTTGGACGAGGTAACCTACCAATGTAGTAACCCAGGGGAGAGAATCTAACCTCTTTTAAACCATTTCTTGTTGATTCCATCTAGGTCGATAAGGGCCATTGCAGGTGCAATCTCCTAAATAAATATTGAGAAGCATGCTTCAGCCTTATTCTTCCAATACAAGCGAATCCAAGTTGTCGGCGTAGATAAGATATAATCAAGGATATCTCCGACTTGGGAAAGAAAAGATAATGATACGTCGCATACCACTCTCTTTTGCGTTCCATCGTTTTGGACTAGACGCATGAACTGACTGTATGTATGCTGCAAGATTATTACCGACACACATAGTGAATAGGGTATCTCCATGACGATCATGAGTGTCGGTATTGCCAGTCAGCAGCAGCGTCAAAAAAGCAACACCAATACCCTAAAAGCCTTAAGCAATTGATAGTGGTCGCATGCCTAGCCATGGCAAAGTGGGTGATTGGTCTGCGATTAATGAGGCCTGAAGCTCGCTGAGTTCACTGCATGCAGTAAGCCTCTAATCGGTCGATTTTTGAATGGAATGGTAGCACTCACGTTCCCCTTGAATCACCCAACCCAGGTTTGTAACTTTTAAGTGTAGCGGCATGCCACCGCAATAGAGATTCCTAAGCCTACAGGTTCAAAAAAGCTTTGCTGTTCCCTAGGGAAAACTATTAGGGGACAAGGTATGTACTGTATTGTTGAAGTTGAACTTTCTAAAGATCTGGGACAATACCCCTCACAGTGCACATCCATCGCACTTTCCATCCAAATAATAGACTTTATCTCTTATAGAAGTCCTCACCAGGACCGCGAACTCAATCTGAATTAGATAACCCATTAATAAGTAATCATGAAGTAGGCGCCTCCATATGGATGTAATTGTGTTACCACCGGGCACTGGGCATGACCATAAAACAGGTTATCATAACTCCACCACGACACTTCTCTTGGAAGTTTCACCTGCCAACATCCCTGTTTCTTACTATTAATATAGAAGACTATCTTTATGCAGCTACGAGAAATAGACCTAGAAATAGGGAAGAGCCAAGCTACCGTCAAAGGGGTTATTGAAGCCCCGATTACACATACGACTAGCTTAAAGGCTTATGCCCGCTAAAGAGTCTATTAAGGAACAGCATCTCTGGCGATCTTTGGGAGGCCCCAAACACCCCGCACACGTCATCGTCCAATAGACCTGTTAGCGCTCAGCTGGGTTTGCTAGAGCTGTGACGCAGCTGTCTCGGCTCTGAGACTAGATAAACGTTTTTGTCTCTCATGTCTACATAAGATTCCAATTCCACGTTTCTTACAACTTAACTATTCTTCAGAAACACATTCTTGCTTTTCTAATTATACCTGTCTTCGACGACGTAATCATTGCATTCCCCATCCACCAACCCTCCACAATGAGCTACGAGAGACAGCAAGGTAAGCTTGGCGGTTCCGCCCCGCACTCTACCACCGATCCCTCAGCGCAGATCAGGAGATAGCTAACCGCCCGCAATGCAACGGTAGACTTCGGAGGCAATGGTGAGCATCATTTATCATTTCGATGATTATTAGCCTATGGCTCTCTATCGCCTTTCTTATTAAGAAAACTCTATTACATAAACATCCGCCTATATAAAATACCTTCAAAGCTATTTCTAACACCTACCCCACCACAGTCCCCCACGGAGGCGCCTACCCCGCAGGCGGCGGATACCCACGCGACGACGATGACGATCTCCGCGGGGCTTCTGAGCACGCGAGCCGACACGCCGGGTCGTCTGGTTCCAGCGACCTATTCTCTAGCCTCCTAGGCACCCTAACGCAGAAGAAGCACTCGCTCGCCTCAGAAGAAGTAGACGAGGATGATGCAGTAAAGCAGCACAAGAGATTTTTCGACCGCGACGATGACGACGGGGACGAGGCCGATGATAGATCTATGGGATCTGCGGCCGCTATGCAGGCGTTGAAGATGTTTAGCGGTGGACAGAGCGGTAATTCACACGTATGGCGTTGCTTTTCTACGATAGAGGGGTTATTTGAAAGGTGGCTTGGAAGACTAGACGCTAACTGACGTATAGGAGAACAACAGCCAGAGCGCGTTCGTAGGACTTGCCATGGCTGAGGCCAGCAAGGTACGTGCACGACATCAATGTGTTCAGTCTAGCCCACTTATGAACCTATTCTAAACTACCGCTTGCAGCTCTTCGACCAGAAGGCGTCCCAAGGCAAGGTCTCCAGCGACAGCAGCAAGGAATCCGCCGTCATGAAGGCCGGTGAGATGGCACTCAAGATGTACCTGAAGAGCAACGGTGGCGGCGCCTCCTCCAGCTCAGGAAGCTCCGGCCTTCTCGGCCTAGCGTCCAAGTTCCTCTAACTGAATCGCCCCAGCTCCTAACTTTGCCAAAAAGTGATTGTGTCAGACGAACGACGGTCTGGGTGAAATTTCACAGAAGCATGCATACCGCCATGGAATATGAAGTTATGAGAAAAATAGCATAGTTATACTAGCCAAACCTAGCCAGCTATCTAGGGCTCTGAGAATCTCACAAAAAAGTCTTAACGAAATTCCACAATCCGTCTTTCCTGAAACCCGCAAAGTGAAAGTTTCAGCTGTATATGTCTCATTTGTGAACACCCAGCCAACCCCGTAAGAGTCGATCATCGAGATCGTGTAACCAGTTGCCGCTCCCACCTCTCACGAATTCCGCCGAGAGCAAGGCCTAGGCCGACGAATGAACAGTCACTACAATCTACGCCCAACCAACCTAGAGTTTGCGCTATACGAGCTAAAGAAGCGGACGTATTCCGTGTCGTCGCAGATCTGCCGTTGCTCCGTGTTACGGTTGCTGTTGCCGCTACGCTACGGAGCATGTGCCGGGGTCAGGGGACTGGACGAGATGCCGAAAAAGGGGTAATTTCGGTGTGGACCAACACCCGTGAACCATTGATTTCGATTATGGCAATTGTTCGCATACACCGGGTTTTGAATACCCATATCGATGAAGCCTAATTTGGAGAAGATGCATCTTAGTCGTGTTCAGGCGTAAGAGGACAGAAATCAGTAACAAGTAATCGAAAGCTTCATTATAATAGCAGCAAACATTAAGGGCTAATTAAGTGTATTACGTAAGGAAATCGCATCCTCTTGACAACACCTCCTTCAGCCAGACGAGTCGACCAAAATAGAGAGAAAAAAAATCCGCGTTATCATTCTTGTTGCCTTCCTCATGAAATATCGTATACATCCATCTAATAAGCCCGAGCCACGCCCATTTTGTTGCCTGTGAGATATCCCCGTGAAAAGCCCAGCCAAGCCGTATTCCTTTCCCAGGTATCTCGTAGAATCGAAGGAAGAAATAAAAGTAGGCCATGTGTATAAGCCCACCCGTAAAGCCCGACACCGTATTTTAGTCCTAACACCTTGCCTAGCCCGATAGATCTGGAATGTTTCATAGCATAAAGCACATCATTTACCTCAGGAAATACCTATATACGCCTTAACCCCACTAGGGTCTGTCTATATACCGAGTAAAATTGGTATGACAACCGTTAGAATCGTAGAGAAATTTAGTGTTGATCCACTACCATGTGATGTGGACCTGCATTGCTCGCGTGGCCTCCGCTGGTATTCTTCTTCTTCTCCTTCTTAGCCCAGCGGAGACCGCAAGCGTTGCAAAGAGTTTTAGGGCCTGACGGTCCTTTTCTCCACTCGGGAGAGTCGAGCGTGCCTGTCCAAGGTGTGAGCGCGATAATCTGCGGTACTTATGTGATTTTCTATACGCACCGCAGTCAGTGCAGACGTATTCCTCTGCTACTTTCAGCTTCTTCTTTTTCTCCCCTGTCCTGGGGTCTCTGTCGATCGGGATCGCAATGCCAACATCACCCTTAATTAGAGTTGGGCTAGAATTGCCGGTGGTGATGCCACGGCTCCGCTCTCCCTCGACGTATCTTAGACCGGTCAACATTTCGATAGTATCTGTGTGCGATGCACCCTCGTATCTCGCCATCTTATCGCGAATAGAGTCGGGTCGGTTGCCTGCAGTAACACCTTCGAGATTCTCCCTTGTCAATGCCACGTTGAGCGGATTCGGCCTCTCCGGAGGCGGCATGGCCTGCGAGTCTATAGGTTGGGTGAACACAGCAGGACTCTGAGAAGATGTCAACATAGTATCCTCTGACGCGGCGATATCTGATCGGCCTTCTTGGCTCGCAAGCCAGCTTTGTTGTGACGCTTCCTCCTCCTCCTCCTCTCTTCGAAGCTCTGCAATTCGGCGTCTTAACCGCTCGTTTTCGATCTTGTGTTCGAGAAATGAATCCAGTAACGAAGCATTCTTAGTCGGATATGGCCGCGACATCATAAAGACTGCCTGACAGAAAGGAGATTGATTCTCTGGGTTCGGCGCGAACTTGGCCGCGGCGATATGGGCATGGCCGACAGATTCGAATATGGCGTAGGTTCCATCTTTCTTCTTTAGACGATAGAACATACGTAGTGGATTCCCGGTAGCTATAGATTCGTTCATATCAGAAGTAAATGTCCCAACATCATCTGGATGGATTAGATCTTTGACAAATCGGTCGATGAGCTCATCAGACTCATACCCAGTCAAGGGTGTAACACTTGGCGATGCATATTTAATTCTCCCATGTGCATCTAAAATCTGCAAAAAGTCTTTAAGCTCCTCGACGACCTTCGCAGGCCAATTTCTCCTCTTGGTGAACTCAGTCAGAGTGCTCCCTCCCTGTACAGCAGCAGTAGGCTGTGCGGGGACAGCGAAACTCGGCGTCAGTCCCGTCGGCGGCGGCGGAACCGGGCTGTCACCCGTATTTGACGCGAATGATGTAGCATCATTTGGGATGAGCCCGGCCTGGTGATTCGCAGTGACTGGGACAGGCGGAAATGGCTGTGGCGGAGCAGCTGTCATATCGTGAAGGCCATCGAGATTCATTGGCATGGTATCGAAGCTTGTGAACATGGAACTTTCATAAAGCGCCATCATGTCGTTCTGATCGGCGGCTGTCATCTGATGCAAAGCCCGTGATTAGTCCAACGTGGACGCGGAGAACGAAATACAGGGCTAGGAGCTAGCGACATTCGCAGAACTTGAGGTGGTAAAGCTGTATAAGTATTGAGTGCTATGTGCATACAACCACTCACCGGATTCATTGTAGCCGGCGCAGAAAAGTCGAAGATGTTATTCGGATTTGGTGGTCTGTGATCCATGATGACGATAGTGGGTCGTGGCGACGACGGCGGCGCGAGCTTAAAGCTGATCCAGAGTCAAATGCGACGTAGTGGGTGTTCAGATGAGATTTACTTAAGAACTCGAACGGATAGAGCTCTGGTCTCTTCAAAGAGAGCATCTGGTCTAACCGAGCCAGATGAGGGGCAATCAAATTAATCTAAAAAGTTTTCTTAATCAAATGACAAATGAAAACGATTGAAGGGAGAGAGAAAAAAAGATAGAGGCTTCATCAAGCTGATGACGACTATGGCGTTGATATAGTATACGAGGAGCTGAAAATGGTTCAAGGTTCGAAGGTGGGATGTAATATGAAGGAATTGATAAATTGATAAAGGGGCAAGGGCATATCGAAGAAATCGATGGGATTTCACTTTCTCGATTAACAAAATGGATTACCGTGTGACTTGACTTGTACTTGTACATTCAAGGAAGGTGAATTTGCCTAGAATTTCGCTTTTCTTACGTACATCCATCGTACATATCCACTTGCAGTACCTCGATACGCCCGAGAGCCAAGTCGATCTGGAAAAAAGGCGGCATGCTGGGCGATCGCTTCGTTAACACGACTTTTATTTGCACGATACCTTTCCTCTTTTGCTCTCTTACATATATCCCACGAATGGGGTTTTCTCTATGGGTTTAGATCCATGAGACTTAGGATACCGGACTCCTAAGATATAGTACCTATACTTATTTAGTATGAAACTTAGTCACAAAGCCACATTTTATGTATTACCTGTTTGTAATAGGAAAAGCAATTATCTCTAGGGGAAACAGCTGCCCAGTGTGGACCTGAGGGGTAGGAAGCTACAGTTACCAAGAGGGCGGATATAAGAACTTCAACCGGGTGATGGTGGCCTAATACTAGCAGCTAAGTTTAGGCAGCTGCACCCTGCAGGTACTACCTACCTAGCAAGTTACCGTAGATACCTAGGTACAGGAGGTACAGGATTACGGCGCGTTTTCCCCTCCAAAAGTTGTAATCGAGACGCGTTCCATTTTACTTTCGCAACATCCTTCACTATCAATTAACAAAGCTGAGAAGTGACTCTCATCTCGCAAACAAACCAGCCAAATAATACTCGTCACAAACCTACTACCTTAAATACAAAATCGTCTATACTTTGCTGCGACTACGTCACCATTACGTGAACTACATCAGCCTCATATTATGGGACGATTGCATCTCAGTCCAGTAATATTAGGACTCTAATCCGTCATCATGTCTAAAATTGACAAGCTGTCTATCTTGGGTGTCCGGTCTTTCAGCCCTAACGACAGACAGACCATACAGTTTAATACCCCTCTAACCCTGATCGTTGGATACAATGGTTCTGGTAAAACTACTATAATCGAGTGCCTCAAATATGCTACAACCGGTGATCTTCCTCCTAACAGCAAGGGAGGAGCTTTTATCCACGATCCAAAGCTATGTGGAGAACGCGAAGTCTTAGCACAGGTTAAGCTCAAGTTCAACGTCCCTCCCGAAACCACCTACGTTGTTACTCGTAACCTGCAGCTCACCGTAAAGAAGACCGCGAGATCCCAGAAGACCCTCGATGGAACTCTCCTCACCAACCATGCGGGAGAGAAAGGCTCAGCATCTTCCCGAGTCGTCGATCTCGATACCGCCGTTCCTAAAGCCCTCGGTGTTGCCGCCGCTATCCTCGATTCCGTTATATTTTGCCACCAAGATGAATCTCTATGGCCCATGAGCGAGCCCTCGGCTCTCAAGAAGCGGTTCGACGAGATTTTTGAAGCTATGAGATATACCAAGGCCATCGATAACCTAAAGATGCTGAAGAAGAAGACCGGAGACGATCTGCAGAAACTAAAGATCCGAGAGAGCCAAGAAAAAGTCAACAAAGACAAGGCTGAGAAAAGCGAGAAGCAGGCGCAGGCCTTGGAGGCCGAGATAGAAGTACTACGGGTCAAATTTAAGGAAACCAAGGAAGAAAAGGAAGTAGCTGATCAGAACGCTCTAGAGATGCACCAGCAGGCGAACAGTTTCCTCAACATTGTCAATGAGTTGGAGAGTAACAGGCGCGAACTTGGCTATCTACAGCAGAAGTTAGAAGAGACAAGATCTAGAATGGATGAGATGGATAAAACCGACGATTGGCTTCAGGATACTTTGGCTCAGTACGAAGACCGAGTCTCCAGATATGAAGGTGAGCTTGAAGGAAATATCAAACAGTATGGGCAATACCAAAAGGAGTTGTCAAAGTCTCGTCGGGACATGGATGAGAAACTAGCGGAGCGAGGCATGCGCCAATCCGATGAAGCAAAGTATGAACGTCAGCTCGCCTCGCGCGTCGAACAAATCCACCAATCGGCTCAATTACATAGCATTCGTGGTTTCGAGGGAGATTTGGATGATCGTAAAGTCCAGGCATTTCAAGAACGAATCCAGAAACTTCTAGCAGACAAAAAGCGCGAGCTTGAAAGCTTGCAGTCTGAAAATGCCGAAGAGCTTGATAACAAAAGAGCTGCAATCGTCGACTTAGAAAGCCAGAAGAACCGCCATAGCCAGAGCCGTATTTCTGCAAGGCAAGAAATCAGTAAGATCGAGAGACGAATTGCAGCCCTGCAAAGAGATCTTAATTCGGTACAGGTTGATGAGGGTAGCAAAGCACTACTCGACTCTTCTTTCAAAGATGTAGAGAAGCGACTTGGAGAAGCTACCCAAGACTTGGCAACTTCGGATTTCGATGCAAAACTACAGCAGGAGGAAAATAAGCTACAGCAACTCGAGGTGGAGAGTAGTCGACTTGGTCGCGAGCTCGTAGAATCCACCAGACTTCTTGCCGATCGAGCTCAACTCGACGTCCGCAAGACAGAATTGGTTGAGAAGAAGCGAAAGTTAGACACTCTTACTAATACGTGGAACGACAAGATGTCCAGTATGATTGGAAGCGCATGGCAACCCTCAACGATCGACCGAGAGTTTCAAAAGACACTGCAGCTGAAGACCCAAGCTTATGAAGAGGCAGCCCGAAACCGCGACGATATCGCTCAACAACTCAAACAGATACAATACACATTGTCAACCTCCCAAGAGAAGGCTAGAAAGCGCAATGACGAAATAGACCGATGCAAATCTGCAGTTCTCGACGCGCTTAAAAAGGCAGATCCTACCACTGAACCAACAGTGGATAAATTGCCTAAAGAAATGGAACGTCTGGAAGGGGAAATCCTCACGTTAGAGACAGATATTGTTCTTTTCGACCACTTAAAGGGTTACTATCAGTCGTGTGATGACGTACTCAAAAGGCAAAACCGATGCAAATTATGTGATCGCACCTTTGTCGATGCAAACGATAAGTCGCGAATAGTCAGGAAAATCAGGGAAGCTCTCCAAGACGACAAAAAGGAAGACCTGCAACACGATTTAGCTGAGTTTGAACAGCTATTGGGGAACCTTCAAGCGGTTCGCCCAAAGAGAGAATCGTATGTCAGACTCATGTCAGAGAAGGAAGAGTCGGACAGAGAGATCCTAGTTGCTAAAGAGAGAGAAGAAAGCACGGTTCAACGCGTTGAAGAACTAGATGAACTTGTCAGGGGAAGACTAGAAGAAAAGCAAGACCTAGAATCGATGAGCAAAACAGTTCACAACATCTCCCAGACATTCAACGAAATTGAGGAAGCCGAGGCTCAAGTTGAGAGAATTATGTCTCAACAACAATCAAGTGGCACCGTTCGAAGCACTCACGATATCCATGAGCTACAGGATAAATGTGCCGAACAGATGAGGGCAGTGAAGAATGATATCTCTAAGTTGTCTACTGATAAACATCGCGTGCGGGACCTGATAAACTCGCTTGAGCTTGAGCGGAGTCGATTAAGCAACAGGATTAACGACGCAGCCCGGCAGCTTGAGAAAAAGAAAAGTTTCCAAGATCAGATTCAGGCTCAGAAGGACGATATAAGCAAGCAAAAAGAGGCCATCCAGGAAGCAGATAAGGAGCTAGGATTGATCGAACCCGAGATTACCAAGGCTAAAACCATCCGAGATGACGCTCAGCAGAGGGGACGTGTGAAAGAGAAGAGAGTTGCCGATGAGCGAGATGGGCTTGCAGCCTCAGTAAGTGAGCTCAAGCTAGTCAATAGTGATATCGAAGACTATCTAGATCGAGGCGGACCATCACTCCTTGCTGCGACGGAACGGGCAATACAAATCCTTGACAATGGCATTAAACGTATTGAAAAAGATATGAACGATCTGACCGCACGAACCAATAAGATCAAGGAGGAAATTGGTAACAGCGAGAGTAGAAGAAAGAATATTATCGACAATCTCGCCTACCGTAAAACTCTTCGAGATATCGAGAAATTCAGACGAAATATCGAAGAGCTGGAGTCTCGTAATGCGAGCCAAGACTATGAACGACTTGACCAAGAAGCCAGAGATTGGGAGTCGAAAAGCCACTTACTGAACGCGGACATCGGTTCACTTAAAGGACAGATGATGAGTAAAGATGGAGAGCTAGGCCGATTGTTGGAAGAGTGGGAAATCTACTACAAGAACGCGGCCCAGCAGTACCGCGAAATTCATATCAAGGTAGAGGCGACTAAAGCAGCAATTGAAGATGTAGGCATGTACGGTACGGCACTCGGCAACGCCATTATGCGATACCATGCTATGAAGATGGAAGAGGTGAACCGGATTGCGGGCGAGCTGTGGCAGAGCACATACCAAGGCACCGACATAGACACAATTCTAATCAAGTCGGACAGCGAGGTCACGACAGGCCGTAGCTCATATAATTACCGCGTATGCATGGTCAAGCAGGACACGGAAATGGACATGCGAGGCAGATGTTCGGCCGGCCAAAAGGTGCTAGCAAGCATCATTATCCGACTAGCACTAGCCGAGTCCTTCGGCATCGGCTGTGGGCTTATCGCTCTCGACGAACCCACCACAAATCTCGACCGAGACAACATCCGAAGTCTCGCCGAGAGCCTGCACGCCATCATCCAAAACCGCAAGGCCCAGGCCAACTTCCAACTCATCGTCATCACTCACGACGAAGAGTTCCTGCGGCATATGCGCTGCTCGGATTTCTGTGACTACTTCTACCGCGTTAAGCGCGATGATAAGCAGAACAGTATGATTGAGCGCGAGAGTATTTCCACGGTCATCTGAAGGACAGAAAAGACGAAGGGAATAAATTGCTGTGGATTTGTACTTGATATCAGAGTGCTGCCTTTCCTCGGCTAATCGCGCAGCATGGCGTTTTGCTCCCCTACACTGCTATTAGGGGTTCTGGTGCTGGCGCCATGCGAATGCAAAAGAGCTAGGGAATATGGGAATGAATCAATGAATGGAGATACATTCATGGACTACGTTGTGGTCGATTTTGATGAATCGACTTGGGATTCGGTAGAGGTCTAATGTTTATTACCTCTACCTCTGTGTGTACCTAATGTCTAGGTCGATATCTGTCTAGATAGATACGTAGGTGTAAGACGTAATACGACGATATACACAATCCTAAAGTGTTATTGATAATTCGTGTATTGATCGGTAGACGAGACTCGATAGTATATCATGATGCAGCATTCATTCATACCAACTATCCTATACCACGGACGCGAGTAATAACATCTGTCACCCCCTCTCCCTCTCCCCTTCCCTCCCCTATCTCGTCTCGTCTCGTCTCGTCTTGTCTCCATGCTTGGTATCACAATCACTACACGTACAAAACCCCCAATTCCGTCGCCGACGACGAAAGAGAAAAATACAACCAGACTCCCATCCTCGATCGTGTTTCGTTCAACCTAGGTAGAATAATAGCGTTCGTTACCCTATCCCTCTTCTTTTCTTTTCTTTCTCAACTAGGTCCGGGACGAAAATAGACATACCCCTCACTACTCCGTCATTTCTTTCCCATTGCATATAGAGACCTGGAATCGACCGGAAGACTTCTCCTAACCCCCTCCCTTCTCAGCCTCGCCCTCCCCCCTCTCCGCTGTGTCCTTCTTGTTGTCGTCAGCAGACGTATCCATCGCCGTACCCTCACCCTTCCCCTTTCCCTCCTCTTCCTTAACCCTCTTCACCCCACCCCCACCGTCAAGTTCATCCTCTGCCTCCCGTTTAGGCGTCGTGCTCCTACTTCTGCTCTTCCTCGCGCTCGCCTCCCCTGTTTGTGCCTGCGAGACTTCGACATCCATTTTATCCTCGTCCGGCTTCGTCGGGGGACTCTTGCTAGCGCCGCGCTTACGACCGACCGCGGCCTCGATGTCGATTCCCTGCATCTCAACGCCGCCGACCGTCGACGAAGTGCTGCTGCTACCGTGCTGCGGTCCCATGTCCTCCGGGCCGATCTCCTCTGGTCCGCGGGCATGCGGTTTTTCTTCCTCGGACCCGGCGATGGAACCCACGGGGGCGTCAGCGTCGACGGGAGTAGGGTTCGGTTGCACCGTCGCGCCAACCCCCGCTCCAGCAGCAGTATTACCGCCCCCATTCCCGCCACCAGCAGAAGTCGGAGAAGCAGCAGCAGCAGCATCGACCTCAGCAGCCGTAGGCGGAGAAACCGACTTCCTCTCCTCCTGCACCTGTCCCTGCGGCGCCTCACTCGTCGGCGAAGCAGACGCGCGTCTGTGGACCTGAGCATGCGGGTTGGCGCTATGCACATGGTGACTAGGGACCAGCTGACTAACGGGCACAACGCCAGCGCGCTGCTCCTGCCTCAACAACTCGCCCTGCGTGACGCCGATGCCGCGCGCGCCCATAGACGGGATGCCGTTGACGCTGACGCTGACGGTCTCGATCGATCCCACCCCGTTCGGCCCGTCGATCGTCTCCGTGCTCTCGGTTCGCACTTCCCCTTCTAAGTCATTCCCTCCCATTCCGCCTACAGGTCCACTAGCCCCTGCGTTACTGCCTTGACTACCGCCTGCGGACGGGTTCGGGCTCCGCTGTCCGGGCGTGCTGAGCGCGGACGAAGGACCCCCGATGCCGTGGTGGTTCGGCTGTAGCCAGGGAATCGGGGTGAGCAGGGCTCCGCCCAGAGCCTCGTCGCTACCTGGGGTGGCCCAGGGAGACGGCGCGGCGAGCGCGTCGGTGAGTCCGTTGGAGAGGAGCGAGCCGCTTTTCATGTCTGGGATGGCGGGAGGGAGAGGGTAGATGTTTAACCCGGACGTCACGTGGACGACGCGGTCGAGGGCGTGCAGGTACGTCGGCAACGACCGGTAGTGGTGCCGCGGTGCGATGACGAGCTCGGATAGCCGCTGCAACGTGTGCGGTGGGTATTTCGGGAATGTGGATTGTAGGGTCGAGGTTATCTCGGCGAGCATGGAGAGGATTTGTTGTGGGAGCGTGCCGGGTGGGAGGGCTACTGCTGCTGGTGCCGTGGTTTGGGCTGGGGCGGTTGAGGGACGGGGTTGGATGCGTGGGGCTATGGGGGTATTTTCTTTGTTGTCTTGGGAGGAGCTGGAGCTGGTTGGTTCTAGGGGCGATGATGGGAGAGGCGATAGGAAGTTCTCTGCCGGTTCCGAGTCGGATTGCGTCTGTGGTGGTGGTATGGATGATGGTATGATAGTGGCTGCCGGAGGTGGCAGCATAGGTATTGTGAATTCATGACGCGCGACCTAATTGCCAATGTCTGTCAGTATCGAATTGCTTATGAATTAGATAGGTAGGATATAGCCTTGACTGACTCTTTCTATTCGTGAGATTATTCGTGGTAGTAGAGCCGGCCAGACAGAGCTATGATAATGATATTCATGTCAGCAATCGTGGAATTGATAATTGAATATCGCTGCGATTGGTATTCTTACTAGTCGATCTGTCCGCCATTCGCGATATTGCGTAGGATATCTTCCTCTTCAATCTCCATCATATTGGGCGATTTAAAAGCTGCGTTGTTTAAATTATTAACTTTGTGGTGATGCCGCAATCGCGTTTTCGCTGGAGCTTTTTTTGACGTAGTTGTTGCGCCCAAGCGCGTTTGCACTGTTCGGCGTGGGTTCCACAATTGATTACCTTAACAGCTTAATCGGTACCTTGGTACCTTTTCCTTTTCCTGCCGTTCTGCCCGTTACTGCCGACTCTGCCGACCGTAACAGAGTGGACTACGGGTAACATGTGGCGGTGCAATACCGACGTAAAGTTGGGATCTCTGTCCACCAGTTTCAGTTTTATTACATAATAATCTAGCTTGCCTTTCATCCAATCCTTTTCAGTTTAATGTGATTATTATATCCAGTAATTAACCTCTCAACTATTCAAAAATGCCAGATCCGAAGAAATAGCTCATATGCAGGACCTCTTTACCAGCATTTGTTTGCGTTTTACCACTGCAGGTCGGATTGGGTCACGGATAACCAACTTCCATCATGAGTTTACCGCGTGCTATAAACAGGACTGAAGAGAGCTACCTATTCTAGTAGAAGCATGCGATAATATACCCAATCATCACAATAAGAATCGCAACGGGATGGTTACCTATACGTGTATTAGGATTAACCTTACTAGGTATTATGCTAGCTAAGTTGACAGATAAGGTTCAGTTCTTGCCTCAGATATCTCCTTCTGGAATCTGGTTTCAAAGCCCTCGAGCCAGGGATGTTTCAGGTTTCTAGTTGCATTCACCCCAATTCACTTAGATCTTGGATAACAAGACAGCATAGGCACTTAGATAACTTGGCTCATACGTCTAAGTAAACTCCAAGACGAATGACATAATAGTATGTCTTGGTCCATTTTGAAATCCAGAACTCCTAGAGACTAGACGTCGACATGACGACCTTTGTTAGGCATCTCAGTGGCTGAGCAACCCTTGGTCTAGGCAGCCTGGGCAGCATGGGATCTGCCCTGTCTGCCTTGCCTGCTCATGGATTATTCCGCAATGTGGGGCCTTGGTGGGCTGGAAAGACCCTTCTGCGTCTCGAATAGCCTACACTGGCATTGTGACTCGTTACATAATGTCCTCAAGGGGTCTAATGAACGGGGATATGCAACACAATTCAGTCGAATAAGAATTTTCCCTATCGCTCGCTCAGACATTATGAAAAAAAAAAACATCGGATTTGATAACCATAAAGTAGAACATCTAACAGGAAGAGTACCCAAGTTGGAAAGATTATCGCTGTCAAAAGAACTGTTTTAAATATAGAAACAACGGAGGGAGACTAGGCAAAATACATATGCTAGGTTGGCATCTGGGCAGTTGGGAAGTTATGGAGACTTTCTGCATGTCTGCAGGTTGAATCGATTTCCAACCTGGTCGAGATCAGCCGCATAACGGGGTATCTAGCAGTTACATGCCACCAAAGCATCGTCGCTAAACAAGCTGAGATGCATGCTTACTAGAGATCGCCGACGATGAAAATTACAGAAGTCCGAAGGCGTCAGTTGGACGATGAGATATGCAAAAATTTGTATGTCCGAAGCACCGAGGGCGGCCTCTTATTAAAATATTAAAATGGTTAACGTTCCCGTATATTGATAACGAAAAATTGCCCAGAGCGCCCTGGGCGTCCCATAATTCGTATTGAGGTAACTAGTAAGATGAGAGATGACGAACGCCAGATGATGAACAGAATGGGGTGCTTTCCAAGTCGAAGCTGTGCAGGCGGTGGTGGCTGTACGATGAATGTATATATGTACCTTCCAGGGACCCTTCAGGGCTAAAGGGAAGAAATTTGGGGCCATCTGAGAAATAGAACAAGTAGAGCTAGATAGTCCCAAGCTAAGATTTTAGCATATGCACTAACAAACGCTACCGTTAACACCGTTGAGTCCTACCGTCCCAGTGGAAGACAGATCCACGTAAAAACCCCAGTTCGCATGTCAGCACTGCCCATCAAGTAAAAAGACCCATTGAATGCACCTTCTTTATCCCGGTCCCTTCATGTTCCCCGTCAGCAGACATCCATTCTGAACATTTCGAACCAAACTTCGGAAGGTGGAATAGAAAAAAAAATATTACCTAGGATAAACTCAATTCTCCATTTCATTTGAACAAAAACAACTTCGACCAAACAAACGCGTCTTCCTTCTTTTTTCAAGAACAGTTCTCTCACTTTATTCACTGAACTGGTTATTTTCTTGTAAGTCGATATACCTAGTACCTACCTAACATACCTCGCTACACCAACGTCCTGCATCACTTGGCTTGCAGAAGGCAGACCACTTGCACTTCCCCTAATTGCGCAGTCGATTTGTTATACGTTATACGAGCCTTCATTTTGCCGCTCGCTGCAACAATATACCACCAGTGCACCACACATCCCGCCATACATCCCGCATCAATCTGCATGTGCGACAAGGGAACTCAAACAATTCCCAAAAGATTTCTTTTTCGAACACATACTCAAGACGTGTGAAAGGAAGTCCAAGTAACTCGACCTAGCAGTCTAGGCGGCCGGCCAGACCCGAATCCATACCCCCTGGTTCATCCTCGTCACGGATCAAACCCATCGGTCTGTTTCAGCCAGCCCAGCAGCACCTCGATATCTCAATCAACCTGGTCAGCAACAATCTAACAATCAATCTAACAATCCATTTTCACCATTCTCATCAACACATCGTTCATTCATCTTCTCGTCCGTGCCTTACGAAATGCATCGCAGCGTCCCCGTATATTGATGCTAACCACCTCTACCAGTTTTAGAGTAATATCTTCGTTCGCGAATCATATATCCGGCTTCTTTATTTCCTCGCACGCCGTCTCTCTACCTTCGCACCCCCGCCGATTACGATCCGTGTTGTTTAAGGCAGGTGGAAAGATTGTACAGGTCGCCGAGACAAGAATTGGGGTATCCAACCGCACTGTGACAACATTTGCCAATACCTAAATTCGATTATTTCTATTCGCATTCGCCATTCGTTCGACTCCTCCTTTAGTGAGGAGTCTTTTTTGCCATCAATCTGGCGTTCAATCGAGATTCTCAATCATTCCTGGCTGGGGACTCGGCTGGCTTCCGGCAAATCCCCTCTAATCAATCCTTCCATCAGCCGCAATCAGAATACGCACAATATCCCCAGGCTGAGTTCCATCCTCAATACAACGACAGAAATATGGCCTCCAAAGGTAATCGACCAGGCAGTGTAGCGAAGTCTACTGGCGAGATCTTCACTAGGAAATGGCCCCGTGCATTCTTTATCGTCGCTGCGCTGCAAGCCATCATTTGCATCGCCTTTGAGTCGTAAGTCGTTACTCTCTAGTCTGTTTTTCAGCATCTATCTAATCATGAAAATTACAGTTACACATTCTCGCAGTTCCAAAACGGCCTCAAAGACATGTCCGACGCAGAGTGGGGTGATAACAAGGACGATGGCAAAGCTCAAACTAAAACCATTCCTACTTTCTTAGGCCTGTTGATGCTTGCCTTCATCTACGACATTGTACTGGTATGGGATGCGCTTCGCATGAAGAATACGATTCAGATTATTGGTCTATGTATCGCGAATCTGGCCTTCCTTGTCTACAGCGCCCTACAGATCGACCAAATCCACGTCGCTATTACCCGGCTAATAAGCTACAACGCTTTTAATAACAGTGGCATTTGGGACGAGGTTCAAGGCGAGCTGATCGCTATCCCATGCATCATCTCGCTAGTCACCATCATTCTAAGCTTTATCGCCTGGAAGCTGTATCAAGAATTCGCCTGGGATATCCTGAAGCATATAGGAGCTGACTACAGGATGAAGAAGCGATTCTTGCACTACCAGGTTTGTCTATGTTATACCTTAGCCCTTATGTCCATAACTAATATCTTCGACAGGTCTACATCGCTCTCTTAAAATTCGACTTTTTCTTCTTTGTCGGCTTTACCATTCAATTCCTGGTCGTTGTCGGAGGCAAGACCACTACCGAGTTCATATTAACAGCTATCGCCATTCCCGTTACCATCATCATCCTTCTATGTGCCGCATGGTTTACTCGACGCGAATGGAAGCTAGGTATGGCAGTGGTCATGGTTCTTTATCTGGGTGGTCTTACCTACTTCATCTACAAACTGGCTCGAATCTACGACCCTCATGAGGCCCAATATTACATGCCCGTTCGCAAGTCGTTGACGGCATTCGCGGTCCTCACCATCATTCTGATCATCTTGACCATTATAAACGGTCTCGTCTGCATGCTCAACTTCGGCGCCGGTCTGAAGCACCACCTTAACACGCCCCGACAAGAAATCGACAAGGACCAAGCTAGCTACTCGATGCACGATGTCAAACAACCGCAACTACCAAGTAGAATGACAATCGATTAAAAGGCGTGTAGGCGGCATATAGATGTACAGAGTGGATACGATTAAACGACCTTTCCTTTATAAAGCATTCTCCAGATATCCAACCGAGTCGGTCCCTCTCCTAGAATGAGAAGGGGCATGGTTTTTTATGGACACAATTTCTTTTCGGCGTACGGTAATCCAATCTAGGTTCAGCCTCGAGGGAGTTATAGGACACATTTCTGCTTTTTTTCCCCTAAACCATTATACCGTCTCACGAAATTCGGTCGATCTGGATAGCATAGGGCCCAGCTGGGAGAGGCAACGCTGTACCAGTAACGTAGTAAAGGAAATATTTGCAAATGGAATACCCGCCCCCGGCCCAGTTCGATATGGCTGGGTCAACGGGTTGCATAAGTTCGAGGGTTTCCGTAATTAGAGATGACGGAAATCGGACTTGAAAGACGCGTCATGTAGTTAGTCTGCGGAATGAAAATTGAAATTCTGCGAATGGACGTTGAGAGTGTGCTTTGTTTTGTGGAACGCTGCTCATTTCGTGACTTGGAGACTTGGGTTCCGCGTGCCGTTGTGCCGTTGTGCCGTTTGCCGTTTGCCGTTCGGGGTTGCGTGCGGGACCGAGGTTGGGAGATTGCATGTAAGGGGTTAACCCTGCCTACGACGACTTCACACCGAATCTCGGGCTCGGATTTGGGCTTGGGTTAGCTAGAGATCGACTGCGAGGTCATAGCTGATGGTAAGGGGTTTGCTGTGTCTTATGGCTAAACGAATCCCGATGGCTGTTATCCCTTGTTTGGGGCTTTGGTGGGTTCTGAGATTGATGGGCGTAGGGCGATGAGATAATAGATAGGTATTTATAAAACGATTAAATCGTAGAATCTCTTCGGAAGAGCGAAAGAGTGACACGGGGAGGGGGTGCTGGATCGACCCCTTTTCTTGGATTGTGTCTAGATCATTTCTTTTGCGCATCTCGAAGCTCCGTGTATATGCCCACGTTACGCGGTGGGTTACCAAGGAGACGCTAGCGTTACGAACGTAACCCGCCGACCTGCGGCGCTCGGAAGAGTATTTGAGATCGGAGTTTGCGGGGATGGAAGTAGGAATGAGGCGTGCTTGTGAAGTAGGAACATCGTTTTAAGGTAGAGAGTGTAGATTAAGTTTGCCAAGACGGCACGGGTGTGCATGTTGAAACTTTAATCAAGGTTTTGCTTCTATTTGAAGTCTAAAGTTTTACTTGTCTTTATATTGCCGTAGACTAGTTGCTATGTGGTATAGAAGTAATGTATAGTTGAAAGAGTAAGGAGGATAGGCTGTCTGGACATGATGTAAATAGGTTAGTTGTGGTTTCATCAATGTTATTCTTGAGACTTCTATAAGTTTAGATATCATATTGGCAATGAGGCTTCCACGTTTCTATAGTTCTAGTCTCAGTAGTAATATTCTTCTTGTGCGGAGGTTGTAATATGCCATCGTCAATTATGCCTAAGAAGTTGTCCGCGAACTTTGAGGTCTTTGGGTTTATCTCTAATCATCCTCTTTAAATGAACATCGAGAAGCTCCTACCAAATGGCCTTCTTGTTGAGGCAAAGGACTGAACTGAATTAAGTGTGGTAGCTCATCACCATCTAATTGAGTTAAACTACCAAAAGACCAGAATCTACAAGTTGGACAAGTTGAAGATATACAGGTTATAAAGGTCATCTTCCACATATCAAGGGGCCATTAGAGATATTTTGATACCCAACTCAGAAACGAGGTGACATATTCAAAATACTTATATTTGGCCCCTACTTATTCCATCTTCTCTAGTGCTAGTATATTGCTTTAATACGAATTAGTGATTCGTATGGTTCTACCATACCTCCGTAAACTCTAGCAGGCAGTAGGGATAACTTATAGGGGGAAATCCCCCCTAATGTGTCCTGGAGATAGTATGAGAATAGGGTGTTACAACTGGGAGGTGGCTTATATCCTCCCCGCTGGGTCTGCAGCCCCCCCTAAATTATTTAATCTAGCAAATAAGTAAATGAGCTTTCTCAACGCTGACCTAAACAGAGATGACCCTAAAATTCATCTATATTATCATATCACCATATCACCAATATCACCACGTCATAATAAAATCCTTCCAACAAAGTCAAGTCAAGCGAAGCAAAGCCTCAAACCTCTTTTCGAACAAGAGCAGCAAACAATGTATTCACGTCGCCACAGTAAATATATCTACAACCCAGAAAGAGCGTTCCCCCTCCTCCCTAACCCCCAAAAAACGCCTTTGAAGCTAAACACCCAAGCAGCAACCACGCCCAAGCAATCCCACCCATCACCTAAGAAACCCGACGCACCCGTCGCCAAACGCCCGAATCGCAATCCAATCACCCCACCGTCGCGTCGCGGCGGCGGTTCAAACACAGGATATCGGAGGGACGTTGCCTGTCCTACAAGATGATTTCCTTGGCGTCCTTGACGATGCCCTCGCTGGGGCAGTAGGGGCACTTGTACCGACTGCCCTTCGCGAGCTTCTGCAGACTCTCCCGCGCGAGCACGTGGCCACACGGCAGGATCACGGGGGGGTTCGACTCTGTTGTCTGTCCCCTGCTGACTGGGCACACGAAGATCGAGTGGTACATCATGCTCTTGGGTAGCGGGGTTTCGAATGCGAGCTCGTCTGTCGTCGTCCACTCGGTGCCTTTCGCTTTCGCTAGCGATGTGTACTTGGCGAGTACGGGTAGAGCAAGGGCGCCGGCTGTGGCGGCTACGTAGAGGGGTGACTCGGCTGATAGGCCTAAGAGGGAACAGAACTCCCGGGTGAATGATGACGCAACGTCCTCGAAAGCCGCGGATATGTCGAAAACAGGACCGTAGGGCGATTCGGCTAGGTTCGGCGAGTATACTAGCGCGCAGGCCAGTTGTTGGATCTCGTGTAAATGGCGATGCTGAAATCGGTTGAAAGTTGCTCTTCCATACTTCAATGCCCCCAAAACCCCATTCTCTTGCGAATCTGGTAAGCCATTAACACTGGACCCCTTGAATAACCATATAAACTGTAATTTGCAGAGCTCGAACTCCAGATTAGATCCTCGTGCTTCGAGCTCCACGTGGTTTTCTCTTGCCCAATTTATGGCTGGTAAAAGGTTTTGGGCTTTGAGGGCGGAGAGGATGGAATACATGTCGGCGAAGGAGGATTGTAACGCCTGTGATTGGAAGGCTGTTAGGTCGGAGGGAATATCGGCGTCTGTTATAAGGGTATCTGTGGGTGGTTGAGAGCGGGACGATGACGGATGGAATGTAGATGTGGAGGGAGACATCTGGGTTCGTGATTGAAAGGTAGGCAAGGTCTCGGACGATGGTTGTAACTCGTTTATAAATGTTGAAGCAACGCCAAACTGCCCCTCGCGCAATAGGTGCATAGCTATAGCCCGATTTATCAGAGCTGAATGGGGCTCCATAGGATCATGCTCGGTCGGCAGAGTGTCCTTAGAAAACGCCGTTTTGAGAGACTTGTTGAATTCGTTCCATGCCTTGTACACTTGATTCAAGTCACGATTGAGTCCGTCCAATTCTTCCTTTATCGGGTTCTGTAGCTTAGTGAGGGTTAGACATGTCGTATGGGGATCGTTCGCTGAGAGGCAATATAATTAGTATTCTGCTTGGTGAATTAAAGAGGGATAAAGAAAGCTTTACCTGCTGCTACTCTCTCCCTCGCAGCGGTTAAAAGATCTATGATATTGTCTACATCTTCAACTGCATCAGCTAGCTTAGCTGATCTGCTAAGCTTATCTAGGTCCTTCTGCAACTGCAGGACGGCCATCTGTTGTGTGAAAACTCGATATGAAAGGCGGCGTGAATAGTGTGCTCAACGAGCTTTCAATGTTGACTTATCCGATGCCCTGTTCGACTATCGGTTAGGTATCAAGTGTAATGTAAGCCTTCAGTCACCCAGAATATATCGTGTGCACTGTCAATCTGTTGACTGTGATTACGAAATCGTTAAATCGACAATCGTTTAATTTTAGAATGTTGTCGTCGGAATGATGCCTCAAGTTTGAAAGTTACAGGTTCTAAACTTGATGCTGCATTCCCAAGGGCCACGGCACTGCGATACCGATAAGGATAAGGCGATTACCTGACCTTGGAATTATTTTAAAGATACAGTTTGCATTTAGTGTGAGGGTTGCTTGTAATTGTAGGTGCGGGTCTAACATTTAACTCGGATATTGACTGTCTTTTTTTACTTAGTGGGTCTAGCCTTCTCGATCCATTCAACAATGACGCATACCCCACTATGGGGCAACATTTTAATAGTAGCATTCCCCTGGGACTACGTTAGTTACCTAGAATGCAGCCGGCTGTTTCAGGGGTCATTCAGGGCAGCTGAGCTCTGTCCCAGTTGCCTCCCTTGCTGTACATATAGCTACCTGCCAATCTAAACCAGCTATTCCAGTCAATTCAGTTACCTCTTCAAGGTAACATCCGAGACCACCGTCACATGCCAACTTTCCAACTTATGTATTCATACCTTATACGAAGGTGTTCTTGAGCTTTGTCAAACTACCGACGACTGACAACAGATCATCATGTTCTCGGTTTTACGCTTCGACACATTATGCATATAAAATTACTACGAAATCGAGGGACAGTAGTGCAACCATGTCGTTGCGACCGCTTGTATCCTCGAGTGAGCCTAAGGTTCACCGAGACGAAGAATCCGCATTGATGAGAGCATCGTCGCAAAGGAATTTGGCCCCGGGCCAACTGGACGGCTCGATAACTTCCCTCGACTCTCGCCAAACTACTCCCGCTCCCACGCCGTCGTCCACTGCGTCCCGTCGCCGTGTTATTATTCCAGATCCTGTGGCTTTAAGGTATGTTACTGTAGTTGTATGCTATATTCAATAGCGACAACTTTACTAATGTCGCCCACACAGATATCTAGAAGAAGACCCATGCGTTACCGTCGTCGAGCGAAGACAGGTAGTTAAAGGTTACGAGCTGTACCTTGTCGAGCAATGGGCATGTTCCCGTCAATCACCGACACATGTTATCGTTACATATACTGGAGATGAGAAACACTCTGTCGTAGTTGGGATATTGGGCCTTCCATCCGACGAGAAAGCTTGGTCAACGAGGTTGCGCGTCTACTTTAGGGCCATACAAAAGTATCATGCACGCCCGAAGGAAACGAATTTAGGAGAGTTGATGGTTACGAATCTCAGCAGTTTCCCTTCTGCTTTGACGGTTATATCTGTTCCCGACGGAGACATAAGGACACACCGAAAGGAATTTCTCGTTAACGAAGACCTTAAAAGATTAGGATGTTCCGGTCGATCTGGTATGACTTTATCCGAACCTACTGGGGCAGCTAAGGCCAAGTTCACCCAGTTATATAAGACAGCTGATAAGGTACTGTTCTCTGATGCCGTGATCGAGTTGGTCAAGATGTGCCAAGTGGCTCTATCACTATTTGGAAAGCTAGATCAAGTTTATATCGATGGATTGCTATGCGATATTACCGAAACTGCCATCGGGAATTGGTGGACCGAGTTCGGGGCAGAATACTACAACATAGAACCAGCCGATGGTATTCTGGGTCCTACAACAGTCGCTGCGCTTCTCGGCTTATTGATGGGTGCGCGTAATAGGCTGAGTTACTTTGGAGCCCCTGTTCCCAAGGACGTCTTCGACATCGATGCGATTGAGAAGGGTATCTCCCATTTCCAGAAATACCAAAAGTTAGATAGAACTCGACGACTAGATCGACAGACTATGCATAAGCTTCACTCGGCGACGGCAAAAGCGGCTGCGGGAGAGGGTTGGGGCGTGCAGAAGGCAGTTAAGTCGACGATGACCGAAATAGGTGGGAAGCGAGGCGAGATTGTTCTTGGCATGGTTGGCGGCCGAGATAAAGGTGGTATCGGAGACATCGAGGGTCTAGATTTAGACAGGTTTATCAGCCTGGCTTCTGGAGAGCGTGCAAAATGGTTATGGCACGGCAAGCCCAAGCGTTCGAATCCGGATAATCACGAAAGACCGATGTCCGATATGAATAATATCCTATTTGGCAAAGATGACCTTTCCAGCCAAGCCAAAAGGGTACACTCAGCACCTCTAGAGGAAGAAGAAACTCGTCGCCGAGAGGAAATTCCAGGTGTCTATTCCGCCACCCCCGCGTCTGGTTCTGCGGTTAGTATAGTAGACAGCCCCGGGGAAAGGGATGCACTTCGGCGCGGGTTCAAAAGTGTCGCTCGGGATGCTCGTTCGGGTCTTGGTCGGATAAAGGATGCTGTTTATAGCGGAGGCGGCTTACGAGGTCATAATAGCCGGCCATCAAGAGACGAGTCCTCGGAAACCACCATCTCAGGGCCGCGGTCCTCCGTACTGTCAGAATCGTCGGCGGGTATATTAGCAAGTCCGAGTCCAGGGCCAGGACAAGTCGGTAGGGCATTTACCTGGAAGAATAAACCGGAGGAGTATCTGAGTGTTATCAAGAAAGAGAGGGAAGTGGAATCTGCACCGGCATCGGTGGCCCTGCTAGGGACGGAGGACACACATCTCAGAGAACCGCGATCAAGCCTTCATATAAATGGTGAAGCTCAAAAGCCGATAAATGGCGACATCAAACGAATCTTACATGCTACAGAAATACGGAATGAAGTTGCTGCGGCTGTCGAATCCTCGGTAGCCGGTTCCGTTGTCGCCGAGGGAGACTTACAAGGCCCGTTCATAGAGGCAGAACAAAAGTTTAGTAACGTTTTGTCTAGACTTTATAGACGGCACAGCATAGGTGGCTCTCGACCCCCAGACCGCCGTGGTCCGAACGAAGCTCGATGGGCTCGGCGGCTATCTTTTGGCGATGCTGAAGAAGCCGTTCTCCGGTGGGATGAAGTCGCCGACCTCGACCAAGACGAAGAAGTGGACAACATGGCAGCATTGGAGAAACATGCATACCTCACAGAACTTGCCAGGAGTTTGTATGTGAATATTCTTGAGGTTAAGCAGAGTATTGAGCCTTGGGTTGATGCGAAGATCAAGGAGGTTGAGGATATCGACGACCATTACGCGCAGCAACAGGATGACCTACAAGAAGTATACGAGCAGCACGCCGACGCATTTCGGCGTGCTAAAGAGAATTCTCGAGAAGCAGTCGCGGAGCAGCGAGCACGTATCACAGAAGCAATCGGGGAGGTAGGAGTACAGGCGGCTAAGTTGGAGTACGAGATTAATGCTCTTGTCTCCCGCGTGCAAGATGTCGAGGACGGAGTAGCGCAATTTGAGATACAAGTCAACGACGTGGAGCGGAGAGCGGACGAGTTAAAGTCACAACTTGAGACGGAGAGTTGGTTGCATTGGGCTGTACGGACATTGACGGGTATCGGGACCGGTCCGAATATAACGAGATCACGGCCGGAACCAAAACCCGAGTCAAGATCACAGCCCAAGTCACAATTGCAACAAATACGATGATCGCCAATTTCTTTTCTCTCTTCTTTAGTGCTTCTAACTTCTAACTGTTACATATTTCTCTTGGAGATCGTTTTATTTCTTTTCTTGTTAAATTTTTATGGCTTGGGAAAAAAACGGGAACGGGCAAGCATAGCATTTGGCAAAGCGAGCATACGGAGTCTGGCGAGTTTATCATCCTCTCATGCAATCATGCAATACATCCATGTATTTCTAGATACCCGGTGCAATAGATTTTATTCATATTATCGATCGTTGGCATACATAATAATTATTCTCTATTTTATGTTAAAGTGTACTATTTAATAGCGTACAAGTTTGATTCGTAGTAAATATGTAATGTCCACTGCCAGGTGGTTCCAACTGAGAGCGTTCTGATAGTGTTCTGATGTCATTGGTGGATCGTGGTGGGTCTATAATTATCTAATCATGTCCGAACCGGGAATGCCCGGAGATCTGTTGAGTAAAAAGAAGGAATGAAGAAGGAAAAAACGGGCCAGATCCCTACTATCAGCACGTGATTCACATGCCCGACGGACTTATCGGGCTACGGTACCTAATTAACCTGCTCATGGAAATGAAAAGCAACCCTTTCAACCGTTCAACTTCATTCCGATCCATCCTTCTCAACGCTTACTCACGTATACGCGTACTCCGTACACAAACAAACACCACCACCCCCCGAATCGCCTCTCCTTCTATCTTATACCTATATAGGTATCCAGAATCTATCGTTACCTCCAGTTCGAAATGAGCGCATCCTCCAAAGCTGCCCAGAGGGCGGTGCTCATAAACCCCTTCGCCGGGAGGACAGCGGCTCGGCCCGGCCTTTCACTTCCATCAGCTTACCTCGGACGGCAGAACCGACAATTACCCTCAGATCTTATGACGCGAGCCCTTCTAATCCCTATTCGAAGCATATCAACCGAAAGGCATTCAGTTGGCCCGCATAATGGACCGCCTCCCGGATTCAATGCAGAGCAAGCGAAGAAACCTCTCCCCAAAACAGAGACATCTACCAAAAAGGTCTCTGAGCCTAAGACAGAGCCCGCCAAGGATGCCGCTGCAGCAAAGGCTACACAACCCTCCGCTGAGCCCAAGACTTTGACCGAGTTGGCTGCGAAGAAGGATGCGGAAGTCGAGAAGCAGGAGGAAAAACAGGAGAAAAAGTTGACACTGGGACAAAAGATAAAGCATGAGCTCCAGCATTACTGGGATGGCACAAAACTTCTAGCTACAGAAGTGAAGATCAGCAGCAAGTTAGCACTGAAGATGGCCGCCGGCTACGAACTTACCCGACGAGAGAACCGACAACTTCAGAGGACAGTCCAGGACCTTGGTCGTCTCGTGCCATTCTCGGTTTTCGTCATCGTTCCCTTTGCCGAGGCCCTTCTGCCTATCGCCTTGAAGCTATTCCCCAACCTCCTCCCGAGCACATACGAAGCTCAACAATCCAAAGACAAGAAAGCCGCGACATTACGGGCAACCCGTAAGGAGGTCAGTTCCTTCCTTCGCGACACCATGAAAGAGACTGGATTGCCTTTGTCGCCTAGCACGACACAGAAGGAGGAGTTCGCTACGTTCTTCCGAAAATTGCGCGCTACCGGAGAGCAGCCAAGCACGGACGACGTCATCAAAGTCTGCAAGGCTTTCAGGGATGACCTAACCCTTGACAACCTGTCGAGGCCTCAGTTGGTGTCTATGTGCCGTTACATGAACTTGAACACGTTCGGCACGGATATCATGCTCCGATATCAGATTCGTCATAGAATGCGACAAATCAAGAGGGACGACAAGGCGATTAGCTTCGAGGGTGTTGACAGCCTCAACGTCGCTGAGTTGCAGACGGCATGCGCTAGCCGAGGTATCAAGACGCACACAGTATCTCCTGCCAGGCTACGGGAGGACCTCCAATCTTGGTTGGATCTGCGATTGAAGCATGGCGTCCCTTCAACACTGCTCGTGCTAAGTAGCGCTTATATGTACGGCCAAAAGACCGAGGGCGGATTCCACAGTCAGATCGAGGCTTTGACCGGTGTGCTGTCGTCTATTCCTGAAGAGCTCTACCACGAGATCGAACTCGAGGTGCACAACGCTGAGGGTGCCGCGACCAACAAACAGCGACTCGAAGTCCTCAAGGAACAGCAAGATCTGATCGAGGAAGAGAACGAGCAGAACCAAGAAAACCAGGACACCGGTCTCGCCACACCTAAGGATGTGGATAATATCGATGAGAAGGATGACAGGACTGCTTTAGCCGCTGAGCAAGGTCTCGAAAAGGAGGTGGTGGGCGAGGCTGTTGATGCCGAGGCTGACCAGATTCAAGCCAAGGACGCACAACCCGAACAGAAGAAGGTCGAGGAAGCGAAGAAGAACGAGAACTAAAAGGCGCCGGCATAGCCTATCAAAGTACCTACGTAACTAAGATAGAGGGGCGGCAAGCGATAAAGAGATAAAAAAAAAGGAAAGTGTACGAAATGAACACACCAGACTCAAACATTAACTGCCTACCTAATCTACCGCTTCTCTTTTGTTTAAAAAAAAAACACAACCTACCTATACCTAACTACATACATACATGTAACAGCCATGTATTATTCCAATTGGGCAACACGGCCTAGATTGCCAGTGTATCACAAAGCGATTAAGAGAGAGGGTGGTGTTTGTCGGATAGGGGGAGGGGAGGGGGGAGTAGCGGTTACAATAGGTATTACATTCCTGCCTTATTCTTCTTCTTATTGGGGATAGGAGGGGCGTGGGTAGCGGGAATGGGGCGGGGAGGTTTACTGGGACTACTTTATCATAGACAGAAGACAGAAAGATATTCATCTACCATCGTATCGCATCGTATCGCATCGTATCGTTTCTTGTCTTTGGCACTGTGGATTGTGGATTGTATTGGGATGGCGGGGATAGAGTTTGCCTTGGCTACCTAGGTTTTTTTTGTGAGGACTTTTTGGGTCTACGTTTTTTCTTTTTCCCGCTCTCGGGTTTGACTCGTGGACTTGTGATGGCGGCTTTTTTGGGGTCGGTTTGCGGGTTTGGTTGCTCCGATGTCGTGGCGTCGAGTCAGTCGATACACGTGGGTGTAATTTTTTTTCCCCGGGGGGATGACATGTGATACTTTAAGTTGCGTACTTACATACATACCTTACATATGTAAATTTGATGTCGGCAAATCGACCGAGATATACGGCAACAGCCGTCTTGGTCGAGGAGACATGGCTGGTTACGGAATGGAATGGGTTGGTAGAGTTGCGTTGCGCGTCGGCGCTATTAGCTACTGTTAGTCGCGATTGCGACGACGTGCGGGAAAACGCGAGGGTTTTTGGTGGTGTGTTAAGGGTTCTCTGCCTTGGTATGTATATTGGAATTCGCCCTGGTCTGTTATAAGTAGCATCGTTTGAGCACGGTCGCTGGAACTAGTTCTTATCATATCTTGGTGTTAATATTGATCTTATGTACATGGCTATGGGTTTTTGGTCGCGAACGCCAAGATTCTGTCCAACTTCTTTTATGTGGCCAAGGAGCGTAGAAAGTCCTAATCCCGATGCGGCTGCTCGTACCTGTCTGTGGGGGTAGGGGACCTGGTGGCCGGTGTTTGTAGGATGAAGGAATGGGGTATTTTTATATCTTAGATGCGCATGACACGATACAAATATATTTAAAGGTTGTGTTGATTGCTTGCGAATGGGGATACCAAGTGCGAAGGATGGGAAATGTTGTTTTGGAAATAGGGAAAAGGGAAAATGGCTGTTCTCAGCCTCAGCCTAACTACCTAATCCAGAATTTGCCGGGGGGTTTAAGGGTCAGGGGTTAGGGAGGAAATGTGGAATCGCTGGCGTTGGCTTCTGGGTATGTATGCGGGACCCCCTGTTGCTTGCGAAACGGGGCCGCTCCTAAGGGTCGCGAACCAGAACGAAGCTGGGAACCCGTTGTTAAGGGGGATGGGGAGGTGGCGTAGAGAAACGTGCTGGTTTTTTAAAGAATTAGGGATCTGCCCAGCAAGGCTATGGAGATCGCGCGTTTGTCCTCCTAGGACTTTAAGACTTTAGAGGTAGGTTATCTTCTGTTCCGTGCCCTTGGAGCTCTTAGACCGGAGCCGCCTACGTTACATTACATTGAGCGTTCTGAGCTTAAAGGAAATTCCCCGATACTGTTTGCGGAAGGAGGGTAAGATCATTTTAGTCTTGAACGATGAGTTGAGGATGGGATGAGGAGATGTTTTGTTTCTTCCGATCAATGTTGCAGCTGGACGGGGACGGTCTGAACAGCAGGGCTTGTTACCTGTTACTTGTTGCATTTGTTACATAAGACACAAGACATGCAGGAGTGGCTGCTGAGTCGGCAGAACTCCGAATTCTGCACATTCAAAATAGATTAATGAAGAAAAAAAGCAAGGGGTCAGTAATGGGAAGGGGGTTCCGGTTTCGCTTGATGAAGCCTTTTTTTTTCTTTTCTTTTTTTCGGAACTATCTCTGATCATTCGCGTTTGTAGGAGTAGCGTTACCGCCACCGTCACGGTTACGATGTTTGCTATCAATCAACGACAATCAACGATATCTCACGTGTGCGAGTGAGATTCTAACTACATACCTGCTTCGTGTAGAGTACGTAATGCGGGACAGACAATAATTAATATGAGTAAAGCGGACCGATGTTAGCTTATTAGGTCTTCAAGCACCAACACCCATTTACGGCTTGGCGGGTGCTTATTTCGGTTTCATAGCCGGGTTGGCAAGGTTGAATCTGAGCAGCAGCCTTAAACCCCTGCTCAGAATCCTCCTATCTACCTGGTATCGCCCCGTCCAAAAATGCCAAAATACCACATCGCCTGGGTTTGGGGGGCGTACGGTAGAAGCCGTTTCTAGTCCAAAGAGACGAGATTAGATCAGATGATGGAGCCGATAGATAGATATTGGGTGGGGAGGTGAAGGGGTAGGAGGAGCTGTCTGAAGTATATACACTCACGACGGCCCGGCTGTTGGGACACACTTACATCATGAGCATTGTATGCCGTGATAGTTTCTTCGTGGAGGTTTTATTCATTCTTTATAACACATTCACTCCTTTACTCCACGACTTTGGCATCCTCCCTTCGGAACTCAAGCCGAGTCGACATTCATTCATTTAGTAGGTGATACGGATAAACCGTCACCATGTACAGCCTCTTATCTCTCGTCCTGGTCTGCTCGTCGTTGGTGATAGCGAAACCTATCGGCGATGTATCTGAGTTTCAAAGTATCGCTGATCGCGATGTGGAACTCCTGCCACGATTCGGACCTCACACAAGAGGTGTGATGGTCAGGCGTGATGCTAATAAGACTTTTGATTTGGGCTTCGAGGTCAACGACCTGACACTCTTTACTGGGTAAATATCCAAAGCCTACTCCCTATTATATCTACGTCTGTATCCATATACTAATGCAAAGTACAGTTCATGGCCAGTAGCCAAAGGCACTACTGTTTCTCTTGATCTCTCCTGTGTCGAGTGCCGAACCTATGGAGAGCTTAACGCGTTCATGGAGTTCCCCGACAACATCGAAGATATCCTAAAGGACCTGAAGGACTTTAACCCGTTCAATGATGCTAGCTTGACTGTTGAATTCCAGGGCGCCGGCGCTCTTATAGACCTTAGCGTCGCGACCAGGGGTACTGGTCACTTTACAATCCCATTGTTTAAGTCCCAGACCCCTCTTGGTATCTCCGTGAGTTTTCTTCAGTCCTTGCTCAAGAAGATAGGACACTCTTTTCTAATAGATGCGATAATAGGGCCCGGGGTTCCAAGCTGGTATTACCTTCAACGTGGACCTCATAGTCGGCGTGACAGCCGAGATCGAGACTAAGGGTGGTTTCGAGGTTACTATCCCTGACGGATCGTCCTTCACCATCAACCTAGATGACAAGGTTGACAACAACGCTAAATTGTAAGTATCTCGCTTGATCCCACCCCCTAAAACAAGAAACAAAACAATCTAACCCCCATCAGCTCTGGCACCTCCGCAACCCTCCTCCCCCTCCGCGTTGACGCTCCGGCCACCATAACCGTAGCCCTGCGTCTCGCAGTCCAAGGCGGCATCGAGCTACCCAAGATCCCGCTCGTGGACGCGAAGGCCATCGCAGGAGCCTACATCAACATCCCGCAAGTGACCCTCGGCGAGCAATTCAGCATGCCGCCCGCCAACGGCAGCAACTGCATCCTGCCGGCCACCGCAGAGGTAAACATCAACGCCGGCGCCTACGTCGACATCGGCGTGGACATCGCCGACATCACAATCGGGGACTACGACCCAACAGTCAGCACGACATTCTTCAAAGCCGCCACAAGCACGTGTTTCATAACCGCCAGCACCGCGACCTCCACCCCCCTAATAACCGGCACCGGCAGCGTCACCGCAACCCGAACCGGCACCGGCGCAACCGGCACCACCGCCACCGCCGCCGCAACCACAACAACCGCACCAGCCTGCGTCTCCCCCTCAACATCCAAGAAGACAACAACAAGCACCTACACCGTGACCTCGTGCGCCGCCGCCGTCGTAAACTGTCCCAACAGCCTCACGCAAGTAATAGTCGTAACCGACATCCTAACCCAAACCAGCACCTCCTGCGCAGGCTCCAGCGCCACCGGCGCCGCTCTCGCCAACGCCCCCTTCGCGAACGCGACGCTAGTTTCGTCGGCAGAGTACCTCACGCTCACGAGCTTAAGCGCTCCGGTGACGAGCACGCTGAGTATCCCTGCTTCGGTCGTGACGCCCAAGACGACGCTGATTACCGGATCGGCGGGTGTGGCGGCTGTGACCTCGTCGGCGTCGGCGTCGGTGGAAGCTTCGGTTGTGGAGGGCGGTGCGAAGGGGAGGGCTACGACTTTGAGCTCGGTTACGGTGTCGACTACTCGTGCGCCGTGTTCTAAGAAGGCTACCGCGACGTCGGTGTCGGTTTCGTCGTCGTCAACTGCTTAAGGGGGTTTACTCTTTTGAGTTGGGCAGGGTGGTTGTATGAGATGAGATGTGTAAAACTTATTTTGTGAGATTAAGTGTTTGGGATGATAACCATGATGATGGATTGTGGACGGGGTGGGATGAGATGTACAGATAAGAGATGAGATACCATACGTTAGGGGATGGGAAGGGATGGGATGGAACCCGGCTAGGACGGCGGCTCGTAAAGATTTCGTTTCTTATAAATAGATTTGTAGCACGATGTATATATTTTTTGAACTATACATCTCCATTTCCCAACTTGAGGATATCGTGTTATATGAATTCAAGTCTCATAACCACATCTCATATAAAAGGGCAGTGTCATCATACACAACCCTAGAAATAATCATTCAAAGTCTCACCAACGTCTTATTCTAGCGCTCGACTCTACAAAATCGATGAACGCATAAGTACCTCCCTATCGTACTATACACAGAAATACAACGGCTATCCAGCCCGCCCACTTCCCCTTTTCCTAACCTAGCCGTCGATAGGACACCTATACTCCGCCTCGCGACCGAACTCATCCACTTCTCTATGGATGCCGTTTGCCTCCTGCTTCGCCTGTATCGCGTCTAAGCAATCCTTGTGGTATATGTGTCTGCAAGCCAGAACGACGAGCGGACCAAGGGGCTGGTCTCTCCGCCTCCCGTAATTGTCTCCATTTGTCTCGACGGCCTGACCCTGAACGTCCTGTATGCCGTTTGCTAAATGGTCCCCTAATGAGCTAGACCCGTTGCCGATATCGGTACTCTTTCCCTTTCCCTTTCCTTTATACGTCTCATTATCTTCTATCGGTGAATCAGCCTTTTCCTTTCCACGTGCAATAGCCGAATTAGAGGATATGGCCTTCTTTTCCTCCCGTTTCTTATTTTCGATAGCTTGTTTCTCCTCCCAGGCCTCGAAGACATTCCCAGCAACACCTGGGCCCCAAACCCGCTTCCCACAGGCTTCGCAAGTAGAACCTCTAGGTCGCCACCCGCGCTGACGGAGTTCCACAGCTTGTTGGACGTTAACAAATAGCTGTTGCTCTAGGAGTCGATTAGAGAGTCCTAGTATTGATTCTTCGTATGCATAGGCTGAGAATATTGATGTTAACACAGCTCGTAAGTCTGCAAGGTTAGGAGAGCTGCGGGCTGCCCGAGTGAGAAACGCTCGAAGAATTCGAAGAAATGTGAGGCTGCCTCCAGATTTTGCAACGAGGCGGTTGCTGGAGAGACCCGCGCTTTCGGTAGATGTTGCTGTCATAAGCGCCGTGAATGTGTGTTGTACAAGTGAGCGCAGGAGCGCCACCAGCTTGTCGCTATCAAGAACTGGTAGTGGTGAAGCTGTGCTAGAAACTTTGATTGGCTTGGATGGAGAAACAACAGATGATAGGCGCCTCGTAATCTGCACAGTGGTGTCGATCAAATCAAGCCACAACATTTCATCAGGTAAAAGATCGCTGGGCGATGGCGATCCTCGTCGGCCAATTGCATTGAGCTTCTTGGATGTCTTCATCTGCCCTTGACACAGCCATATGCCGACGTGTGTGTATTTCTGTAATCCTCTGAGTAATTCCTCGGCGGCTTCTTTGACGTCAATATCATCCGCGTGGTCATCCGCATTCGCTACTAAACCTTGAAGAGCCGACTCTAATGTTTCTAAATGTTTCGTCAAACGACCCATAGCGTCTTGTACTTGTCCCTCTCGAGCCATAAGAATAACTACGGCGTCGATTACCCCGGTGTCTTCCATGGTTGGTAATAACTTGTCAAGCCTGAGGTTCGTGGCTTGCACGATACCAACATAATCAGACACATGATGGGAGTTATATCTGCACATGAGTTGTACGTATTGCTCAATGAAATCCCTATCCAACGTTGCAGTAGGCTGCTCTGAAGTTTCATAGTCAGGCTCAAGGAGAGCCTTAAGGTAATCGTATTGCGATTCCGAGCCTTGTTCAAGTGAGTCCAGGACAAACCTGTGTAAACCTGGCGCGTATACAGCCAGTGTTTGAGCAGCTCGGATTGGATCGAGCTCAACTAGTTCCCGCGAATGCTGTTTGATAACATCTTGTACCTCTTGGATATACCTCTTTGGAAGGCTAGGATGGGATTGCAAGCACTCCGCAATACACTCGAAAACTTCTATTTGGTCTTCCGGATCCTCGAAGTAGGTCTGCAACAACTTCGCATATTGCTTATCGTTCCTATATATCCGTTTTAGAATACGGTAGAAACACGCTTTCTGAAATAGGGGGATCATTGTTGATATGTCTGGTGGTTGGTACGAGGAGAGTAGATATTCTGCGCTTAGCTGGGCATCCTCAGCCAGATCTAATCCGGGATAGTGGCATAACCCAGCTAAGACCTTATCAAGGGTGGATCCGGGGATGAGAAGATATTGGGGGAATTTGGGTAGATTCCGGGCAATAAACATGTCCAGGTAGATAGTATCTACAGGATCAAAGTCGTTTGGATTCATGATCTCAAGTAGGATGGACACGACATATTGACGATCAACTGTTAAACCAAATATTTGTTCCTCTGGTAAGTCTTTTCCGGTCCCACCATTGAGTTGCTTCTCTTGGGATTCGTTTAAGAATGGATCTTCGAATGCTTCGTTTAGTGCGCTTAAGAAGCTCGGGGCATCGTACTGTAGAATCATCCTGAGATATGGGAAAGATGGCTCATCTGTCTGCGCTGGCTGAGTGCGAAATATTTTCCCGCTGCCTTTCGGCCACACTATACTCTTGCCGGAAAAGAGAAACCAATATAGCTCGGCCTTGGCCTGTGAAGCCACTGCATCCTGCATCCTCTCGCCCGTCGGATATATTCTCCCAGTCAAAGTGTATGAAAGATATGGGAACATTTTAACGGCGTTAACCCCGTGATGCTCGTGCTCCATGAGATTCCCGGGAGCATTCTGCATCAGGGGTATTAAAAGAGTAAGTAGGTCGATAAGGGGTGTGATGTAATCAAACAGCGCTTGGTTCCAGACGTATATAAGAGCATCGTAGAGACCATGCTTCTTACAAAGTGAAGTGATCTGGTCGATATCGAGGGTGGCCGTTTCCATGTGACAGATCACTTCTTCTAGTCGGCTTTCCCAACCCTGGCTGACGAAGTGAGTGACCATCGCTTTAACAGCAGTTGGTGGCGCGATTGATATCGTCTTTTCGAGAATGTACGGCTCCAAAACTTCTAGAAATATGCCCTCGGCGTCGCCATCTTCGTACCATTCGTACATCTCATCAAAGAGGAAGTCGAGATCCCCCACGCTTTGACAAGCAATGAAGCAGGTTTCAGTAAGATGCCGTAGCTGCTGATCATCCACCGAGGATTTATTCTTTTGTCGTTGTCCAAATACATATTTAAGAGACGCGCTCATTATCTCCATGACCTTGTCACGTACCATTCGGTGTCTTAAAGTAGCATCTTCAGGAAGACCGACCGTCAATTTGTTGGCATCCCCCGTATAGTACGAGGTTGCTAGCTGGATTGCTCCGATATAATCGCCATTCTCCATCAAAGCTATTAGTCGATCCGCCCAGTTGGATAACGCGCCGATTGATACGTCATTGAAACCTAACAGGAATATACGCCCTTTATATGCTTTGAGACTCATGTAGAAAGCATCCGCGACAACTCCATGCATAGTGGTATCATCTTCGTCAAGCTGCTCGACTAGATTGTGTAGCTGGGTGGAGAAAAGATCAGCATGATAGATGTACTTGTGGATAAGATCAAAAGCTTCTGTCATCCTCATCGACCGATCTTCAAGGACGATGAGCCTCTGCGTAATCGTCAGAACAGTTAAGACGGAACGACTGAGCCATTGGACGGCCACGATTGCTTCCTCGCACTTCCACCTAGAACGTGCTTTGAACTTGAGAAGTGGTGGCTTGTCCTTATCATCTGATGGCTCTTCATCCACATCCAGTACAGTGAGCACATTGGACCAACAATATACTAGTTTCACTTTAGACATTGTGCTACCGGTGCTGGGGTCTGGTACTTTTAATTTGACTGCGGGAAACCAGGCCAAACAACCGGTCATGGCACTGTGTGGCGCTACATCTTTTGGTCGGGCTGATTTGTGCTGAGTTTGCGCAATTGGCGTAGTGGAAACAATAACAAGCAGATAGGGAGTGAGCATTGCAGTAAGTCCCATCGTATCTGTTGCTCGTTCCACATTTCCAAGCGGTAATGAAGAAAAGCCTAGTACGGTACTGGGCTTAAGAGGCTTGCCTGATGCAGGAGGTGGCGCATCGGGATATCGGCCCAATATCCTTACCGTCTTGACCGTTCGTCCAAGGGCGCCAGTACCCCGAGTCGCAAGATGAGAAAACGCCATGCCGCGGTCGTCAGCAGAGACTAGGGCGGTATGTCTGGTACCTAGAAAGCCTAGATGTGTTATAGATACATGTGGCATGTGACCATCCATTGTCCGATGTTGCAACTGAGAGTCATCAAGAGGCGGTATGTGTAGGAATGGCCTGGAAGCCCTGCTGGTATCCCATGTGAATATGTTTCCGCTTGCATGACCACCAGCTATCGTTGTATAGTCGGCGGATACAGCAATTGCGGTAATCGGGCCGGATTCAACGGCTGTAACTCGTTAATACTGAAATATAGCATTTTTTAGAAACGGTTACCAACCTTTAGTGCCTGGTCCAATAATCATTTTCAAATTTTGGTTATAATCAAACATTAGTATTATGCCTTTGGTGGTTCCCAACACGATCGAGGCGGACACAGCTATGCATGTAGGAGAACCCAAGCTACGCTTTCCAGATTCAGAGAAAGCCTGTCCATTTAATTTTCTTAATTTCGTCCATCGTACAACTTCCCATGGAGGGGTAGGAGTTTCGGCATCTCCCACTTCTAAGAAAAATTGACTGGTTAGGGACGCTTGTCTGCTATGCCCGGCAAGAAATGCAGGTGAGCCTGGTCGTGGAGAGAGCGCGGATGATGGCGAGGATATACGCGATTGGAACCGTCGGTCGAAGGGCCTAAATGAAGGTGTCGGACTACTTAGTCCAGGGCGCGAGGCTAGAGATGGGACCCTACTACTTCCAGGAGAAGATATCATAGAACCCTAGGAATGAGATTAGTACAAATCCCTCTTTGATAGCATTATAGCATCGCGTACCTGAAGCGAAGGAGAATCATCCGGTACAGAGAGTAGGGAGTCTATTGGGCTTCCGACTCTTCGGGGTATCCCCTCAGCTGATCCTGCTTCCGACGCATCATCGCGATCTAACAGCAGTTGGCGGTATCGATTTGCGATAGCTCCATTTCCTGTAGGCTGAGTCGATATGATGCTCTCTTGGTCTTCCTCGACATCAGCTATATCTTCATTTCCCTGCTCTCCCTTAATTGTTTCTTCGTCGCTTGAAGCCGCGTCCCCATTTTCTCCATTTGGAGATAGATCTAGTTGATCATCGTCCATGTTGGCAGCCCCATGTCTTTCCGAGGAAGACAAGCTCATCGAGACATGTGCATCGGTCGCATGACTTCAACAACAGTAACTATCGGTCGTAATAATTCGTCGCGTCGTATTTCTAGAAGTCGAGTCGTCGATTTATCGTTACCGGAGCAGTCGGTTCTTCAAAGTTGTGTAGTAAGCTAAAAGCTCAATTGCCGACTATAGAGCTCTATCAAAAGCTAATGTTCGAATCGTGGGTATCGTAATACAAACGCCGAGTTCTATCTTTTCGCGGAACGCGGATTATCTTTTTGTTGAATTAGATTTGAGGCATGTACAGGAAAGGAGTAGCAAAGATAAGTTTAGCTCTTGATATGATTATCGCAGCTTCTCTGAATCCATTCACTACCAGGTGCCTTACGTACATAGGCACCTACTTAGTAGCCAAGCTAGCTCAGCCTTATTATTAGCAAACATATCAACAGCTAAAAAGCGCTGAGGGATAGGCAACGCACGAGCCAGCATGATGCAGCTAGCAAACCCAATATTGGTAGAGACCCCTGCTGATTCGCTCAAATCCCTGCATCTAGTTACTGGTACCTCGATATTTTGTAATCCTCCAGTATCTTTCAAAATTCAATTCTCAACATTGAACTTTCTATTTTAACCATTGTCAACATATACTACCCTTATATAAGCTACAATGTCGTCCATAGGACCACAATTGCCACCTCACCTTGCCAAGCGCAAGCGTACCCCCGACGACGAATCTCCAGAATCCCCAAGAGCAAAGCAACGAGATACAGACCGCAATCAAGACGAAATAAATCTCGACAGCGACGATGAAGACGATTACGGCCCATCTGCACCTACAACTGCGCCCGCACCTCTACCCCCTGCTAGAGGCCCTATAGGACCTTCATTACCACCTTCAAACACAGACGAGATCGATTTAGAAGACAGTGACGACGATACCATCGGCCCATCTGCTCCTCCACCGCCAAAATCAAAACCGTCTATAGGACCTACCCTCCCACCCACAAACCGCGACGAAATTCCACTAGAAGAAACAGACTCTTCAGAAGACGAAGCAGGACCAGCACCACCAACAGCCCCAAAGCCAATACCAGCGCCTACAAGACGCGTCCAAGGTCCCGCCCCACCTCCAGCTCCCCTCTCCGAGCGTCCACCCTCACCCGCCTCCTCCTCCGACTCAGACTCCGACTACGGCCCCGCCCTCCCAACATCAACCTCGCACCAAGCGCGCCAAACCGCCGCCCTCGCCGCCTCCACAGCGCGCGCCGCAGAAGAAGCCGCGAAACCACAACGCGACGAATGGATGCTCGCGCTCCCCACCTCAAGCGGGTACCGCGCGCCGGACCCAACAAAGCTCAAAAACCGGCGCTTCAACTCCGGCCCACGAACCAACACCTCCACCTCCAACAGCAGCAGTGGTGAAATCGCCAGCATCTGGACCGAAACTCCCGAACAAAAGCGCAAGCGTCTAGAAAACGCCGTGTTAGGCCGGGACAGCGGCCCCCAAGCCGCCACCACAACCGGGAGTAGCACGAACCAAAGCAAGAAAGCGGACCTGGACTCGGAGCAAGCCGCGCGGATCCGGCACTTCACGGAAGCGACGCGGGGGAAGTCGCTGTACGAGGAACACCAGGCGTCGCGGAAGGGGCGGGAGCTAGGCGCGGAGGAAGAGGAGGACGATCCGAGTAAGCGGGCTTTCGACCGCGAGAAGGATATCCGGTCCGGGGGGCGTATTAGCGCGACGCAGCGGCGGGAGTTTATGAATCGGGCGGCGGATTTTGGGGGGAGGTTTGCGAAGGGGAAGTTTTTGTGATGTGGTAAGGACTTACATATCAGTGTGGGTAGGGGGATAGATGGGTGGGTTGGAAGATGTGTATATACCTACCTACCTACCTACGATGATAAGGGGGAGGGAGGGACTAGATTTAGATGTCGACGCAAGATACCCTATTCATGTTCATATGCCAGACTGCAAAATGACGATATACATCTACGATCATACTTATCGCACAAACCCCCTTACATCACCGCAGCAAATCAAGAGCAAACCAATCATCATACCGAATAATAAACAATTATTCTCGCGTTCAGCTGTCTGCTAGTCCTCAGCACGGGATACATAGGTAGGCACTCCAATAGCCCAACAACCACCACCCGATCACAAGAGCAAGTAGGCGGGACAAATACCATACATAATTCGAACATAACACAATTCGAACCCTCCTCAGCATACTCGTCCATGCACCTAAACTACCTACTTCAACGACTCTGGGTGGAAAAAAATAACCATTGCCAAAAAAAGCCCGCCTGCTCGTAACCCCGAACTCGAAAAAGAAAACACCGCCTACTCCTACAAAATGCAATGTGACGCCTCCCTCCCAACAGACCCGGATCCAGGTAGGCTCAGCTCAGCCCCATTCCCGCGAGCGAGCGAGGGAGCGTGGGGTCTAGGCCGAGCCCTTGAAACCTAGGGTTATGACAATGACGAACTGTCTCAGGTTTTCCCTCTCAGACATCGCCAACGCCGTGTAACAACAGAACGTCAACCTCTGGAAACTCTCGCATTATGCTCCCGCCTTCCTGCATAGTCTACCGAATCCTTCGCGTCGGATCGGTAGATATTAGCAAGATATCGACAACCGTAGGAAAATGAAATGAGAAAATTTTAGAGCAAACAATAAGGGGTATGAGGATATGCTAGCTCATTTCGCGGGGTCGTGTACATGATATGGTCGAGAAAAAAAGCCATCAGAAAACAATGTAACATTTATATATTCCGTTGATTAAGCCGACGTTCTATGGATAAGAGATTCTTAATTCGCCGTAGTTGCCGACGGCCGTACACCTGCTTCTAATTGCGACGGCGTGGTATTCGCGGCGCCGTTAGCACCAGAAGCAGTCGCTTCGCTAGCCTCGTTCGCCTGCCCGTTACGTTCCCTTCGCATCATATCATTTAATCTGAATGGTGGGAACCGACTGCGAACTCTCGTGAAAAGACCTGGATTATCCGACGCGGCCGGCTGCGCTTCGGTATGGCTTCGTTGGCGATCTGCGCGATTTCTCTCCCATATTCGAGGTTGTCGACTATAATTGGATGATTCCGTACCCGCGCCCACACCTCCGAAGCGACCCGGAATCATACCACGCGGGCCTCCCCGGAAATTACTCCACGAAGTAAACGTACGTTGCGGGGACATCGGCATGTTCATACGGCCGTTATTTCGAGTCGGATCAGCATTAGGCGATGTAGGACTAGTCGGGTCCCCGTCCGCAGGAGGTGGGCGGGGTTTAGGTGTATAGTAGTCAGCCTTGCAGAGAGGACAGGAAGCCCTGCGGTTAGTTAACCAAGGATCGATGCAAACTGCGTGAAAAGCGTGACCGCATGTCAGACCACGGATGTCGTCGTCGTCCTCAAGTGTGTCGATACAGATGGCGCACGTATCACCTTGTGTACCGACAAGCTCGGGAGGCAAGGCAGCATCTATATGTTCGTCTTCATCATCTTCATCAACGCTTGTGCGGTGATCATGATCTTTCGTAATGATGCTTTCGGCAGTTCTCGATTGAGTAAGCGTATCTTCGGTAGCGGCATTATTCTCCGATGTGTTGTGCTGGATTCCCGGGCTGGGGTTCGGCTTTTCGTGGTCTGCAACTTTCGGGATGGCGACAGAATCTAGATGTTCTTCGGTATGGGATGGTTCTTTAGATGGTGTTTCTGGCACAATACCTTCGACGCTCATGACGCTATTAGCGCGACTTGCTGGTGCAGATACGCCGCCGGCGGTTGGTAATCCTTCTCTCGCACGTGCTGACACCCAGGCCTTGTATTTCATCATAGGGAATTTTTCGTTAACTTCATCCATCGTCATTAATTTCTTCTCACGACGTCGTCTATGCGGCCTTGCAGGCATGTTCTCGAGGTTGATGGGTTCTCCATTTTCATCCAACCCTCTCAGTTGTCGATTCCGAGCATTATACCTAAAACAATACTTGACGCCGACAATAATCCTATCCTAATGATTAGAACAAAACAAGAGGATATAACCATAGACTATATCATCAGTAATAGCTCACCATAGGTTAGTGAAGACGACACCAAACCCCAACGCAACAAAGAATAGCAAAGGAGAGCTAGTCGACGACTGTCCACCATTGTTCTGATCATTATTGCTGTTGTTGGTGGGTGAAGGGTCCGGGGATGCGGTCGGCGAGGTTGTCGATGAAATGGAAGTACCGGATGTTGGGGATGGCGTCGCAGAATTGCTTGAGCTCAATACTGTCGAAGTAGCCTGTCGGATTTGGTATTCGACGGCTCTTGCGACCAAATGAGCGCCATCGGCCACGACTTGATTGAGGGCGACCATCTTCGCAAATGGATATAACCGTTAGAATTTCGATTTCGGGGAGTTAGCCGATTTAATACTCAAGCGAGGAGGTCATTGGCAAAAAGCCTCGACTTGATGGCCGGAAATGGACAGATGATCCTATCAACACGATCGTACCCCGAACTGCGATGCCATTTACTACCAGAATCGTCCGAATAGAGATTTGTACTGGATCAACTATTAGAGATATCGGCAACTAGGGAAGTATGCACGATATTTGTCGTCTTTGTTCGTTACTTGAGCCAAGTTCCAAGATTGAGGAAAAAAAGATGGCAAAATGATAAAACGACAAATGAAGCCGACCGGTCCAGTAGCGGCAGCGATAGCGCCAAGTATAGGCGAGTTGGAAGGAACAATAGTGTCTTGAAAGTTAGAGGCGTTAGTTCGGTCTTTAGCCAAGGGGATGGGTGGAGAAAGAGAGAGGTGCGACCGCAAAGGACAAGGGAACTTTAATGGGGGGGAATGCTAGATTTGGGGGGGTGACAGTCCTGTGATTGTAATAAACTGCAGATGCGCAGTGCGAGAGAGTGCGCAAGCACAGCCAGACAGCCAGAACAGCCAAGTGCGGCCAAGTTCAAAGACGGAACTGGCCAGACGGTTGGATCGGGGCTGGGGACGGCTGGGGCGGTTTTGAACTTTCGGCTTGAATGATAGGTGGTGGTGGGTCCTTGAATTAGCCAATAAAAAGGTGGCCTCAGCGCCTAGAAGAAGGAACATGGCATGTCTAAACTGAACAAGGAAATGGAGATACAGTATTAGTCAACCCCCGTCAACCCCGTCTCGGGTCATGATTTTAGGCCATGATAAATAAATAAGAGATAAATTATCAAATACCCCAAAATTGGTATAGTTGAGAGAACCTGTCAATTACGTGAGTATACACAGTGCTGACGATAGTAGCAAACAAAAATAAGTATTTCTAAATGTTTTATCCCAGCTGCCCAGGTACACTAAATTCATCGTACGTACATACCTAATGCTCAGGTGAGTTGTCTGATTACATCATGAATTGTTCATACATGTACCCAGTAGTAATATGTGGGAGCAAGGAAAAGAGATCGGCAATGTGACTTGCAGATAGTGGATTAATGGCTTTTCTATTGGTTCCAATCTATTGAATTTGAGTTTCAAGACGGGCAGGGTCAAAACGGTCATCAACGTTATGCTAAATTTCAAGTCGTAATTGCTAAATGTTAAATACCCAATTGACGTTATACAGTAATTACCATAACCTTGAAACTTTAAGACATCACCAAGTTTATACTATTTTCAGTCCCTCGAAGCTTAACGAAACCCGTTCCCTTGTTTCGGCAGTGTTGACAATAAAAATAAATAAGAATAAATCTCCTTGTACGTGCGTATGCATATCGCAACCCGAAACGTATTGTTGTTGGTCGTGCAGATATTTCTAGATCTACAGTAAGTGACCAGATGGCTAGATGGGCGCTTAGATACAGGCTAGCATACCCCTGAAGCATTACTAGCATAGATGCCCCCATCATCTCGTGTCGCTGTCGAACACATAGCAAGCTTCCAAAGTTACCAGAATGAAATAGAAACAAATGAAAGGAGATTGTATTTTCAACAGCCTACAGCATTATACGGTGTTGCTAGTATAAATTATCTGTGATACGATTATGTGTTTTCGTCAGGCCATCATGTGGGAACACATGTACATAGTTGTTCCATGTGAGCGTGTTATGTTCAATGTTCACAATATGCTGTAGGCAGATGACATGATAGGTTAAGTTCAACAACAATTATTCGGTTTCTTCAATCGTTAATCGTAATACCTGAGGTTGCATATCTACATCAATGCCAAGAGTCCCGAGACTCCCGCCGCTTAGGGAACATCGGATCTAATTGAGGAATTAGAGATCTAAGAACTCCCGGTACTACGTAAGCGTAGCAGGGTCTAAGTTCCTTACATTTGTTCGAGCATGATATAAAACCCGTATAGTACAGTAAGACGCGACAGCTTGTTTGTTGCTATCAGATATTATGTAGTATCGTGTCCAGCTATGATACAGGTGAAACTGCCAGCATTAGCTTGTCACAAATTTTATCCATACATAATTACGCAATTGCAGCCCCTGACTTCATTCCAAGTCCTACGCTTATGAGCGACATATTATGTGCCGCTCAGCTCTAAAATAAGTTAAAATAACGTTCGAAATGTTTCCTCTGACATAATTTGTAATAAACGACAACCGTAACTTAGATTTTGTCGGATGATTCCTACATGTTAGTAAGAATGCGGCTATGTTATTCTAGTAAGTCTCGGTCGTCTTTTTTGCGCCGGCAATTTCTCTATGCGGTATCGTAGTATTCCACGAATCATTAAAGCGCACTGGTACACTATTAAAAGAGGACCTTTGGCCTTCAGGCTGTCTGGATTAGGTCATCCGTGCCACATGCGCCAAGCTAATGATCTGTATTAGACCAACGACGCTTCCAGGCCTGCTAAACTTCAGCTTTGGGTATTGGAAGTGACTCGATGCTCGACAGACACTCAAATACTCTTCATGTCGACGACCCATTCCTAATGCCTGCCCTCGTTTCCCATACCTCTTTCCTGTATAGGCAATTCGCGAAGCTAAATGGATAGCTCAGTTTGGCAGTGCTCTGCTAGTGTGACAGTCGGCGATTTGTGCCAAGTAAGGCCTCTAATATTTGTCAATGACTAGACCAATAGCATGCGAAGCTGAAACCAAAGAGTAACGAGGCTAAAAGAGCGCCGAGCGCACCATTAGATAGAGATACAGATACGAGTATTCGTAAGTTGGAGTCTGCCCTATTTGTTTTGGTTAGACTCTTTTTAGACCTCATTGACATTGATTCGATTGTCGAACGTTTTGACAATTCCGCAATTGGTTTCCGATCGGGTTATTTCAATCACTTATATGATTGTCATATGTTAAAAGTGTCTGATATGTACCTAGTCCGCAGGTGTAGTACCGATGTATGCATCATTGAAGTCTTGAAGGTGGGAATGGTTCAATACGACAACCGCATTGGTTGCTGTGGCCATAGCGGTCGTTAATGAGATGTTGGAATATTGCGATTTGCTTCAAAAAGATCGTTGCTATTAGTCATTCTCTCAATTCTAAGTTACAATAATAAAATATTATGTAGCTGCTTCCAGTTTGTGGCATCTGCAGATATGGAATGTACGTGTTTCCAAGGTTGGCATCAAGCCTTGAAACTCCACTAGTCCCACAAGCCCCGCGGCGCAAAGTCGATCTTGCCAACTGATCCGGTAAAGATGGGGAAGTTACGTACCTATTTCATACCTCCGGATTAGCAGATTGTAGAAGTCGATCACTTTAACTTCCCGCTTTCCGAAACTTCACCACCGTAACCGAAGCCGAAATAGCTTTTTCAAATTCTTCACCTTAGCTACCGATTTCGGCAATCCTATCCCATCCCCCGAACGAACACACCATCACGCTACACGCGATTCAAGTTTCAATTACCTCTCCACATTGCCGAGATGGCGCCCACACAGCTTCCGGCTTCCGGGAATCCTTTGTAAGTAAAAGCCTTTTACGCGGACTAGTGGCTGAGCAGCTGTCAGCGCCAACATCCATGGATTCTTCCGAGGCTTCCGCACTAACTGGATGGCATCATCAGGGTCTTCTTTGACATTTCTCTAGGAGGTAAGTCTATTCCTGTCTAGATTTCTAATTTAGAAACCAATGACGGTTGGGGGTCGATTGAAATTCGATATCAATGAACATCACGTGATCTATTTGACTTACATAATTCTACAAATGGCTCTTTCATGAAGCCATCGAGGCTATTATATGCCCATGTTTACGTTTATGCGATTACTTCTTTTATTCGTTTCTAACCAGTGTTAGGTGAGCCTCTTGGCCGCATTACATTTGAACTCTTCAAGGATGTTGTGCCTCGCACCGCCGAGAACTTCCGTCAATTCTGTACCGGCGAGTACAAAGACAGAAGCCAGAGCCAGGGCTACAAGGGAAGCAAATTCCATCGAATCGTATGTTTTCCCGTGATGTCTCTAGTAGTCGCGCCACACTAATAAGAGCTAGATCCAAGGCTTCATGATCCAAGGTGGAGACTTCATCAATGGTGATGGTACTGGAAGCGTCGTAAGTCACTCAGGGGAGAGGAAGCTGAAATGGATGCTAACTTCTCCTTTCAAGTGCATCTACGGAACCCAGCAATTCCCGGACGAAAACTTCTCTCTCAAGCACAACCAGAAGGGACTGCTTTCTATGGCCGTGAGTTGTTCTAGTTTGTAATTCCGTAACTATGCTGACCATATGCCAGAACTCCGGTCCCAACACCAATGCTTGTCAATTCTTCATCACCACCACGGCCACCCCTCATCTTGACGGGAAGCATGTTGTCTTCGGCAAGGTTGTCGACGGTATCGAAGTAGTTGATATGATGGAAAAGACTAAGACTGGTCGACGTGGACGGGACATCCCTGATATTGACGTCGTCATCGCTCAATGTGGCGAGATGTGAAGGACTAAAAATCCTTACTTAATCAACGAAATCAACAAAATATCATATTTATGCCATCAATAAAAGTAATATTTAGACACTTAAGGTGAGTTTCAAGATTGTTATCTCGTTCAACACGATATTATATTAATACGACTCAGATAGGCCTCTCAAATTGGCCCTAGAGATACGAAGCAAAGTTGCCGTCGAGAAATCCGATACCTCAACATATAGAAAACCAGCATGCTTCAAATTAATTCCTCCGAGCCTTATTCATCCTCCAACACTGTGGTGTATATATTGATTAGGTAACATGCTATTGAATGGAGAGGTAAGCTCCTTTACAATGCTTAACTCTCCACTCAGTCCCCAAAAATGCCAGAAATCATAATTCCAAAGTCGTATCCACAGTAACAGCATATATCACCTTCCTTGATGTTGAGTATTACCGCCTTGTTGCACGACCGCCTGCACGACTACGTCTCCTGCTCCTCGTCGCATTATCCCAGTCTGCAGGATATGCCACATTGGTGTACTTTTCGAGGTTCATCGTCACTGTTATCGTTCTAATGAAAGCGGCAGATGTTCCAGTCTCAATCCAAAGTATCTTTCGAGGTCTTCCCGGTTCGTCTCGTGCTAGAAAACGAAGCAAATCCCCGATGGCGTTGCAGGCTTCGTCAAGAGGTCTCTCGTCTGCTAATAACGCCAAATCGTTGCATCCCTCGAAGAAAAATAGTATCTCGGTAGGTATCACATTAATGAGGGCTATGATGATTCTTACAGCCGCAGGAATCGTTATGGACATGTCCGGCGAGTGTAGACGTAGACTGTTGAATACCCGTCGTGAGAGTGCCATGTCCGGGTCCTCGAATCTCCTTGGTAGTATATCGATAAGCTGCTTGATCATGCTGCTCACAAGCGACAGCATTTTGGCTCGTGGTGTGTTATATCGCCTCTGGAAGAGTCGGTTGCTGCCAAAGAACCAAGTACAGGGGACACCGTATAAATTACGCGCACCATCTAGGAGCTCTTGGGAGAGGATTAAAAATTGGCGTGAATTGTGAGGCAGTTGGATGTGTAAAATCTCGTTTCCCTGGGCGGTTACGAAAGCATCGGCGGCGTCATATATATGTCCTGGTGAGCAGCATATATCTATCAAGCCCGGTAGTCCAGCATCGTAATAATTGATGATACCTTGGGCACGCCGAAGAACACTTGACTTTTTCTCCATAATCCTATTTCTTGTTCAATAGATTAGTTAGTGCATTTAGAGCTTCTGGGTTATAAGAAGTATTCTTTTATAAATTTATATTCTAGATGTACTGGAATGCGTTACACCTGCCAATATTACACAGGCACCTATATTACTACTACACATCGCCTCATCACATTCACTACTAAGTACGCAAGGTTATCGTTCTACTTTATCGAATCATGAAGCCAGAGTCTACCTAGTATTAAGAAGATGATACCTAATGAGATAGTTATATATATTAGTAACAACACTTTTTTTTCGAATATGACCGTGTGAAACTTTTATTTTGTTAAAGTGTGAATAATAGATCGTTACATATAACGCTGTAAAGCGCCTATGGGGCTATTACCTAGGTTAGTAGTTTTACGTTTCCATATGTATCCTCTTTTGAGTACCTTTTGAATAGCATCTTAAAGACTTACATTTACTGTGAAGAGTCACCGTTTGCAACATATCCATTTATTTGTTTCCCACATAGCAAAATTAATACTCATATTCTGCCATATGCCTACTATGTACCTTGGTAGATATGGGATTTCTCTATATAAACCCGACTTTTGACACCCTTTCAACAGATACTTAATTATCAACATATACTGCGTTCTATGAGATATCAACCGAAATGTTGAATTCCTCTTTCTTGCGGTTCCATAGCCGGTGGTTCTCAGGTCAAAATCCTATGGACTTCCTGGGAAATCTCTTTGAACCACCCTCAAGTAAGAACACCCGTATTTTCATTATTAAAGTCAAAATATAACTAAACTTGAATGAACAGACGATTCCGAAATTAACGAACGAACACAAAAACAAACAAAACAAGAAGTCATCCAACGATCGCGCCATCTTTAAGATTTTAACAAGTCCGTCTTTAATTATTTACGGAAGGTTATATTTACTATTAAAATAAATGTAAATTATAAGTATTACATATATTAATTAATTAATTAAGTTATTAATTTTAAGTAATAATTCGTAAATAATATATATATACTTTTTAAATATAAAACGTAAACTTTTAATTATTTAATATTTTAACATTTTTATTTAAATTATACGAAAAAATTTATATTTATTAGTTTTTTTTTTATTATATAATTTTTTATTTTATAATATTCTTTTTTTTTAAAAGTTTTTAAAGTTTTTATTATTTATAATATTTTTATTATTTTATAAAACTTTTATTATTTCGTAACGTATATTTTATAAAAAATTTATAATTAATTCGATTAAAATGAATAATTATTTAAAACGAAAAAATTAAAATTAATAAACTTTTTTTTTTTATTTCGTTTTATAAACGTAAATTTAAAATATTTTTAAAACGTATAAAAACATTTTTAAAAAATAATTTCGTAAATTCGTCCGTTATTTAATTTTATATATTAACGTATTAAAAATTAACTTTTTTAATAATTTACTTTTCTCGTATAAAATAAACATTAATTTCGATATATTTAATTCGAATATAAAATTAAAAATTTTTTATAAATATTAAAACTTTTTAATTATTTTTTTAAATTATAATAATTTTTAAAGTTTTTTTATTTTTATTAAATTCGTTTAATAAAACTCGTAATTATATAACTTTTTTCGTAACGTTTATTATACTTTTAAATTTCGATTTATAAATAAACGTAATTATTATAAATTAACGTTTAAAAAATTAATTTATAATATTATTATTAACGTTAAAAATATACTTTAAAATAAATTTATAACTTTAAATATAATTAATATAATTTACGTTTATTTATTTTATAAAGTTTTTAAATTTATTTTAATAAATTAACTTATAATCGAAAATTCTTTTTAAATATTTTAAAACTTTTCGAATAACGGTTATAAAATCATTTATATAAAAAAATAAATAATAATTATTAAATAAAAAAAAATTTAAAATAAAATAAAATATAAAAGAAAATTTCTTATATTAAATTTCGAATTACGTATAAAATGTTTTTTCTTTTTATATTATTTATTATATTTTATTAATTTCCCGGCTTTTTATAAAAATATTAATATTTCGTTAATTTTTATTTTAATTTTTTATAAATAAATAATAAAATTATAAAGTTATTTTTTTTAAATAACGACGGGGGTAATATAAAAGATTAAAATTCGGGAAATTAAAACTTATTAACGTTAAAAATTATTATAATTTTAATAATAAATCGAACCTTTTTTTTTAGTTTAATTAAGTTTTTTTATGTCGTTTTTTATAAATTTATAATTTTTATTTTATTAAAGTTTATAAGATTTTTTATATTTTATTTATAAATTAATTTTATAACGTTTTACGATAAAAGTTTTTTCGTATATTATTAATTATAAATAACCGAAAAATTTTTTTAACGAATTAAATATTTTAATATTATTTTACTTTTTTATTTATTAATTTATTATTATAATAATTTTTTTATTTCGTATAATTATTATTTATTTATGTTTTTTTTAATAACGATATAATTAAGCGTAAAAATACGGCGTTTATAAAGATTTTAACTTTACGGAATTTTATATAATTAAAATATATTTATAACTTTATGAATTTTTTAATTATTAAAAATATTTAATTTATATATTATATTTCCGATTTTTTTCGTAATTATTAAAAGTTCGGTTTTTTAAATTTTAAATTTTTTATTTTTAACGTTTAATAATTAATATTTTTTATATAATTATAAATATATTATTTCGTTAATTTTAAAATTTATATTTTTATATTTTTTATTATATTAAACTTTAACGTTTATAATTATATAATTAATCGTTTTTTTCGTTTTTTTTTAATATTATTTTTTAATTATTTCGTAATTAAAAATATTAATTAAGATTTTTAATAAATTAAAAGTTATTTTTAATTTAAAACTTAAAATAATTTTATTTAGCGATTTTTTAAAAATAAATAAATAAATATTATTAATATTATATTATAAAATTAAAATAATATTAATTTATAAAATGTTTATTATTATAACGTAATATTATAACGTAAACTCGACTTTTTAATTTTTTTTTTTAATTAATTATTTATTTAAAAATAATATATAATATTTATTACGAATTTAATTCTTATTTTTATAAAAAAAAATTACCATATATTTAATATAAATTTCGAATTATAATTAAATATTATTTTTATTAATATTCCTTAATTATATAATTATAATACTTTTAATAATTATAATATTTAATTTTCGATTTTATATATAACATTTTTTAATATTAAAATAACTTTTTTATTAAATTTACATATAATAATAAATAAAAAATTAAAATGTTTATATTTTTTTATAAATTAAAATAAAAAAACTATTTTTATTTTTAATAAATCGATAATAAAATTTTAAATAATTATATAATACGGTATTATTAAAAAGTTTATAAAAATTAATTAACTTTTTATTTTAAATTTATTCGTTTTATTTTTAATATAATCGAAATATTAAGTAATATATTTTTAAATTTTTTTCGACATATTTTATAATTAAATATATTTTAATTTATAATATATACGTTTAAAGTTAAAATAATATTTCGTATCGTAAATTAAAATTAAAAATTTTTAAATATAATTTAATAAAATTATAAAACGTTTTTTATTATTCGTTATAATATAATATATTAAATTATTTTTTAACTTATATTAATATTATTAAGTTATATTTTTTTTATTTCGTTTCGTTTTCGTTAAAATTTCTTTCATTTTTTTTTAATTTTTAATTATATTCGTATTTAATTATAATTCAATCGCGAAATTTTATTAACATTTTAATTTTTAATATAAAATATATTATTTCGTTATTATTTATCGTAATATTATTCGTAATATTTTCGAATATTAATTTATTTTTTTATACTTTTTTTTTAACGTTTAAAACATTATAAATCGTAAGTAATTTTAATAAAATATTTAATATTAAATTAAGTTTATTAATAATATAATATATTTTTAAATTAAATTAAAATAAAAAAATTAAAATAATAATTAATTTCGGATTTATTTTATTTATATTAATTATTTTTAAAAATGTTTAATTTATTATTTTTCGTATCGATTTATAATTAATAATTATTTTAATAATTTTCGTATAAAATTATAAATAAATATAATTAAAACAATATAATTAAATTAAATATATTATTTTTAATTTCGTGATATTATATCGAAATTTTATACATGTTAAAATTTTTAAAAAAATAAGCTATTAATTTTATTTTATCGATTTTTATCGATTAATCGTTTCATTTTTCGTTTAAATGAAATATTATAACTTTAAATTTTATTTTATCGATTTTTATCGATTAACCGTTTCATTTTTCGTTTAAATAAAATATTATAACTTTAAATTTTATTTATTTCGAAATATTAATATTTAAAAAAACTTATCGATTATATTTTTAATAATTTAAATTTATCGGATTATAAAATTATATTTATAAAATTAAAAATAATTTTTTTTTTAATTTCGTTAATTTGAATTTTATTTTTATAATATATTCTTTTCGTTTTTTTAAAAATAATAACAATTAATTATAAAATTATTTATATAAAAAAATGAATAATAATTATTAAATAAAAAAAAAATTTAAAATAAAATAAAATATAAAAGAAAATTTTTTATATTAAATTTCGAATTACGTATAAAATGTTTTTTTTTTCATATTATTTATTATGTTTTATTAACGGTTATTTATATGAAAAAATAAATAATAATTATTAAATAAAAAAAAAATTTAAAATAAAATAAAATATAAAGAAAAATTTCTTATATTAAATTTTAAATTACGTATAAAATGTTTTTTCTTTTTATATTATTCGAATTATTAAATTATAAAGTTATTTATATAAAAAAATAAATAATAATTATTAAATAAAAAAAAATTTAAAATAAAATAAAATATAAAAAAAAATTTCTTATATTAAGTTTTAAATTACGTATAAAATATTCCTTTTTTTTATATTATTTATTATATTTTATTAACGGTTAAATAAATTATAATGGGATT